CAGACAACCTTCGGAAAAATGCAAGCTTAATCCTTTTGCCGATGGCAGGATTAGACATCGGAGTGCGTTAACCATAAACAAACTTTCTGCATTTTCGCAGCGGGTTTTATTCAATAGCAGTTTTCAATTTTTTTTTTAGACTGCTTCTGGACTTTAGTTCTTTATTTTGTGTGGGATAATAGCTTGCTTATGTGTTCTAGTTTCAAATCCTTTTTTGTCTGGGACATACAAAATATATGAATTTGCCACTAAATTTTCGAAATTTATAATAAAGCAGATTACACTAAGGAAAAAATTTTAAAAAAAAAAATCAATTAACATGGTTCAATACCCAAAAAAGGAACGATCTTCATAAAAAAAAATAAAGAAAATGGAGAAGTACGTTCATATTTTCTTGATAGTTTTTCAGAAATCAATTTTCTAAGCTTTTTTACCACATACCTTTCGTTTCTGCTTATTGTTTCACTAATATTCCAGCAGAAACTATGAATTAACAAGTAAAAGTATCTATTCGGATGAAAAATTTTTGAATTAAATCTTAAAACACCTGGCCTGGCATAAGCCCGCACAGACGTTTTCTCAAAAATAAGGTTCAAAGCCCGGGCCAGGCCGCACGGGCTGACGCACAAGCCTGCATCGACCTTGAGCGCTCAGGAATAAGCGAGACCAAACTTTTTCGTGGAGAGTCATATCTCTAGTCGTCTGCTGGTTATCGGTTTCGCATCGGCGTGCGCAAGCCGTTGCGTTTCGAGAGCGTTGAGGTACCGCAGACCGTTTTCTAGAACCATTGAATTTCAATTGGTTTCATATGGCTATGTAACCCATAATCCCGACAACGTTTGAAAAGAAGATCGAGGAAAAATACTGAACATGAAAGGATGCATTTGGCGATTTCGATTATAGATGATTCTCGGCTAGCTTGGAACGCAAAAAGGCGTGGCCTGTCTGCACTCTCCACTAACTAGGGCACTGTCTCGTCTCTTTTCGTGGCAGGACCCTTTTCTCGATGGCTCAAGCCAGTCGTGAATCAGCTATACCTTCAAATCCACTATTCTCCGAAAACAAAAAACGATGGTATGAAAAAAAGCCAGCGAATTTTCAAAAAGCGACTTTTCCGATTTTTTCGTATCACTAGGGAACTTTCCGACGGCCACCTTTCCGCCGAATCCCTTTCCGACTTTTATCCCTTATACTTTTCGGTTTATAAAACATCTATTAACATTTTTTTTTCTCTATTTATTTGTGTTTTAATCATGAACCAACTACATACTTTATATCGAAAGATTTAAAACGAAGTTTTTATCGAGAAAAAAGGGGCGCGCCGTAGCGCGACAGGTTGTGTGCCTGTCTACGGTCAACAGGGTCACAAGTTCGATCCTCGCCTCGACCCAACCAAGGGGTTTAAGAAATGTTGGTATTGGGAAACCACGACTTCAAAATCCCCAGCCGTCACATACAAGGACGGATATGTCACTGGAGCCAGTCCACTGATATCAGGATAGGACCTCGGCTAATCGACTTGGGGCGCCGAGGCCGCTCAAGCCGTACAAAGGCGTAAGAAGAAGAAGAACATGAAGAAAGGACCGGATAAGCTGAGAACCAAGAAAAAACAGAAAGAAGGGAAAGAATAATTTATTTTTACTGAATAAAAAAAAAGAAAAAAGTTTGAAAAACGAAGAACTTCAGTTTCGGTAAGAAACTGATTTAAAGGGGGCCCCTGTAGGAGGTAGGATCAAATTTTCACTGCAATTCGCTTCTTCATATATACCCGAATCGTGTAGGGGGTTCAATCGAAGCTCCGGGGCCCCGAAATCGCAAAATCCCTATCGGGGCCTTCTAAACTTTTTTTAGAGAGGATGATTTGATCAAGTTTTTCTTGTTAATTTTAAAATCTGAACAAAAATTGAAAGAACCTCTGAGGACCACTTAAGCTTCAGGGGCATAGGAATCAGACCTTCAAACCCCTATAAAGACTGCCTGAATTATACCCCCTATAGGGGGCTGTTTTTCCTCTAACCCACTATAGGGCTACTCTGGCGTTTTCAAAGATGGGCCTTGAGAATCGAGTATTCTGAGATCTCATCCGTGCTCCGAAGATATAACTGACCAAATTGCAGCAGGCAGCAGGCGATATGGTCAGTGCTTCTTGTAATTTTTTTCTGTTCTAAAGATTCACATTTTGAAAAAAAGTAACAAGCAGAATAGAACGACATTTGGCGGAACATGTTAAAGTTTTCGAATTTTGAAAATCACGATCTTCAGACTTCTCAAATTTTTGAGAGCAGAAAAAGGAATTTTATTCTCACATGACTTGAAAAGTTCAAATATAAATAATAATTTTCCCAGAACCAGTCGAGAAAGTTATTGATTTTTTTTTCCGCTTTTCCTCACAAACGCGTTGCGTAAAACGTAAATTTGACCGTTTTTTTTCTGTTATTAGTTGTTTTTTCTTTTCAGGTCATTATGCATAGCCGATTGTATACTTTATAAGATTGCATTTAAAAAAATGCAAAGAAATACACAAAGTTTTTGGTCAGCGAGAGGGTGTGGCCTTGCAGTCCCTCTCCATGTACTAGCTCTTTTTAGAAAGTTAACGACTGGAAACAAGGAGATGAACATTTTGTGACAGTCGCTTTTTTTTATATGTCTTCCCGTAAGCTCACCATTCGCCGCACCATTCAAGGGAAGGATTTCGCTCCCACGCTCTGCTCGTTTTCCTTCCTACTTATTCGATTACGATGATTTCCCCTGGCTCCTCATTCGCTAGTCTTCTCATATAAAAAAAAGTCAAATTTTCTGTTTTTCTAAAATTTGCTCGACATGCATCTTCGTAAAAAATTTCGTCAAAACTTGAATTGCTTTTTTTAAATAGTGTAATAAGCGAAAAACAAACTTCGACTCCCAAAACTGCGAGCATCTTCTCCAAAGCTATCCAAGAAAGTGCGATTTGATTTTTACGGTTCGAATCAACTTCAAATCAAGTTTGTTATACTCTCGGAGTGGGATGAGTAGAATGAAGCGGGTGTCCAGAATGACCGAAGAGAGAGAGAGAGAGAAAAAAAAGGAGGCATAGGTTTTAATTAAAAAAAATGCTATTGCTCACATTTCCAACGAACGAAAGCCTGCACTGCCCCCCTTTTTCTCTTTCAAACTCTGAAGGTTAAAGAATGGGCGGCTTCTTTCCCAAAATTTTATTTAGATTAATCTCATCAAGCCTTTTTTCCGAAGTGTTGTTGTTATTTCCATCAGTTAAATTGTATATATTCAATCCTTCCAGACTTGAAAGACGAGATAGATAGATTGTCAAGGATGAGGCGTTGCGTACGCGACGCGGCGTTTTGGCGGGAAACTCGAGGTCAAACGCTAATATGATCTTGTGCTCCAAAAAGTCGCGCCGCCTGCGCAACGCCTAAGCCTTGCCAACTCGCATGCTGAGCAGGGTAACCCCGCCGTGCTAACACGGGGTCTCCGCGGGTGCCCCCGTATTAAACCCGTATAAGCCCAGCTGATAGAACTTTTGGCACTTTTTAGCCCAACTGAGACCCCGCTTTAGCCCAGCTGGGTTACCTATTTTTCTTACACCCGTTGTTCCCCCGTTTTAGCCCAATTGAGACTAAAATAACCTCAGAAACACGGGTTTAATACGGGTACACCCGTTGAGACACCTGCTCAGCATGCGAGAAGCTACCCATCGCGCTTTTGAAGCCGGCGAAAAATTTATTGCAATTTGTTGAACTTTTGAGACCGAATAACGCGAAAGAAACTGATCGAAAATTTAATGAAATAGTGAAGGTTGTGTTTCAGAATCATCAAGAAACAAAAATAGTCATATTGGACTTGATATAATTTTCAGGGTGAGTCACAAGTTTGTGTTTTTTTTTTGACCTGGAGCGAAGCTATCTTGGCATTCAAAAACTGAACTCTTAAATCACGATAAAAACAACTAGACTTTCTGAAAAAAAAAATTTTTGCAAGGAGCGCTCTAAATCTTGCATCTTATTGGGTGCTCTGATATTTTCCCATCTTTGGCTAAATTAGTCTAGTTATGCGCAGTTTGTTATTTCTTGTGGTCTCACTGTTCCACTTCTTTGATTTTTTTTTTCTTCGTTTCGAATCATATGCAAAAAGTGGTTACATATTCCAAGACTTCAATTTTTTTTTCAAAGTGCGAATATTGAAGAAAAAACAACTTGAGGTGTCCGAAATTGGCATGTATTTTCATATTTCTTTCATTTTTTCGGAGATATCTCCATTAGTTCCTAACTAATAAATCGACTTTAATTACAAAGACGCATCTATCAGAAAACTCGTTCTATAGAGAGAGAAAGATTTACGCCTTAACTGTAAACGATTTTTTTTTTCTATTTTTTAAAATGTTTTTCAACATGTTAGCCTTTTTTGTGAGGAGATAGAAACTTCTTTCAACGCGCGTTTTTAGTCTTGTGCAATCCTTATTCCTTATTCTTACCTCATCATCTTTAAATACTAGCTCAGAGGCTCTTGAGTGCCTCAAGTGCCTTTTATTTATATATTTATTTCAGGCTTAATTGCCAATTTTTTTCTTTTTTTTTGTATTTGTTATTTTGTTCTGCCTGTAAATTAATTATTTTATTTTATTTTTTCAAAACGCCTATTCACTATATGTTCACTATATCGCAGCTAGAGTAACGCTATACTACCCGGAGTCGCGAGCAAAAAAACGCTTGCCTCTCGCTGCGACCTCGCAAAAAGTCCTTCAGAAACTAATTTGATTCATTTCATCATAAAACTCAAAAAAAATTTTTTTGAAGTGGTAATTTTTATCAGAGGGAGCGACATCGCAGCGAGTTATTGACGAGCTCGCAGCAAGAAGCACTGTCTATGTAGCCTGCGGCCCGCTACGATATAGTCAGTTTGGCTAGGTGAATCTTCTCATTCTAGCTATCAACAAAAATGTTTTTTTTTTTTCAATTGTACCGTTTGTGAAGTCGCCCATATCGTCAAACTTTAGTCTCAGAGAAATGTCGGTGGCGTCGTTCCTGCGACGACGCTTTTCGATGGACGCACACAGCGGGTCAGCTTCTCAGAAGCAAGCGCCGTGCTCGACTGCGACGAGGCCTTTGAGAGATTCAACTTGGGAGCCGTCGTCCAGCGACTTGCGTTCGCCGCGACTCGTGGGCGCCTCATCGCGACGAAGTCGTATAGCAGCCTCTCTCGACTCGGCGCGAAGGCGTTTCTCTCTGCAGCCCTCAACGCCGCCTGTTGTTGATTACCACCAACACATGCAGAGCATCGCGTTGCGCGAGAAACATGCCCACGACGTTGGAAGTCTGCCAGATTTGCAGCATGAGGTTTCTAGTACTATTTTTTCACAAGATTAAGCACCGTGATGTGTTGTTCGGACTCATTTTACAATCAGAAAGCTGCACCAACGCGTTAAAAATGTTGCCCTGAGTCACAGCGGTAACGTTATGAAAGAGCTAGGAAAAGCGCTCAGAAACACTGGCAATACACACTGTTATTACTTATTCAACAAAAAAAATTTAGAAATCTGTGGTTATACCTCAAGCTGAGAGTAACAAGCTTCAGACTTGAAAAAAATTTTTAAACGTTGAAATTGAGACAAAGGAGGAATTTTTACTTATCGGTTGCAAATTTATTTTTAATTGACTAAAATACTCTTTGATGTATCAGAAAAATATCCCAAAAATCTCAACCTACGACATTTTAAGAGAAATCAGGGCGCAGAGCCCCAAAATCGCCTGATTTTTAGTGGTTTTTTTTTACTTTGAGGTGTCCTTTCTCGAAAACGAATGTTTTGCAGATTGAGAATTTCAGGATTCTTTTCGGTTACATCAATGGTCTTTCTGGTAAATTATCAGAAATCTCCCAATCTTCAATTCAAATGACCTCCCTTATAGGTAGGTGCCGCAAAGCAGTTATTGAATCTTATCCGATCGCTTCGATTTCGATATCATTTCATTTCTAGTGGTCCCCATTAGCCAACTCAAAAAAATCTCGATGAAAAGTTGACGCAGAGCTGAGAAACGTCAAGAAAAGCGCGCGACTTTAGAACGCTTTTTGCACTGAATCGTGTTCCGCAATTAACAAGTGAGAGGGGCCTATTACGCCTCTTTTGCAGAAGGAGCGCGCTTCCATTTTTCAGTGAAAAGTTTGAAACAGGATTCTGAATGAAATAATTTTTAAAAATTGAGTTAATCAGTAACTTCCACTTAATTACTTTTTCGGAATATTGAATCTTTTTAACCGTATTAAACTTCTATAAGCTAAAAAAATTCTGTAATTATAAATCTAAATACGTCTTGGATGAATTTTTAGATTGACTTGAAATTTAAAAAAAAGCTGTGAAGTATTCTTTTTTTAATACAAAAAAACGTATTCATAAGAAGTTCGTAAATACTGACGGCTCATTGTGTGCATGCACCTGCGCCCAAAACTGCATATATTATAAAAATATTTTTAATAAAAATTTGATAGTTTTTTTGAATTTATGTGAACTTAGGTAAGCTTTATTTGTCATTTTCGGGTTTATAAAGATGGGGAAGTGACCTAGCAACACTTTTTTTCGTGGTATAATAAACTCCAATCAAGTTTGAACGCAAACGAAAATTTGAAAAAGAAACACGTTTTTTTGAAGGTCTTTTTTTCATTATTTTTTAAGCTAACAAATGTGCGATATATTTTCGTTTTTTTATGGTCTTTTTGATAATGACCTCAAATAGTTTCTGAAGGGATAATTTCATCATAATAATTGACACTTGTTATGGACTCAAATATAACTTTTTAAAAAAATTTAAAAAGTTTTTCTCATTTTTTTCCTCTTTATATGGTTTTTATGTGTTCTAAAAAGTCATAAATAAAAAAATCGATGGGTCGTCGCTGAAAAACTCGAGTTTCTGAAAAATTTGTGTTAGAGCGTTTTTCGTTACGTTTTGAATATAAATTTGGAATCTACGTCATTAATTATGTCATATCGCATCGTCCTTTTTGTCCATAAAAGCCGCGCGCGAAATAAGAAAAGAAAACAAATAAACTGAGCAAAAAAAACGCTCGCAGCAGGTGGGCGTGGCTTTGCGGTCCCTATTGGGTCAAAATCGATTAATGAACGAATGAAAAAAATTTACAAATTGTGGAATGTCAAAAAAATATTACAAGAGACAGTTAACAAGTACAGTGATGCAATTGGTGATTGGTGTTATTTGAAAACCCTTACTTGAAGGTTGTATTCATTTTGAATGAAAAAAAGATTTTTTTACTAGATATTGACTGTATTTCAGCGACCCAACGGAGGAGCACGGTCGCCACAAGCCAAACGAGTGTCGGTCGTCGCCGGGGGTGATCGCGCTATTTTCCCGCACAAGCAACGCAAACATCACTCGTTTTCTAAGGTATTTTTTTGTGCGTTTTTAAAATTCGCGCGTGAAACTCACCGTAAAAACGCATATCTTGCGATCGTTGTAAGATACATTTTTTCTGCGCCCTTCCTCGCCTACTTCCCGAAATCACACAGGCGAATCAAAAAGGTACCATCATGGGTCCACAAAGGTACTTCTCAAAATGGATTGTGAAGGCCCCATAATGTGTCCATTGTGAGACTTCCGGCATACCTTTTAGCTATATCTGAGATATACGCTTTAACACTATCGCATTACGCTGAGATTTCAACGGCGATGTTTCCGACTTTTTTTTCCATGAATTTTTAGTTTTCAATGTTCTTTTATGAATTAGAAAGTCGAAATACTAACGGCTTTACCGCGATACCCCTGCGATACGTCTTTAGTCACATTCTTTTTTCAATCCATTTCTTTTTCCAGAAAGATTTTCTTCTAGATCATCGCTCTGAATAACTTTTCCGACCATCAATGTCAATATTCACAATTGGCCTTTTTCTATAGGTTTGAAACATCCTCAAGACGTTTCAAGGCACGAAATTCAATAAGCTTTGGGTGCTGTGGTGAGCGCTGTGTGTGAAGATGTAGTATTCCATCCAATAGTGAGCAAAAACCTTTTCACTTTTCGTACTCAACGTTTTCTGTATCGCTATTTTTAATCCGTTTCGAAAATCTTTTTTTTAGTTCAATTTTTGGAAAACGATGTTTCCATCAGTACTGGAAGAATATTTTTGTGACTGTGTATAATGTAATTTTTTTTCCATAAAATGATAGAAATTGATTCTGACTCTTATAAGAAGAAAAAAAAATTTTTTATAAGTGTTTGCCCTTGCTTGAAACTCTCGGTGAGAAACGTTTGTGCGTTTAATAAAATCTGTAAGTTGCGATAACGTTTCTCCAGATTGCATTGGGACCCCGCAAGCGGCCACATTTTTTTTCTCCTGAAATTTACACAAACGGCGTCTTCGGTTGAAGTGCTCAATCAAACGTGAAAGAGCCACCGATTGCCTCGGCCCCGCCAAACTGCTGATCCAAACGCTCGTGTAATCGATAGACCTTCATTGGCATCGTTGCACTGTTTGTCATCTTTCCAATTCTTTTTTAATTTTTTTTTGTAGTGTTCGGTTTCTATAAGGCTCTTTTGTAGTCAACCAAAAAAACTGCACATCTGACAAATGTGAATGGAATGATTTTTTTTTTGTAAGAGATAAAGACGAGAGCACTTTTACGAGAAACCTTCGGAAAATATGCTGAGAAAAATGAAAGGAAACATTTTTTTCTCATTTTCCTTATCCTCGAAGTATTATGTTCATCTAGGCTGTTTTTTAACGGATATTTATTTCAAGCTTTTTTATAATTGTGCAAAATTGAAAAAAAGAAAAAACCCGTTTAAAAATTCTTTTTTTTTTTTTGCACGGAAACAACAATTAGCACATTTTTTCCTTGTTTGAGTCTTCTACATGGATAGCTCCATCTTTAAATTCAGCATTAGTTGGAAATGAGAGTGAAGAAAAGAACCTTTTTTCGACTCCAAAAGACTTCAATCACCCTCATGAACACTAGAAAAGAACGAAGTAGTGAACCAAAAGTGGACGGCGAAAAAGCACAATCGATCGGGGCGTTCGATTGCGTATTCGGGTACGAGGTGGCTGATAGTTAATACCATAAATCTTCATCACGTTGGGCCGCGGCCGTCGATTTTGCTGCAGTTTCCCCCCTTTGTCGCTTTCGACTTGTTTCCGTTTCCGGTGCACAGCGGCCGCGGTTCTTCATCGCTCTTCACGAAATTTTTTTTTCTTCTGTTTTCTTTTCTCTTCATTTTATGTGTCGTTCATAATGAAACCCCAGCAACATAGCTGCCGAGCGCTTATTATAGCCGATTCACGACTAGCTTGGGACGCCAAGAGACTTGGTCAGTCTGCGCTTTCCACCCACTAGGCATTTTCTCCTTTCTTATCGTGTCAGGATCCCTTTTTTGATGATTAAAACCCACTGTGAATCAGTTATATACCTAGCTAGAAACCAAGTTGGTCGATATAGCTCCTGAGCGGTTACCAGAGTCGTACTCCGTTGCGATTTTTTTTTCTGAATATCCGCGATAGCGCGTTCCGCGCAAGACGGTCACGGCGTTCTGCTAGTGGAAGAAAATGGAAATGTTTCGAAAACGCGGAATGGCTTTGAAATTCTGCTCTACTTAGAAATATGGTAGACAGTTTTGCGCGCGAGCGTTTGAATTTCTTGTTGATCAGATGCTTCAGGTGATTTTTCCCTGGCATACTGGCCAGGTGTCTCAACGGGTGTGCACGGCGTTTTTTCGACGATTCCCCACCCACAATTTCCGTAATATTTGACGTCTTTGGTGCATAAACAGAACGACGCTAACTCGCATACTCATTAAATTCGAAAATAGTTTTTTTCCTCGAATAATTTCGTTTTTTCAAAACTATAGACGTGAAAAAAATCGATCCTTTCACAATTATTTTTCTAGCTGACAAAAAACATTTGGATGAAAGTTTTTCTTATTTTCTGAACACTTTTATACCTTTCACCCTCAAAATTAGTTAAAGTCCTTTTTTTTCAGTGAAAAACGTGGAATTTTGTGCCGAAAACGACTTATTGTGGTTCTATGTGTCTTTCCCCACTTATAAAAAGTTTAGAAAAAAAGTTTTCTTCACAGATTTAGTTTAGTTCATCCACCTAGTGGTATTTTTTCTCCTCGGAAATTTTGTCAAAACCCAGCAGGTAACATTGAAAATTGAAAAAAAAAAGTTCCTTCGCATTTTGCTGTCGCAATAAAAATAATTACCGTAAATCAGAACAAAACAGATAAAGATACAACTGAAATAAACATGAAAAATCACCTGAAGCACTTGAGCAACAAGAAATTCAAATGTTCGCGCGCAAATCGTCTACCGTAAATCTAGGTGGAGCAACGTTTCGAAGCCGCTCTCCATTTTCAAAAATTTTACATTTTCTTCCACTACGCAGAACGCCGTGTGTGCCCGTATTAAAACCGTATTTATGAGGTTATTTTAGTCTCAGTTGGGCTAAAACAGGGGAAAAACGGGTGTAAGAAAAATATGTAACCCAGCTGTGCTAAAGCGGGGTTTCAGTTTGGCTAAAAATTGCCAAAAGTTCTACCAACTGTGCTTATATGGGTTTAATACGGGGGCACCCCCTGAGACCCCGTTTTAGCACGGCTGGGTTACCCTGTTCGGCATGCGGGCATGTTTGTAGGCCGTTTACGGCTGGCTTGGGACAGCAAACGGGCGGTTTAATTTTTGCGGCGAAGGTAGATCATGGCGTCTATCAATGCGCCTTCAACAAAAAGCTCATTTTATGACTTATTTCTTTTTATTTTTTATTTCGTTGATTGAAAGAAAACCTAAAAACTAATGAAATTAATGTAAACGGAAAAGTAAACTTAATTGAAACAAAAATAATTCACCAAATGAGGCTCTTATTAAAGGCGCATGTATGAGGGCCATGATCTACCATCGCCGCGCAAGTCAAACCGCCCGTTCGCTGTCCCCTCGCATGCTGAGCAGGCGTCTCAACGGGTGTACCCGTATTAAACCCGTGTTTCTGAGGTTATTTTAGTCTCAGTTGGGCTAAAACGGAGGAACAACGGGTGTAAGAAAAATATGTAACCCAGCTGGGCTAAAGCGGGGTCTCAGTTGGGCTAAAAACTGCCAAAAGTTCTATCAGCTGGGATTATACGGGTTTAATACGGGGGCACCCGCGGAGACCCCGTGTTAGCACGGCTGGGTTACCCTGCTCAGCATTCGAGCCAAGCAAGCCGTGAACGGGCTATATTTCGGTTTTATCTTTATTTTGTTGTTTCTGATCTACGGTAAATATTTTTATTGCGACGGCAAAATTCAGTGTAAAATTAATTTTTTTTTTTTTCATTACATTCTTTTTCATGTTCGCAACATCGGAATGGTATGACGATGTTGCTGTGGAGAAAAAATACTACTAGGTGGATGAACTAAACCACATCTGTAGAGAAAACTTTTTTTTTTAATTTTGGATCAAAAAACAGAACCCAAACAAGATAGTTGCGGCACAAAATTCCACGTTTTTTCTGAAAAAAGTACTTTAACTATTTTGGAGGGTGAAAAGGAATAAAAGTGTTCAAAAAGTAGGAAAAAGTTCTCACCCAAGTTTTTTCCGTCGTCAAATCAACTAGAAAATGGAACTGCGAAAGAATCAATTTTTTTCCGTCTCAGTGGCGTGGAGTTTTTATCGGACAAAACGAAAATTATTTCGAAACGCAGGAAAATTGCTCCAAAACAAAAATTAGTACTGTTTTGGAGCAACTTTGGCGCGCCGATGAACACGATTTTTCGTTTTTAAGCATGTTCCGATTCTTCGATGAACACGCCACGAGTGTAAAAAAAAACCCCCCATTTTTCGAATGCCGTGTTCAAAGCAATTTCGGCGATTTCAAAATTAACGCGTTATTTGTTTAAAATGATTTCGGAAAATAGGCAGAATTGGTATTCCGGGAACGCGCGGAAAAAGTGAGTCCTACAACGATATATCGTTTTATATGCCTTTTTACTGTAACTTCTGCGCGGGAACTCAAAATTTTGGAATTTTTTGCACGCATGTTTGAGACAGTACTACGGCGGCCGGTGGCCGGAGGCAGGAAATTTTTTCAATTTTCTTTCTTTTTTGCAATTTGTTAAGGACCTATTTCTCGAGGTTACAAGATAAGTTGCGTCACAAAAAGTACACAAAATTTCATTTTATGATTGAAAAATCTATCCAAACTACCGTAATACGACCGGCCACCTTAAACAGGCGTGTTTGGGCATTTTCTACTGAAATTTCAAATTCGCGCGTAAAACTCACCGTAAAAATGCGTATCCAACGATATATCGTTGTAGGACTCACTTTTTCCGCGCGTTTCCGGAATACCAATTCTGCCTAATTCCCGAAAACATTTTAAACGAATAACGCATCTATTTTGAAATCGCCAAAATTACTTTGAACACGACAGAAGAAAACGATTATTTTCGACTTTATAGAGTATGCGAGTTAGCGTCGTTCTGTGTATGCGCCAAAGACGTCAAATATTACGGAAATTGTGGGTGGGGCATCGTCAAAAGAACGCCTTTATTAAAATGAATGCCGAAAAAAGCTACCTTGAAAACAGCCTTTTTTGAACTTTTGCTCTATGCCCATACCGCGCCAGCTTGTCACGTTTTTCTCTCCGCGAAAGATGCTGTAAACCAAATTAGATCGAAATTGAGCATCATCTCTTCAAGACGTTTGTTTTTTGCTGTCTCAGTTTTTTAGGGCAAAGTTTCGTGTTTACGGTAGATTTTTCTTTTATTATACTGAAAAAAAACAGCAAAAAATAAAATTTGTGTAGACAGCGAAGAAGAGGGGGGAGGGCAAATTTGATCTAATTTGGTTTTCAATATTTTCCGAAAAAAAAAAACGTGACAAGCTGGCGCGGAATGGGTTATACTTAGCCGCATCGATTTTTCGGTTTGTCAGTGCTCTATCATTCACTCGTAAAGCCTTTTTAAAATTATTTCGTCGGGTAAAGATAGCATAAAATTATTTCATCGGGTAAATATAGCATAAAACTTTTTCATCCGGTAAATATAGCGAAATCCAAAAAAAGGGAGTTTTCTGAGTAAATGCGCAAAAAAATGCGTCAAATTTGTTCCTTTTGCCGTTCGCAGACACAAGTTTTATTGTTGCATACTGCCGCTTGAATTTCCAACTTAATCGAAATCAAATGTTTTTGTTTAAATTTAAATGTTTTGTAATTTTTTTCTCGAAAATTTCACACGCTTGGCTACTTGTTTGGGAGAATGAAAGAAAAAGCGAATTGGCGCGCGGTCGATTTTGTTCAAGTCGACCATTTGCCCAAACATTCCCTGTTGACGATTGTCGCGTTTTTTTTCGACTTAACTATCGATTAATTTAAAACGCGCGCCGAATTTTTAAAAGGGCAACGAGTGGTTTTGAAATCTATACTTTCTATGTATATTTTTAATGCGTTGTATCAACAAGTTAAAGCGAATTGTCACCATGTACTCATCTATAAAATCATTAGGATATCTGATCGAAAATATCCAGAACGGTTTTTTTTGCAGGGAGTTTGTTTCATGATGAATTTTTGAACTTCCTGTCTGGTTCAAAGGGTTAAATAGTCACTTTCACATTCATATACAGCTCGTAAACAGTGTTTCGCGTAAAAATGAACATAGAGAGCTATTTTTCAAGTTTTTGAAAGAAGATCGAAGACCGAAATAACAAAGCAATGGTCTATCACAAGGTTTTTCAAAAATTTACTTTTTTATAAAGCGCTGTTAATAAAACTTTTTTTATAATAGAATTCACGTTTAAATTTTCTGTTAAAAGAGCAAAAATCGTATTTCTTGATGGATATTTCTAATAATAGGGCCCGATTGCGAAAGGCTTTGCTGTATAAACTTGGCAATATTGACTATCAAATCATTTGAAACCAAAAAAAGTTGGAAAATTTAAAAAGTGAGCAGTAAACTAGGTAATGTTAAATTTAATGTATATTACTAAAAAAAACTAAAAAAAAAAGCAGAGTACGCAAGATGCGCGCGAACTTCCAGTGTCTGAGCCGTTCATTTTTTTTTCCTCCGCTGATGTTACGCTACCACTCTAAATTTAGTTTGTAGAAAGCGCCGGCAGTTCTGTTGTTTGCGCTTCCGAAACGATATTTTTTGAACTGCTCCCACTCTTTGTACGTTTTCATTATGTTACTCTGGATTTTCCTTTACTCGTGAAAACAACTCCCCAATCAACAGAGAGAAAGAGGGAGAGAGAGAACTTGTTTGGACAAGAGGCGGTTTTTTCGAATTAGCTGACAGGACTGTCGCTCGCCCTGGCTCACCACAAGTCTTTGTCTTCGTCGGCACGGCTTCCGGACGCGCTCGCCTTGTGCTTGAAGGCGCGCATGGAGGCCAAGGAGTTTGAATTCCGGCCGGCCAAGGAGATGACCCGCTCCAAGAGCCCTGGCGTAATCGGCCGTCTCAGCAACTTTGCACGCAGCAAAACGCGCCATTCTCTCACTGAGAAGACGGCCAACGGAGTCGGTGAACGACCACGAAAGGTGCACTCCATGTCTTCTACAAATGCCAAAGAAAATTTTATTAGCTCGATTTTTCTTCATTAAAAAAAATTATGATTTGCAAAAAAAATATAATGAACGAGAGCAGCACATGGTTAACACATAGATCTTCCTCAAATATATCAAAGAAACTTGAATAATAAAATTTTGCAGGACTTGCAAAAGGAATTTCAACGATGCCGTGATAACCATGATTTTCGGTTAGATTTGAGCTCGAACGAGGTTTTTTTTTGTCTCTTCCCTAGCAGTTTCAATTTTGGTTTCTCAGATAACCTCAATTCCTGCCTCAATTCGTGATTTAACACAACTGACGGAGCTGTTTTTATACAAGGTGAACTGAATTATTATTTCTCCATTAATCTACTTTCCAGAACAAGTTAACTTCGTTACCATCGGAAATCGGCAATCTAGTGAACCTAAAAAAGTTGGGCCTTTCGGAAAATTCGCTCTCATCGCTGCCCGAAAGCCTTCTTGCCTTGACACAACTCGAAACTCTCGACTTGAGACATAATAAATTAACTGAGGTTAGAATTTCTGATATTTGTTACGGATGTAGATATGCTTTCTCATCGTTGAAAGGAAAAGAACATTGAAAAAAAAATGCTAACTTTGTTTCTCCCCCTTTTTTCCTATCACATATAAGTAATTTAGAGGCCTTTAGGATTTTCTTTTTTTTTTGCATTTTCGGCGGTAGTTTATTACTTTTTAAACGTTTTCAACAATTTTGAAATTTCTTAAATCTTCCATTGTTGTGTCCGAAGGTGGCAAGTGAAGACGTTGTAGTAGAATTTATTAGTAACAAGAAACTAGACTATACTAGACTATTTACAATAACAAACAAGGGGTTATATAGTGCTGAGGGAAGATGCTCCAACATCCATAGAAGGCTTTTTTTTGATTTTCAGCTTTTTTGTACGCGTATTTTTCTCTCCATACCCAGAAATAACAGGTTGTATGAAAAAAAAAACCAGCGAATTTTCAAACGGCGACTTTTTTCATATCGCTAGGGAACTTTCCGACGAATCTTTTTCCGACTTTTTTTTTCTCGAAAAACTCTTCGTTTTGAATCTTCCTATAAGACGTAGGTAGTTGATTCATGATTATAACAAAAAGAAATAGGAAACAAAACGAAAATAGATATTTTATAAACCGAAGAACATAAGAGAAAAAAGTCGGAAAAGCGTTAGTCGGAAACTTCGCAGTTAGAAAGTTCCCTAGTATAGTTTCGAAATTTGACCGTTCAATCAATATTCTTTCAACACGTCATAATAAATGGTCATTGGTCTAACGGTGGATTTTCAACATTTCAGCATGTCACTTCAGAGTGACACTTTGGTTTTTGACCGTTCAAAATGTCACTTCGAAAATGGTCGATCAGTTTTTGACCGTTCGAAAGGTCACTCTTAAAATGGTCGGTCGCTTTCGTAAATTTCAGAAACTGGTCGGTCAACGGTCTAATTGGTCGAACTTTCAAATTTTAGAACACTATTCCCTGGCTATATGAAAAAATCGGAAGTCGCCGTTCAAAAATTCGCTGGATTTTTTTTTCATATCACCAAATAACAAACATATCATTTGCATTTTAGCATGAAACCCTGTTAAATCTTGTTTTTTAACTTTTGGTTTTTATTTTCGACAGTAGTACAGAAGAAAAGTAATTAATTTGGAATATGCTTGCTTGTGCGGAAAGACGAGAGAATTGCAAAAAGAAAAAAAAAATTGCAATCATACACGGGATAGTCTCGGGGTCGGACCTGAAAAGGGGGAGGGAACTTGGCAAAAAATCGAGAAAGGGGGGGGGGATCGGAAAAAAAAACGGTTTTCATTTTCGGATTCAGCACCACGCGCGCCAGCTTCGGGTATCAAGTCACTCTCTGCAGACTATTCTCCCACTAGTTGACATATAAAAGTCGAACTAGACTAATTCGATGGCGCTGAATCTGAAAAATAACAACGAGTATAAGATACAAAATATAATAATTGCTCATTTTTCAATTGATTGGCAGATGCGATTTTTTTTTCTTAGTTAAAATTATTGAAAAAAAAGGCTGTCGCCAGTCATGCTCCTCCCATGCATGATTTCAATTTTTCTCAGATACCGCCCGTGATTTTTCAAATCGAATCTCTGGAGACACTATGGCTGCGCTACAATCGCCTCGTTTCTGTCGGCGAGAACATTGGAAACCTGAAAAAGTGAAATTTTTAGATTTTTTTATTCGAGTTTAACAAATACTTGTAGATTGAAAATGCTGGACATTCGAGAGAACAAAATTCGAGATTTGCCGATGACCATCGGAAAACTGAGGTCTTTGGTTGTTTGCCTTGTGTCCTACAATCACCTCTCCCATATGCCGGAAGGTCAGGCTAACAACATTTCTATCTTGAAAATTATCTTTTCTTGTCGGTCTTTGAAACATGCAGACGGTCGTCTGCCAAATCCTATTTATGAGACTATTCAGTTACTTTGAGTGTGAAATCTTTCCCTTTTCTGCAAAATCCGATCAAAAGGGGCATTCACATGTAATTTCAAGCATACGTTGGAAACTGGAGGACAGTTTGCTTATTTTTTTTTTTATTAAAATGGAGTGGGACATTAGTTAGAAAATTATTTTCAACGGGCTATAAAAAAAATTAAATTTAAAAATTACTTATCTGAGAATGTTTGATAAGTTTTTAGAAATCGGCGAATGCACGTCGCTAACCCAGCTCGATCTGCAACACAACGACCTGACCGATTTGCCAAACTCTCTGGGAGATTTGAAGAACTTGATTCGCATTGGGATCAGGTCTGTAGACTTTGAACCGAATCGGATAAGACTAACTTTCTAGATACAACAAATTACGCTCATTGCCTCCGTCCTTGGAAAACTGCACGCAGCTGGAAGAATTTATCGTTGAAGGCAATCATTTGCAGAGCCTGCCGGTCGGTATTTTTTTTTTTTTTTTTGGTATTTCTGAGAGAGGAAGCTGTTTGAATGAAAATGAGAAATGATGTGTGAACCACAGTTATAGGTAGCCCATTCAGCGCTAGCTCCTCAAGATTTTCGTTTTTTTTTTTCTGAGTTAGAGAACCTCTCGATGCGCGCGATATTTGTCTCTGCCTGCGCCTTTGATATAACGGAAATTTTCGGCCGGGTTGTAAAAAGTTTCTTTTTAGTTGCCTCTTTTTTCATGGGCTCTTATGCATCATTTTTTTTTTTTCGCTTCTCCTTTGTTCCGCCATTTTTTTGAGCCTTAAAAGTTCTAAACAAAAAAAAACTTTGAACTTGAGCCTAACGAAAATACATTGGCAAAGTCGGAAAGGGTAGAAAAAGGCTTCATAGAAATGTTCTTTATTGGCTCTTATGAATCATTTTAGCTGCCTCTCCCTTTTTCCACCATTTCTTGAGCCTTCAAAATCTTAGAAAAAATATAAAAGACTCGATATAGGGATCACTTTTGCTGCCTTTCTGCGGAACTTTTTGAGCCTCTCCTTTTTAGCGGTCATTATCCACCATTCTGATTTCGCCCGCGTAGTATGCTGTTGGATAGCACCGGGAGCAGAGATGGGCGAAACTGAATTTTTAAATTGCGGAAGGCTAAACCATAAACTTTTCTGCGGAATACGGAAAACCGCACTTACGCAAAAAATTTATCTATTTTTCGACATTTAGCGAGCGGGTGAAAACAAATTATTAAACTGTGAAAAGATCAAAAGGTATCAAAGATTTTTGAGAAATCGAAACCGCGGAAATTAAAATTATGCTGGAAATTTTTTTCTTTTTTTCGCGCAACGCGGAATTCCGTCCATCTCTTACCAGGAGCTATTTCACGCCGTCTTTTATTTATCGATTTCCTGTGTGGAGATAACTTGATCGTTTCTCAAACACCTGGTATCAGTAAACTATTAAGGATGCGATGTTGACCATGCTTCCCAAACTGCACACGGTAAACTTGTCACGGAACGAACTAACCGCTTTCCCTACAGGTGGTCCTCAGCAGTTCTCTTCAGCCGTGGTTTGTTTTTTTTTTAGAATTTTCTTTCTTCAGTTTTTTATTTCATTAAAAACGACAAAATTTTGGTCTTCATTTTCAGACGATCAATGTGGAACACAATCAAATCAGCAAAATACCGATCGGTATTTTTTCCAAAGCGACGGGGCTCAACAAGTTGAACCTGAAGGAAAAACGAACTTTCCTCGTTACCACTAGGTCTCAACTTGGACTTTTTTTTTTCTTTTTATTATCATAATCGCTCTTTTTCCATTCGAATTAGAGAAACGGCACGAAATTTCTTCTTTTTAGTTGAGTTTTATCCCATCGAAATCAGCATAGAATCTATAAAGAAACTTAAGGAAGTTTTTTGACTTTTTTTTTATTTAAAAGGTGAAGAAGTGAGTTCATATTTCTAGTCGGGTGAAATAATGCATATCCTTTTTATTTTTCTGTTCAACACTTGCGAGAAAAAAGTTTCTGAAAGGCTGTTCCCATTAGGGAGAAAGGGTGTCTTTTGTACCGTTTGATATATAATTTGCATCATTTTACCCCCTTTTTTATAAAAAAAATCACAAAATTTCGTACCGGAAATTCCGTTCTCGGAGCTAATTTTGGCAAACTTTGAATAAATGAAACTACGGCTGAATTTCTTTTGTGTTATTTTTAAGGTTTTGACAGGAGACTTCATTTGTTCAGTCAGCGTAAGCAACTTATTGAGTACTTTCCTAGAGGCGAAAAGACGTTCTTGCAACTGTAATGATTTTTCTTTTCCTTTTTTTTTCATCGGTTTAATGAATGTAAAACATGCATTTCTTTCTAGCCAACATATGATGATGATATTTATCGAAAAAAAGAGCAAGTTCCAGACATGGGATCATGGACGTCAGTAACGGAACTGAACTTGTCGACGAATCAATTGAAAGTTCTACCCGAAGACATTGAAAAGCTTGTTTGTTTCAATTACCTTTCTTTAGCCAACTGCATACGGCGTTTCACATTCGTTTTTTTTTGCTCTGGAAAAAAAACGCCTTTTGCTTTCCAGTCGAGTTATAAACCCTCCGAGATACGAACAGCTTTTCTTTTACCCACTTATGGTAAAGTAGGAAGCTTTGTATAAATCGGCTGGAAGAAAATAAATGTAAAACTTTTTGAAGTCAACAACGAATTTCTTTAATTTCAGGTGAATCTAGAGATTCTGGTATTGTCGAACAACCAGTTGAAGAGGTTACCATCGCAAATAGGCAACCTGAAAAAATTACGTGAGCTCGACCTCGAGGAGAACGATTTGGAATCGATTCCCAGCGAAATCGGCTTTCTTCAAGTCCTCACCAAGCTCTGGCTCCAGTCCAACAAGCTTTCCTCTCTCCCGCGCTCTATCGGCAACCTCTCGGCCTTGCAAGATTTGCGTGTCGGCGAGAACAATCTCTCAGTGATTCCCGAAGAAATTGGTGAGATTCACTTCATATTTTCAACTTAAAGGCATAGGGGCAGTAAAAGATGGGGTTTCAGGTGAAAGCAGTATCTTATACAGTAATTCTTTTTTGCGAATCGAATGGTGTACTCAAAATAATTACAGATGTGACAACTTTAGAAGAAAAACGCTGTTTTACTTTCCGGCCATTAATTTTGAAAAAAGCTTTGGGTCGGTATGCAGACAACTGTTTACAGTAGCGGTGCACGCGATGTTGCAGACGTCCCACTAAACTCGCATTTTGTGAAAAATAACAGGATTTATGCTTCAAATTAAGGGTTTCCTTTCTGAAAAACAAACATTTAGTCAAACAAAAAACAAACACCGATAATAAAGAAAACACAAAATATCGCTATCTCAATCGAAACCTGTGTAAAGCCATCATTTTTCATCAGAGAAGCATTTTTGCGTTCAAATTTGCAAATTTACCATGAATAGAAAGCTTTTATGACAAAAAGAACTTTGGGAAATAGCCGTTAGAGAAAGGAAAAGATCACTAAAATTTGAAGAGTCAGAAATCATTTTGCATTTCGCGGAATCAAATTGAACACGGCATAGAGAAACTTTACTGCAAAGCGCCCTTTTCGCGGGAACTCAAACTTTCCTCTCTCCGACTTTGAACTATTTTTTTTTCCAAAACTAGGTAGTTCTTTACGTTTCCAAGTTCATCGTTCTATTTGCAATGAAAAGCTCTACAAAGTACTGCTTTGAACTGAAGCACCGTTTTTTACTGCCCCTATGCCTTTAACACGAGACTTTTCGGATGTTTCTACTCACTGAGTTTTTTGTTCTACTGGAATACATCGAATAATTTTCGTTTTAGGCAGATTAATCGTTTAGAAAGGGGAAAACCTAAGCCTTTAAAAACCTAGAAAAAATGAAAGACTCGATAAAGGGACTCATTTTGCTGCCTTTCTGCGGCCTTTTTTGAGCCTCTCCCTTTTACCGGCCATTATCCACCATTCCGACTTTACCCGATTATTTTGAATGAATTAGACTTTTGAATTATTTTGTTCAACACGATTCCTAATGATGATTTGAAAACAAAAGCCACGTAGATTATGAAAAATTGAACTTCAAATAAGTTCATAAAAAATTTTTTGCGTAAAATCTTCCCTATGTGTGATCACTTTCACGAATTCGAAGAAATTATTAAGTTCAATGTAACGTCGCCTTCCATTCAAATCTTTGCAGGTCATCTGGACGCGCTCAAATCGCTTTACCTCAACGACAACGCTTCGCTGCACAGCTTACCATTCGAATTGGCACTTTGCACGTCGCTCGAGATAATGTCGATTGAGAACTCTCCGCTATCGCAGATTCCTCCGGAAATCACCGCTGGAGGCCCAAGCCTCGTAATTCAGGTTCGGCGTTGATCAAATTGATAGTCTGGTAAATAGTTTTCCGGCTGGAGTGTGTAAATGCCCAGAGCGCAAGTGGAAATCTTGTCGCAGTGAAACTTGAGATGGTACGAAAAAATCACAAGTCCGCAAATCTTGAAGGTCGTAAGTCTGTGTGCGCAAATCTCGAAGCTCATAATCTTGGAAACCACAAAACGATTTGGAAAAAAAATCATCGCTTTGGCGAATAGATTCTATCAGGAATAGTGTTCGTTGATCAAAAAAAAAAAATAATATAAGAGAAAGTGCAAAAAAAAAAACGCAAATGGGAGCTTTTTGCTTTCCAAGATTATGGGCTATGAGACCTGCGTACGCAGGCCTCAAGATTTGCGGACTTGAGATTTTGTCGTACCATCAAACCTGTCGTTTTTGGTGTATATTTACGATAGATTAACTTAGTTTGGGGCTTCGGAGCGAAAACAACTTTAAAACGTTGATTTGCGAAATAGGATATGATATCAAAAAATACGCGCGTGTGATGTGTTCAAAGAGATTTCCTGAAAATCAAAACATCTATCAGAGAGTAAGAAAGATAACTCAATTTTGGAGAGTCAGAAAGGTTTAGAACTTCGCGGAAATTACTTTGAACATCACATAAAGCGGAAAATTGATTCGGTGTAGGTTTTCTTGTAAGGTGGGAGGTATAAAAAAGTCATTGTTGAATGACTATTTAAAAAAAATATTGAAACAAGTTTCGATAGCATCGGTTCGATGGTCGCAAAACTGCGTGTGACGTTATCACGTGTCTGCGTACTGCTCGCAAAAAACGCGATTGCAAACTTTTTCCCGCTTCAAAGTAATTCCGTCGATTTCGAAACTGACGCGGTATTCGTTTAAAATGATTTTGCGCAACATAGTCCGTTCAGATTTTGAATTCAAGCGTCGCACAAGCCCTTGGCGCGATGAACCCATCAGAGAGCGAGGCATATACAGAGCGTTTTCGAACGATGTCATCCAATATTGTGGACTATATCGCAGCGAGAGTTATGCTATACTGCGGCTCCACCGCGAGCAATATCTCGGACCTTGGTAACTCGAACGGGACGTGTCCGGGAATTTCTAGTGACTACTTTAGTAACTTCACCGCTTTCAAGTGATCCCTATAATTGCTCAGAAACGTCCGGAGCACGTCCGTTTCGCGTTACAAATGTCCGAGATCGCTCGTCTCTCGCTGCTACCTCGCAAACGCGCTTTATCGCTCTCTGAAAAATTTCCCTTCAAAATAATTTTTTATTTCAATCTGCTTCATCATAAAAGTCAAAAATAAAGCAAAAAAATTGTTTTTAAATTCAAAGTACCTGAGAGGTAGCGATATGGCAGCGAGGCTTTGACGAGGTCGCAGCAAGAAGCTTTGGCTATATCGCCTGCGGCCCGCTGCGATATAGGCAATTACGTTGGGTGGTTATTGAACTTGACGATCAAAATCTGAAAATTTTCTTCACAGAAGAAATTCAGTGTGCACACTGTACATAAGATCGTTTTTTTTTAGTATCTCAAGATGCAGGGTCCGTATCGGGGCATCGTTCTTGCCCAGTAACTTTCTGTTCTCGTTTGATTTACTTAACTCTTGTTGTTCTCCTTGTTCTCCAAGCGCCTCAATAATTTCAATATTCTTCTCAACACATGGGTTTTTTTTTCGAAACTTTTTTCCTAACGCCCGCATAAAACTCAGATAATTTCTTGAAATTGATTTTACTATTGCCTCTTTTTATTCCGTTCAGAAAAAGCTGGTTGTCTTCTCTAATTTTTCTTTTACTAATGATTTTTATAGCGAAGTATAACATTCAATGTTGGTTATGAGAAACCCGTCATACGGGTAGCCGCCTCTGCTGTCTATTTTTTTCCAAGTTTACATGTAAGTATATTTTTATTTTCTAATAACTCTCATCTACAAATTAGTTACAATGCATTCAAGAGTTCTCCGACACGAAAGGAGAGTTTACGCAAATGTTAAAAACTTCATTCATCCCTTGCTTTTCAGTGAAATAAAAATACTTTCAAATTTGTGAATAGGAAGTGTCTAAACAAGAACGCAAAACTATAGCAAAAGGAAATTCAAATGGATGGTTTTTTGAGAAGCGTGTTCACTCAATTGGCTATCAAATGTTATCATACACATCTAACAACCTTTTTTTCCGATGTCATTTTAATAATGATTCACTTGTCTAAAATAAATTTTTTACACATTACACACTTGACTTTTTTAACATTACAAAGTAAAATGGTATTTATGCATGCTTTTTTTTAGAGCAGAAGACCGGTTTTTTCGGTGGAAGAATCGAGGCGTACGTCGCAGTTGCGTTTGCTACTGAAGCGATTCATTCTCTTTTTGGTGCCGTTTTAAAAATTGAAACGATACACGTTTAATTTGAAAACGCGAAATCCACAAAATTAACTTTTTGAGAGATCATGGAATGACGTGCCCGTTTAGCTTACGCACGTGAGTCCTACGTAGTTTCGATTAAATCGATTTTTGCAGCTTTCTCATATATCTACGGCGCTTCAAACGTTCAGTGATCGTAATGGACATTAGTGGCCGTAAAAAAAGGTTGGCCCGTAGATGCGCGCTAACGAAACAGATTGTGATTACGTGGATGACATGATTTTGAAACTGGTATTTTATTATTTTTTTTTCCAATATTTTTTTCCATAATTCAAGGCAAAGGTGGAAGAAATGAGGGGCACTCCCGGGCGCAAGATGCCTGACTTATGCCGCGTTCAAAGCTAATTTGACGCGCGTAGAAAGTTCTTCTGATTCAAAAGCACGAGCCGAAACGCAGCAGATTCCCACGACGTGATTGGTTGCCACTCCCAGGTGCCAAGAAAAATATTTTGAAAATAAATGTATAATGGTCGTTTGAAAAAAAGGCGGAGCCAACCAATCATATCGTGGGAACCTGCTGCGTTTCGGCTCGTGTTTTTTTTTTTTGGAGCAACTTTGAACACGATTTTTCGTTTTGTTCCGTTTCTTCGATGAACACGCCACTAGTGTTGAAAAAAACCCCATGTTTCGAATGCCATGTTCAAAATAATTTCGGCAAGCGCCGGTAATTATCATCCATTATATGTGAACACGATGGTAGGACGAAAAATTTGATCCGCAAAAATACGTCGCGTGAAAATTGCGACCACATAACCTATGAGCCACGAAAATTTTAAGCCTTAAAAATGTAGTTCATTTAAATTAGAAATTACTTGCATATAAGGCTTTCAATTTCTGTATTTTCTGTTTTTCTTCGTTCTGGTCTTCTTCAAACTTCTGCTCTAGTACTGATTCTAATTTCTGCATTGAGTGATCCCGGCGTTTTGAAACCTAATTTCGAGTTTTAACTATTTTCCTTCTGTTTTCCCAATTAATTTGTGCTATGAATCATTATAGTTCAAAATCTGTCAACTAAATACGTTTTCCATGTTTATAACAAAAAATGTCAGACTTCTTATTGATGATGATGATTGAAATTTCTAGAAACCTACTGAAAACAGTGGCTCTAGCTCTGGAATTAATCAATATCAAGAATGAAGGGAAAAAAATTGAAAAAAAGGAAAAGAAAGAAATTCAAAAAGTCATCATCTGAGCAATTTTAAAATTTATGAAAAAATTTTGAAGGCTTAAAATTTTTCGGGTCCGACGTTACCAACATGTTTGATTTTTCAGACTGAAAGTATAACCATTCGATTCGTCTCGTCGAGATACGTACGAATATCATAAAAATTATTCGGCGCTGACCACTTAGAAAAAAATTTAAGATGAACTTTATTAGTTTTCGATCAAGTGATTATTCTGAGAAATTTGCTTTTTTTTTTCATGCATTACTTAAGAAAATAGGCTTAGTTTTAAGGCTTCACACGGAGGCGGAGCGCGCATAGCCGACTGTGGCTCGCTTCGAAAAAACTGAGCCACAGTGAAAAATTCATCAAAAAAAAAATGAAATAATTGACATAAAAAGCATGTAGTTTCAAAACGTGGACACTAAAAACACTATCAGGTAGCTCTGGACGATTTGCAAACTTGATACGCGTAGCGAAAAAATCTGTAAAATGTATTTCCCAAAAAAAAAAGAAAGAAAAAATATTAAAGGAGCATACTGTGCGTAAGCGTGGGCTTCGACGCGGTCGGTTATTTTTTTCTGTGATTTCTCATTTTTCTTTTTTTGAATTGTTTTTTTTTTTTTTTAAATAATTTTTCATATTTTTTTCCTATTTTAAAAAGATTTTTTTCTTCTCATGGCGCAGTAGCGATAGTTGAATTGAATCAGCGTCAAAAAATGCAGCGAAATTTTTTAAATTTTTGGAGTTTTTTTTCTGGTTTTTGCACACCATAAAGTTATTTCTTCTTACTAGCGCCAAATAATTTTATGATATTCGTACGTATCTCAATGAGAAGAATCGAATGGTTATACTTTCATGCTGAAAATCAAACATGTTGGTAACGTCGGATTATTCCAATTTTCGTGGCTCATAGGTTATGTGGTCGTAATTTTCACGCGACGAATTTTTGCGGATCAATTTTTTCGTCCTACCATCCTTTTGGCAACAAACACGCGCCGTCAGTGCCTGAGTAGTCAAAAGAACGCCTTGATTAAAATAAATGCCGAAAAAGGCTACCTTGAAAACAGCCTTTTTTTGAACTTTTGCTAGTCATCAGAACAAAGACCAGTTGTAATCGACGACAACCTCGGCAACTTAGGAACAGCTTTTTTTTTCAGACGTGCTCGATTTAATTATTTGCATTTCTTCTTCATTATTTTCTTCCTGGTGAAAATTCTTGCGAACTGCAAAATCAAAATCAAACAAATTAGTTAACGAATTTATCAACGATAGAAAAGTCTTAAATGGGGTTGTTGACCCATTTAGTCAAAGGACCGTGCTCACGCTGAAGCTGAACGTTGACTCCATCGGGGCGCAGCCGTCCTTCTGCACGCATACGCTCGTAGTCCGCCTTGTTCCACTTTGTGAATCCCCACTTGCGAGAAATGACGATGAGCTGACGACCAGGGAACTTGAACTTGGCACGTCGGAATGCCTCAATGGCGTGCTTGACGTTCTAAACCATTCTTTTCGTAAATAAAATTCTAGGACACATACAGCTTCCTTGATCCGCATGGAGAAAAGAATGTCGCCGATGTCAACACGTGCGACCAGACCTTGCGGCTTTCCATAAGCTCCGCGCATACCGGTTTGCAAACGATCAGCTCCGGCGCAGGAAAGCATTTTGTTGATGCGAGTGACGTGGAAGGGGTGTTTACGAACACGGAGATGGAAGCCATCCTAACAAGAGGCAATCAACGTGATTCTTCATAGACAATCGACTTGGTTCAAACCTTTCCGCAATTTTTCACCATGTACTTGTTAGCACAAATTCGAGCAGCTTCGAGAGCTTCTGAAGAGAGATGTTCTCGCTCGTTGGACATCATGTGAACGCATGCTGGGAATTCGTCAACATTTGCCTGTAATCATATTATCTTAACACACGGGAACAGTTTTTCTTGTTCATAAGTACGAGCTAAATCGCACTTTCAACACAGCATAGCGCCGCGTTTAAAGCTAATACTCCCGCGTAGCAAAATTATTTTTTTCTTGTTTAAAAACATGAGTTGGATTGTAGCAGATTCCTACAGCGTGGTTTAGCGCATAAAAACCAGCTTTTATGCCGTGTCCAAAATGATTTCCGCAAAAAATCTTTTTCATCATCTGAAGGCTAATTAAAATTCAGCGAAATCTCTTTGAACACGGGATTTGAATTTTAAAAAAAACCCTTTTCTTTCCCAAATCGAAGATTCGAATTTTAGGATCAGGAACACCACGACAGAAGCGCGATTTCGGATACGGCTTATTTTTGATGTAGCGATAGCAACGCGCTGGACGTCTACCCATTTCTGAAAAGTCTTTGTAATCAAAAAATCTTGGAAAAATTGTAATCAAAAAATCTTTTTTTCGAGTTACGAAATACGAAAAAAAAATATAGTTTTCCGCAAGAGACGACCCCGTAGCTAGTATGGAAAAAAAATCATGAAAAACTGGCGCGGAACATGCTATATCACGCATGTTCAAGGCGGCCGGCCGTATTACGGTAGTCAAGCTAGGCTGTTCGGTAATAAAATGAAAACCTGTGTACTTTTTGTGACTTAACTTATCTTGTAACCTCGAGAAATAGGTCCTTAACAAACTGCAAGAAAGAAAAAATTTCCTGGTTCCGCAACTGACGGCGCAATACTGACCGGCCACCGTAGCACTGTCTTAAACATGCGCGATATAAACATATTTCTCATACATTACGAAATCTCGTTTGTGGCTACAATGTAAAAATGTTGAAAATAGTAAATAGGTAGATGAATTTCATTCACATTATATAAACATGAAACTTGAATGGAAAGAACTACTTTTGGAAAAATAAAACATTTCAATAGTTTTATCAAAAGAGAATAAATTGAGTGAAACAGGAAAACATCCGTCAGCTTGACAACGTGAACTTTGAAAAAAAAAAATGATGATTACGAAATTATTAAAGTTATCGATCGATTTCAGTGTTTTTCTGAATTAACTTCTAATTCCATCTCTTTCGATGTTCGCTAACTACGATTTCGAATGTTAGAAAAGCCTGGAATTTTTTGTGGCGTGTTCATCGGACAAAACGGAAATTGCTTCGAAACAAAAATTGCTCCAAAACTAAAATCAGTACTGTTTTGGAACAAATTTGGCGCGCCGATGAACACGATTTCTCGTTTTGAAGCATGTTCCGTTTCTCCGATGAACACGCCATTAAACAGTATAATCTGAGGCTTATTGAAACAAAAAGCATAAAATCGAAAAGAATTTTTAGGACAAACTGGCGGAATTGGGCAAGTCCTAAATCTCACTATTCTGCATTGCGGGAAACACACCCCCATTTTTACAGTATACCAAAGTCGAAAAAAAAATTGCCATTTCGAAATCATATTTGTTTTTTCCCTTTTCAAAGTGTTTTTGACGGTTTAGAGATTGACGCGTGTTTATTTTACAATGATTTTTGGAAAAAAAAAAAGCATAAATGAAACTTAAAATTGAGTCTTACAACGAGTTAGCGACGTTTACAAGGGAAACTTTCGAGTTTCAGAAATATAGCGGAAGAGTGTTTTTGAATGATTTCATTGCACTTGACATAAAAAATCTGAACAGACTATACTTTGGTACCGAAAATCGTAGGTGCGCTGTAGATACGGCCGAAATTGCTTTGAATCCGGCATTTATTTTCAGTTTTCTTTCTGCGTTGGTGCCAGTTGCACTCCAGCTTTGAAAAATGTAGGAATTTTGGTTCTGAAAAATGACTGTGAAATTCGAATAGGAAGATGTATTTTCAATTGGATTTGATACTAAAAGTGAAATTGAAAACACTTCTCCCATTCAATGTTGTTGCTCGAGTTCCTAATGAAGTTGACTTTTTTTCGTTACTTTTTTCAAAACTTTTAAATATTTCTTTACAGATATAAAACGTGAATACCACGTTTTCGTCTGATGGGACTGTCGGAAATTTCGGTACGGTGGCTTTTGAATGTTCTTAGATTCCATTTGCCATTTTTAGATTGTTCCTCTTGGCGCAGGTCAAGATGTCGGGCGATCATGTATACTTGTTTCGATTGGATCAAAAAATGTGATGCTCGACTGCGGGATGCATATGGGGTTTCAGGACGAACGTCGGTTTCCAGATTTTTCGTGAGTATCGCACCCTAAAACATCGTCAACCCGTAATCTATCAGATTTATATCTGGAAAAAGCCGCTTGACAGATTTTCTCGATTGTGTCATTATCTCTCACTTTCATTTGGACCACTGTGGGTCTCTACCACACATGAGCGAAATCGTCGGCTACGATGGTCCCATATATATGACTTATCCAACAAAGGCAATCGTCCCCGTTCTACTAGTAAGAAAAATAAAACCAAGCATGGTGTTGACATTTATTATTTAGGAAGACTATCGGAAAGTTCAAACTGAATTCAAAGGGGAGACGGATTTTTTCACTTCAGAAAACATCAAAAGCTGTATGAAGAAGGTCGGCTACTGTTTCTTTCCCCATTTCTGAAGTTTTCAAGATGCAAACATACATAGGCAAGTATAGAACTCAATTTTTTTAGGGCGAATTGTTAGCTTACAAAAATTGACCAAAACACCGAGTAAAAATTATTTTTAAGCTCCGGGAGATAGTGTTGGCAATAAAAAACAACCTTTACTTTAACTTCGAAGTACCTGGGAGGAAGGGTTGGCGACCTACAAAAAGGTCTACCCATGTATGGATGCAAATGTTGCTAAAGTGCGCTGAGAGTGTTTTGATAAAGTATTTACACAATTATTCAGTCTATAGAGCACGGCGTTTTAAGAAAAGTTTAGGGGACCCAATAGGGATTCGGTTATTTCAGGGCCATGATAGGGAGTAAAATAGGGGCTCCGGAACATACCTTGAATGACCTTAACTATTCGGGACCCTAGAAGGGGTAAATTAAAAATTTTTTTAAGGGACGTTGTTTGAAAGAGTTAACTCTTCAATTAGAACAATTGATTTCGAAAAATCAAAAAAACAAGGAATTCCTTCACATTTTTTTCTGTCGCAACGAAAAAAAGATTTACCTTGGATCAGTAACAAACACAATAAAAAAATATAATTGAAATAAACATTTAAAAAAATTCAACTGAAGCATTCGAGCAACAATAAATTCAAATCCTCCAGCGCAAATTTTTCTACCGTATATCTAGGTGAATCAACCTTCCAAAGCCATTCCGCATTTTCAAAATTTATACATTTTCTTCCACTACGCAGAACGCCATGAGATAAGAGTCTCTGCTGAATCATGGAATAATAGAAGAGTTGTTTTTGGTTCTTGAAACTGTCGTTGGTCAAGAACGGCACCTAGAGTATCTCACTCTTCTTGTGATAAATGTAGGCGAGTTTGAGTTTTCCGAAAATAAGTGCTTCCCCGTATAGGAACGGTACGGCGCTCAGCTTGTCCAGGGCTGGCCAGCGTCGGATTTAATCTCAGATGAGAGCGTTAATGAAGACCGACCACTCGGAAGGTTGAAATTAGATCAATAAAGTGTGAGGTGTTTCAAAACTTTTGCTGTCAAGTCTTCAATAAAACCAGAAAACGGAGAGATAGATGTCATCGTGACATAAAAAGACTGTTGCATTTTCAAAAGTTACTCGGAGCGCTCCATGAGACCGGGGCTCTATTGAAAACCAGTATCATAAGAGACAGAAGCTTTTTATCAAAATTGGTCATCATTTTTATTAGGCGATTGCTGTGAATTTGCACGAGACCATCGAAGTGGACGATGAGCTGAGTATTCGAGCTTTTTATGCGGGTCACGTTCTCGGAGCTGCCATGTTTGAGATTCGCGTTGGAGACCAGAGCGTTTTGTATACAGGTAAATTGCTACTGAGGCTATATCATTGATAAACCGTCGTTAGCTTTGGTTAACTAGCTACCTGGGTTGTTAAAAATTTTGTCACCCGTTTTTCGCAATTTCTTTCCTAATCCATGTTCCGTAATCTTCAAAAAGTTTTTTTTTCCTTAACCCGTGTTCCGTTTTCCTTTTAAAAAAATTTTTCTTCAACTCTTACTTTAAACATTTTCATTGATAAAAAATTGCGGTGCGTTTTTGCTATCGTAAGGGATTTGTATAGAAACTCATTTTGCCTATGTAATCTGTAGCCAACTATTTTCTCAATTTCAATATCGAAGTATTACAGTATTCAATCGACATTGAACGAGTCAGAGCGACTCTTCTTTGTCTCGGGGCTGATTAGCTAGCCTTTGCGAAAAGCCTTTAAGCTCCTCGACACGTTGAAATCTAACAAAATTTACTTAGATGCTTATGAAAGTTTGCTATGATTTGAGTTGGCTAAAAATTTCGAAATCACAGGTTATTTTTCGTTTAGAAATTGTTTCACGTTACTCTTAAAAAAATTTTTCTTTGATATAATTTTTTTTGACAACGTTGGTTTTATTTTTCAGTTCCTAATACGAAAATATTTCCTCTTCTTTAACCCGTGTTCCGTCTTCCTTTAAAATGTTTTTGTTTTACTGCTGGCTACCCAGCATACACAGGACTACCTTGTAGCAAGTTAGTTGATAAAAAACCACCGATTAGCCTACTTCAAAATCTCGATTGACCTATGATGTCGAGTTTGCGCAGTCTTAATTCAAAAAAATAGTGTTCAAAATAAATATTTTAGGGGATTACAACATGACTCCCGACCGACATCTTGGCGCGGCTCGTGTATTGCCCGATGTGAGGCCTACAGTTTTGATTTCGGAGTCGACGTATGCGACCACTATCCGAGATTCGAAGAGAGCTCGTGAAAGGGATTTCCTTCGAAAAGTCCATGAAAAAGTCATGGCTGGTGGGAAGGTTTGTACTTAAATGATCACTCAACTTTTATTATCTGTTTTTCTCGCCGAGCAATCAGGCTTCAAGTTATTTTCATTTCTGGTTTTTTTTTTCAAGGTAGCATCAGAAAACTAGTTATTTTTCATACGAATATGGTTTTCACATTTTCACTCATCCAAAGTATAAAAAAATGACACTGTAAATTCTCCTAAAGAATTATGAAAATTTATATCGACTGAGTCAAATATTGACGCGCATAACCAAAAAATTACCATTATCAGTTTGTATTAGTGAGACATGCATAAACTAGAAAGCTTCGGTACTCAAAGTTCAGCACGTTCACTAGACTGTAATTTTGATGATATCCAGTTATCGAGCAGTTTTTCATGAGATTAAATGGAAAAAATGGAAATGCCTTCCTTGTTAGTACATAAACATCGAAAATTGGGAATTTTTTTTTGATTTTTGCTCGCAACTTTGTCAAAAAAAAAATAATAATGTTGACCTTAAATTTCAACCAACAAGGCGTCTGCGAAAAGATATCATAATTACACATCAGTTCATATATGGCTATTATTGGTGTCCATCTCCATTCAAATTACAAACTATATCAAATAGACAGAAACCAACTGAGAGGCAACGGCCTTAAACTCGAACCACCACCAATCCATCATGTTCACTATAACTTTATTACGCAACGCGTGTATAAATACTGGAACGGCTTAAACAGAGTTATGGTTTTTTTGATGATGAACAAAGAAGATTTAAAAAGTTGTTTGAAAAAAATTGGTTTTTGATAAAGGAAGCTGCAAATATCACAAAAATGATTCAACTCGTTTATAGATTAATTTTTCTTTTTTTGATTCTCTTCGATTTCGACCTAAAAATATTTTTTTAGATTAAAGTGGAACTTTATCGAAGTGGAGGCAAATATAACTTTCATGGTTCTCTTCCTCCACGCCACAGATCTGTCTGTGAGCGAAATAAACATTTCATTCATTCATTCATTCAATTAAGTAAAATGATGTTTTTGACGATGTTAAATGATGGTTTGAGCCGATTCTAAAAAGAAATTTTATTTTTTTTTTCGATTCGATAAGAACCTTGCATCTTCGAGGCAGTGACCCGATAAGTAAGTCCAAAAAGCTCATTGGGATCTTCTTCCAAACTTCTTCGAAATTTCAGTTCAAAAAATCGTTTTAACGAAGTTACAAAACAAAAATATACTCGCCTATTTTCGCTACTATCTATATATTTTTGAGCATTATGAATATTTGGGTTTATTTTCAGGTCATCATCCCTGTGTTTGCATTAGGAAGGGCTCAGGAGCTTTGCATTCTACTCGAATCCTATTGGGAACGTATGAATTTGAACATTCCGATTTTTTTCTCACAGGGGCTAGCCGAGCGAGCAAACCAAGTATTTTGAACCCATCGCAAAACAGTTGTCTCATCAAATTTTGTGCCAGTATTATCGTCTCTTCATCAATTGGACCAACGAAAACATCAAAAAAACGTTCGTCGCACGCAACATGTTCGACTTCAAACATATACGTCCCATGGAAAAAGGGGCTGAAGATATGCCTGGTCCGCAAGTGTTGTTTTCTACTCCAGGTTTCTAGTTATCTGTGATTTTTTTTTCGCACTGTCTCTTTTTAAGGCATGCTCCATGGTGGACAGTCGCTGAAAGTCTTCAAAAAGTGGTGTTCTGATGCCAACAACATGATTATCATGCCCGGTGAGAGGGATCACCTATGATAATCGAAGAAAAAAAAATTGTATTTAAAGGTTACTGTGTGGCTGGTACAATCGGCGCACGTGTTATCAACGGTGAAAAACGTATAGAAATGGAAGGGAAAATGGTTTGACATTTTTTTTGTATCTAATTTTTTCAAAATATCTTCGAGTTTCAGTACGAGGTTCGATTAGCAGTTGAATACATGTCTTTCAGTGCTCACGCTGATGCAAAAGGAATTATGCAGGTGTAATATAGGAACATCAAATTTTTATTAGATCCTAATCAAGAAAATATTTACAGTTGATTCGCCACTGTCAACCGCAGCACGTCATGTTTGTTCATGGAGAAGCGGAAAAAATGGAGTTTCTGAGAGGAAAAGTGGAAAAGGTGCATAGTTGGCAAAATTAGGACTCTACGCGTACTTTTAGGAGTTTGGCGTTCCTGTGCATATGCCGGCTAACGGCGAAACGATCATGATTGAACCGTCGCCAAAAGCTTTCATCGAAGTCTCCAACCAAGTTCCAGAAATGAATGTTTTCCTTAAATTATCATTTGGCTTTCAGCTCATCGAACGGAGCATTGCTTTGGATCCAACCTCTTCCAAAAAATCGTGCCCTTTTACTGCCTGCGTTGTTTTGGATAAGCAAGTTTTCCTCAAATTTACGATCATATCCGTTTTTTCCACTTCAGACAAATGCGCTAGAAGTGGTGTCTTGTGAAGCGGCGGCTGAAGATCTCAACGTTAAAATTCATACAATTACTCTGTCTCAGGTTCTTTTTTTCTAACAGAACATGTTTCTCTGTTTTGACGCTGGTTTCGGATTTCTCTCGCTTTTCTCATGTTCTCGAGAAAAAAAATTGAGAATTTCCAAGATGCGAGGTCGAGCCAACAAAAAACTGCGCGAGGACAGAGCCAAATGTTTCGTCAATATAGCGATCTCGCCTTTCTCTTTGCATTTATTTCTTAGTATTGCTCTGAAACTTTGCTCTGTTGGGAGAATTTCGTGCAGCTCTTGCATGCATTTTCGAAACTTTTTATTCACGATTTTTCGTATTTTTTTCGAACTATTTTTTTCGGAGAGTGGTTTTTTTCTAGTGGAATATATTTTATAGAAATCGAAAAAAAGTAGAGAGAAGAACCTCCAGCAAATTTTATGGATTATGCAGCGAGCGATATCGCTCGACTCTCCCTGCGAATACGCAAACTTCTTACGCTATATCTCTTTTTATTCATTTTTCTTGAAGGTCAAAAATAAAGCAAAAGATTGTTTTTAAAACTTCAATTTTATGATAAAGTGCAATACGGTGGTGAGATGTTGGCGAGTTCGCAACAAGAAAGTTTGGCTTCATCTCCTGGGGCTCACTTATGCTCCCTATTGCTCGTTCCGTGTAGCAGAAATATCATATTTGAGCGTTTTTTTGAAATTCCTCTCGAAAGAAAGTTAAAATCATAAGCTTCTCTTGCGCCTATTTAGTTAGAGACTCAATCTTTAATGAAGTCAAAAAATCTTTTTTTTTGATAATAAGTTTCTAGATTCTCAAAGGGACGCATATCGACTGGAACGTGCTGTCTGAAGCGATGCAGGTGTACGATCCAGAGCTCCAGGTGAAAAAGGTGAACGGCGCTTTATTCAAGTTTCTGAAAAAGTTTCTTTCAGGACGGGATCGAAATGTTTCACGGGGAAGTTTGTCTCTTACGAGTTAAAGGCCAAGAATCACAGGTTTTTTTAATGTGATTTTGTCTTCGAAGTTTTTTTTTTTTTTGCAGGTGGAAATGATTTGGGACGAATGTCGTGAGCAATGGCAGCCTATTATTTGTGCCATAGTCCATGATATAATTCGAAAAAACTAGTTTTTTTCTTCTTTTCTTCTGCTTAAAAAACGGGTTGATAATCTATTTACGTTGAATGAAGCTTTTTTTGTCGTGAGTGATTTTGATCAAAAGACGTTCAAAACGAAAATATCTATGTTGATTTTTAATACTTTCCAAATTTTATAACTTTGTTGCCGGACGAAAAGAAAATGAATTCGTACGATGTGAACAAGTCTCGTCATCTCATGATGAAAAACTCGTGAGTTTTTTTTTAATGATTTTTATGAAGTTGAGAACTCAACTATTAGACCCTCCTGAATTTTAAAGGCATAGGGGTAGTAAAAAACGGTGTTTCAGTTCAAAGCAGTACTTTGTAGAGATTTTCATTGCGAATCGAACGGTGAACTTTGAAACGTACCAAACTTCCTAGTTTTGGAGAAAAAATAATTCAAATTCGGAGAGAGGAAAGTTTGAGTTCCCGCCAAAAAGGGGGTTTTGCAGTAAAGTTGCTCTATGGACAACACGCTTCGCCACCTTCCGGATTTTCGCTTTTTTTTCTTCATTTCTTTCAAATTTCAATTTTTTCTGTTGTCACCAAAGTTCTTTTCGTCACAAAAGCTTTCTATTCATGTATAATTTGCAAACTTTGATCGCAAAAATGCTTTTCTGGTGAAAAATGATGATTTTACACAGGTTTCGATTGGGATAGCAATTATTTGTGTTTTCTTTATTATCAATGTGTGTTTTCTGTTTTCCTAATCGATTTTTCAGAGAAGAAATCCTTAATTTGAAGCAGATAACCGGTTATTTCTCACAAAATGCGAGTCTAATGAGACGTCCGCAACATCGCGTGCACGGCTACTGTTAACAGTTGTCTGAGCACTGATCCAAAGCTTTTTTCAAAATTGAAGGCGGGAAAGTAAAATCGCGTTTTTCTTCTAAAATTGTCACATCTGTAATTTTTTTGAGTACATCATTCGATTCGCAAAGAAAAACTAAATAAGATACTGCTTTCAACTGAAATCCCATTTTTTACTGCACCTATGCCTTTAAAGTTATTGAAGAACTCAGGAGAGAACTGTAAACAAAAACTCAAATCAAGTTCATCGATTCATCAATTCGAGGAGCTATATTTATCAGCAAAAATGAACTTTATCAAACACATCGAATTGCTTGATACGGGTTTTTTTTGGCATTGGATAGTCTGTTCAGATCTTGAATGTGAAGTCACCGCTCAAACTCCGCCCCTTATGCGTAGATCAAACAAAAGAAATTTTGATTATATTTTTATATTCTTTCCTTTCTCTTAACATCAGCCGACTGTGAAGGTCTCTTTTTTTAGTATATCGTAGAATTTTCTCAGATTGCCGCGCAGCATAAATGATGACACTCTTCCAAAAAATTCACTTCCTAAGTCATTCAACTTAATTTTTTCAATTTTTTACATCATCTTTATATTTCCATTTAGGAGCCCATTTTTTTAAAATATGAATTCTTATTAAAACTTGATAAAAATAAGTTTCCTCACAATTCCTCCTCTGTGGTCATTTTAAATTGTTTTTTTTTTCAAAAGTATTTATTTTTTTTTTCGATTTGTCTCGAGAAAATCTCGATCTCGTCTCGAGATCTGATTCGAAAAATTATTTCGTCCCGAGATTTTTTTTTTTATCTCGAGATCGAAAAACTCCGTCCTGTGCATCCCCACAGGCAAAATCCAAACTCCCCTAAAAGGGCCTTAAAAAAAGACCTTAAAACTCCTTTTTGAGTTCCTAAAAAGGAGTTGAAAGCTTTTCGGAACTCCTTTTTTTAGCTCCTTGAAAGGTCATTTTAAGAAGAAAAAAAAGTCCAGAAAAAATGCGCCTTTGAGGTCTTTTTTTTCAAAAGTTCTTTTTTGAGACCTTTTGGACGTTATAGGTTTTTGAAGACGCTATTACTATTGAAATCTTCAAAGAAAAAACGGAGTTTTTCAATTTGTTGGCTAGAACGCATTACGAACGTTTCGCACATTACTGCAAGAGCCGCAACCGGCCGTTTAAAGCCGAAAAAATTGAGTTGATTGTCGTACTATCCGTCATTTATCAAATTTTCTCTAAATTCGATATTTCAGAAGCTTGAGCCGGACATCTAACCCGGTAGTCGCGTCGTTAAGTCTTGGCGAGCGTGCCGCGAATCTGGTGAGCGCACTTGTCTCGTCCAATCATCCGACGAGCTTTGTGCCCACGGAATCCACGTGCAACAACCCTATAATAGCTACTTGTCCAGCTTTCGTAGCTGCTCGTATCGAACAAACGTTAGTCTTCAAGTATCACAGAGTTCCTCAGGCACTCGTGCGCGCACGCGCGGGGGTTTTTTTTGCCCTTTACCATGAAATACGATTTTGAAATATATTTTTTATATTTTTGGAATACTAAAGGCTGTTTCCAAGGTAGCTTTTTCGGCTTTTTTTTCACGGCGTTCTGTTGACGACTTACGTAATATAGGATGTCTACTGTGCATGCACAGAACGGCGCTAAATCGCATACTCATTAAAATATAAAAAGATTTTTGTTCTAAAAATCGAACTTTTTTGAACTATGAACATGGAAAAATTGATTCTAGCTCGGGTTCATTTTCTAGTTAATTTAACTAAAATAAAATAATTAGGGTTAATGCCGTGTTCAAAGTAATTTCCGCGAAATGCAAAATGATCTCTGACTCTCCAAAATTTAGTGATCTTTTCCTTTCTCTGACAGCTATTTTGAATTTCGCGGAAATTACTTTGAACACGGCATAAAGGGGGCAATTTTATTCCTTCACACCCTCGAAATATGTTAACAAAGGTGAATCGGGAAGTCGATGCAAATAGGTACCGGTTAGCGACGCTCGTGAGGCACCTACCGGGTAGCTACTTCCATGGTATAGTCGATGTGCCACGACTTGAAATTTCATGGAACGACACTCCGCTTGGTGGCCTTGTGGCCGTGAAAGCGACTTGCCTTTGCGATATTTGGTCGCGCTTTCCAATTTTTCTTTCATTTGAAAATTTCACTATTTTAATTATGTTTCAATAGTTTTCTTCGTGCCGAACTCATGATTATCATTGCTAGTGGATAGACTGTTTCATTAAAAACAAATAAAGTTGAGTACTTTTCGAATTTAAGGCGAAAAAATGCATTTATAATATTGATTTCAACGTACCTGACATGCAACATTCTTCCATTTTCACTTTTAATATTTCAAATAATGTAAAAAATATCCCGATCAGAAATAAAACACAATGAATGTTTAAAAAACAAATGAATTCTACAACATTGACGAGTTTGTACAAAAAAAAAAACAGATACATAAGTTCAAAGGGAAAATCATTAGTTTTCAGGACAAGTGCCCACTGTTCACGCCCCATTTCAGACGCATAGTTTAGCAATTCGATTTATCTAAAGCTCGATAAAAAAAAAAGAACGAAAACCTTTCTTCAAAATATGTTGCATTGCAATGCATTGCAAAGCCCGAAGGCACCCACTTTCTGAAAAGAAAATTCATTAACCACTGCAAACAGAAAAAGATAAAAAAATTAAAACATGGCTTTTAAAAAAAAACACTTTTCAGAATATTGTGGCGTTTACGGCCTATTTCACCCGCAAATCCTTTTGGTAAACCTTTGAAAACTTTTTTGAGAAACGAGAAAACAATATTGAAGCGATTGACGAATACATGAAGTTTTTCAAACTTTTTTTTATCGCTTTTTTCGAGAAAGATGAAATTTACTGTGTTCTTTCGTTTACATTTGTACAACGCAATCCTTTTCAACGATAATAATACATTTTAAAGGAATAAAACAATTAAAAAACGATCAGAATTAGGATGAAAACCAAAGAAAAAATTAGAGTGGCCGAGGTTGGCAAATTCGCAAGATGCGCTCTACCGCACAAATCGAAACAGCGGAGTGTCGTTCCATGAAATTTCAACTCGACTATACCGCAAAGCATACGCTCGTAAGAAATCATACCCGGTAGCATCGCGATGTCTCTAAGGTAGTAGCCAGGTACCATAGAGATACTCCCGGTCGCATACAAACGATCACCGATTACCATACGCCGATTGACTTTGAAGTTGCTACCCGGTACCTACTTGAGCGTAGGCTTTCCGGTATCATGAAAGTAGCTAAGAAGTAGCTACCTCACGAGCATCACTTCCCAGTACGTCACTATAAACACTTGTATCGACCTCCCGATTAACCAGTGTATTCGCAAAGAAATACAGATGGTGTGGAATGTTGAATTTTTTTTTTTTGAAGAGTAGCATCTACCAAAGCTAACGAAGCGGTAAAGGTCAACGAGAATGGAAGTATTGCGCCTGAAGCAACGACAGAAGTTTTTCCTAGAAAGTCGCTTCCCCCGGGTTCTGTCGTCGATGTTAACTTGAAAGCTTCTTACCAATTAACTAAATCTTACTTCCATAATCCCTACATACTGGTGTGTCCCCCCACTGTATAAATAATGTATAAATATGTTTCATGTTCAAAGAGAATAAAAAAATATTTTTTTCGTTTGAATTGAAAACTCGTTGGTTGCGATCCGATTCATATTTTTACTGTTTTTTTTACTTTTTCTGTTCTCTACTCTACTTAAATCGTGCAAAGTGCAGTGCCTATGCTGGCATTCTGCAAAAAAAGTTGCATGCATTCTGCAGATCAGAGCCTTGCATCTTGCCCAGAAGAACCTCGCATTTTGCATTTCTTTTTGGGCTCACTTTTGTACAGACGAAAAAAAGTGCAAAATGCGAGGTACTTCTGTGCAAAATGCAAAGCACTGATTTGCCAAGTGCATGAAGCTTTTTTTGCAGAATGCCGCCATAGGCACTGCACTTTGCAAACATTTTGTAGAGCTGTGCCAAAACTTTTTAGCGAACTTGCCAAAATAACAAAATCTCGATATTTTCGACTCATTTTCGGCTTTAAAACTGAAATTACGATAATAACAGCCAGTTTTCCGGTGATATGAAAAAAAGACCAGCAAAAATTCGAACGGCGACTTTTCCGATTTTTTCATATCGCTAGGGAACTTTCCGACGGCCAACTTTCCGACGGATCCCTTTCCGACTTTTTTCCCTTATGTTTTTCGGTTTATAAAACATCTATTTATAATACGGTTTATAAAACAGCGTCTTCCTCAAGTTCAAAACGTACTTAACACGAAGATACGTTTCCAATATACACAAAGCCAAGATCTACAACATGTGTATATACCAGCCTTTCTCTATGGTTCGGAAACAGGGACTCTAAAGAAGAAAGAGAGGGACCTTCTCGCAACAGCACAGCGGAAAATGATGCGACACGGCGTTTTAAAAAGGGTGGACGTGAAGAGAAAAACTGGCAGGCGATAAAATGTGCCCTGATGAAAAAGTTCTAACGGCGGAGTACGGTAGGAGGAAGCAAGTTCGCGCCAGTGTACACTTCTTATCAGATAATTATTAATTTTTCAATTCACTTTTTCTTTTTTTTCACTTAATTTCGTTGTTTTTAGATCTTTTTGCTCCATTTTTTCTCCACAGTTGTTAATAACTGAGACGAACATTTTTCGATGAACACGATTTTTCTTGTTCCCGCTTTCACGAAGTTTTCCGTTTTCGCAAATCGTCTAAAACTTGGACCTTAGCCTTTTACTGCAACTTGTTTTGTGTTTTTAACTTGTTCTCCATCGTTTGATTGATAGTTCACCGTGAAACATTTTCAAAAAAAGACTACTTTTTAGTGATTTGATGACGAAAAACAGGTTTTTCGAGAAAAGCTCTAATTTCTCTATTTCAATCTTTATTCGAAAAACTCTCTCTGATTTTTTCTTATTCTCCATTGTTTGATCAACAATTCACCGTAGTAATTTTTCAGAAAAAAGCGAGTTTTCAAGATTTTGGAGCAAAAAACAGATTTTTCGAAAAATCGCTAATTTTTTACTATTCATAAGCTTCTATAAACTTTTTGGGTTTCTTCTCGTTCCCCGTCATGAGATGAACATTTCCACGTACGATATTCTCAGGAAAGAACAGTTTTACAGAATTTAACAGTCAAAAACACTTACACGCGAACGTAAATCTACGCGGAGAAACGTCTCCTAAAACTGCGCGACAGTTGCGCTAAGCCGCGCCCACTAGCCACCCTCTCCAGCCTTTTTAAAACGCCGTGGCGATGGATGCTCGGAGTAACATTGCTCGACAGAAGAGGAAACTCCTGGCTCTATGAAAAGTTGAAGCTACGCGAAGTTCGGTCGGAAGCTGTGAAGAAAAAATGGCTTTTCGCAAAGAAGATCGCTACGGGAGAAGACACATGGGCGAAGAAAATCGTGGAAAAGCGACCATGGGCGAAAACTCGTGAAGTTGGACGACCTAAACCTCGTCGGCGAGATGACCTACGAGCAGTTCTTGGTGAAAGATGGGCGACAGTTGCGCGAACCGACAAACCTCTCTTCAAATATTCCATGGTTCAGCAGATACATGATTACTCTGAGGACTGAATAAATGTTAAATGTTAAATGTTAAAACATCTATACATTTTTTTTTCCTATTTCTTAGTGTTTTAATCATGAACCAACTACCTACTTTATATAGGAAGATTGAAAACGAAGATTTTATCGAAAAAAAAGTCGGAAAAAGATTCGTCGGAAAGTTCCCTAGCGATATGAAAAAAACGGAAAAGTCGCCGTTTGAATTTTCGCTGGTGTTTTTTTCATACCACCATTTTTTTCGTTATTAGAAAGATTTTCGAGATTTTAAGCGATATGACTCATATCATAAGAAATCGGATGTGAAAAAATTTTGAGAAAAGAAAATGTTTTGATAGGGGGAGCGATGAGCGGGGCAAATGAAAAGACGGACTTCGTGACGCCTTGGATGGTCCAACAAGAAATTGTCAACCTTTTGAATCGTGGCGATCTCGTCGAATTCCATCGTACTGCCACGTTTGCGGGCCGTAAGCGTCGAATTTACACGGTTAGGGAGTTTTTTTTATGCTATCGAGGGAGGAGCTCAATCATCGCGAGAAATATCAGCAGTTCGACCTCTCTTTGAACTTTCTAAAGCTGAGCCTCCAAAGTTTCAATTCGAGCCGAGTGTTTAAAAATAGGGTAGTTTTCTAATGAGACGAACTTGTAAGTACACAGTGCAAAAAAAATTACGAAGAGAAAATTTTTTTATTCAGTGCTCACTGAATGATACACCATACGAATAGCGTTTTGCAAATTGCTTCCTTCGGCGTCCACTTAATTTCTACTCCTTGAAAAGGACTTGAGCAGCGCAGTGAGAAAAGATGAATAAGGCAATCTCTACTATCAACTTTCGCTAGTACAAAAGCTATAAAAAAAGAAACGTCGCGCAAGATTTCGAGTACTCTGAAAACGTAAACTCAGCATTGGGGACTTTTCTATGGGTTCGTCGACGACGTACCGCTGATCGTGCACATGTCGAACGAAGATGGCGATTTTGAAGGTTCTGTACTGGACAGCAGTAACTTCGCAAGCGTGGCAGATTCGATGACGTCAGTCAGAAAGATTGCTCAAGGATCTCGGGCCGAGGTAGGCTCTACGAAATTAACTTTTTTTCATCGCATTCTATCGCGTGTGAAGATTTTCCTGTCCGGACCATTTATTCTGGGTCATTAATTTTAGACTGGCTTTTAGACTGATTCTTTGAGTATGACTATTTTATGATTTCCATTGCGGCTATTCTCGTCCGCAAGTCAAAAAAAATTTTGACCAATCAAGTGAAATGATGTTATTGACAATTTGAAATCAGGCTTTGGCCTCAGGCCAGGCGGCTCGGGCTTTGGGCCTCATTTTGGAGAAGTAGCCTGCGTGGGCCAGGCTTCGAAAACAATTTTAAAATTTCATTAAAAATTCCTCTGAAAATTTCTTTCTTCTTTTCAAATCATAGTTTTTGTTGAACTCCAAGTTTAAAAAAATAAGCAAAATCGTGACTTTCGTGGTGAAAAAGCTTGATATTCGACTTGAAAAAAAATTGAGCTTTTTGGCTTCAAAATAAAGTTCCTTTTTAAATATTCAACAAAAATCGCAAAAAAACATGATCTAAAAAAATAAAAAAATTCAACAAATCCAGTAAACCGGTATAAATAACTTCACAATGAAATAATCAAGTAAAACAGAACTAATACTTCGTAGCATAGCTTTCGGACTTGATAACAGCCTTGCATCTTCGGAGTATCGACTCGATAAGTGTGTCCAACACGCTCATTGGGATCTTCTTCCAAATTTTTTCGAAATTTCACACAACAAACTTCTTCGAAGTTTCAGGTCAAAACAATAGTTTTCAACGAAATCAACTCACCAATTTGCTCTACTGTATGCCCATACTTATAGGTGCGCTTTGATCCACTTTCCCGTGTTGCCGGCGGCGACTTGTTGCGGGTTAACAATTCGCTCGATTCGGACCATCGACCGTTCCCCACCATCATCATTCTTGATAGGGCTACCCAAAAGGTGCGCTTTTTTCCATTAGGTTCATTCATACAATTTTCGCGAAATAAACGAGTTTTTTCAGCTTGGCGAGAAAGGCTACAACGTCATGTCGAACAACTGCGAACATTTCGTCAAGTGGGCTCGATATGGCATCAAATACAGTGAACAGGTCCGTTTTTTTTTTTCGAACAATTGATGTACAGTACCGTCAGAAAAGATACGAAAAAACGGAGTTTCGGTCACAAATTTCTTGCAAAGAAGAATTCCATCTTTCTGAAACTTTTTGGAGTTGTGATTTATTTTTTATTCATAACTCTGTTATGGATTTCCGATTCACAGAAAAAAAAACGCTGCTTTAGGAACTATCAGGAAGATTGAAGTCCTTACAAGAAAGTTGTGACCAAAAAAATTTTTTCTTGTACTGCGCATTCTGAATTTTTGCTGCGGGTCGATTTGCAAGGTAACATTTTGACACCGTCAGTGTTATGTGCGAAATTGAAGAGGCTTGTTGAATTATACACAGTAATCCTAAACAGGCGGCTGATGTGGTCAGTAAGGGCGGCGAAATGCAAAGGGCGCCTTATTGCAATACGAGCGCAATAGTGAGAGCAGATTTTTGTGCATTTACTGGATGGAAAAAAAGCGTTTTACAATGTTTCTCGACTTTCCCCTCAAAAAACGTATTCTGAATATTTATGGCGTGTTCAGGACAAAACGAAAATTGCTATAAAAATATTAGTAGTGTTTTGGAGAAACTTTGGTGCGCCGATGTCACACGAAAAAAAATTACCCAAAGGGCTTTGGCGCAAAAAGTTATAACAGCAAAAAAAGTTTTAATGAGAATATGTTTTATAAATCCTAGAAAAGTTTTTGAAAAAAAGAAACTCTCGTCGTTTCTTGTAAGAAACTCATTCTGAGTTATTACTAACATTAGTCTGCTCAGAAGTTTTTGTTCTCATCACATTCACTGGTCTTAGAATTACGAAAACTGGAAAAGTAACAGGCTGGAGAAACGGATGCAACGCCTGCATTTCTCTTGAAATTTTTTTTTGTCTGAGTTCTTCGTAGGAGTTTCCAGTCGTGACTTTTTTCTCTCCAAGAAATGCTCCGTCTTGACCGGTTCCGAAAAAGGCATCTTTTAGGCTGTTCTGGCTAAATCCTTCCTTCTATCTTCCGTGTTGGCCATCGGCCTCAACCCTCTAGTGGCGGCAGGCGCCGGAATCGCATACGCCGTAACTTCGGACCCGATTTCTCGCACCATCAATCGTGTGTGTGGAACCAACTTTGCTCTTTTCTGAGATAAAGATTTTCTTGAATTTAGCCGATTCACTCGCTCCAGTATTCGATAATTTGTTTTGTTTCTTTGTGCTCAATAGTTTTATTTTGCAATTTATTTATTACGTCCGTCACTATTCAAAACAGTCTAACCTTTTTTCAATCTCTTCAATCTCACAAATAACCCCAGCGACAATTTAAAGCGTTCATCAAATCGCGGAAAGTGAGGTACAATTCTATGGATGAAATAAATTTCTTGAAATGTCAGCTTTTCAACTAGGATTGCATTCAAGAATCCTCTTTTCAATAATTTTTTGTCAAATCTCATTACTTTTCCCGAGTTGCCCGGATTACTTATTGGTTCGATGTTTTTTTTTTGGGTAGGCCCGCGGCTTGTTTTCATGCTGAAAAGTTTTTTCGCCACTTGTGGGCATTTAGCGCCATCTCGGACAGGAAACTGTTGTTTATGCTTCTTCTTTTTCTTTCTTTCTTTTCCATCCTCTCCCTTTTTCCGACACATCAATTAGAGAACTACTTTCTTTTTTTTTTCTCCTCAGATAAGATTATCTGCTGAATCATGGAATAATTGAATATCTAATTGTCGCTCCGCGAAAAGGTCGTTGGTCAAAAACGGTGCGTGAAATATTTCGCCCTTTTATTGATATTAGGTCAGTGCGTTGAAAGTTCAAAAGAGCCATCGGTATGCTTCGCGGTAAAAAAATTTCACTTTTTCTTTTTCATATTTTTTTAAAAAAAGATAGCACATTAGGCGACTTTTTCAGCGCCATCAGAGTTTAGGTTGAGTTGGAAAAAAAGGGCTTTTCGTTAACTTTTTCTCTTAATTGAATGCATGGAACACGATTTTTGGAATTTTTTAACACACAAAACCGAATATCCTCACTCGGCAAATTTTTGAGATACGGTAGCTCAAAGGATTACGGTAAAAAGCTTCGAAAATATATATCTCGGCACAAATTAAGCGATTCAAAGTTTGTTACAAGGTGTAAAATGATTTACTCCAAATTTTAAAAAAATGTAACATCTCATGGCTGCCTATTATTGCTCATATTAAAGAATTTTTCCTAAAAAATTTAAAACCAGTATATAAAGTTGCGAACTCGCATTTTCTTTTAGTTTATTCCAAACCCCAAAAAACCACTCCTTCTATTGAGCTAGACATGGATTAGGCGAATTTTCCATATGAGATCCATATAATCCAAAAAACATGTTATTTTGAGTAAAAATCCCGAATAACTTTTCAATTTTTTGAAACTAGCAAAGTCGTTATCAGCGCTTATTCTTAAATCTAGTGGGTCATTCTGAGAGCAAAAAAAGGAAAAAAAAATTTTCACTAAAAAAAAAAAAATAAATGTCCTGGAACCATAAAAATTTGTATGTCCTGGGACGGAAATTTTAAGCAGTTTTTCGCTCATAACTTTTTTCAAGATCGAGTTATTTTTACGAAACAAAGTATTTTGTTGCCGATACGGTGATCGTGACAAAGGAGCATATATCATTCTAATTCAACTGAAAAAAAATTTTCTCGAAAAAGGTCATGAAGATCGACCACATGCCAGAATGGCGCACGGTGCATTCTACTTTTTTGCACTCTGGTGCGTAATTGGGGTCTTCACCGTGCAATACCGGTGACTTTTTGGTGCAAAGGTGTCGAATCAGTGCTTTTAGCGTGCTGCATCAGTGCGACACCAAAAAAGCACCAAAACTGCAGGCTCCAGTTTCGCACCAGAGTGCAAAAAAAACAGAATTCACCGTGCGCCATCCATTCTGATATGCTGAAGTACGAGACACGTGGAAAATTTGAAATCTGTAGTTTTCGAGAAATCAATCGCCCCGAGTAAAGTTTGAGGAGTAGAGTTAAAGAGCTCTTAGCGGGATTAAAACCGGCCAAGCGTACTTTTCAATGTTATTTCTGCTCTTGAGACACACGCGATGAAGAAGATGTTTCGTCATCAATTTTCTTTTCGAACAAAAATATCAATTGTTTTGTCGTAATGTTTAAGTGGTTGTTAAAGCATTAACAATATGTTGAAACGCTTCTTTTCTTTACTCGAGTCGAGCCGCTTTCAAGGTCCGAACTTGGTAAGTCAGAGAGACATTTTCTAGAACGGAGAAGGGTCGGCGGCTCAGAAATTCGGTCTGCTCATGTATTTTTGCGTCTTGAAATTCTGAAAGCAAGTACATTCGGCGAGTTGACGTAGAGAAACAGGCCGAGTAATCTTCCAAAGTACGTTAAGTATCAATTGAGCGAGTAAAATCTTCAAAATGCCATTTCGTTCCTCCCCTTTACGAGCTCTCCTTCTTTCTCAAATGGCAATTCAATGGTCATTTCAAAGACTTTTGGTCGCTGTTCCAACCGAGAAACAATTTAAAAAAAAACTTTTTCTATGTTGTTCGATTTGACGTGATAGTCTATTAATTGGTTGATCTGTTTCATTTTTTTATTTTTTTAACTTCTGTAATTTTTTTCAAAAAGTTCTGTACTCGAAAACCAAAAAAATAATATATGTTTTTGCCATTCTCCAATTTTTTTCAAGAACCGCCTACCACTTAGTCAACTCAAAGGTAAATCCAAAACAGAAGCCATTTATTTTTTTCGAGTCCTTTTCTCGAATAAGATTCCATAGTGTTCAGAGATTTTAGTTTTCACTTTACTAGAAAAAAAAAATTCTTTGTAATCAAAATATCTTGGAAAAACTTTTTTTCGAGTTACGAAATACGAAAAAAAAATTTAGTTTTCCGCAAGAGACGACCCTGTAACTAGTATGGAAAAAAAAAATCATGAAAAAATGGCGCGGAACATGCTATATCACGCATGTTCAAGGCGGCTGGCCGTATTACGGTTGTCAAGCTAGGTTGTTCGGTAATAAAATGAAAACCTGTGTACTTTTTGTGACGTAACTTACCTTGTAACCTCGAGGAATAGGTCTTTAACAAATTGCAAGAAAGAAAAAAAATTTTAAAAAATTCCTGGCTCCGAAACTGACTGCGCAATATTGACCGGCCACCGGCCGCCGTAGTACTGTCTCAAACATGCGTGGCTTGGGCCGAAAATTTTTCCGAACAACTTTTTTTATTCTAAGGAAAAAATCATTGTTTTTGTTGGTGCTGGGTGAAAAGATAAGCAAAAATATGATTTTTTGGTGGTATGAAATAAAAACGAGCCGAATTTTTGGCCGCTGATTTTGCAATATTGACCGGAGCTGTGGTCAGTATACTGTTAAAAGAGACGAAAAAGTTTTTGTAAAAGAACATATCCAAAAATATCCGAAATGTCGTTTTCGTGAAAAAATTCGTCAAATCAAACTTCAAAAGAGAAAATAGAAAAAAAAGCTCAAAGCATTTCTCTTAACAAACTCCATTTGAACATTTTAATACAAAATCAGATACATAATAGCTTTTTAAGAGAAAAAAATTTTTCACCCGGAACGACATTATCAAGAATAAATTCGTCAAATACTGTCTCGAAAAAAATTTCTGAGAAAAAAATTTTTGTCCTGAAAATGCATGCTAGGGAATTTTTCCGACGGCGACGTTTTTCCTTTCCGATTTTTTTCTCTTGTATTTTTTTCGCTTTATGAAAATATTTCAATATTTTTTCCTATTTCTTTATGTTTTGATAATGAAAAATACCTATTTTATATGGGAAGATTCAAAAAAAATATTTTTTTCGAGAAAAAAAGTTGAAAAAAAGATTAGTAGGAATGTTCGAAGTTAGAAAGTTTCCTAGCAATATGAAAAATCCGTAAAAGTCGCCGTTCGGAATTTCGCTGGTATTTATTTCATATCAGCATAAAAATTTTTGGGCGTGTCATACTAAGAATCGCGCTTCACGATTTTAGAATTTTTTTTTTCTTTTTCATTTGTATTCCAGCTGCTCGTTAATCAATCGCCAACCTTTGCTTTTTTTTTCCTAAACTAACTTGTAAGATTAAATGGCGAGATAAATGCGAGGCCTATTTCGCCCAATTCGCCCGCTCCGGGGTACCCCCAAAAGTTTCGACTCACGTACCGAAAAAACGCCGTGGGGTGGGAGCCGACGTATGGCGTACGACGTACCGGTCTTGAATTTTCCTTGACGCGACCTCGCATTTTTCTCGACGTAAGCCAAAATTTTTATAATTTTCCGAATTTTTTTTTACCGCATGAGAGAAGAAATGCAAGGTTGTGCCGAAAAAAAAATGCGAGTCCGACGCCGCGAAAGTGGTTCATTTGCGAGGTTGTCAATGTACTACTGCCACCGACCTCGCATTTTCTCTCGCGCCGCGCTAGGCAGTTATGTTGAGCGTAGTTTCTCTGTACTGAAACACCTTTTTTCTGGAATTACAGATTGCTTCCTTGTTCTGCTCCCAGGATTTCCTGCCATAGTCATGTCACCCTAAAACGGATGTGTTGAATTTGAGTCATCATTGGTATAACTTACCTTATCTTCGCTCAGTGCGTAAATATTAAGAGTTTTTTAAAGAATATCTTCTACAGTTGTCTTTCGTCTGGGTTTGCAGAAGATTACGTAATACTGTCTTTTCAAATAAAAACGACTTCTGTTCACTATCTTTCGGGGAAATGAGAATTAGTTCTTCTAAAAAAGCTCTTTATGGTATTGGGGAAGGTAATTCGAACAGAGAGCGATGTCTCATACTTTTTCTTGCGACCAGTGTCCTTCTGAAAGGACGGGATCAAGCTTTTGACTGGACGAGGACAGCAAGTAGTGAATTCAGATAAGGAATTTATGAAATGAAGTTTTTTTGAAGGTAGAAAGGAAAAAAAAACTCTCAACATTTACCACCGACCTGATATGATTTATTTCTGTGAAGAAGGGAAAATTATCCAGAAGATAAAGGACAAAAAAATTTTTTTGGAAATTTTTTCGGATATCAACATCTTCTCGCTAGCATTTCGATATATGCTTTTTAGGGGTGACGTTTATTAACTCGCTTCAGCTCTTTTTGGTACTTTTGCTCCAGATGTCTTCTTCGATTTCCGTCCAGGCGAATACCCCTACAGCGGAAGAAGGCGAGCTTTATGGACTGTCAATGTTTGAATTGGTTTGTTGTCTCCTTTGTTTAAGTTCATTGAATTTCAAAGAAAATGAGGCAAAATTTTAAAATAGTTTTTTAAGCTTAAATGAAAAATGGAATTCCAATAATGAAGCGAAATAGCACATTCCTTAATGGTTTTTGATCAAAGACTCATTTTCAGATAATATGGTGTGTTTTATATGCGATTATTGCTCTGATGACTGTCGCGGGTAATCTTCTCGTCCTTTACATTACATTCTTCAGACTCAGGGCAGTATTTCGAGAGAAATCTTTTTTCTTCTGTAGGTGTACAACTTTCGTTTTTTTTTTTTGGATTTCTGCAACTTTAGCTCATAAAAATTACCTTGAAAGTTTCAACAATTTCTGCTCGTAGGACCTCGTAGGACAATTCTCGATAGATAATGTCCAAAATTCAAAAAAACGTTTTCCACTTTTTTTTTTCAAACTTTCTTACATTTTCTCTTTTGCATTACTGAGTGAGCACGATTCAGGAAAATTTGAACGGAACACGACGTTCTGCGTAGTGGAAGAAAATGTCAAATTTTGGAAAGCAAAAGAATGTTGATCCAGCGAGAAAACCTTTCCTAGATGCTCCGCCGCGCCGCGAATAAGCCATGTAATATATATATATATACATGGCTATATATATCCGTAATGTTCCAATCTTATTAATAATATTTGATAAATTTCGGTTGTTTTTACTCTTGTATTAAGTTGATATAATATTTCAGGACATTCTTCTTTACCGTTCATCATCAAACTCTTATGAAAAGTGAACTTTCAAACCTTTTTTTTTTTGAATTTCTTATTTTTCAAATTCCTGCAGCTTTCATGATTGTGAGAAAGCCAAAAAATAATCGAAGAAGCTGTGGTATGAAAAAAAGGCAGTGAATTTTCGAACGGCGACTTTTCCGATTTTTCGTTTCGAACCAATAGAGTATGCAAGTTAGCGCCGTTCTGTGTATGCACCAAAGACGTCCTATATTACGAAACTTGTGGGCGGGGCGTCGTAGAGAACGCCGTGGGGATAAAATATATGAAAAACAAATGTTGAAAAAATAAATAAAAAGAACGGGAAAAGTTTTAGGGTGCGATCAATAACGACATACTTCATCATTAACCTCGGATGCGCAGATCTGCTCACAGGGATCTTCGCGATTCCTTTCAAATTTCAAGCCGCTTTGTTTCAGGTTAAAATTTGTGTTTTCAAGTTGAAATATGAATTTCCGCAATTATTAATATTTTTTACAGGAATGGTTCTTACCCTACTCTCTTTGCAAAATCGTGCCATACGCAGAAACAGTTTCTCTCTCCGTTTCGGTTTTCACTCTAACCGCCTCTGCTATCCATGAATTCCGCGCTGTTTTCTTCCCGAAACGTGGACAAATGAGTAGCAAAAGTGCAAGGTTTTTTTTTGGCCATTCCGATATTTTCATTTTATTACGCACATGCCTGTAAATTCGATGAAAGAAGTTTTTTTTAGTTTTCGAAAAGAGTCCTAGTTTCTCACATTCTTTTCCATCTCAGGTATGGGAAATATAGGATGCCTTGCTATATAAGTCGACAAGGTAGAAATCTAAAAGCGCTTGTTTTGAGCAACGTTTTGAGGCAAAACTTGCGAAAAAGAAATTTGAAATGTTAAAATGTTGAAAATGAAAAGTTCAGGACCTGATCGCCACCAGAGTTGCTTGAGAATAGTCGCATTCTCGTTTCAAAATGAAATTCGTTCTCTCAAAATACTAGCGTCTCGCCTGGACGTTTTTTGGAAATTTTTCTCGTATTTATCAATCTCGAAAAATCACTCCTTGTGCAACTCTGACGGCCGCGTACTTGTCCTAAAGTCTACGTAAACTCATGGCTCATGTTCATCGCATGTCCGAATGGCAAAGCTTCGCTACCACGCCATGAGCTGCCTTTTCAAACCTCTGCCTATGTGTTTCATGGACTGTGCAAGCTTTCAAAAGTTTCCAGAGAGTTAACCATCTTTGAAAATGCTTTAGATCTCTGAAAACCAAAGATAACAAGTTCATCGCCGAAATGTACTGCCTGAAATCCAATTTATCTCTCGCGCACTCACATTTTTGTTACCGCAAGTAGACGAAGAAGCCGGAAATTGAGTTTGACATCTTTTTTGTTGCTTTTTGAGTTTACATATTCTGCGGATGTTCTAGTTGTCGAAAGAGAGGCGTTGAAGGTTGATGAAACACGTTTTATGTGCCGAAAAAGGAGTTTTAGGGTTGTTGGTTGTCTTACTGTCAAAGTTCACTTTGAAAAAACGAAGGCTGATGTTTTTAACAAGAGAAACCTAGAAAGGCTTGTTGTATAGTGTGAAAACGACCGATATCACTCATTTCAACATATAATATTAATCTTATCATGAAAAAAATTTTCCTACGTGAATACTATACAAAAAAACTCAAGAGCAACAATTAATCGACCAATTAGTATTTGGTTGGTTGGTTACACCAGTTCAGACCTACAGGGAGCCGTCCGGTTTGCACTGCGCCGTTTCCGCTGGCCATACTAGACCATTTTCGAATATTTTTTTCTATTTTATAAATGAACAAAACTGTTTCCGACATAACAGAAAAAAAATTACAGAAAGAATTATTTTTATTTACTATAGACGCATTTCCCAAACAAAGGTGAATTGGGAGGTCGATACAAATATACGGGTAACGACCTGATATTCGCGATTTCCACCGGATAGTCTGGCATTGCTTCTCGCGTGGTTATTTTTTGTTTCAGGGTTAGCCAATAAGATCCTGGAAGACTTGGGAAGATTTAAAAAACACAGGCGGTAAATAAACGACCGATGTGCCAGCCAGTGGCAATCGCGAATTTCAGGTACCTACCCGGTAGCATCCAGATACCGACCAGACCAGGTACTATCCAGGTACCATGGAGATAGTACTCGGTCGCATAAAAATGACCACCGATTGCTTTTAATTGCTACCGGGTACCTACTTGTTTCGACCTCCCGATTGACCAGTGAATTAGGCGGCTTGCTAGCGTTTGCAGAAACAGAATTTTGAAAACTTAGATTTATGATTGAATGTTCTAATTGTGTTTTTCTTCAAACTTGTTGATTTTCTGTCCAAAAACTCGTTATTAACGAAGGTATCGCCCAAAAACCGCGTTTGATGTATGCACAATATGAGCATACAGTGTGACAAACCGGACGGGCTGAACAATATTTGGCAAATACTGGGTTAAAAAAATGTATACCAATAAACTGGGTTAAAAAAAGTTATACCAATAATGCCGTGTTCAACGAGATTCCGCGAAATACGAAAAAGCCGTCAGAGAAAGAGAAAGATAACTAAATTTTGGAGGGTCAGAGACCATTGTGCATTTCGCGGAAATTACTTTGAACACGGCATAAAAGGGACACGCAGAAAAATGTACGGTAGCGCGCACAATAGTTGTTAGTACGTTTACAGAGATTACGCATTCCACAACAAGAAGAAAAAAAAAGTTGAGGAACCAGGTGATCTTGATATGGCTGGTGGCGGTGGTCGTTTCGCTGCCTCATGGGCTTTTCCATCAAGTCTACATCATGCCTGAAGTCGACAATTCGACGACGCCCCAGGTCTTTCTTTTTCTTCCTACCGAGAACAGAGTATGCGGTATATCAATGATCCTATATTATTAGAAAATTGTCTTATTTAATTTTCCAAACAAGTCTGGAAATTCCATTTTTGCGTATTCAGCTAAATAATTTCATACGAAAACTATTTTCGAAATCCCTGAAGTTACTTTGAACATAGCATCAATGGTGAAGCAGTTTATTCGCTGGTACTACCAACGGGAACACATTATTTCCCAACACTAGCTGTCACGCCGGGATGGACAATGATTGTGGACCGTAACCCGTGCCGACGACTAACTCTTCGATAATACCATCTTACTCTGAAGACTGAATAAATTGAAAGATTGAAATTGAATCAACTGGAAATTTTATTTTATTTTTCCTGGTTTCAGTGTCGACCAGTGTATGCGGAAGACTATTGGTGGAAGTTTTACAACATATATTTGACCATTATCCATTATTTCGTTCCGATGCTCATTTTGGACACGGCCTACACAATGATAGCTTTCAAGGTTTCTTTTTAAATATAGACTAGTGGTTAAATTTTACTTTTGATGCTTCTGTAAGACGTTTGAGTGCCTTGCAAAGGTTGATAAGAGAACACTTCAAAATTCAAAACTCGGAAAAAAAAAAAGTTTTTGTTCTGGAACATTTTCAGGAAACACTCACTGAGGGGTCTAACAAATGTCAATCCTTCCCGATTTTAAACAGTAAATAGGTAGATTGGCAAGGGTGAAACAAAAACGCAATGATTCAAAAAAGTAAATAAAAAAAGCCGATTCCCGACTAGCTTGGGACGCAGAGACATGGTCAGTCTGTTCTCTCCACCAACCAGACATTTTTCCTTTTTTTTTTTATCGTGTCAGGACCCTTTTTGATGGCTCAAGCCTCCCCCGCTAGACAGTGGGCCTCTGCAAATGGCTGGCAAAATTTAGGCAGGTCGCTTCATTTAAGACAAATGCTTAGTCCGGCGCGAGAGAAAAGCGAAGTTGGGACGATACGCAGAAAAACCTCGCAAATAAACCGCGCCTGACTCGCATTTTTTTCGCGTTTCTCATGCATTCCAAAAAAATAAATTAAAAATAATAACAAATTTCTAAAAAAAGCGAGGTCGCACCAACAAAAATGCAAAACTGTCGCGGCTATAAAGTAAGGCTTTTGCATTTACGAGTTTCGCAGCTTTTTCGTCACATACCCGAGGAGATCTATCACCTGATTTTTTTTTCCCACGTCTTCATTTTTTCAACGAGACTCATGTCGGTTTTGAAGATTTGGGCGGCGACTCAGGCATCAACCGACGAGAGCCCTACACTCAAACAAGCTAAACCAGTCGCCAACGAGATTTCAAACAAAAAGGTTCATTTTCTAAACAACCCGCGAAAGCATCTGTTGGCTATCTTTTCGGATACTGGCTCAAATATCTCGCACTGCCTAACTATGAGATTAAAATTGAAATTCAACTTGTTTTTGGAGTGTAGGACAATGCCACCGATTCGGGCTTGTTCAAGGATTTTGAATGACGATTGATTAGAAATAATTTTTGCTAATCAAGTAGAAATAGATTTACTTTTCGAGTCTTGTTACCCCAGGAGAGAAAGGGAGACTGAAAAACTGTGAAAAAAAATGAACAAAAAAATGTCTGGCTCTGAAACATTCGGCGGAATACAGAGGTGGGCCTGATAGTATTCAAATTGGTCTATCTAATGGCGAAAAGAGTAAATTTCCTAAATTGTTTTGAAGGCACGGTACCAAAGACAGTACATGCGGAAAATTGTTTGATTTGATTTTCTTTGGCGGAGATGACAGCCTCGAGGTTCAAAGTTCCGAAATACTAGGAAAAAATATCATTAGTTTTCGTGAACAAAAACGAGACCTGCACAGACCAAAAATATTTTAATCGTAAGATACACGGCGCCCACCCCTGTTCTTTTTTTTTTCCTTTTCTTTTGCTTGCTTCTTCTGAAATCTGTCTTTGCTGGATTTTATCATTGTTCAGCTGATGAAGATGCTCATCATTGTCGTTTTCTGCTTCTCTGTCTGTTGGCTCCCTTTGGAATCTTATCTTTTGCTCAACGAAGTTCGACCGGAAATTAATAGGTAAACAATTTTACGGACGAAAAGAGCTCTCTTTTGCAGCTGGAAATACATCAACATTTTCTTTTTCTGCGCCCATTGGTTAGCCATGAGCAATTCATGTTTGAACCCCATCATTTACGGTATTTTCAATGTGAGTTCCTGCAAGGCCGCATGTTATTTGATCGAGTTTCGAAGTCCCTGCACAGATCAAAACTATTGTAAAAACCAGTTTCGCATCATGGGCAGTTTTGCTTTCATAGTTCCTTTGGTTAACAAGTTATCGAAAGAAGCGTAATGATCTTGAAGGATTTCAAAGCATAGGGGCAGGAAAAAAGGGAGCTTTGAGAAAAGTATGCATTTTTAAGAGCTCTTTGTTGCGTTTCAAACGGATATTTTTAAAAAAAAACGTACCTGACTTCCTAGTTTTGGGGAAAAAAGTAATCAAAAGTCGACTTATTCGAAAAGAAAAAAGTTTTATTTTGCGCGAAAAGTGTGTCTGGCAGTAAAGTTGCTCTATCCACGGCATTCCTAATGCCGTGTTCAAAGTAATTTCCGCGAAATGCGAAATTGTCTCTGACCCTCCAAAATTTAGTTGTCTTTCTCTTTCTCTGACGGCTATTTTGAATTTCGCGGAATCACTTTGAACACGGCATAATGGGGGTGAGGGAAGGTGAGCGAGGCGTCAAAGTTTCTGAATTTACAGAAAAAATTTAGTGCGCGCTACGGATAAAATGCACTGAGTATTAAAAGTTAATAACTTGTTTGTTCGATCGCCTTCGGCTGAAGTACTGTAGATTTCAAATTTCGCGCCAAATTTTTTTTGACGTCTCCCCACCCCGTTTGGGAACACCGTGCTATCGACAACAGGCTCGCCAATTTTCGGATTTTTTTCTTTGTTTCTTTCGATTTTCAATTATTTCTGTTGTCGTCTTTTTTCACAAAAACTTTCTATTCATTAATAGTTCGCAAACTTTAATCGCGAAATGCTTCTCAGGTGGAAAATGAGGAATTTATACAGCTTTTGGTTGGGATATCGATATTTTGCGTTTCCTTTATTCTCCGGGTGTGTTTTTGTCCGCCTAAATGATTTTACAGAAAAGAAACCCTCGAATCCGAAAAAAAAGTTAAATCTATTTAGACTAAGTACAGTCGCGAGTATCGTCTCTTCTTCGGCTCTATGCGCTGTCGACCACTTTCTGAAAACAACGGGGAAGACTCGAGCAAGTTTGACACAGAGACGTGCATGGGCAACGGAACAGTTAGTTTTGAGCCTCTCGGCGTTTTTTTTTTTGCGTACTTAGCAACTCCAGACTGCTCTCTATTAGGGCAACCTGAGGAGCCCTTGCTAGTGGCCTCTGTGGGGAAGCGTGCTAGTGGTTCCTAGAGGGGAAAAAATGTCGGCCATTCCGCGTCAGCTTGTCACGATTTTCGTGTGTCTCCGAGCAAGAAGATCATTCCGTTCGAAGCGCGGGATGTTACTCTTTTTGTCCAAAAGAAAAACTGGTTTTATAGGGATCTTCTATAGGGACTGTTTTTCCTCTAACCTCTATAGGGACCACATTCGAATTCCTTAATAGCCTGCGCAATTTCAACTCTCTTGTACGATTTAGTTGCCCTTGTGTCGATTATTTAATAGAAAAGTGTGTCGTTTTGAAGGTGTGGTGAGTAACAGTGCCGATATATTAATGATCTTGAACGACTAGTTGAAGGAATTTTCAGTCTTGATTTTATTTTGTTGACAGAAACCTGTCAGAAAGTTTGGTCGTTTCGATGCCGTGTTGAAAGTGAACCCGCCAAATCCAAACTACTTTGAAAATACCAAAATCGCTTGCCGGGTTGATTATTAAAGTTTGATTACAAACAGGATCCATCATTGAGCAGTGATGCAAGTTCTATGGTTTTGAGAATATAGAAGACAGTTCGAAGCTATGGATGTTGTGTGCGAAGCGTGTATGTGATTCAGAACTGCGCGGTAGAGATGAGCAACAACGACGAATTTTTGCACTTGAACTGCTCGGGAGCTTTTGCATGAACGCTTGCACGAAAAGTGCATGGGCAGCAAATGTAGGTAAAAGATGGCTAGGCGCAAGTAATAAAAGTGGCTGCAGGTGCGTCGCCACTATCGTGACCACGAGTCGAGTGCGAACTTCAGCGGCGCTCCCAACCATACATAATCGTTGACTTTTTCCAGCTCCCCTTGGACCATTTCAGGATTAATAAATGTTTACTACTCGCATCCTTTTTATACGTGCGCAGGAAAGTGAATCGAACCATCAGCGAAGTTCTGTAAAGCTTTTGATCCGAGTTGGCAGTTTGACTTTTCTGATAAATAAACAGTACCGTCAGAAAAGCTACGAAAAGACGGAGTTCGGTCACAACTTTCTTGTAAAGAATTCAAATCTTTCTGAAATTTTGTGGAATTGGTATGACTGTGATTTTCAACATTCTGTTGAAGTTTCCGATCACAGAAAAAAAAAAACGCAGCTTTACTATCGAAAAAATTGAATTCCTTACAAGAAAGTTGCGACCAAAGTCGCGTTTTTTTCGTATTTTTTCAGGCCGTTCTGTAATTCCTTATAATCAATTTTTTAGCGGCTTTTTGCGAGAAACCCGAGCCCCCATTTTTTTTTTTCTAAGTTTTGACTTGAGCCGTCCATGAAAAAGAGTTTTTGTTACGTTTAGATTTAAAATTTTTGAAAAAAAAATTAATCGAATGATTTATTCTTATTTTAACATATTTTTCTACAATCGCTGTTGACCTTGAATTTTCCATTAAAAGCCGCATAATGTACGGCTCAAGTCAGCCTGATCTCTCACCTTTCAAGTTGGGAAAAATCCACTAAATCCGTTCATTATTTTTTTCTCGATGGTAAGAATTTCCGGCGGAGGGACTTTTCACGCAGCCTCCTAGACCTAGTTTAGGTTTATATCAAAGATTTTTGAGTGATCAAGGAACTTGTGTGTCGTTCGCTACGCCTGCAAAAGACATAAATATATAGCGGTCAGTTAAAAGAAGATTGGTAAATTTCTAAAGACAGGTCTCGGGAAACAAAATCAAAAGACAATGGTATAATTGAGCACCAATCGGAAGTGTGCTCACGCTGCTGCTCCGGTTGCCACCTAGCAACCAGATCAACCTTGCCCGACGCACTACCAAAATAAGGCTTGTGAATTATTCGCTAGCCGTTCGCCAGGTGCTCATTCTTCTCAACGTCCTTTCTTGTCCTGCTTTCGTGCGCCTGTTTTCCGCATTTTTGGAGCCTACTCTTTGCTGAGCGTCAGAATCGTCGAATAACTGTCAGTTTCCCTTATTTGAGCGTCCAAAATGCCAATTTTGACAATTTTCATGTCAAATCAAATTCACAAGTTGAGCGAGTCTTGTGGTGTTGAATTGTTGGGGCTGCCCATCACTTGTTCATTTGTCCATCTCGTTTTTCGCATCCCATGGCGAAGTTGAAAGTCCCGTAAACAAGTGCAAAAAAGCGGTTGCAAAAATACGGCCTAAAAAATTTCGCTTTGCAGTTCACATCAAGCCTTTTAATTACTCTACAATTCTAAGGCCCAAGTAAAGGTCAAAAAGAGAGAGAGACAGCCAAAAAAAAAGTCAATATATTTATATTTCTAGACTTTTTTTTTAGGAATAAAGTTGTCCGACTTTTTTTTAATCCCAGCAAAACTTCCAAAAATGCCGTTTCATACTCGGAATGGGAATGCAGGGAGAAAGGAAATTCTGCCAAGCATACGGACTAGGTGTAATCGGTAGGAAACATGTGCGAGGTTATTCACGCGAATGGGCAATCAAAGGGTTAGACAGATGTTCTGGCCATCGCTTTTGTCGAATCTTCCATATACGTCATCAGTATTCACATGAAATTTTTTTTCGTACTAGGTAACTATTGAAATTTTTACTCTGAAATATGTCATTCTTTAGGTGTATGGCGTTGACAATCGATACTCATTTCCTTGAGCTTTTGAGTATTTCAATTTTTTTTTTCCACGTACATTTATAGTGGTCATGCTCATTGCTGTAAATGTCAATCTCTACAAAGTCGGCCGTTTTTCCTTAATTCAATGCCCGCTAGCGAGGCAACAAACGCCTTTTTCTTTCCTGCTGCAGTCCTCTGCGATCTCTCCCGCCTTTATATGGGCGTTGAGAGAGAGGGAGAGGTTCTGGACTTGCCAGAAGCACAACACCCAGTAAAACGAGGGGTCCAAAGATCGATGTAGAGGCAGTGCGCGGAATGGAAAAACGTCGCCGCCGAGTGTCGGCATGCGAAAATTCCCTATTGCCTTGAACGACAATTGCCGATTCTCTCAATAAATTTTAACCCTTTGAAATAGTTTTTTTTTTCTTGTTCGACTTCAAGCCATCAATTCCTTGTAAAAAGGAAAGAATGGATAAAATTTTTATGTTTTTTTTTCGACTTACACATTTTTTTTATACTGATCACTTTCGAATAAAGGTTATGTTTCATACAGCTGAATGATGAGAGCGATTCAAAAAAAAAATTTCTGCTTCAGGTAAATTTTTTCATGTCCCATTGAAGATCTCTTTTCTTAGTAGCCACAAGGCGGCTGAAAGAGAACTTGTAAAACAGAAAATTTCTTATCTCTCAAGAAAATTTTACGAAAAAAAAAAGATTTTTTTCTATACTGCAAAAAGAAAAACTGAATTCACCGTTTTAAAGTTTGCTTTCATTCCTTTTCAAGCCAAAACAACAAAAAACCTCGCTGTTTGGAATTGAGAACAAATCATGGAGCGCGCCACTCAATTTGCGTCTATCATCCCATAAACGAAAGCTGGCCAAGGTGTAGGTAGGAGAGAGCGGAAGATTGGCTTGTTGGGTAGGTGACCGACCCCCATTCGAAATCTTTTCATTCGTTTTCTGTCATCTCGCTCAGAAGCTGAACCTGTTTAGATTGACGGATTTCTTCCTTTTTTCGCGCTCGTTCAATTCAAAAATGGATTTTCTGAATGATTAATATTTGATTACCCACGTAAATAGGAGCCGAAAGCGTTTCTTTAGAGTCCAGAAATGAATAAATCAGTAGGCCTGAGCCTTTCATAAAGTTCCTAAGCGCTCAAATGTTTAAACGTTTCAAATTATCATTTTTTTTTTCTTTTTCTGTGCGCACATGAGTTTTCCTTTTAATCAAATTTTTTCCAAGCAATAAACGAACTTTTGGTTTTCCGATCAAACTTTTTCCGACCGAAAAACGAACGTTTGTTTTTTTAATCAACATTGAATGAATGTTCGTTCCGATCAAACGTTCGATTTCGAAATTTCAATCAAAGGTCGGTTTCAATAAAAGTTTGAAATATGTTTAGTTGAACGTTCGTTCAAACGTTTGGTTTTGAGAACTCTAGTGAGTATAGTATTTTGTAATTTTGTTAATTTCTCATTTAAGTTCAATCGCGCTTGAAAATTTTTTATTATTGATTTGACTGTTCTCCTTTTCTCCACTTATCATATTAGCATCTAGTATTGCACCATTTGATGAAAGAAAAAAAAGATAGGAAAAACCGAGCGTAAAAAAACTTTTAAAAATTGATTTTTTGAAAAAAAAAATTTGCAAACCACTTCTTCTCTCTCTCTCTGTCTCTCTTTTTCTCAGTTTCCGTACACGCAACTTTTTTTGTTTTTGAAAAAAGACTTGTTTTTTTCCGATTGTAGGTCATTCAACTTTTTTTTTCAGGAAAATGATAATTTTAACTGCTTTGATGATGGTTCTGGGCATCACCTGCGAAAGACCCAAGCATAAAGATTCGATGAGCAACATTCTGGTCAAGATGAGGTTTCACTACATGTTTGCTGTTTCCCCCCTTTTTTTGTTGCATTTACAACCTAAAATTACATTTCAGTGATATTCCAGTCGGCTCCTGTGGTGGTGATTCGTATTTTTGGACTTGGAATCATGAATGGATTTCTGGAAGAGTGCGATCGGTGGCAGGTAAACAAATGTATATATCCTCTATTTTTCAAATAGTGAAATAGGTTTTTTTACTTAATTTGAGATCTTCCTCAAAAGTTTCCTGAGAGTATAGTTTTTAAGAATTATCAAGCACACAATTCGGAATTTTTTTGGTACCTGAAATATCAATTTAGGACACCTACAGTCAAAGATATGATTTTTTAAATTGCACAAATTACCTTGTTAAGGTTTTTTCTTAAAATTTCATTAAGGTTCTTTAAGAAGATATATTTATTAGAAATTTTAGGTACTTTATTCTGAATTTTTTTTCCTGCTAGGAAAAGTTTAGGGACCTCGATAGGGGGACAAATGTAGTCTCTTGTAGGGGACCCTCAACTCAATCCCTATCGGGGCCCTCTGAATTAGGGGACTCTATAGGGGTTGATTAAAAGGGGCCTTATTCTCTGAAGTTTTCTTCCTCATATTCGTCTCTTACTCTTGCAAACAACGTCCATTAAAAAAATTTACCCCATATAGGGGCCCCTTAATTTTTCGCACTGCTGGTGCCCCTATTTTTACTCCCCATCTGGACTCCGAAATGGCCAAATCCCTATCGGGGACTTTTCTCAGTGAAACATGAATTTAGGACAGGTGTCGAAAAAAGTTTTCACCGACTTTCGCGATACGCAAAACTCGAAATTTTCAAAATATTTCCAAATTTCAATCGTTAAGCTGACAAGAAATAAAGTTCGTCTCTGAATGACTCACTTCAAACAATCACAACTTATTTCAGAAATTTGTTTTATTCGACTGATCTAAATTTTATAAAGTACTTTGAACCTCTGTGTTAGACAAGTATATATTTTTGAGACGAATGACCGTCGCTCCTAAATTTTCAAAAATCATTAATTCGTTATAGTCGTTTTGACATTGAGTTGAGTTTGAAAGGATTTCTCACCGATAACCTTTCAGGGTTTTTTCAAAAAAGTAGGTTTTTTTGAATAGTAGGAGATGTAATTAGTTAATCAACAAAAAAATTCTGGAATTGCTTTTTTTATACCAACGTTTTTTTGAAAGGTTTCTTGTACATGATATTCTAGTTTTACCTCTGATTAAATAAATATAAGGTGCTGCCAAAGCGGAGAATTTGATTTTGCTGATGTATTTATTGTATTTTATGCTGGATTAGAAAGCTATTATCAAAGCTTTAAATTAGTTTTCCGCAGCAAGACATCTTGATAAACAGCCAGGCTCATTTGCCGTTCTACATTTCCTGATCGGATACTTCCGGTCCTTATTTTTATCCGTCGCAGTACTGTTACACATAATTTGAGTTCAAATAGCTGTCGTAATAATTTCGCTTTCTCGACTGATCTTGAAAAATAAAACAAAACAAAGACACAACTTACTTATGCGGATTTTGAACGGCTGAAAATAGTTCTTTCTTTTTTTTTCAAAGAAGTCTGTAACATAACTTAAAAAAAAGGACAAGTATATTTTGAAAAAAATTTATGTCAAAGTTGAAGTATCGAAAAGCGATATCCACTTCTTAAAAACCTGAAAGAAATTATGTCTCGTTGAAAACGTTTTTTTTTTTGAAAGGTTTGAACGATTCGATGATAGTCTATTCTCTCCGAATTTTTTTTTTGCAGAACCCGATCAACGCCACGGATTACGAGGAGTATAAATGCAAAGTACTCAGAGGTGCGTTTTTCGCTCTTAATAAAATTTGCACAATGATGTTCATTCCCAATGAAAAAAAGAATTCATTTTTTTTTGTTGGCTCTGGCTGGGAAAAAAAAAAGAATTCATTGTTTTTTGTTGGCTCTGGCTGGGGCTGGGGCTTTTCGAACATTTTCCGAAATCCAACGCGATTTTTGAGTGCACGGAAAAATGTCGAACGGAAAGTGCGAATGTGAACCCAGCTGGAAAGGTCCAATCTGCAACGAATACAATGGCTGTCCAGAAGGTCACTCACTCTTCGGCTCGGTGTATGTTAAATTAAGAACTTCTTTAAAAAAAAAGAAAAGATTTCAGATGCACAGCCAACGTTTGCCAGCACAATGGAGCATTGGCTGTTGGGAAAAAGGAAATTGAGTGCATTTGTCCTGTAAGAGTTTTTCAAATTTCATGTTTTCCCTTCTAGTTTTTTTCTAGTTTTTCGCCGTTCAGCAAGTTTAAAATCAATTTTTCGAAGGTAAAAATTGAATTATTATTTTTTGTACTTGAAATTACCAGGCAGAAACCAAATGATAAAACTGATAAAAACCATAAGAAACAGTAAAAATAGTCTTTTCCGATTTTTATGGCTAGAGAACTTTCTAACGGCAGCGTATCAAAAAAGTCCCTAAGGGAGGGTCCCAGTTTGCGTCTTTTATAAGTCAGTTTTCTGTTTTCCTTTTTCAATTCAACTAGAAATTTTTTTTTCAATTTTCGAAATCACCTTGAACACGGCATAAGCTTAGTGAACCGGTTTGTACATTTTCGGAAACAGTTGATGGAAAATTTAACCGGTTCGCCGGAGTTGGTCAGTCGTTAAAAATGTATGTTAAAATGTACGGGGCTGGAATAATTTTTTGGTGGTATGAAAAAAACACCAGCGAAAATTCAAACGGCGACTTTTCCGATTTTTTCGTTTCGCTAGGGAACTTTCCGACGGCCACCTTTCCGACGAAACTTTTTACGACTTTTTTCCCTTATGCTTTTCGGTTTATAAAACATCTATGAACATTTTTTTCCTATTTCTTTGTGTTTTTAATTATGAACAAACTACCTACTTTATATAGGAAGATGTAAAACGAAGAGTTTATCGAGAAAAAAAAGTCGGAAAAAGATTCGTCGGAAAGGTGGCCGTCGGAAAGTTCCCTAGCGATATGAAAAAATCGGAAAAGTCGCCATTTGAATTTTCGCCGGTGTTTTTTTCATACCACCAATTTTTTATTTTGATTTAACGTATCTTTCCGAAACGATGCGTGTTTCAGGTCCCATGGGACGGTCGGTACTGCGAACGGTTGGCTTGTTGGCGCAAAACCAATCATGGTGGGAAGAGGAATAAATGACTCGAAAAAATCTTTACATCGTTTCAGGCCAAGAAAAGCGGTATCGGAACAATGGAAACGAATGCATTTGTGGAAATCACTTCACCGGCGAACAGTGTGACGTTGTCACAGCATGTCTGAACGGAGGACAGCTCGACATGGGAAAGTGGGAGAGAAAAAAAAACGCAAAATCCAATCCGAGAATTGAGGTGCAAATGTCCGGATGGTTGGCACGGAGAGCTTTGCGAGAAAAAATGCCCCAAGGGAAAAGTGACGTAAGATAATCTTTACCACATAAACTCATTTTCAAGTGATTTCAGGTGTCAATCGAGCAATTTGTCTTTCCAAGTCGTCTTCTCCTTACTCTCACTTTATTTGCTCCGTTTCCGATAGAGCATAGTTGCGATTAATGTTGACTAATCCCGCTCATTTTTTCAAGCGCTTTGTAGAATGTGACATCTGTATTCCCGATTCTACATTTTTCATCGCTAGCTGTCCATTAGAGACGTATAATAAACATCTACTTCCGGCCCAAGACGGCGGTGGAAAAACTTTAAAACAAAATCTAGTCGGTCTTTTTTTTCATCTTCTCACGCCGTATTTTACAGTTGTAATGTTAACATGTTTTTCAACATGCTTAATTCCTTTTCCCGCCAATTTTTTTCGGCGTCAAAATTTTTAAATTTTTTCTGAAGCGCGACGAAAAAAGCCTCTCTGAGCGCTACGCCTTTTTGCGCCCCAAGCTAGCTGTGAATCAGCTATAGTCTGTTCAGATTTCAAATAGCTCAAGTTCCGTTTTCGAATGACGTCATTCTACTCAGAATTCAAAATCTGAACGGACTATATAATTATAATTCCTCACTGCTCCAGCAGTTGAACGTACTTTTCATAAACTCATGTTTTTTTTTTATTTTTCACATGTCACTGCCACTGTGTTGTGCTCTACAGATAATATTGCATTACGAAACGTTGTTTTTTTATACAAAAAAATTTATATTTTTCATTGAGAATGATTTCGCGAAACACGCAAAAATAAAAATTTCGATAGCCATGAAAAAAAGTTGGTTTATAATGAGATGTCGACTTTCACGCGCAAATTTGATTTTTTTAGAAAAAAATTTTCCTGGGTTTTGGATTTTTTTACGGCTCCGGAGCCGTAAAAAGCTCCTGAAATTCGAACTTTTTAGTATATGGCGAAACCATTTAAAAGAAAAAAAGCATCGATTTCGAAATCGTGTACATTTATTTGAACACGGCATTATTTTTCATATATATATGTATAATTTATAAATAATTTTCTACGTGCTTTTTTTCTCTTCGATGAGCATTTCAACATTTCCAACAAGAGGTCGTTGCCAGAATTTTTTTTGTCTTTCAATGAGTTTCTTTTTCCGCCATATAATCCTAAATTGTTTCTCACTTTACAGCTCAACTACTAGAAGAGGCAACTCAATATGAAAATCTGAACGTTCGTTTGCTGTTTTGTTCAATATGATAATGATAGGAAGACATTTTGGGTCCGCGAATATTCGTGAGCGTGAACTGTGCATAAACCAGGGGGCTCGAATTTTTGCAAACTTGCTGGGAAACTTTTAGTGGCCACTATAGAGGCTCGCCAAGGACTACTTGGAAAGGACACTAAAGTGGCCACTATTTTCCGTTTTAGTGGCCGCTTCAGAGGTTTTTCATCCAGCATTCCTCCCAGTAACTCTGATAGTTTGAAAAAAAAAAAACAAAGAGTTGACCAGTTCACGGCGCAGTGGAGAGGAGGATGGTACGATTTTATCTCAAGTCCGCAAATCTTCGGAGGCGTTATCTCAGAGTACCGTAATCTCAAGGCCCATATAATCTCCGAAACCAATTACACCCAATTTTGGGGACTATATCGCAGCGAGAGTAACGCTATACCGCGGGGGAGCCGCGAGCGATATCGCTCGCCACTCGCTGCGACCTCGCAAACGTCTTTCGCTATATCGCTCTCTGAAAAATTTTTCTTCAAAAATGTTTTTTTCTTGAATTTGATTGGTTTGATCATAAAAGTCAAAAATAACACTAAGAATAACTGACGAGATAAAAGCGAGGTCGGTGGCGGTACATTGACGAGCTCGCAAACATCTCGCTTTTTTCAAGGCGCGATCTTGCATTTCTCTCGGCGCGACCTCGCATTTTTCTTGGCGCCATCTCGCATTTATCTCGCACTTCGGAAATTTTCAAATTGCGAGAGAAATGCGAGCTCGCGCCTAGAAAAATGCGAGCTCGCGCCCAGAAAAATGCGAGACCGGCGCGAGATGTTTGCGAGCTCGTCAATGTACCGCCAGTGTCTCGCGTTTATCTCGGCAGTTATTCTTAGTGAAAGCAAAAAAAATGTTCTTTTTTTTTTGCATAATATTTTCGTTTTTCAAACTTTTTTTTATTTTTTCCACTAAGTGAAAATAATTTTCAACTTTTCAAATTAATATTTCTTTCTATTCTTTCTTGTCCTTAAGCTTCTCTGATCACTTTCTCATGTGGACGGCAAAGAAAAAAAGAGTGAAACTCGAACTTCGAAGTGGCTTATCTTAATATTGTCCAGCTTCTCAATAAAAGTGGAAATTTGATGAATAAATTAGGGTTCGGCGAAAAATTTTGATCGGAGATTGTATTCTGAGCACAACACAAGAAAAAAATGAAAACAAAATGCAAAAAAGAGAAAGAAAATATAAGTTTTTTTGTTTTCGGAGATAAGTGGTTTCGGAGATTATGGGCCTTGAGATTACGGTACTCTGAGATAACGGCTCCGGAGATTTGCGGACTTGAGATAAAATCGTATCGAGAGGAGAGTAATGCCGTGTTCAAAGTAATTTCCGCGAAATGCGAAATACCCGTTAGAGAAAAGAAAAGATCACTAAATTTTGGAGAGTCAGAGATCATTTTGAAGTAGTAGTAGTAGTCAAACTACGTAAAACCGTGTTCAAAGTAATTTCCGCGAAATGCGAAATGGTCTCTGACCCTCCAAAATTCAGTTATCTTTCTCTTTCTCTGACGGCTATTTTGAATTTCGCGGAATCACTTTGAACACGGCATTAAATTTTTGAAGCTATAGCTATAGCTTTGGAGCGCGCTTGGTGCATTTTCCCGCGAAATTCATGCCGTGTTCAAAGTAATTTCCGCGAAATGCAAAATGATCTCTGACTCTCCAAAATTTAGTGATCTTTTCCTTTCTCTGACAGCTATTTTGAGTTTCGCGGAAATTACTTTGAACATGGCATCAAAATTCCAAATCATTTTGGTCAATTTTGCCCAATTTCGTTGTTTTTTTCGTTCTTAAAAGTGAGTATGAGTTTTTGTGAATTGGGACCGGCTTTCCATGAACTAGAGCGTAGTACGCGTGTTTTTAAAGTGGTTTTATCTGCATTAACGTGCTAGTTCTGACTTCGCGTTAAATCGCAAACCGCTACTCCCTGACGTCATCCCTATGACATCATCTTCATTTGCGAAATTCGCACACGCAGCCATATCATTTTATTCATTTTTTTACGTTCCAATTTATAAAATTAGATTCGACGTGAAAAACTTTTTCCGGTCACATGAGAAACAGAAAGTTATCACACTTAAAAAAATCCCCTTTTGATTGGAAACTTTTTCTCACTTTTTTTAGAAACCTTTTAAAGGTTTTTGAATAATCCCTAGGCGTCGAGGCCCACGCTTACGCACAGTATGCTCCTTTATTTTTTTTTTTTGGGAAATACATTTCAAAGATTTTTTCGCTACGCGTATCAAGTTTGCAAATCGTTTAGAGCTACCTGATAGTGTTATTAGTGTCCACGTTTTGAAACTAAATGCCTTTTATGTCAAGTATTCATTTATTTGACGAATTTTTCACTGTGGCTGAGTTTTTTCGAAGCGAGCCACAGTCGGCTTCGCGCTATGCGCGCTCCGCCTCCGTTTGAAGCCTTAAAACTAAGCCTATTTCCTTAAGTAATACATGAACCTGTAGGCGCAGTTTTAATGCAAAGGCGCAATTCAGGCTCTTCCCATTCTTCAATTTTTTCAATTTCAATTTCAATTCAATTTATTCAGTCTTCAGAGTAAGATGAAGAAAATCTCTGCTGAATCATGGTATAATCGAAGAGTTAGTCGTCAGCGCGGGTTACGGTCCACAATCGTTGTCCAATACGTCCCGGAGTGACAGCTAGCGTTGGGAAACAATGTGGGACCGCGGGTAGTACCAGCGAATGAACTGCTTCACCATAATGGAACAGTACGGAGTCCAGCTTGTCCAGGGCTGACGGGCGTCGGAATATTATCCCATGCGAGAGCGGCAATGAGACCGACCAGTCGACGTGATGAAATGAGATAATAATAATCTGCTGAATCATGTTCACGTAAATAAAATGAATATATAGCCAAATATTTCGATTACGCTTATTTCTTGTGTTACGAATGATGTCATGAAATGATGTCAGGGAGTAGCGGTTTGCGATTTAACGAAAACTCTAGTTCTGAAGTTATAGCACTCCAAAATTATTGAAAAAAATTTAAATTGCAAATTTTTTTAGCTTTTTTTAGGAATTTATTTCATTGAGTGTGTTTTTATTATTTGAGTAAAAAGCAATATCCCGATTTTTTTCATATACCTTCTATGAACTAAAAATTCTATGAAATGTTTAAACTTCTTTTTTTCTTAAAAAAAATAAATTTTGTCAAAATTATTTTTAATTGCACTTTTTCCGTTCAAAAACTGTTAGAGCTTCATTATCCAACAAGTTTTTTTAACCTTCACCATTGCTTTTTAGCAGCAATAATCAACTTTTTAGGACATTTTGAATTTATTTCCATGAAAAGTTGGACTTTTGAGTATTTCCCATTTTTTTATATTGAAGATAAATAAGCAATCAACTCTTTTTTCACTTTTTTAGATTTGTCAGCTGAAAAAAACTGAGCAAGATGGGTTTTTGAATTTTCTATTACAAAATTAAAAAATAGAATTTTTTGACCATTTTTTCCTTGAAAATCGATGCCGTGTTCAATTTGATTCCGCGAAATGCAAAAATACCTGTTAGAGAAAAGAAAAAGATCACTAAATTTTTGGAGAGTCAGAGATAATTTTGCATTTCGCGGAATCAAATTGAACACGGCACGAACTAATCACCACAACGAAAATAAAAAACCAGTTTCCGTTTTTTTTTTTTCGGATATTGGGTGGTTTTTTTTTTCATTTATACCTCTGCCTCCAATTCAAGAACAAGCTGACTACAGTTCGACAGTTTTTTATTTCAGAATTTGGATGCAGTTTCGTTTGATTTTTCGCAAAAACTTTGCTCCACGCAATCTTCACCTCTCGTCGTTCAACAAAAAAATGGTTTTTTTTTTTAATTCGAAAAATATAAAAAAATTTTGAAATTTTGACTCGAAAAATAGATGATGTTCGAGAAAAGGAACACGAGCGCAAATTGAAGGAGAGGTATCCTCATCAGAACCGAATGAAATCTCCTCCAGAAAATGAAACCAAGGTTCTCTCTTTATATGGCTTTTTTTTTCTCTTTATCGCAGTTTAATGCGTAAAAAAACTAAAAATCTGAACTTGACAACTTGACAGGTAACCGCTGTTCAGCCCAAAAATGGCTCCAAGGTCAAAGAACAGCAGATGAAGCGCCTCGTCCAGGTCATTTATAATTTCGTTTTGGTTTATTTGCTGCTTCTTCGTTAGTCGCAGAGTTCATTACAGAGAACGGCTTTTCTTTATGTTGGTTGGTCTCTAAAATCCGGAAAAAGCAATAACTGAAAATAAGAGAAGAAGTTTGTATAGCCGATTCGCGGCCAACTTGGGACGCTGAGGGCACTAAAGATAAATACCGAGTCTGGCGCGAGAGAATTGCGAGGCCGGTGGCGGTACATTGACGAACTCGCAGACATTTCGCTTTGTTCTCGCGCCGGTCTCGCACTTCCCTAGCGCGAGCTCGCAATTTGAAAATTTCAGAATGAAAGGTCGGGCCGAGAAAACTGCGAGATCGCGCCTAGTAAAAAGCGACATGTTTGCGAGTTTGTCAATGTACCGCCAGCATCTGGCGTTTATCTCGACAGTTATTCTTAGACGGGCCGTGGCGTGTCTGCGCTCTCCATCAACCAAAAAAAAAAGTACATTGGCTGGTTTTTTTTAGCACCCAGGTAGAAATTAACATCAAACCAACTTTGTAGGCCTAAAAATAATCATTTGAAATTAAAGAATTGCAAGTTTTTGAATAAGTTTTTTTTATTGTCAAAGACTCTCTCATAGACGTGTCCAAATTTAAATTTGTTTTAACTTTTATTTTTTTGAAAAGTCCAATTTCTCGATTTACGTAAATGCTTCAAATATTGTGTACGAGTAAGATCACGTTTAAGTGAGGGGGAACAATGCTCCATAAGGGTTCGCGTGTTTTGATAAGTGCGAATATATACAGTACCGTCAGAAAAGCTACGAGAAAACGGAGTTTCGGTCACAACTTTATTGTAAGTAATTCAATCTTTTTGATACTGTGTGGAACTATAATGACTGTTACTTTTTACACTCTGTTGAAGTTTTAGTCCACAGGAAAAAAAAAATACAGCTTTAAAAACTATCAAAACTATCAGGAAGATCGAAGTCGTTATGTAACAAAAAAAAATGTGTTTTTTTTCCTTTTTATTTAGCCAAAACGAAAATAATTGTACCGATTAAGGTTTCGTGCGATGAATCAGGCCGCGTGAATCGTCTCATCGACAACGAACCATTTTATCACGGTTACATGGCCCGCGATGAAGCTGAAAAACTCCTCTCGAGGAACGGAGAATTTTTGGGTTAGTTTCTAGCTCAACCTCGTTTGATACAAGGCTTTTATTGAACGAAAAAACGCCTTTCATGGAGTCACTGGCCAAAAAACTCGTTGTTTTGATGTAAACGTTCGGGTTGCTCCTAACATTTTCTCGTGCAAAGTGATCTTTAAAAAAATATATAGCTTCGCCGCGGATTTTTTTTTCGTGTGCGAAAACAAGAAAGCTTAGAGTCTTGGACCTCGGTAACGAAAACCGGAAGTGCTCCGGACGTTTTTGAGCGTTTTGTGGAAGCCCTTATGAGTGCTGAAGCTGCTACAGTGGTCACTAGAGATCCCCCGACAAGTCCGAATTGCTTCCGGTTCGCGTTACCAAGTTACCAAGGTTCGAGGAAGTTTACGGCTTTTTTGGTGACAACCTATAGCTGATTCACGGCTAACTTGGGCCATCGAAAAAAGGGTCCTGACGAGATAAGAAAAGGATCAGTCCTGGTTAGTAGAGAGCGCAGACAGGCCCCGCCCTTCTGCGTCCCAAGCTAGCCGGGAATCAGCTATAGTGGTTGATTCAGTATAGAAAAGCCAGTGAGGAAAAAAAAACATGATCAGAACGTTTTCTTGCCGCGCTTAATTGCGAATTACTGAAAAAAAAAAGAATTGCAAAAAAAATTCGATTCGGTTTTTCCTGAAAATTTTCAGTACGAAAAACCGAGATTGGGAATCATGTCCATTATGTGATTAGTGTTCTGCATCGAGGAGCTCATCATCACATCTTAGTGAAAAGAACCAACAAGGTTCGTTAGAAAATGTCAAATGATAGTCGAAAGAAGGATGAGTTGTGGGAACGTCAAACCAGAGGTGGAGGATGATATCTGTAGGCCGCCATGGCTGCATTATCTTTGAAGCCCACAAGGTAGAAATGACTTTTTCAAAAAGTCAGCATATCGAGACGGCCATTTGGTATGGCAAAATGGTCCTAACATCTAGAAGCGAAGACTAAAAAATTTTTAAGCCTCTTCCGCCTGAATATATTTTCGGAGATTGAAAACGTTTCATTGAAAATTTTTAACTGAAATTTCTGGTAAAGATGTTGAAAAAGTTAACTAAAACTTTGGAAAAAAAAAATAATTAAAGATGTACACCAATTGAAATGATTAGTTCAGGGCGTTATCGCCACGTACTTGACCTATTAGCCAATAACCAAGTATAGCTGATTCACGGCTGGCTCGAGCCATCGAAAAATGGGTTCTGACACGATAAGAAGGCATACGTCGGCTGGATCTCAGCCCGGGGTGCGGCCTTACTAACTGCAGACCACGCCTTTTAGCGTCCCAAGCTAACCGTGAGTCAGCTATAAGTTTATGGCTCATTTCTATCTCATGGCTGCCATCCCACCATTGAGCCAAACCATGTTTGACTGAAAAATTCGTGGATGTCATATGACTAGATTTGTGCAAAATTTCAGAAGAGATTGTACTGGGTGATGACTTTTGCGTTCAAGACAATCGCCGATCTTATTCAACACCACAATCGGTGATCCATCTGTTTATTGCATCGTGCAAAAAAAAAAATGAATCAAGGAATCGAATACCGGTTTACGATGAGATACTCTTGGTCAAGCCCGTTTTCAAACAAGATTGGCAGCTGAACCATGAACAGGTAGACTTCTAAAACAAAAAGAGATAGTTTAAGGCTGAGAATTAGCTCAATGAAGTCCCGCCTGCGCGAACTGAATATCAACGTATCCACTGCATCAGCTACCAAAATGCATTCTCAAATTCAATCGGGATATCCCCGTATTTCAATACTGTTAATGTGCCCTCCGATGTCATCCCAATGCTATTTTGGTCTACGGGGTCTGAGAGAGCTTTAGAAGTATATTTCTCAATAGCATACCGATATCTACCTTACCTTGTATTCCATTTATTGACAGAATTTCTAGATGTCGTCTTTTCAGAATCTTGACTTCAGCGGCCAGCTCTGCCCACGCGAGCAAAGTACCTTTTCGCGTGGATGTTTGACGCGCGCGACGATGATCCTCTCAAAGCGCTTTTTAATAATCTTGATTTAATAGCTTTAAAAAGGAAGAAAAAAATGCATCGCTATGATGGATCATCGTCGCGCGCAAAAAACATCACCACGAAAGGTACTGCAGCCATGGGGCGGAGTCAGCTGAATGACATTCAAAATCTGAACGAAATTTAAACCTAACTCTCGATTGACCTCAAACACTCTTTTGTCTACTAAATTGTGTTTTTAGGTGGAACTCATTCAGGAACTGGGATCTGGTCAATTTGGAAGCGTTTACAAAGGCTGGCTTCAAGTATGTCTCCTACGTTTTTCAAGTATATTAGGAAACGAGACATAAAAAACATTATTTTTGTAAACCGTTAATCTCATTCGCAGACGATTGTGGATAGCATTAAATTAAAAGTGATGCTCGTTTTTTAACTCTTACTTCAATCCAAAACCGTTTCGCGACCGCAACAAGCCGACTTTAAAGCTTGAAAACAACAGAATTTAGTGCTGCACAACCGATTTTAATCATTTTCCATCAACAGGTGACTCCGTTCCGCTCGAAAGTGCTCGTAGCGGTGAAAACATTGCATGAACAACACTTGAACGCTGATGACCGCATCAAATTTCTCAAAGAAGCCAATCTCATGTTGAAACTGGACCATGTTTGTTCGATTATTGCGGAATACGAGCTTGATCTGTTCGTTTTCTTCAGCCAAATGTTGTTAAACTATACGGGGTTTGCGCCTCACGAGAGCCGATAATGATCGTTATGGAGTACTGCGCGAGCGACTCGCTCGAGAATGTCGTCACTAAAAAAAAGGTACGGAAAAATTCCAATGTTCCGAGCTCCTCGAAACATTCGTTTGGTCAGGTAAGAAAAATTTTAACAAGTTTAAATTTAGATTTTTGTTAAATTTTTTATTTCCAAATATTGATTTTCAGACTAGCAATGTAGAAAAGGCAAACTTCCTGCACGGCGCTGCGAAAGGATTAGAATATTTGCACCATGAGAAAATTATACACAGGTATAATCTTTTTTTTCTCCCGCTCCGCCTGGGAAGAAATTAAGATAAAAGAAGTAAAAGTAGAAATTTTAAGTGGAGGTATTTTAATACTAATAAGAGGAAGACAATGGAGAGCAAGTTTTTAATTTCGATAAAAATATTATTATCCACAGCATGAAAATGAGGTAGTCTCGCGTCACCTCTTGAGAAAACAGTCATTTCTACATACTCAACGGTGACTTTTCAATGTTTATATACGTTTAATTGAGTTTTTTTTTTCCTGTTTACCGCGCCGATCACTTTAAATGTGGTGGTAAAGGGCGGAAACTTAGAGGACCTTCAATTCAAAGCTGACAAACGTTCTCCGAAAGAATCGATGAGCTTCGAAAACATTGCGGCGCAAAAAATGCATGTTTTTGAGCTCTTAATTCCATCAAAAAAAAAACTACACAAGTCTCTGACACTTCAAGTTAAATTTTTTGACAGGCTCCGCCCTTTTTGAGATTTAACGTAGTCAGCTCGAAAAAAAAAGAATTTTTAGCGCCAACGATTCGTCGCATATCTCAGAGAACGAGTGTTAGGAGCCAATTGATATTCTTTCTCTGTTCAAAAGTTTGGGACATAAATTCTTCAACCTAACTTTAAATCAGAACATTACATTAAAAATCACGGAAAAAAAATGGTACACAAATCTGAGAAAATCTCCCAACGGAGGATGACTATCGGCGCCTACGCTCGTGACTCCCTAATAACAACGACTTATACAGAGATATCGCTGCTCGAAACTGCCTGATAGACAGCCGGGGAAAAGTAAAAATCTCGGATTTTGGACTCTCAGTCAAAGGCGTCGAAGTGAAAGATCAGAAAGGCGGCCGGCTTCCAGTCAAGTTGGAGGGAGGCTTCGGCTGAATAAGACATTTTTTTACAGGTCAATGGCCCCGGAAACGCTGCGCCGAGGACTCTACAGCAACGCTTCGGACGTTTACAGTTTCGGTGCGATGATGTTCGAAGTTTACAATGAAGGCCGAGAGCCGTTCGGCGAGTGCAACCTTGATGGAAACCAACTTCGCCGCGCCATCATCCACCAGAAGGTGTATCTCCAAAATTAAGACACCGTAATTTTGTCTGCAGGTGGTATTGTCAATCGGTAAGCACTGCCCAGCTGAAATTGTAACTCTCTTCGATTGGTGTCGGCAGTTTGATCCCAAGCTTCGCCCCAGTTTCACTCAAGTACTCGAGTATTTAATAACTGTGATGGGCTCTTTCTTTCTTTTTGTATTATCGATTGACGCTCAGATCGACGGTGTTCCTCTGGAGGATAACCCCAAATTTCGTAACAGGGTGCAGGCCTTTATGACTTCTGTTTTTCATAGGTATTTTTTTTTAACTTTCATAAGCTTGTGTGGATGTCGAAAGGTGATTATAAAAATTATAGTTCGATCACGGAGCTTTAAAGAATGACAGTAAGCTTGTGAATCAAAGGCAATAGTGGGTCCGTTATCAGCGAGATTCAAAACAAGGCAAACTCGGAAAGGATCGAACAAGGCTTCATAGAAATGTTCCTTTTAGGGCGAGAAAGGCTCCTTTTTTGCTGCCTCTCCCTTTTCTAACGTCCTTGGAGCCTTTAAAATACTAGAAAAGAAAATTGGAAGGCTTGATAAAAGAAATTTTTGCTGCCTTTTTGCGGCTTTTTTGAGCCCCTCCCATTTAGCGGCTATTATCCCCCATTCCGACCTTGCCCGAAAAGTGAGAATGAGGAAAAACTTTCTTTCGAGGTAAACTAGTTCTCACTGATGCATTAAATTTTCTGCTGAAAAAAAAAGAAGAATTGGAACAATCGAGTTTGCGAGAATTAGCACAGATTAACACGGCTCTCATCTTTTATCACATCCTCTATGTCAGATTCTATGTAATCCTTCTAATCCGGCTTTGTGTCGAGATGAAGTCTCAATTCTTCCCTTCTTCTTTCTCGAACGTTTTTTTGTTTCCCTCTTTTCCAACATTGAATTTGGGAGAAAGCTCGATCATATTCGTTGTCTTTTTTAAATTGTTTCGGTTAATTTCATGATCTACGACTCTTGGTCAGAATTTCGCCTTGACTGAGTTTTAGTTTGTTCAACCAGAGGGAATATAATCAAACCAGTTTCCCGACAAAACTTTAAGCATAAATGAAAAAAAAAAAAATCAAATCAACAACTTTTCTCAAGAACTCATCATAATCCGTATTTTTTCAGAAATGTTTGAAGGAGAAAATATCGCGAATTAGTTCAAACTACATCAGACAAACTTCCAAATCATCAAAGATTTTCAAATGAATCATAAAAATTCCACTATGTTCTGATCACCAGTCAACTGCCAAATGAGATTTGGTTATTCGCAAACTTTGAATCTGATGTTAGTAGTAAACCTCATATAATCTATTCATCCAGACTTGAAAGGCGACGGATGCGGGGAAGTGCTCGGGACGCGAAGCGTGTGCGCACGCGGTTCTTGGAATGAGTTCAATTCAAACGCCAAAGACTATTTAAAAAGCTCCCTCACCGCTCTTCTACTACTTCTCAATGTAAAAATGAAAAGAATTAATAAAGAGTTTAAAAATAAAGGAAAAAAGCGCTCAATGAGCTCTGCAAGTAGTCGCTAGCGGTTGAATTGAACTCGTGCCAAGAACCTCGAACGCACACGCTACGCGGCACTTCTTTGCCTCCCTCGTCTTTCAAGTCGGGAAAAATTGACTATGAACCAGTTTTTTTTGTGATTACTTTTCAGACTTAGCCAATTCATTAAAAAAATTTTTTTTCTGCAAAAGCTCAAATAAGGTTGCATGTTCCTTTCGAATGTCTTCAAAACACGTTTCGAACTATTTTTTCTAGTGTAAATTTGTGCGCGAGAGGATAGTTCTCGTGGCGCAGAGAATGGCAAGGGATCAAAAAGAACCTGTGTATTTGGCGCTATGGCCGGCGGTCGAGGACGGAGTCCCGTTGCCAGCCTTGCTACTTGTATTCGCCTTTCTCGTCTGTCTTGGCTTGATACTCAACGTTTTCGTCATCTACCGGATGAGTCGGCTTTTACGAAGAAATCGCGATCAGGCGAGTCATACTCGATAAAATAGCCTAGTTGTGAGCCTACAGCTAGCCATCACAAAAGTTTTAGTGGAATATCGGAATAATCGCGTCAAAGTTATAAAAAATTAAACGCGAGGCCTTGTGCTACCATCAGCCAGCAATTCTCAGATAATAATAAATTCTTCTCAGGTCGAGTTTTGAACAGAACTTTTGCGACTAATTTTCACCAAAAGAAAAAAAAAAGAATCATATAGGAAATTTCGAAACGTTTCCAATGGAACATAATCTTTAATCCAATTCTTTCTAGTTTTTCAATGGGACCGGCGTCTACCTAATGGCGATGGCGATTTGCGATATTGCCTCCTTGCTTCTATCGTACCTGCAGCTCTCGATAATGCTCATGTCCGACAGCATGTCTCCCAACGGCTTGACATTTTTGTGCAAAGTTGGTCATTTTTTTCAATTTTCACATATTCATTTATTGTTTGAAGATGTCCGAATTTTTGGCGCGCTGCTCTTATTCGTTCAGCATGTACTGTTGGCTGTTCATGTCGGCTTTACGTTATTTGGCAGCGTGCCAACCGCTGAGGTACTCGACGGTGTGGAGGAGCCCGTGGACGGCATTGAGCGCCGTTGCCGCCGTCACTCTTGTCCTCAATCTTCATACCTTGGTGTCTATCACCGGAAATTTCAACCACGGCTGCGTCTTGCACATGGATGTGAGTTGACGGCTTTCTCCTAGCACTCAACGGGAGAGTTAACATTTTTTTTGAAAAAATTGATTATCTGGCTCATTGGTTTTGTACATTCAAAATTTGGAAAGCCTTGAGTTTGAATTATGGTCGATCCTCTCCGTTCTGAAAGGCGAGATGGGTAGATCATTCCGTACGCGACCTGGTTTTTGGCGGCAAACTCGGATTCCAAATGGAGCCTACTTATTCTTCATGTTTTTTTCCCTCAACCTCACCATTCTGCCCATCTTGCCTTTCAAGTCGGGAAAAATTTTCTATAACAGGGAATTACTCCTATTTCACAATTTCTGGGGCAGTTAAAGTCTGGAATGATAGATGAAATGAAGTTATTGAGATAATCGTAGAAAAAAAAAATTAAGTAACAACTTTCAGGCACTCTCAACGTTGTATAGCGTCGCCGATGTGATCCTTTCGGCTGGTTTCTCATCTCTTTTCATTCTAGCTCTCGACATACAAGTTCTCTGTTGTCGGAGCAACCGTAAAAACTCGGATCCGCTCCTACAGACTGTTTTCCACAAGCTCGAAGAAGATGCTGCCAATGTTTGTTCTATATATCCTCGGATTTTTCGTTAAGAAAGAAATTTCATCAACAAACTTGCGAAATTCAAAAATGATTGTTTACTAATATTCGTTAGCTTTTTCGCTTTCTGAAGGTAGTTTCTAACAACTTCTAAAAAATAGATTTGAACTCGGTATCATAATCGGATGTCACTTAACTTGACGGTTTTTTGATGGATCTCTGTAGGCGAACCGAGAAAGGTATCGCGATACCCTTTGAGGTATATCGCAGGCTCTGAAGAGAGGATGGTATAGTCTGTTCAGATTTCAAATGTCAAGTCCTCGCTGAAGCTCCGCCCCCTAATGGCGCGAAAAACCAATCAGAGAGCGAGCCATCCACAGAGCGTTTTCAAATGACATCATTCCACTTTACATTCAAAATCTGAACAGACTATACCTCGAGTATACCTCTGAGAACTTTGATCAAAATGAGATAGACTCGAGGTAGACTTTAAAACTTGAGGGAGAAAATTCCAAGTCGCCAATTAAAATTACCTTCTTGTGGGCCAATTTGTGTTAAACGCAAACTTTAAAAATTAATATCTCAGAAACTAGAAGTTTGCGCAGGTAACGATTATGAGAGATCTTCATCTAGACATTCAGAGTGTTTGAGCAAACTCGTAGAAAATTCAAATCGTCAAGTAAAATAACTTCCCGTGTTAGGAATTGCAGAAACGAATCACGATGAGATGGTTTATGATGATAACACTGGTCGCCCTCATGCTATGCCTGCCAGAAGGCGTTCTACGATGTTTCCGACTACTACTCTCCGATGAAAATAAACCATTTTTTCAACCGCTTTTCTACTTGGTGAAGACTTTTTTTCTAACCAAGGTTGGAGTCTAATCGTGAATGAACAAAACATTATTTGCAGTTCTCGTTCAACTCCTTTTATTTGTCATCTTTTGTATTCGACCGAAACGTTCTGTCGAAGGCGTCTTCGTCGCGACACTTGTCAGTGTCAGCTCGGCGACTCGAAGAAGAGCCGGCAATAGTTCCCAGGGAGCGAAGTCGAACGCTTTCATGTCGCGGCCCCTCGCCGCTACCTCAGCTAACCCGCAACTCATCGTGCATACTACTTGATACTATAACGTTGAAACATTACTCACCGCCTTGGGTGTGACGTTTATTGTCACCGATCAAATTTGATAACGTGTTCCTTCCTGATAATGGAAATCATTTTACTAAGAAGTTCGAATTTTTTATCATTTGCGATATTATTATTACCTATTCCGCTCCAGCTTGTCACGCTTTTCTTTCCGCCGAAAAAACCGTTCACCAAATTAGATCAAATTTCTGCTTTTCTGCACGGCAAGAAACAAAGGTCTTGAAGCGAAGTTGGTCAATTTGACCTGGTCTTTTGGCGGGAAGAAAAACGCGGAATGGCCTTCCAGTCGCCATTGTCGACTTTTATTTAACTGGAGAAGTTTACTTTCAGCAAGGCATTCTCCTTCAATCACCGCGTTCTTTTTAATTACGCAACTATCTTTGAACGGGGCTTTAGAATTGACTTTTCAATTTTTGCCGTTTTGCTTCTGTGCTTAAAGAAAACTTTAAAGTTGCAGATACGAGATTTTAAGGATGAAAAATGAACCCAGTTGTACTTGGAAATAAATTAGCATGTACTCTTGCTTTAAAAGATGTTCCTAAACGCGCAAAAATTGTTCAAAAATAGTATTTTTTGGAGAAACTTCGGCAGGCCAATGAACACGCTTTTTCTTTTTAAACATGTTATGTTTCTACGAAGAACACACGATAAAATAGGTAAAACGGAAAAGTTCCTTTGAGGATCTTGAAAGGGAGATAAAAAGCTCCTAAAATGATGTAAAAAACCTTTTTTATAGCCTCAGAGGATCCTTTTTGAATCATCTCGAATCTTTTCAGTTCCTTTCCAGCATCCTTTTTGTTAGAGGATGTGAAAAAGATGCGAAAAGAAGTAAAACGATATAAAAAAGATCTGCTGGGGACCCTTTCAAGGTCTCTTTTTGAGAACAGCTTTTGGGGAGCTTTTCAGTTTTGCCCGAAAACCCTATTTCGTTAGTTAGTCAAGCACAGTTAGAGTGTGCTCGGCGCCTTAGACGAGTCTTTTCTTTTTTATTTGTTGTTCATAGCTAATCCCGTTTTTCATTTTCACGCACCTTACCTCGTAACACTGCTAAGGTTCAAAAAATCAAACAGTCATTTTTCATTAAAAGATTTCCATTCAAAAACTTGCTTAATTAAAAGTTCTTGAGGCAGGTTTAAAAAGAAGAAATCATGCCTTGTTCAATTTGATTCCGCGAAATGTAAAAAGGAAAAGATCACTAAATTTTGGAGAGTCAGATATCATTTTGCATTTCGCTGAATCAAATTGAACACGGCATTAATTTAAAAAATAAATGAAAAAAACCATGTATTATGAAAATGAGAACTAACTATCTAAAAAGACTCTTCGATTCAGAAAGCTTAAAGGCACCTCCACACGTTCCCCACCAATGCTTGAGTAATCCATCTTTATAAACGAGAAGAAAATCCATATGTTGCTGGCAATTTTCACTTTTACGACGAATGGAAAATCAACAAACTTTATTGATAACAATAGAAAATATTGTTGCAAAGGGTATCGCCGCCATGGCACTTAAAGCTTCAGCTTGGTGCGTCTCCAGTGACGTCTCTTGGCATTGTACTTCATCTTTAAACATCATCAATTTGACCAGAATTCCAAAAATTAGATTACCGTATTTCCGGTCTTCATGCGGACCCACTGAGGCATAGGCCTGTTTTGCTTCTGCTTCTTCGCAAGCTTTCGCTTGATAAAAGACTTCTTGAGAGCAGACATACCCTGTAATTCATTTTTAAATAATGGTTAAAGCAGAGAAAAACGCGAGCGCGAACGAAGCGAAAATCGAACAGAGATATAAACGAGTGAAAAATACTCGTTATGAATAATAAAATAATCATCTCATGAGAATTTTTATTGAGGAAGCTATGGGAAAGGTGTGCATGAATCTAACTTCGCTTTCCTTTCCAATGCTTCCGATGAAAAATGTCTTCAGCATAATCTTGAGTGGGCAAACGTTTCATTTGCCGATAAGGTGCCTTTCCTAAATCAGGCTGGGGGAAAAATTGCATCAACTTATTGAACTGTGCAGTGGTTATCGAGTTGCCTTGATTGCCTTCGCCAAGAGTACCCTGCAAAACGAGAATCATTAACAAGAAACATAATTAAAATCAGATTTTTTCACAAGTTTATTTAATGGTACTGTTATGGAGCAACTTTGGCGCGCCGATGAACACGATTATTCGTTTTGAAGCATGTCCCGTTTCTTTGATGAACACGCCATTTGAGATCAAACCAAAATGTTTATATTTCGGTGCTCCTTATGCCGAATTCCATTTGACGTGCGGAGTGAAACAGTTTTTCGTTCAACGACTCGAGCCAAAACGCAGCGGATTCTCACAGCACGATTGGATGGCTCCGCCGTTTTAGCAAATGTTCAGCGTATTTTTCTTTTTAATCTTTTTTTTTGTCAAACGGGCAGAGTTGACTAATCACTGTGAGCATCTGCCGCGTTTTCCTGCGATTCGGCTCGTCTATCGCGGCAAGAGGTTTACCCGTGTCGTGTTCAATTTTGCGGATTTCAAATTCGACGCGTTCACGGTTCAAAATGATTTGGAAAGATACGCAAATTGGAATTTCGATGCCGCATTAAAGCTAATTTGACGCAGCGAAACAGTTTTTCTAGTTCAAAATCACGAGCCGAAGCGCAGCTCTTAGAATTCTTTGCGAAATCATTAAAAATGAATAACGAGTCGAGTTTATAATCTCCAAAACTTCTTCCAAGGCATCAATTGAACTTTTTTACTTTTGATAATCATTAACCTAGCTTAGATAAGGTGAAATTTTCGACATATATTTCTCTCTGAGAAATTTACAAAAAAGTAAAAATAACCTTCTTTGCAGCTTCTCGAAAATCTGCGGCTTCCTTCTCAGCTTTGTGAATGCACTCCATGTAAGAACTGTGCTGTCTTCCACAGGGTTTGTCGTCAAACTCCCATTTCTTCAAGCAGCCAAACAAAGCTTGGAGCTCTTGCGTGCAAGAAGATCCTTTAAAAACGAAGTTCAACGACTTAGAAACCTGTTTTTTTTTTTCAACACTTTCTTTTTATATACCCGAAAAGTACTAACTCTCATGTTTGCCGGTAGCCCCCGCAGGGCTTATACGTCAAAAATTCAAAACGGGTGCACTGTTGATGTTGCTGCTGCCAATAAAACGAAGTTATTTTTAATAGCGACTCCGCTGCATCAAAACTGATTCTAGGCGCGGATAGAGTTTGCGTTTCGGATGATCGGCTGAGATTATAAGGTTGATCAACGGTAGCATCCGTGGGGGCTACTGGTCAAAATAAATTTAAAAAAAATCATCTTACCTGCTGGTTTCGCCTTTTTCGAGTGAACACGGTTTTTGGAGGACAGCGGCAAAATTTCAGAGAACACGGTAACCTTGGGATAAAAAGTACGGCCCCTGGCAAGTGCCGTATCTTTGAGTATTGGAGAAGAAAAAAAACATTTTTTTACATATTATTTAAAAATACAATTTAAAAAAAATAGAATTAATTTGGGCACCGCCAGGCGAACGCTCTCCCTGTATTCGTCGTCTCAATGTTTTACCACATGCTTCGCTATGCGCCTTTAATGCGTGCAGACACTTCTTACGTTTTCTGCAGAAAAGTGAAAACACGCTCTATCGCTCGGAGTGTCGTTGAAAAATGTTATGAAAGTCCGAAAACACAGAAAAAAAAAGAAAGCGACTCAGGCACTGGTGCGCGCACGCGCGGGGGTACTGATTCTTTTTTTCCCTTTTCCACTGAAATACGGTTTTGAAAAATATTTTTATATTTTTGTGAAACTACCCAGTGCCCCTGCTCACTTTTAAAAGTTGTTCCGAGCATTTTCAAACAAATTTATGAAAAAAAAATTGCCAAGTGAAACTTTGATATTTCATATTTTTGTGCAATCTAATTGTTATAAACTGGTGCAGAGCAATGATAAGAGATGAATAGACATGAAAAATATTAAAATTATAACTTTTCAATTAGTTAAAAAGCTAAAAAACAAGAGAGACACCCCGCGCGTGCGCGCAGCAGGCGGCGCGCATGCGCACTTTTGGCAACAAACACGCGCCGTCAGTGCCTGAGGATTCTCGTACTCAAAGTAGTTTCCGTGAACTTCAAAATAAGCGTCTAAAGTGAAAAAAGTGATAAAATTTCGGAGAGTCGGAATTAAGTTTTGCGGAATAAAATTTTTACACAGGATGTGCCTTAAGATGGGAAAAACGCCCATCAAGTGCGTATTTTCATTTCAATGTTGCTTATTAGTATACTTGTTGACTTTTTGAAAACTTAAAATGCAAAATTTGTTTGATTGTTTCGTTCCGTTTCTTGGGCTGATCGATACACTAAGAATAACTGCCGAGATAAACGCGAGACGCTGGCGGTACATTGACGAGCTCGCAAACATCTCGCGTTTTTTCTCGCGCCGGTCTCGCACTTTTCTGGTCGCAAGCTCGCACTTTTCTAGGCGCGAGCTCGCATTTCTCTCGCAATCTGAAAAATTTCCGAAATGCAAGATAAATGCGAGGTCGCGCCTAGAAAAAGGCGACATTTTTGCGAGTTCGTCAATGTACCGCCACCGACCTCGCGTTTATCTAGTCAGTTATTCTTAGTGTATAGTTGCTTACTATATATTTAGCTAAGGCTGAAAACCAGCTACCCGATATATAGCTTAGGCCGAATTACCGGGTAGAAATCGCAAATCGCAGGTAACATAGCGACAGTAAAATTCACTAAGAATAACTGCCGAGATAAACGCGAGACACTGGCGGTACATTGACGAGCTCGCAAACATCTCGCTTTTTTTCTCGCGCCGGTCTCGCATTTTTCTGGGCGCCAGCTCGCACTTTTCTAGGCGCGAGCTCGCATTTCTCTCGCAATTTGAAAATTTCCGAAATGCAAGATAAATGCGAGATGGCGCCGAGAAAAATGCGAGGTCGCGCCGAGAGAAATGCGGGGTCGCGCCTAGAAAAAAGCGACATTTTTGCGAGTAAGTCAATGTACCGCCACCGAGCTCGCGTTTATCTCGTCAGTTATTCTTAGTGTTCCCACCGAGAGTTTACGTCGTTAAAATCTAACTTTTTTTTTCAACATCCGTTCGAACTTTTTACATTTAAATCGTTAATTTTGAAAAATGAGTTTCAAAATGTTTGCTTCAATTAAAAAGAATTTTTTTTTCAACGGCTGATTGATTGAAATTTGAACCTTTTTTTATACAGTTGACCTCGGAATTTCAACCCATTGTTTTTATTTTCTCAACAGTTGACCGCTTGAAATAGCTCAACTGTTGAGATGTTCGCTTAACCCTTCCCGCTTTTCATTTTGATAATGCCGTGTTAAAGTATATTCTTGTCAATTCAAATTTTTCTCTTACTCGAGTAGTACTCTCCATAATTTATTAATTCTTTTCACTATTGCCGTGTTCAAAGTAATTTCCGCGAAATGAAAAACTAATTCTGACCATCCAAAGTTTTAAAACTCAGTTGTCTTTTTCTTTCTATGGCGGCCATTTCAAATTTTGTTGAATAACATTCAGAGTTTTTAGGAATCACCGTTAACACGGCATTTCTCTGACCTGGAGCGCCTGAAGGTGCGCCCAAAAATTTCTCTGCTGCCTGCGATTTCTTGCAGTCAGATAGTGAAAAAATAGCATGCGGCAGAGAAAAACTCGGGCGCGCTTTCAGCCGCTCCAGTTCAGAGTACACTGCAAAAGTTGAACTTTTTTTTTCTGGCGTTTTGAATCGAATTTTCGCAAAACCTGAAAGTTTTTTACGAAGCCCCGAAAAAAGATCGAATTTTTTTATGGTCTTCCTGATATCGAGATTAAGCTATTATTTCGTACACGCCGCTTTTTGTTTTTGTTTTATCGTTCAACGTAATTCGACTTCAGAACTACCGAACTGCATGAGCTTTTTTATATTTCAGTGATACGGTGCACACGATTCTTTCATATTTATAATACATTGGATTGGAAATGTATGTGACGAGACGAGCCGTTCCCAGCTCATTTACAAGCTTTATCTTTTCAAGCTCTCGATACTTGCACTCTCGAAGCAGCGTTCCTCGTGTGGTCGATGATAGAGAAAAGTCTTCAACAAAGTATACAGATGCAGGTATGCCTCATCAGCTTTTGATTGGCTCCTTAAACTCAAGAATTGGATTATAATTTACAAGTTATATCATAAACATCTGGAATTTTGCAGGATACACGTTTCGCTATCACCAAAACGGAATAGATCCGCTGCCGAGAATCCCTGGCTGTCGCGTTTCAGTTGCCAAGCCAGCTCCGAAGAAGCGCGATCCCTGGAAGGAATCTAGTGCCAGATTCGGTCAGAATGACTACATTGATCTGCTGGGCGACGGCAGTCTTCACCCTGCTCAGCTCCAGTACCAGGCGCCAACGTGGCTTCGAGGGTTCCCCGGTCAGCATCGCGCAAATGAGCTGATCAAACTTATACACTACCGCAACATGTACGAAAAAACGCTCAAGGAAAACTCACCCAAGCGATGGCATGAGCTGCGCAAACGCATCAAGTACTTGTCTATGTACCACAACTACAACAAGCAGGACGAATTAGGAAGAGAAAGAGACCTTGGATTGTGGGAAGAGCAACCTGACTATTATTATAAAGACAAGTCCCGTCGGTCCTACAAGGACGATGTTTTGCCTTGAACTTTTTTTTTCTGTTTTACTGTTTTGTTTTTAATGCCGTGTTCAAAATGATTCCGCGAAATGCAAAATGGCCGTCAGAGAAAGAAAAATATAACTTAATCTTGGAGAGTCAGAGATCATTTTGCATTTCGCGGAAATTACGTCGAACACGGCATAATAGAATAGGTTTTTTTTTTGTTCTAAATCGAGAAATAAATATCAAGTCTCAATCGGTGTTAATTTTTTTTAACGGTCATGGTTCTCCTGATTATCTTTTTTTTTTTGGATGAATTGGAGTAAATTGAGGCGATCGAATGCCAACTTTAGATGATTGGACAGCAAACAGATCGAAACATGACTGCACAAGAAGAAGAAAGGTTGAGAAGACGGGAAAGAAGAACCAAGAAGATTTTGGAAAACGGCGAAAGTAGAATTGATCGAATTCTAACAGATGGAGGTTGTATTCTATCCAATAGAACTAATGTATGTGGAATTGTTTTAGAGCAGAAGAGACTTGCTCCGATGATGGAAGGCGGCGAAGGATTCAAGCTCTTCCAATCAGAAGGTACTAAATCACTTTTTTTTTTGAAATTTTGAAATCCATTATTTCAGAACTAGACTTGGCGTCTGTTCAAAAGCAGCTCAATTGCGAAAAAGTCCCTAGTGAAACGTTTACGCGAGATGAAAGGATTGGTTTTGTGTCGAAAAACAAGCTATTTCTGTTTTTTGCCCTCGGTGAGCAAACTTGAAATGTTTTCTTTGATTCTCATATTTTCAGGAGCGTTAATGCGTATCATCATGTTTTTCACAGTTCCGTTTAACGTCATTTTGCCTTGGCTGATTTTTTTACTTTTTGCGTTTTTCGAGTCTTTCAACCTAATGGTAAATGTTTTTTTCTTTTGTTTTACTTTTGAAAGGTGATATTCTTTTTTTCTAGTAGAGTTTTTTTCGAAGCAAAACAGTCAACGAGTTCTGTTATCGTGTTGGATTTATTTTTGAAGCGAAACTCAAAATAGCCGTCAGAGAATGAAGAAGATCACTGATTTTTTTGAGAATCAGAGATCATTTTGAATTTTTGCAGGATTTATTTTTAACACGAGAAAACCTTTTTTCTTCTTTTATCTATGAATAAAAATTTTTCAGGGACAGTGGAGTTCTCTGCGTAGCCTTTTCACCAATGAATGGATGACACAGTCGGCTATAAAGACTATAGGTCGTAGTATCTTTTTTTGTACTCGAAAAAATCCAGTGCTTTCAGTTGGACTGGGAACGGGGATTCTACAGTTTTTGCGCGACACAACGACTTTTGTTGCAACTTTTATTATAACCCACGCTGTTGTTGAGGTTTATTCCATATTTGTTTTATAAAAAATTTGAATCGATCATACAAAAATCTTCGATTAAATTAAAATGTGCAAGTACCCGGTTAATCCGAAACTTTCAATGCTTAGGAGTATCCTTTTGGTTACCGCTATTATCTCATGAACTTGACCGGCCAGTTTTGCAATAACTTAGTATCACAAGCAGAACTCTTGTGCCAGACTAGAATTGTGAGCTAAAATAAATACCAAAAATCGAAAACATGAAAAATTTTCTGCAGGCGGGGCTTCGGAAAAAATCTTAAATTTAATTCAAAAAATTTTCACAGAAAAATTATTTTTACTTGTTGAATCGAAATTTCTTGAAACTTTGCACACATTTTTGAATGACTTCGCAATAACTTATTTTTACAAGCGAAATTCATTTGCCCAAGCTATAATTGTGAGCAAAAAACAGAAATTCGAAAAAATGAACTTTTTTTTTTTGAGATTTGAAAAATCATGTTTCCCAAGTTACTCTGAGTTTCAACCTTAAACTTTTTTACTTTGTGAACCAAGGCTTTGGCTTTCCAAAAATTTAATCAGCCTTCTACTACTCCGATATTAAGAGCGCAGTAGCTTTTTATTTGAAGGGCCCTAGCTTTTCGAGGCATCATTATTCAAATGGACTATACGTGGTCGATTTTGTTTAAGGGCTCTGCTTTTTATGTTTAAAAGCTTCAAAACATCCTTAAAAATAGTTAAACATGGTTTTCTTTAGCCTTCTCACGTTTTCCGCTCTCTAGAACCCACCAACTTCACTAGGACCGATTTTGGACCTCTGATTTGAATAGTTTTTCCTGGATTTTCAGAGGTTTAAAACTTTTTTTTATCTGAACAATCGAAAACTTTGAGAAATTCGTCATAACTCACTATATCTTTTGGATGACTCAGCGAAACACGATCAATCCTTTTTTATTTTGATTCATCAACGTTCACAAAGAGTTTCAAACACTGAACAGAGAAATTGAGAATCTGTTGATTTTGGAAAACGAGCAGAAACTCTTCGAATCAGAGGTTCGATATCAGACCTAGTAAAGTTGGCGGGTTTCGGAGACCGGGGAAATTAAGAAAGCTGAAGAAAACAGAGTTACATTATTGTTAAGGTCGTGTTAAACCTTTTGAAAAAGTAAAGTAGAAACGCAATTTACAGCCTCGCAGACCCTGTTTTAGTTCAGCGTATCTATGCAAACGCCAAATACTTCATATAGGCTCTGTGGATCACCCGAATCGTTAAAAAACCGATGGATCGGCAGTAGAGCACCCTAGAGCACCCCTCTCGCAAAATAATTTAAAACGTATTAGCCCAACGAGTGCTACCAGCATAGAGTAAGTACGAATGAGTACGGGTCGAGATGAATTTTGGCTCATTTTGTTTCCTTTTCGGTAACCAAAAATGCGCTGTTTCAGTATTTCATTTTCAGACTCCCATCTATCGGGAGATTTCGCTCCTATCGAAAATTGCGGATTTTATTTTGTGTTTCAAGTTTGAGTTGGCGTTAACGCTAACACTCTACAGAAACCAACAAATTGTGCAAAAGTGAGTGACTCAGCGGCTAGCGCGACGCTCTCTCTCTTTCTGCAATGTAATGTTGTCCACAATTTCGAGCCTCCGATTGGCTGCATAGTTTTTGAGCCGCACTAGCCTTTCAGCCCCATGTATCATCGAGTTTATCGAGGTTTTTGCGGCGCCAAACTCGCGTGCCTGCTCGGCAGGGGCAACTGAGCCAACAGAGAGAGCGAGAGAGGCGTCTTGTAAGATAAGTAGCCTGACCTCGGACCGGCGACCTCTGCCGCGTACTTGCTCTGTCGTCGGTCCTCTGACTAGGTGTGAAGCCAATCCCGCCTGAACTTGTCTTCTCTCATTTTCCAAGGAACCACCAGATCAGCCTTTTTGATAACCGCGAAACGGTTTTTTCAAAGTTTTAAATGACCCGTTTTTCCTTCCAACATAAAAAGTAACACGATCGTTCGCCAAATATAAAGAAGTTTGAACACTATTTTGATTTTTATGATGGTACAAAATGGGGTGCAAGTGAATCTTTGATAGTCATTGCTGAAATGATCTAGAATAATTTCGAAAATGAGATCACTTCTAATTTTAGTAATAGAGATAGATCAATAGGTTTTTAACGGTTAAAAGATCAGAAAGGTCACAAAAAGTACTGCCGGCGCAGTTGGGAAGTAATGCGCGGAGATTCTTTTGCTTTGTTTGTTTTTTGGTAATTTTTACTTCATAACCTTGTTCTTTTCCAAATCTGTATGATCCAGTTTTGCTGGAGAAAATTCTCTAATTTTGACGATGTAAAAAAAGGGTAAATTTTGACGGGCGTTGATAGTCGGCGATTCATCCTTGAACCTCGTAATCTGAAAGAAAAGACCCGAATTTTTGGTTAGTTTGTATGGTTTAATTGGGATATTGGTCTCTTTTTTCTTACATGCCGTGGGCGCCGTCCTTGAATGATTATGTGTGCACTCATAATCTGTATGGCGCGCGACAAAGAGGTCGAGCTATCGCGGGTTGCGCGTAAATATGGTGAAGAACGTTGGCCGCCCGCGTGCTGGTCTCTCTCATGTTTTCTTATGTCTTCACTTCTTGGTAATGTCACCGTTCTTTTGCAAATCTCCAATTTGTTGCCTTTCTTGATTGAAAAGTTTTCTCTGTTTTCCCATAGTTTCGCTTTTCAAAAAGACTTCAACCCGAAGTTGGGTGATAAAAATTTTTGTAATTTTATCTCTTTGAATGAGTAAGAAAAATTCTCACTTTTTTATTCTGATGACTCAGAAAAACAAAAAGACGGGTTTTTGTCAATTATTTCCTATTTTCATTCTCGGCAGCTTTACATTATCTTTCAAACTACAATGTTTTTTAAAATTCGTATTGAATTTTTTTATTGGGCTTCTTCCATTGGGGTAGAGATTTCCTAAGTGTCAAAAAAAATGTTTTTAATAAATTTCTAAACGAAAATTGCTTATAACTGGCAGGTCTTCAACGACCTCTTTAAAATTTTCATTCTTTCCCTTCCTAGATATTTTTTTCAGGAAGATGCTATCATGTCAAAGTAAAAATGTTGATCATTATTTTCCTCTCTTGAAAATGTTATGTGCCAGGCATCATCCTTACTGTACTTCTTTTTGTCCATCAGCCGTGTCTTCATCGGCGTCCTGACCCCTCTTTCTTTTGATCCGCGAAGCCGTAACGTAATGGTACCACATGTGCACGTGCGATGCAGCTGTAAATCTAAACTTTTTTTTATGTCTGCTCTGCGGGGTCGCCAGTTACGCCGGTTTTCCACATTTCTTGACGCGAACGCAATTTTCGCAGTCTCGTTTGATATCGCGTTATGAAACTGTTTATTCTGCAATAAATTTTTCATTCACGCTTTGAAATCTGTTTTTGTTTCGGTTTGAAAGGGAAATCTTAGAAAAAGAAACCGATTTTTTGCTCGCATTCGAAATGGATTAACCATCGAAAAAGCTTTGCCATCAATCGAAAGAGACTCTCGGCGTACATTTATCTTTCGGAAATCGACATTTGTCTCTTCGTCGTCCATTTAGATTTCTTCTTTGAACCACTCATTTCTATTTCTGTTCCTCTTTCCTGGTACCCAATTTTTCGAATAGTTTTACCATTGAGCATGTTTCCTAATGGAAATTAGTCAAATTTATTATAAGATCTGAAAAATCTTCGCGTCAGTAAAGATTTATACCGTGCTTGCTATTTCGTCTTTTTCTCGCAAACTTCAGCATGGAAGTTCCCACACAATATCACGTACTATGTTCAAGCTGGCCGCAGGCAGTATAGCCAGAATTACTTGCTTCGTCAACGTTTCTCTGAGACCTCGTCGATTCCTTGCTACCATATCACTCTTTTTAAAACTGTATTCTGCTGTATTTCGACTTTTTCAAAGAGAAGTATCAAATTAAAACTTTTCCGGAGGGCGGTGTAGCGCTTGCGAGATCGTAGCGGTAAGCCTGCGGTATTGCTTGGGGATCCCCCGCGGCATAGCGTCACTCTCCATGTGAAATAGTACATAGTATTGGGTAGAAATTTACAACATGATTTTTCACAAAAGAGCCGAAATAGCTATACAGTAACCTTCACAGTCAGCGGTGTATCGATCGATACTCCTGTTTCGTGATTGTCCGGCATCCGCTTGGCGGTCTTTTCGTCTTCCGTCACTCTGGAATTTTTTCAGCAAAAGATATGCGGGCAGTGCTAGCGCTGCTTCTTGGGTGTGCCTGCCTGAACTTCAGCTCAGGGCAGCCTCCTCCACCTGCGCCATACCAAACGGAAGACCGGTGTCAAGACCGATCCTGCTATCCAATCACCGGAAATCTGCTCATCGGCCGAAAGGATCGACTGAAATCTTCTTCTACCTGTGGATCAAGAAGTCGAGAAAGGTGCTGCTCATTATTCGAGGCGATGATTCGTAAAACCAGTCTTTCACAGATTCTGCATAGTTTCTCATCTGGAGGAACAGACCAAATGCTTCTATTGCGATTCTAGAACCGAATGGCGGCCGCAGCGAGAGCCATACAGACTCAGTCATAGGTTTTGATTTCGTTTCATCAACTCATTTCATTCTGTTTCACGTTTTCAGAATCGAAAACGTGGTCTCTGAAGTTTTCGAGGATAAGAACCGTAATTGGTGGCAGTCGGAAAACGGCGTCCAGAATGTTACGATCCAGCTCGACCTTGAGGCTGAATTTCACTTCACGCATTTGATTATGACTTTCAAATCCTTCCGTCCCGCCGCAATGATTATTGAGCGTTCGGCTGATTTCGGAAAGACTTGGTAAGCGGCAAAGTTTTCTTAATTTGAAGTGAGTTTCCTACTGCGCTTAATTTTTTTTTTGTCAAATTCTGCATACTTTAGACTCGCGTCTCTTAAGAGCGCTATGAAAATCAAAGCGCGTGAGCTCGCAGGGAGTAGATATCAAGCATGCTAGCAAGAAAATTAGATTAAAAAATGATTCAAGTTTTTTTTTCTTTTTGTTTAATGCACAAGAAGACGATGCGCAAAAAGAAAAAAAAAATCAGAAGTTTCCTGTCTTCAAAAAAATACGACGCAGTGTAAACCTGACGGTAGACCCGCGCCGAAAAGCTTTCAACGGTGCTGAACAGGGGAGACCCACTTGAAACCGTTTTTGATAAAAACAATTTTAAACTTCATTTATCGCGCATGAATGAAAATGAGATAGCTGCATGATCAGGCGAATCCTGGGTAGGTGTTGGGAATGTAACCAGCTGGAGTTTGGAAAGGGAATGGAAACTAGACTACCTTGGCAAGGTGTGCAAAAGGTAGTTGAAAGGTCTTTGGAAGGTGAAAAATTGAGAACGCCTACCGGAAGCCTTCCAGCAGACTTCTGGAAGGTAAGTAGATGTGTTGGAAAAGTATGTGGAAGGCGTTTGACCACTTGCTGGAAAACTTCCAAACCCTTTCTGAGGGACCGAAAAAGCTTCCCAACTTCTTCTGAATGAAAGCTAACGACGAAAAAAGCTTAGAAAATTCGTTTATCTTTTTTTTATTTCTCAATCAAAATTTGTTTTTGTCTTACCTTTAGTCATATGTAGATGTAATCAACTAAGCGCTGATCAAGAACTTTTGAATCTATAACGAACGACCGCCTTTGGCGAACTAGAAGTCAAACGTATAGTTGATCAAGTTGAATGCATGGTCTTACGGTCCTTCGCCTTTTTCTTGCGCGCTTAAGGCACCCAGTTGCGCCGTGCGGTGCTCAGAATTTAGAGGATATTGTGCCGGATTCCAGATTCCGCGCTCGAAAGGGGAGCCTTGAAATAAGAGCAGCCACTTCGAGTTAAGAGTTCACAAAGAATTCTTTTTTTTTTCTTCTTGTATAGTTGTTCTCCATTGAAGGGAAGTGTACCGATACTTTGCCTACGACTGCGACAGCACATTCCCAGGCATTCCTGAAGGCCCACCCAAGAAGCATACCGACGTGATTTGCACGAGCCAGTACTCTGATGTCGCGCCGTCGACTGGAGGGGAAGTCAGTTTAGCGAAAATAAATCCCCGATGCTCATGTTTCGGCTTTTTCAGATTGTCTACAAAGTCATCTCACCACATATTGCTACAGAGAACCCGTACGCCGACGAGATCGCCAACCTGCTGAAGATTACCAACTTGCGATTTAACTTCACCAAACTTCATACTCTCGGAGACGATCTTTTGGACTATAGGTTTATATTATTTCAGACAAATTGAAAATTTAGATTAATAATTTTTTTGGACGTGTTTATGCGATCAGTTGTCTCTTTAACTTCCCTAGAACCTGAAATGAAAGGGGAATATGCGAAATCTTGTGATTGCTCAATAAAATAAAGTCAATGTCTGAGCTTTTCTTTGAATCGTGTCCATTTAGAATATGTTACGAATGCATGATTATAATTTATCAATAAAAAAAGACTTTTCACAGCTTCATATATCTGAATATTCACCGTTCTTACTATTCAGTCGATGAAACATTGAAAAGAAGAGATTTTCATGAGATTAGTCCAGTATAGAGAAACTTTTGATGGGTCCCTATAGGGGTTCCATAAAGGCCCTGTAAGTAGGGGGTCTTAAATTGTCCCCTAGAAGGGTTCTCGAAACAACAAAACCCTACAGGTCCCCTCAGAAATTCTTCAGTTTTCGACCAATTTCGATAATAAAGGAAAGAACATTTTTTCAGACCAGAAATCGATGAGAAGTACTACTACGCGATCTACGAGATTGTCGTGCGGGGCTCTTGCTCTTGCTACGGCCACGCCTCCAGATGTATACCTATCGACCCTAGCAGTCCGAATGCCGTCATGGACCGCGCAGACATTGTTTGTAGCTTATTTCTAATGCGCTCATTTATAAATATGTATGGTGAACTAAAGCAGGCGTTTTGAAAAGCGGTAAACCGGAGAAATTCAGTTTTTAAGCTTTTTCCGTCACTTTTCAAGCGGCTTTTCTCTTCTATGGCGCTTAGCAGACAATTTTACCTTTTTCGAGTTCTCATCATTAGGGAAAAGGTCTGTTCACGTTCTGAATTTAAGTTAGCTCACGCCCGATGCCTAAAATATCTTTCGAGTCCATTTTTTTTTTCTCATCGAGCCTGAAGATGATTCTTTAGTTGCGCTGCCATTTTTTTTCCTGCTCTGAGGCCAACAAAGTTAGAAAAAATTAGCATTATTGAAAAATCATTGCGATAAAAATTCGACACTAAAATATACTGTACTGCGCCCGTGGGGGCGAAGTTAGCTGTTTGAAGTTCTAAATCTGAACAGGTCCTACCTACCACAAAAGTTTGGACCAGATTTTACCCTTTTAACCCCCTTTTAAAGACTTCCCTTGTAAGTTCAGCACGCTTAAATTAGTTTAGAGAGCGCGGTAAACGTGTACCCGACTTGTACTCTCCTGCGTCTGCCAATATGCCAATTGAACATCCAAAAACGAATTTGTTCTCTCCGAGTTTATCATGCTCTCTAAACTGAAATGTATGATTTTCTCGAAGGAGATTTTTCATACCATCTCGAATTGGGACACGGCGACAACTTTTCTGATACTGACTTCGTGTCTCAGGTTCATGGGCGTTGCGAGTGCATGCACAACACGGAAGGTCTGAACTGCGAGAAGTGCCGCGCCTTCTTCAACGATTTGCCTTGGAGGCCAGCGATCGGCGACGACAAGAACGAGTGTCGTCAATGCAACTGCAATCGGCACGCTCTGCGCTGCCACTTCGACCGTGCCGTTTACGAATCGAGTGGTGAGGATTGATGCGAAGGCTCAGCAAAATTAAGGAAAATAATTTTGGGAGCGTGAAATTCCAGTTAGATTTTCCAACAGGAATCTCAATGAAATCAGCTCAGAAGTATTAAAAAAAAGTGCTTCAAAACAGATTTTCCGTTTTCCATTATCTTTTTTTTTTGACTTTTTCTTTGAATTGCATCACAGACATAGTCGTTTTTGGGGCTTTCAAACTTGCCAGAGATTAGGTTAAAGTTTTGCCAAAAAATTAGCTTTCAAGTTGCAACTTGAGAACTCCAGTGTGGTCCCTCTAGGGACAACCTTAAGTACCCTTGGAAGGTCACCTCACTAACTCCTATTGGTGCCACTGAAGCTTGCAAAAGTGGTCTCTATAGGGGTTTTAGTTAGTAGCCTCTATAGGTGACATGTTAGTGGATAATTTTTATGAATCTAGGGGCGAAGAAGCATATCCATGCGAAAAGTAAATGAATAAGCGTTTTTTTTTTAAATCAAGTTGAAAGACCCCTATAAGGGCCACTTAAGCTTTAAGGGCTAAGGGGTCAGACCCTGAACCTCTATAGAACCAATTTTTGGGCCCCTATAGGGAACACTCTGTAATCCCTGAGAATAACGAGGGAACAGGTAGAAAATTCTGAAAAATTTTCTCCTACGTTTCCGGTCTCATTTTCATTTTTCTTCCTAAGTTTTTTTTGCATGAGTTATTTTTTACATTTTTGTGAGAAATTTTTCGTTCCCAATTTATAATTCTAAGGTTTCGTATCGGGTGGTGTCTGCGACGACTGCATGCACAACACCCAAGGAAAGAACTGCGAGCAGTGCAAGCCTTTCTTCTACCGCGATCCACGGCGTTCCATCGACGACCCACACGTTTGCCTGCCGTGTGACTGCGACAAGGCTGGCGCTCAGAACAAGGTCTTTTGATTCTAGAATCGTTCAGAATACACTCTAAATTTTCTAGGGAATTTGTGAAGGAGAAGAAGATGCGGAGCGGGGTCTGGTAGCCGGCAAATGCTACTGTAAGACCAATGTTGATGGCCAGAGGTGCTCTTGTTGACCTGCCCTATCGAAAAAACACATTTCACCAACTTCAGATGTGATCGATGCAAGAACGGCTATTGGAACTTGACGGAAACGAACGCGGACGGCTGCATCGCATGCACTTGCCATCTCCTCGGCACCTACAACAACGAAGGCTGCGATAAGTACACGGGCGCCTGCACTTGTAAGCGACTCGTCACCGGCGAGAACTGCGACCGTTGCTTGGTTCGTGTTTTCAGTGCAAACTCGTAGGTAAAAAAAAAGAGACTAAATTTGAGAAGTCTACATGGGATTACGATTGAAAAGTGACTCTTCCATGTGTAAATAAGAAAATACCGCCGTGGAACTAAAAAGGCTTGAAAAAAAATTTAAGAGGCGTGGCCTGTCTTCACCAACCAGATTTTTCTCTTTTCTTATCGTTTTTTAAACGGCTCAAGCCAGCCGTGAATAGGCTGAAAATGCTTTCGATAATGGCAAAAGCGAGCCGGAATGAAGAAAAAGAAACAATGCGAAAATAGCTTATTATGGGCCTCGATGTCACTTTACGAGCGATCAAGCTGTGCGCTACAGTGCAATATTGCGTCGCCCTTTTTTTCCTAACGAAATCGAATAAATTGATCTTTTGTGGCGTGCTCAAAAAGATCCCGCGAAAATGTAAGTAGCCGTCAGCGTTTGGAAAAGATAACTAAATTTAGGATAGTCAGAGATAATTTTTCATTCCGCAGAAAATTTCATCCAATCAGTCAACATGTGAGAGAACAAAAAAAAAGAAAAAGTTGGTTTTGGAATGATAGCCTTGGTTTACAGGATGAGCACTACGGTATGTCTGAAGAGGCGGATGGCTGTAAAGCCTGCGATTGCGACATCGGTGGATCATTCGACAACAAGTGCGACGTGACGACTGGCCAGTGCAAGTGCCGCGAAGGCTTCAGCGGCAGGAGGTGAATCCGTAACACCGCCTTCGAATCCTCGAAATGTTTGCAGATGTGACTCTGCTGACTCGAGCTTCTATTGCGCCGAAATCACACATTACCTCTATGAAGCCGAAAACGCCAACTTGACTCATGTTAGCGCGCCTTCAAAGTTGCGAACTATGAGAATTTTCAGGCTGAAGCAAAAGTGCGAAAGTGGCCAACCAACACTCGTGATCAGACTTGGACGGGCCCTGGGTTCACCCAAGTCACTGAAGGCAGCACTTTAGTGTTCTATCCCAAAGTTGAAGTCAGCCAGAAGTACAACGTCATTGTGCGCTACGATGCGACGCGGGTGAATTTGAAAAAAAATTTCGTAGAGAAAAAATTGCGAATGAAATGAAGAAGTATTTTAAAATCGAAAAAAAAGTGTTAGTACTATTTTTCCCTCGATTTTTATCCAATATCGGCAGAAGAGTTTGGCTATAAAAAAAAAGTTCAATAGTCACTTGAAAACAAAAAGAGATCATATAGCGCCAGCTTTTCACGTTTTTCAGCCAACAACAAGATCAAATTTAACCCCACTTCGCTTCATGACTTTTGTCTTTGTCGTATTTTTTTTTCTGAAGTTCTTTTAAAAACGCGACCATCTTGCGCGGCATGCACTATTTTCAACATTTTTGCCCTTGTTATCTTTTTTCGAGCACACGTTCCAGCACTATTGGTCTGTAATATTTTGCTTTTGTTCAGGACCCTGTTGGCTGGGAAAACGTCGAGGTATCGATTGTCAGGCCAGAAGATTCGAGTGGTATTTGCGCTGGCGCTCCTCCGTCAGATGATTTCCTCATTACTCGATTTTATCCGGGTTTGTACCGTTTTTACAACAAATTTCACGTTTTTGTCTGGCATTATTCATCGAATTTCTTTTCGCTTTTTTTTCCTACTCGCCGTCAAGATTTTTGCCTTTTTTCTCCATATCACCCTATATATGAAAAAAACGCGAGATCATAAAAAAAACTTGAAAATTTTTCTTCGAAAGTTATTTTGAACGCCGTATAAACACTGGGCATGCATTCTCAAATGATATACATCAGTTAAAAACTTTTGAGAACGCAAAATATTTTAGGATCGCGTTACGTTGAAATCCAGCCCGCCATATGCTTGGAAGCGGGTGTCGACTACGAAATTCGGCTTGTTTTCAAGGAAAAGAGGACGAACGCGCATCCACACGAGAGAGCGTAAGGAGTCTCTTTCAAAGATAATTTCTAAAATGATTCTACAGAACCGCTTCCCTACAAATCGACTCAATCATTCTGGCGCCTCCAACTGAAGAACTCCACATTTTCCAAGGATCCGAAAGAGCTCAACAGCACTTGGCCGAGTACAATCGCTATCAGTGCCGTCATCTTGCACTTTCTCTTGCTCCAAAAGAACAGATCAATGAAGTAAAATCTTCTACGGTTCAAAATGTAAAAAAAGAAATAAATTCAGGACTATCAATTTATAGGTAGTGTTTAAAAACAATACCTTGAATGAACGATATCATAGTTTTTTTTTGCCATATTCATCTCGTTCATTTGAAAAAATTTTAAGAACGCTCAAATTTTAATCCTGAAGGTCGCGCAAAATTGAGTTGCTTTCAAGTTTCATCCTAGAAAATTGGATACTGCGAACCTAAGTAATTCAAAGTTTTTAAGAAATTTGGAGCTTCTAATTTTTGGTGCATCAAGGCGTTAGTTTAGAAGTTTTTTGGTAATTAAATAGAAATATACTCCTACGTTAATATTCTTAACCTTTAAAGATAAGTTCTAAACAAGTTGCAGAGGGAAAAAATTTAAAATTTTCCTGGCCCGGAATAAATGCGCAATACTGACCGGAGCACAAGTTCACTTGATTTTTATACCATCACTCACAGATCATTTTTTTTTATCTCAGTGTGCAAATGCACATTGTAGTCTAGTGACGATTGGTTTCAGGTTTGCCAACGATACATCTGCCCGGTGGCGGCTGCACTTCTCAATAAGACGAGCGACTGCAACTGCGACGCGACAGGGTCGGTCTCGGGCATCTGCGATGTTCGCGGAGGACAGTGCGAGTGCAAGCCGAACGTGTTCGGCAGACGTTGCGACCAATGCGCCGTCGGCACTTACGGCTTCGGACCCAGCGGCTGCAGCAAATGCGACTGCGACGCCGTCGGCTCTCTCGGCAACGAATGCGACAAACAAAGTGGACAGTGTGTCTGTCGGGAGAAGGTTTGCCTTGTAGGGATATATCTTCCAAAAGCGAAACCAGCAAAAAAGTTGCAAAAGCAATGTCCTACACGAAATTTTTATTCAAATCGTTTAGAGAAGCGCGCGTTGCTTTTTGCAATTGCGGCACGGTTTATTGCAATAGGGGCGCGGGAATGAAGCCGAAATTTGATTATATGTTAATTTAAAATTAAGTAATTCTTTTTCAAGTGCCCGCAACTTTTTAAAAAATAAGTATGTATTTCTCAGTAAAAATGAACCATTTACTCTCAAAGTTGCAAGTTTGACAAGTCGAATTTAAATGATTTAGGGTTGAAACAATGGGAACTATCTTTTTTTGGCGGACTAAACGCGATTTGTCCCAATGAGACCTTAATAATTGCAGGGTATCTACGGACGCCAGTGCAACCAATGTCAGCCAGGCTTCTGGGGCTTCCCAGAGTGTCGCGTCTGTCAGTGCAACGACCACGCCAACATCTGCGATCAACAAACGGGAGCCTGCATCGGATGCCGAGACCTGACTACCGGTCACCTCTGCGACCGTTGCCAAGACGGCTACTACGGAGACCCACGACTCGGCGTCGGCCTACCCTGCAAGCCTTGCCCTTGTCCTGGAGGACCAGCCAGCGGCTACCAACACGCTGCGACTTGCTACCTTCGCAACATTGGCAACAACACCCAGGACATTGTATGCAATTGCAACGCCGGATACCAAGGCGAACGTTGTGCCGAGTGTGCGACTAACCACTGGGGAAGCTCAACAGAAGTCGGTGGCAGTTGCGAAAAGTGCGACTGCAACGGCAACATCGACATGTCGGTCCCAGGCAGCTGCGACGCGGCGACTGGAGAGTGCCTCAAGTGCTTACACTACACAGAAGGAGCGCAGTGCGAAAACTGTGTCAGCGGCTTCTATGGTGACGCCAGACTGAGGTCTTGCCAGCGGTGCGTCTGTAACGAGCTTGGCACAAACTCAACGGCAGGCTCTTGTGACCGCCTCACTGGCCAGTGTCCATGCTACCAGAATGTGACTGGAATGCAGTGTGATCAGTGCCTTGAGAACCATTTCAATTTGGCGAGCGGGGCTGGTTGTGCTGCATGTGCCTGCGATCCCAACGGTGTGGTTCCATCGCACGACGGCTCGCCAACTCTCCAGTGCAATCTGTTCGACGGAAAATGCTCCTGCAAGCAGGGCCGCGGCGGCCGGCAGTGCAACGAGTGCGAAGACTTCTATTGGGGTGATCCGACGACGGCTGACGGCTGCCATCGTTGTCAGTGCGATCCGACCGGCTCAGCCAGTCTCCAATGTCACCGGAACAACGGCACTTGCGAATGTCGGCCCGGCTCCGGCGGCGCTCTGTGCAACGAATGCGCTCGTGGATTCACTGGTCAGTGGCCTCATTGCAAGCCCTGCGGCGAATGCTTCCATCAATGGGACAACATCATCGTCGCCCTCAATGCACAGGTTTCAAACGTTTTACTCTCGTTTGCAAAAGTCTATAAGTAGTGTAGATCTTTTAAACGGCTTTTCGGAAGGCTAGGCACACTTCATGGTTGTAACAGGGACGCGCAAGAGGGGTTTTTGTAGCTCGAGACGAGTTTGAAAAAAAAAAAATGCTTTTTTTAATGATTTTTTTTTGTGTCATCGAAACACTTGAAAATTACCAAAAGTCAAAAATTGTTTGAAACTCATCTTTGTTAAGACTTAGTAAGTTTTTAATATTAGAAACTCGGCTTCTCAAGGGCAATATTATTATGATGTTAAAAAAATTTTAAAAAAAAGTTTCGATTTGCGTTTTCAAACTCTCGAATAAGCTTTTTTTGAGTTCTGAAAAGTTTAAAGTCGGAAAGCCGTTTTTAAAAAAGACTCAATTAGGGTTCGATATTTGGAATCACTTTGAACACGGAATAATGATTTTTTCTATGATTTATTATCAACCAGGTTGAAAAGCTCATCGACACCGCCAATAACATCGAGGACACCGGCGTGGCTTCCGCTTACGATGAGGACTTTGAGAAGATGGAAAAGCAACTAACCGATACGAAGAAAAAGCTTGCTGACGCCAATATTAGCAAAGAACATATTGATCAAATGGATCGTGAAGTTGGAATTTTGAAGCAAGCTGTAAGAGGAGAGTCTTTTGTTTGAAATGGCAGTTCTTTTTTTTTCAGGTAGCAAATGCTCGCACACGTCTTGATGGCATCGAATCAAAAGTGTCTAACTCATCGCAAGCCGTCGACTTTGCTCAGGAAGACTTGAAACTGCTGCAAGAAGACGCCGAAAAACTCAGCAACAAAACCTTGGAACTGCAACTGAAGGCCAACCAAATCAAGGAAGCCGATGTGATGGGCGCCTACAACATCACCAAGGAGTCGGCTTCTAAGTCTTTGGACGCTCAACGGAGAACAGACGCCGCGATAGGGAAGCTGGCGATGGCTGAGAAAGACGCGACACAGGCCGGCGAGCTGCTCGAGAAAAATCGCGACGACTTCGAGAAGCAGTTCTCCGAGAACGAAGCCGCACTCATCGAGACGTCCAGACAGCTCAACCTTCTCGAAGGTTCGCTGCCAAAACTCAACGCCGAGGTCTGCGGTGCTTCTTCGGCGCCTTGCGACGCCTTGTGCGGCGGCCCCGGCTCGTGTGGCTTTTGCGGAGGGCAGTCTTGCATGGAGGGTGCGGTGAGCAAAGCCGGCCAAGCACGTAGTTTCGCCATGGAAGCTGACACCCGACTCAACGAGAAGCAACAAGAAGCGGAATCGGTTTTTTAACGTCGTTTCCGTTCATACAATTTCAATTTTCAGGTCCTGGGTATCGTCAGAGAAGTTTTGCTCACTACTTCGGCCGCAAAAAAAGAGGCTGAAGGCGCTTTGGAGGTAATATTGTGAAAGAAAAATAGACAAAAGAATAATACGATGATTCGAAAAACTCGATAGCAAAGAAAATGTTGAATTATTGAAGAAAAATAATCATTTTAGCAAGTTTTCGTGACCTCGTAATACAAATTTACAGTTAGAATACTTTCAAGACACTGTTCGAATTTTTTAAACAGGAAAAGCGATTTTGACATCAAGTTTAGAAATTTGAAAATTGTGTCCAATGGAGACTCTTCACAGTGTCGCAAAATCTTGGTTTCAAAATAATTTTTTTCGAAAATAGCGTTCAACACAGGATCCGGCCCAAAATCAATGCTCCAATCAGAACTTTGAAAGTCCTAATCTTCAGTTAAAGGAAAGTAGAGGACATCAGATGTCTTTATTTGGACTTTTGAAGAGTTTTTGTAGAGGTTTCTTGAAAACTTTAAGCTTCCCACTAAAGTCAACTGCCCTATGAGAAGAAGTTCAATGAAGGGCAACGTTCCTTTTTTCAGACCGCAAGATCTGCTGCTCTGAAAGCAAACAGTACCCGAAACGATCTCGAAAACATAATCGACGAAATGAACGAGTTTTTGAAATCTGCGAGGTTTTTTTTTTTCAACTTGAACGTAGTTTTCCAATGCCCTCTCCAGAAGCACTCCCGACCAAATCAGAAGCCTTGCTGAAGAAGTTTTGACGAAGAAAATCAGTTTGACGCCCGAACAAATAACCGATCTCACAAAAAAGGTTTGTCGGAAAAAATTTCTTGATGCAGAGAAAGTGTTCAGATACGTGAATCGTTGGCGAAGATCAACAATATTGGCGACATCCTGGACGAGACACGAGGAAACAGGACACTGGCCTCGGAACTCGAAGTCCGCGCTCGCGAGGCCAGCGCCAGGGCTGAGGCCATCAAGAACACCACCGACACTGTCCGTGAAGCCCTCAAGATCGCCGAGGAAGCTCAGCTATCTGCATCTGGGGCTATCTCCGAGGCTGAGGAAATCACGAAGGCAGCCAAGTCCGCGTTTTTCATGACGAAAATTAGAAAAGTTAAAAGGCTCAGGAATTGGCCGGTTAAGCCTTTTTGCGCCTGCACATTAGTCACTAGAACTAGACCGTTTATAATAATAAATAAGGGGCTGTGTAGTATTGAGTGAAGAGATTTTGGCCAAAATTGGCATGAAATTAAAAGTTTTAGAAACTGCTTAACATAAGCATTAAAATTCTCCAACAGCCTTTTTTGTGTTTAGTAAAACTTACTGGAGCGAATTCCAAAATCGTGATAAACAAAAACTTAAAAGGCCACTTTCCAGTTCAAATTCAGTAGAAAAAATATTTCAGGGCTGATCTCGAAGAGGCGAGAAATGAGACGAAAACGACGGAAGCAAGAGCACGTGAGGCTAACAGCACGTTGGCGGGGCTCGAGTCGATGATGGGCGACGTGAAAGTCCAGTACCTGCAGATCTCGGAGTCGGCGAAAAACGCGCTGCTCACCGTTGACAACGCCCTTCATGCTGCCTCGGTCGCCGAACAACGCAACAAGCAACTAAATGTCCGTCATTACAAGCGAACTTATTTTTCTTTTTTGTTCAAAGTTTACAATGGAATCTCAGAAATACATGTACTATTGACTGGTTAGGAGCACTTTTTACACCTTCTGGGCATATTTCAGTTAATTTTCCTGAAATGCCGACTTGATTTCGAAGCTTTTTGAAAAATTTGAGAAAAAGAAAATCTATTTTCAGGCGGATATCGAACGAGCCAACGAGTTGCTCCTTAAACGAACCCAAGGCAACGAGGCTCCGCAGAAAAGAGCCGAGAAACTTCGCGAACGGGCCGCCAAGCTGCTCTATCACGCTCAGCACTACAGCGAGGATATCAATTGTACGTTTTGAACATGGTTTCCCTGAAATGAGAGAAGTTGATAATGCACAACCTTAATAAAAGTTCTAATAACACAAAAACCGTTGTGTCAAATTAGCAATTAACTTGCATTCCTGTGAAAAGTTTGGCTTAATTGAAAACAAACTGTAGAAAAGCCAAAATTGCAGCGCTGTCGAAAGATGCATCGGACGTGCGTCTGGATGACTACCAACAGGTCTTGGATGATCTCAACGCTCGGCTCGAGCGTGTGACCAGAGACATCCACGAGAAAACCGACTTCCACGCGACCTGTGGATAATTTCAAAATCTCTTTTTCCTTTTCTGTTTTTCTTCTTTCTCGTTTATCTTTTTTTATGTACATTAAGACACCAAATTTTGTTCTGTATCGTGTTTCAAAAGAATTGTTATACTAGTTTTTTTTTCGTTAAATACTTTTTGCTTAGTACCGGTTTCTCGATGCTGACTGGTTTGAGAAGTCAATAATCCAGAATTTCGTCGGAAAACCCTGATTAAAACTTTTCTTAAACTCACGTGCCTTCAATCACGTCATCACCAAGCTTTCCTCATACTTAAATTTCATAATAGCCGCCTTAATCGTTCTAAAATCTCGCTTTTCTCCATAATCTTCGTTTGCCGAGTTCAAAGTAATTTAGGCGAATTTAGAAATGATCACTGACAAATTACTTTGAACGCGTTTTCGATTTCAATTGTTCTCTCCATTTATTTATTCTTGCTTATCGCTGCCATAATCAAACAATACATTGCCAAATTCGTTAAAAATTGACTCACAGCTTTCAACGCTATGCCATTCAAATAAATATTTGCAATTAGTGATAGATTTTCTTTTCATGAAATCTGTTGAAAGCTTCTGATAATACTGGTTGTGAATTAATTACATATCAGCTATTTATAAGTTTTTTTGTTGCATTTTTTTAAGCGGAATACTTTTGTGGCTGAAATTATAGGGAATTTTGTCTTTTTTTTTCGGCGAAAATAGACAAATTCAGAAATAAGAGTTTTTGGAAATTTGATGAGAAGAATTTTTGAGAACTGACTTTGAAACTGGTCACATTATGGAGAAATACGCACTTCAAAACCGTTAAAATTTCAATAGAGCCCAGAAAGCTTTCAATATTTGAAAAGTTAGGAATTAAAAAAAAGCGACCGGACCGACCGACTTTTCCAGCAATTATACTCAACTTGCGAACTTTTAGGATGCACAGAACAATTAGATTGGCGAGCAGTATACGGTCTCTTCTGAAGTCTGAAAAAGCGGAAAGAGTTCTGTCACAAATAGAACGCCATTCGCGAGATTCTCAGACTGGATTAACGACGGGTATACTTTATATAACAGCATGGTCTAATGCTCGACCGGCACGAACCCTATTAAAATCTGACCGCTTTTTTCTTACAATACGACCTTTTTTTTCCTTTTTGCATTATTTTGATGATTTTTCAATTTGAATAATTATAACAAAATGTGCTTTTTGAGTGCAACCCGAGATGATAAGTTACTGGCAGATGGTCGCACAGGATGCGGCATTGGTTCGGGAGAAATTTGCTGAAGTTCAACAATTGAGTTCTATTATTGAAGAAGGTTTTTTTTTTTCATTTGATCTGTTTTCTGTGTACTTGAATTCCAAACTTGTATAGCTGATTCACGTCTGGCTTGAGCCATTGAAAAAAGGGTCCTGACACGATAATACACGGGATACCGCTTGGCTCATGGAGAGCGCAGACAGGACACGCCCTCTTAGCGTCCTAAGCTGGCCGTGAATCAGCTATAGTCAAGTGTTAAAATCACGTCCTCCGCCGCTTCCTTCTGCGCGTAGTTCATTCAGTGTGGCGCCTTGAAGAGTTCACAATGTAACGCATGTTATAGCTGGAGCCCGGAGATTTTTCGACGAGCCGAGGCGGCCGCCCAGTGTCGCGCTGTCTGTCAAACTTTTCCGAACGCTCTTTGTACTTGTTAGAGACGCTTAACTTGAAAATTTCCGAAAAGACAATTTTTCAAACTGTTTATGAAGCAAAATAGTAGTGAACTTCATACGGAATCGAATAATTAAAAGACATACGAATGAAAACCAAAAATTTTTTTTGCCATTTTGGGCCTAACTTTCAAGTCAGGAGTTCTGAGACTCAATGTTTATTACTTACATAATTTTATTACTTACTGTAAAATGATGAAACATTTCAGATAGTGCTGATGCTGAGCTCATATCGATGGCAAAAGAGGAAAGATCGATGGTTAGAGAGGTGGAGCAGTTTCGGCGCTGAATCGAATTTTTTCCTTTTCAGAGTCTTGACAGGTTGCTCGACGAGTTGGCCGTTCACATTGTACCAACCACCGAAATCGACGTGCTATCCAAATGCCAGATCGAGCTCACCAGGTACAGAAATAACTGAGATAGTTCGTTTGGATTTTGAATGGGAAGCAGCCCACTGAGCCAGTAATCCTTCAATATCGATATATTACCGTCGTCAAGCTGAGTGTTTTTAAAACCGTCACACCGAGTTTTTTTCTGAACACTTCTTTTCAAAACTCCTTTTTTGACATCGTTGCATATTTTGGTTTTTCAAAAGGCAAGATTATTGTCAAGAATGTTATTTGGTTGTTGTTTAAACAGTAATCAAGCTTGTAGTGCCGTATTTATAGCTATATGATTTTCCGTGAACACGTGGTCTCAGAAAAAAATGATAAGTATTTTTATTCGTTCAATTAGATAGAGAAATTATCCAGAAAATACTTTCATTTTCTATAGGCATCTTAACTCGATAAACTAGAGTCATTCTGAACTCTTTACACTATATAGGCCACGCCCCTTTTCACGCACCTCATTCTTTTTGAAACGCCGTATATCGGAGTGAGTTCAGTGGCGCTGGAGGGCAAGAAGCGATGCTTTTCACTGGCGAGCTCTTGGACATGTACGCAGCGCTGGCTCAGAACAACGGTTGGAAATGGGAGCCTTTTCAGGTTTTTATTTTATCAATTTTTGTGATGCTGATGACATGCTTAGTTAATTTTAATAATGTTTCGTCATTTAACCAAAAAAAGAACTCGAACCTCTGCAACGTCATTTTCTACCGTCTTTCAAAATGTTGTCTCTCGTCAAAAATGCTTTTATTTTTGGAGTTTTAGGTAGACAGCGTAGCGCTAGGAGGGGTACGAAGTGCGCTGGTTGCAGTATCCGGATCAAATGTCTATTCGACATTGAGGTGTGATTCCTACATACAAAACTTCATTCGGCAATTATTTCAAACCAAAACGAAACTTTTTTTTGTATGAATTCACCTTGAGACTGACTTTCTGGGTTAGTATTTCTTAACATGTAACATGCCGGCAAAAATTCTGGAAAGTTGCTCCTGTATTTGAGCTGGGACTTTATATTATTCAATCTGTTTTCGAAAAATTTTGAACTCCACATCAGGTTTGAAGCTGGCGTTCATCGTGTTCAAAGGGTGCCGATTAATGATACCCGAATGCACACAAGCACGTCAAGTGTTTCAGTCTTGCCTGAGCCAGAAGAGGTAGTTGATATCCGAGTTTTTTGTTTTTTTTTTTGTCGGGAATTCCATCTTTTCAGATTTCGGTGATCGTTCCCAGCGACTCGGTGAAAATTGAAACCATGAGGGCTTCGGGGCCTGGCGGACAAAATGTTAACAAACGGTTTTTATCTTCCAGATGTGAATTTCTAAACGCTGGAAATGAATTTTGAAGGTCAACGGCTGTTCGGATGACACACAAGGAGACGGGAATAGCTGTACACTGCATGGACGAACGCTTCCAGCATCTCAACATACAGGCTAGCAAATTGATTACCAGCTAAAAAACGTATCACTTTTTGAAGATAGCCTATAAGCGGTTGGCGGCGATTTTAATGCAACGGCAAGTGGACGCGATGAACGAAAAAACAACTTCCGACCGTCGACTTCAGGTGCCTTTCTTTTGACATGGCGCGCTTAGGAACTCCAGAGTGGTACCTGTAGGGGCAACCTTAGAGGCCCTTTGAGGCCCACATTACCAACCCCTGTAGGGGTTACTAAAGCTTTTAAAACTGGTTTCTATAGGGTTTTCAGTTAGTAGTTAGTGGACCATATATGTGACATGCTAGTCGATAATTGATATGATTTCTAACCAGGGAATGGTCTCAGCTCACAGTGGGACTTCTGAATGAGACCATATTTTCTAGATGTAGTTTTTCACGCTGATTCCAAATCCGTTTTCAAAAGCTGCCACCGAGGTCTGTGAAAAAAGTTATGGACCCTCAAAAGTCGAAAATTTCATCGTCTCCGATCGAGCTCATTTTTGGAGGGTATATCTTCGCTTCGAAACTCCAAAAAGGAGCAATTACACGAAAATATCCAAAAAAGAAAAAAATGCAAAAAAAGTTTGCACTGCGTGGGTACCGAACCTATGACCTCGTGCTTCCCAGTCCGCCGCCTTTCCACTGCTCCTCGCTGCCGTTGCTTCGCCGGTCGCCGGATCGCAATAGGACACCGCGGGCGCTTGCTCTTGTGTGCGGCGAGGCTTTGAAAGGTCATATCTTGGCTTTGAAGTTTTTTTGAGAAAAATTTGATGGTTTTTCGTGACAAGGGAAACAAGGACTATATACCCTCCAAAAATGAGCTCGATCGGAGACGATGAAATTTTCGACTTTTGAGGGCCCATAACTTTTTTCACAGACCTAGGTGGCAGCTTTTGAAAACGGATTTGGAATCAGCGTGAAAAACTACATCTAGAAAATATGGTCTCATTCAGAAGTCCCACTGTGAGCTGAGACCATTCCCTGGTAAGCAAAATTTTTTTTTAACCATAGTCAATTTTTTCCGATTTGAAAGGCGAGGGAGGCGGGATTTTGATATGAATTTTTCCTTTTATAGTTCAAAAGTCAGATTTTTCTATCACAATATCATTTCATGATCTTGCATGCCTTTAATCGATAAACAATTTTTTCAAACAAAGATAAAAAAGAAAAAAAGCATTCAAAGAGAGGTTTTTCTGACTCGCGGAGCCTTTGAATACTTTTTTCCGGACCTCTTCGCTAGTTTTTGAGTAAATGGAATGTCATAAGAGTTATTGGAAAACACTTACCAAAATTTTTTATAAACTTTCCGAATCTAATGAAATAGGTATCATTTATATGATCAATTTGTTCATTTTTCTCTTATTCGCAGGTAGGGTCGAAGGCACGTGCGGAAAAGATCCGAACCTACAACTTCCAACACGACCGCGTCACAGACCACCGTATCCAAATGACCATTAAAGGTTAGTTACCAAGTTATTTGTTATATGACAGCCCCGTACGAGCTTAGGCGTTGAAGAGTTCCTTAGAGGTGGCACAGTACTTCAGTCGATGATTGATCGGCTAACCGAGCAGCATCTCGAAGATCGCCTCAAGCATTTCCTTGACACCTTCGAGTTAGACCAAACATCTTAGTTGTTTCGATTTCAGGCATGAATAATAACAAATGACACTTTTCCAAGATTTTATAGTTCTTCCGGCAATCTTCGGCCGAACAAAAAAAAAAATTGAGCCAAGGGAAAGTACCTTATGTGGGATCTCTAGAGTGGTCGTTATTGAGGCAACCTTAGGCGCATTCGAGGACCCTTTTTAGGGACCATTTCACCGACCCCTATATGAGTTACTAAATCTTGCAAAAGGGTCCCTATGGGTCACTTAAGGTTGCAAAAGTGGTCCCTCTAAGGGTTTTAGTTAGCCTATAGGGAAATGATAGTCAATAATTTTATGAACTCCTTGCGAAAAAGTATTTCCATGCGAAAAACTAAAAAATAAGAGTTTTTTGAAAGAAATTAAAACACCCCTATAGGGGTCCCTCAAGCTTTAGGAGCTAAGAGGTCAGACCCTTAACCCCTATAGGGACCACCTCGATTCAACCCTACAAGGACTACTTTGTAGGTCCTTATAGGGGCGGATTCCCTCTAACCCCTATAGAAACCACTCTAGAACTCCTAAGTTGTGTGTGTTGTCGAAAAAGAGTATGTTATAATCAACGGGAATAATTTTCTTTTTTTTTTCTGAAAATTTTTTCTTATTTAATCATAATTTGATCATTTCGGTTAAGTGGTGTTTGCCGCGTCTCGTTGACTCTTGAAAATTTTGTTCAGCGATACCAGAACGGTTTGAGCAAGGTTGGGCGCCTGCAAACCTTTTTTCTGTTAATTTTCATTATTCACACGTACTACCTTCACTAAAGAGACTATGTGATGATAAGTTCGATTTTTTGGGGCAGACGCTGAGAATTCCGATCGGTAAAATGACACAGCCTCGTGCGACGTTCTAATCTATAAACCAACGTTTGGTTCAACACTCCAGGGTAACGAGAAATGAAAAAAAGTGTTTTTTTGTTCATAACATCACTAACATGTGATGCGAGTTGCCGAAAGTCGAATCCGGCCGAGTTCTCATCGAATGTATCCTTCTTATTGAAAAGTAAAAGGAATCCAGCGTCTTGGAGCAACGGGTGTTGTACCAGTTCCTTGAAAATTCCTACCGTTTTGTCTTTGAGATGGCCCTGAAACATTCTTCTTATCAGAAAAGTTTTGATTCATTTTGGAATAACTGAAAAAGTTTAACTGGAAAAAAATAATCTGCTTTATTGCATACTGAATCTCTCTTTTTTATACTTCATTTTGTTCGCAGCTTAGTTTTTGAAGTATTTTGAGATCACCGAATAGAATGCAGCTTGGCAGAGCTCGCTGAGATCCACAAGAAAACAGAGAACTGCGGTTTGGGCGAAAAAACTCGGCCATCTTTTACGCCAAATGTGATGCCCTGGGAGCTCGATCAACCTGCAAATTTCATATCAGTGATGAATCAAACAAAGTTTTGATCTTCTTACTCGTAACGAGAGAATCCGATTCGTATGGGTATTTCAAAGAGGCCGACGGTTGGCGCATAAGAGAAAAGAATGTCGGCCTCGGTTGGGCAATAGCTGTGGTGTAGAATGCGATCCGTATGTTGAACAAAACTATAAATTTCGTATTTGAAAAAAAAAGTTTTCTCAGACGTAAAATTTGAATTTTTAGATCTATTTAAAAAGGACGACCAATCCAAAAAAAATTGCAAAATCTTTTATGTTTTTCATCGTCTTTTCAGAGCCAAGATGAAAATCTGGTTGAAATTCAACATAGAGTTTCAAAAGTTTTGGGTTCAAAAAAACTGAACTCTACTTTTATTTGATGAATATATATCATATGCAAAGCAGAAAAGGGTCGAAAAAGACTTCATATAAATGTTACTTGTAGGGGTAGGGTGACAAAGGTCCCTTTTTTGCTGCCTTTTTGCGCTATTTCATCGGCTCTTATGCAACATTTTTGCTGTCTCTCCCTTTCCGACCATTCTTTGAGCCTTCAAAGTTCTAGAAAAAATGGCAGGCTCGATAAAGGGACTCTGTTTGCTGCCTTTCTGCGGCCTTTTTTGAACCTCTCCCTTTTAGCGGCCATTATCCACCATTCCGAATTTGCCCGAGATGGAAAGAATCAAATCTGCGGATATTATGTCAAGTAATAGTTTGTTGGTCAAATAATTGGAAACGCACTAATGGTAGTTACAGGGTAGGCTTAAGACGCGTCTTTTTTTCTGGCATTCTTCCAGCAGTCCGCTTCTCGCTATCGCCTTCAGGCTCTTGTACACCTTGTCGCTGAGGTCTTCGCGGTGCCGAAACTCGTAGATCACGTCGAAGTCAGCCTGTACATAGTTAAGTTGTTTCACTCATGACTGGGGGTCGCTCGAAACTTATAACTTCCCGAAATAAGCCACAGAAAAAGCATTTTTAGAAGTCTTCAGAAAAACCTCATAAACTTTTTTCATTTTTTTTGCAGCTTGATTTTGTTTATCAAGCAAGCCAACTATTCAACTATAATGAGAAAATGAAGTCAACCGATTGTAGCTTACCGCGTATCTGCTCACGTCAACCTCAAGCTGCTCGCAAACCTCTCGTAAAGCTTTCCAAACCTGCAAAAGTTTCGTTCAGCTCAATTTTCAGCTCCAAATATATGCGAAATACTGTTTAAAACGCTTTATAAGCTTTTTCTGCAGTTCTCGGTTTTTCGACGGCAGGCCTGTCGCTATGACTACGTTTTTTTTGATAATAAAAGACTTGGAGGGGGCGGAATAAGCTGGACGGACGTCCTACAGCCGAAATGCGAAAGCTCCGAAATCGAATTAGCAGAAGTATAAAACCGTATTTTTGAATGAAATTATTTGGTTTTATAAATTTTTGAGTTAAGTGGGAGTGATTCTTCGAAGTTGAGGGAGGTTTGGGGCGTTTGTCCAAAAATTATTTGAAAATCTGACTCTGTGATGAAATTTTCATTCAAGGCATCTACTGATTAATTTAAATTAAAAAAAATTTCACCAGAATGTTCATAGGCTGTTAGCTTGAAAAGCGAAAGAAGAATTATGGCCAGTTCAGAAAGCCTTTAAAAAACTTTCACGGGCACTTTAAAATCGCCCGATACTTCAAATTAGTCAAAGCTCCTCGAAACACTTTGAAGAAGTTTTAACTGGTTGAAATAATTTTCTTTTTCAAAGCGAATCTCAGCACAGTGATCTCCGTCAGAAGCTTTAATAGATCCCAGTGCGTACATGTGCTTGAATAACATACATCATACCACACAAAACAAAAAAAAATTTTCGAGTCTATCGATCTTGATAGAAAAACTCTAAATTAACCTCTAAAAGATTGTGCTGCAGCGTGTGTATGTAGTACTCGTTGTGTAATGCCAAAGAAACACGACTTTGTTTTCTGAACAGATTATTTTCGATATAAGTTTTTTTTTTCAAGTATTGAAAATGCGTTCTTACGAACTACGTTCCTGATTGGCATCAGTGCAAGCTGGTGTGTCAGCTCGCGCTGCACGGGCCGATCTGGCTTGGGCTTTGGACCTGATTTTTGAGAAAAACCATGCGAAAAGACCAAAACTTTTTAAAGCTTGTTCCAAGCCGAGCTTCAACAAAATTTTAAGTTTTAATAGAGAATTTTCACCGAAACATTATTTTTAATTGTTAAAACGTAGTTTCTATTGAACTCGAAGTGAAAAAATAAGCAAACGTGATTCATGTCGTGAAAAAGCTTGATAATCGAATGAAAGATAATTTGAGCTTCTTCGACCGGGCCGGCCACCATTTTTTGCTAGAGGCCTCCTAAGGCCGGGCTTTGAAAGTTGCCAAGGATAGGCTGCCGGTCCATCCCTCGCATAAACCTGCGTCAGTGATAAGCTTGAAAAGTCAGTCAGAAGCTATGCTTATTGGAGAAAGATTCGCAGAAACGTTGGGTGATAGCGAAAGGTTTTTTTCAAAAGTTTTCGAGCAAAAAAGTTGGGAAAAATTTTAGACATCTCAAAAAATGCGTAAAGAAAAAACAAACTATCATGCAAGATAAAAAGAGCGTTAAGATAAATAGGAACACTGCGATATAATGTTAGATTCATTAGGTTTATAGAGTACTCAGTCATTCTTGTCTTCACTTTCAAAGTTTATTTGAGGCGCGCGCTCAAGAAGAAACTTGTTTGAAAACACTAATAATCTTTGTCGAGAATCTTCAAATCTTGTTCGCTACTTGTTTAAAATTCACATTGAATTTGAAACAGAATGATAAATTTCAAAAATTTTCAAAATACGATATAATGATCCTCAAAATAGAAAAAGTTTATTTTTATTTTTCGTCAGGTTTCCGTTCCGAGAGATTAAAAAACGATGAATCACCGATTTTCAAACATGAACTCACATCAACTGACGACAGAGAGTGGACTTTCCGCTTCCCATACAACCTACAAAATTATCAGAGTTGGTCGTGTATAACAGAAATAAAAGCTTAAATTTTTTTGGAATATTAGACTTTTTGGGTTAAAAAAACTAATTTAATATTGTTTTTCAATCGAAAAAGTTCCCGGTTGATATTTGATAAAAAAAATATTTACTGCAGGACGCTCTGATCACTAGCTTGTCAAAAATTGCGCCTTCAGCTTTCTAGTGAAGTTATTATAAACGCCCAAAGTTTGAAATCTACCGTGACAGTGACGGAAAAAAAGCCCTTTTGAGGTCTTTTTTGAATGGTAAATTGCGCATTTTTTCCTCGATAAAACTGTGACCAAGTGTTCAAAATCATCTCTCAAAGGAGTTTCGTCAGCATACCGAGCGGACATCTTTTTCACTTCCTCTCTTAAAAATTTCAACTTTGGTGTCTATTTTTGTGACTTTTCTGATATTTTTTTCCCACTTCAGTTTATTTCCCACGATATCTATAGACAATTCTCGTGATTGTCTAGCGAATCGGGAAAGAAAAAGTTTGGACCTTTGATGACCTCAGTTTCAGGGATTGTAAGAAAAACGGTTAGAACTTGCCTAGGACAAGAATCTTTGGAGCGTCGCCATTGAGCGGAATCAGTGATAGCGGCACACGACCTACGGCCGACGCTGACGACCCCATAATCCCCTTCCGGAGGGCGTGATGAAGATCGAAGAATCGGCTTTGGATACGAGAATAACAATAGTTAACGTTGAAGTTTTAGAAGAACAAATCCGAGCAAGCGGTGGCCTTCTTGCGCGACGTCCGGTGGGCGGGCCGCCTTTCTGTCGCTGAAATCACTCGCTACCTTGGTTCGCGTGAGCTCGCAAGAGCTCTCCGCACTCTCCTGACAATGCTCACCAGCTCAAATACACGCACACAAACACATGAACGGGCTCGCATGTCCTTAATCGGTTATATGTGAGTGGATTAAAATTACACGTCTCACGGCTGTTTCTATAATTGTGAAATTTTCGCTGTACCTTTACTACGAAATTGTCCGATTTTAATCAAGCAAGTCAGGTTCAAAGTTTTGAGAAAAAGATGGAGTGCACATAAATAAAGATGATTTCCTGTTTTCGGCTTCTTCTAAGACAGTGGTTTTTGATTTGATAAAGGTATATATTCATAAAACATAAACTCCCGGGCCCAGACAGTTGCTTAGAAACTCCAGAGTGGTCTTTATAGGGGAAGCTCAGGAGACCACTTCACAAACTCCTGTAGGGGACACTAAAGCTTGCGAAAGTGGTCACTATAGGGAACACACTACTCGATAATTTTAACTTTAATTTTTATGAACATAAATGCGAAGAAGCACATCCATGCAAAAAACAGAAAAAAAACCATTTTTGAACTAAATTGAATGGCCTCAATAGGGAGCACTAACTCTAAACCCTCATAGGGACCACCTTGATTTTACCCCTATAGGGATCACTTTTTCGTCTCCCACAAGGGCTGTTTCCCCCCTAGCCTCTATAGGGACCACTCTAAAATTCCTATGACTATTAAACAAATTAAATACGATTGAAATTTCACCACACACCATGTCAGATACTTCGATGCTCATTTTTTTGAATGTTTACATCCTCGCCTCCTATAAGTAAATTAATTTTTTTATGTACTGGTTTTGGGTCAAAGTGTACATTTACTTGTTAGGTATACACACGGACCATTTTATTATTTTTTTGTAACCTCGAGTGAAATAAATATGTTATTATTAAACGCAGCAGGTTTTCTACGTGCTTCTACATGTTTATATAACTCATGAGATTTTATTTTTGAAAGTGTTTACTCTAAAAAAAACCATTTTTTCAAAAGAAAAATCGAAGAAATTTGCGATTATTCGATTATGGTCATTCGGTGGGGCTGCCCTTGGAAACCCTCTTCTTACTAAGATGCCTCGAGGAAAATAATCAAAGAAAAAATTATTTTGTTTTCAGGTTGTGTAGTTAATTACACCAGTATTATTATCTTTCTTCTCATGGCGACAACAAAAAACCAGCAAAACTTTGAAAGAAGCTTTTTGTGTTTTTATGAAATTTCACTATTCAATAATTAAAAAAAAAGAACTGGAAAACGCGATTACCACTCGCTTCGGTTGACAAGCGTGGGAAGAGACATACGGAGCGTGTTTAAAAACCTCTTGAAGGTGAAATTAATTTTTGTGGGCGGATATCGGCGCGGATTATGAATGGATTATGCTCTCATATTATTAAATCGGTTTGCACTCTAATGCTTCGGCGGGCGAGCCGCTGGAAAAACGCCGTAGATTTGCAGGACGGGTCATCGGCGGGTGCTTCAAAACGTTGCCCGGTTTTTTATGACGACGAAGAGCGTTCGCTAGTCTAAAACGGACGAAAAGTGGGTGAAACTTCATTCGGAGGAAGCCGCTCGAGTGGTAGGGTGATGGACGCGGCAATAATTTTGATTCAGGTGAAGCCGCTGGATGAAAAAGGGTAAATAATTGTGGCGCCCGCCTTCGCAACGATTTGCACTAAAAATTTAAAAAAAAACAGAAAGCTCTTCCAGATAAAACATTTTCGTGAAAAAAAAAGGCCGGTGTGCCTACTGGCTGAGAAGAGAGTTCTGAAATATCTACATATAACTTCAGAAAAAAAAAAATTCAAAACTCGCTTTTGTTTTTCTGTTGGTGATGAATTTCATTTGTGAGAATCTGTGATCGCCGCTCACGGATCTCAGACATTAAAAAAATATTTTCCATCTAACGATCTGTATGAATTTCTGATAACTAATCACAACATCGAAATGCAAGCTGTGGCAAGAAGCTTCTGGATGAAGCTCAATCGGTTGATATACTACTTCAATCAAGAGCTGACGATGAGACGAATCGATTGATATAATCAAATAATCTGTACCCACTCAATGAGCCGAGATATGAAGTTTAACATTGAAAATTCAATTGGCGTCAGATACAATGAGTTGCTGCACCACGATGTACTTTTCTGGCGTAAAAGTAAAAGCTCAAAAAAAAAAAATTCGTTTTTTTCAAGTTTTTTTCTAGTGCAATTTATAAGGCAGGTTACGTATAGAACTGTTATCATATCAGATTAGAGGAAGAAGCTCAAATATTCGGTAAAAATGTGTCTAAAAGAGTTCATTTTTCAGAATTTTCAAGCTTTATAACTTTGTTCATTTTGAAGTTTGACAGAAATTAATTACATTTGTATTTTCAACGATTTAAATCTTTCAATGTTTTGAACGCTTTTGAAGAAAATGACCAACTTTGAAAAATCATAACTTTTTTTCTAGGCGCCCAAAAACTATCTGACATAGATTTTCCGACTTCAGACGTCATTTCCTATCGATTGATGTACAAATCTCGGAAACTTTGGTTTTCGGGAAAATCGAAAAAAGTGGCTTACGTTTTTTTTAGCTTCTGAGGTCATGGAAGCCGATCTGGAGGGAACCTACATCAATCGATAGATCTCGTCGAGAAAATCCCCTGAGGCCAGGTTTGACCTCCGTAGGTCAAATAGAAACTAAGTTATAGGCGATCAAAGTTGGAGAACTGAAATTCTGAAATTCTTCAAATTTGGTATCAATCGATAGAGGAAATCGAAAGGATCTGGAAAAACCAAGTCTCTGAGTTCCTGACCTTCTAGAAGTCGAGCTATGCATAATAATAACTTTTGAAAAATCATAACTATTTTCCTAGGAGGCTAGGAACTTTTTGATCTGGATTTTCCGACTTCAGACGTCATTTCCTATCGATTGATGTAGAAATCTCGGAAACTTTGGTTTTCGGGGAAATCGAAAAAAGTACAGTCTAACCCCTTACGTTTTTTTCGAGCTTCTGAGGTCATGGAAGCCGATCTGGACGAAACCTACATCAATCGATAGATCTCGTCGAGAAAATCCCCTGAGGCCAGGTTTGACCTCCGTAGGTCAACTAGGAACTAAGTTAGAGGCGATCAAAGTTGTAGAACTGAAATTCTGAAATTCTTCAAATTTGGTATCAATCGATAGAGGAGATCACGGAGGTCAAGAAAAACTAGGTCTCTAAGTTCCTGACCTTCTAGAAGTTGAGTTATGATTTTTCAAAAACCTCAAAAAATCATAACTTTTTTTCTAGACGCCCAAGAACTTATTGACCTACATTTTCGAAACTCTGACGTCATTTCCTATCGATTGATGTAAAAATCTCGGAAACTTTGGTTTTCGTGAAAATCGAAAAAAGTACAGTCTAACCCCTTACGTTTTTTTCGAGCTTCTGAGGTCATGGAAGCCGATCTGGACGAAACCTACATCAATCGATAGATCTCGTCGAGAAAATCCCCTGAGGCCAGGTTTGACCTCCGTAGGTCAACTAGAAACTAAGTTAGAGGCGATCAAAGTTGGAGAACTGAAATTCTGAAATTCTTCAAAACTCGTACTACTCGATAGAGTAAATTGCAAGGATCTGGAAAAACTAGGTCTCTAAGTTCTTGACCTCCTAGAAGTCGAGTTGGGATTTTTTTTAATATGAAAATTCAAGCTTTTGGATGAAGCTTAACATTCATGATTTGAACAAATGGAAAGCTGACGATGAGACGAATCGATTTTTTAAATCAAATAATCTGTAACCGCTCAATGAGCCGAGATATGAACGTTTAAAATACAAAATAAAAATCTCGATAGGCGTCAGATAAAATGCATTTGGTGGGCTACACCACGGTGTACTTTTTTGGCGAAAAAGGAAAAGCTGAAACATTTTTCCGTGATTTCGTGGTTTTTCCATATCAATCGATAGGGCAGCCCCTCTATAGTGCATTTATCATATCACTCTCAAAGGAGAAGCTCAAAATGTAGGTATGATAAGATTAAATTTAATGTAGAAGCTCAACTCAATATTTCAGAAGTGCTATCGATCGATTGGCATTTTCTCTGTTAGTATTGTTCAGGGTCATCATCAGTGGTGCGTATTTTTTAAGAAAACATTTTTTAACATGATTCAAAAACCCTGCAAAAAAAATCATCGCCAAAAAATGCAGAGCGATCTTTTCAGTTTATCTTTTTTTCCGAAATTCAAATAATTGAAACGAACACTCGTCCGGCAGAGGCGACACCTCCGACCATGCCGGAAAAAACACAGAAAACAGAAAAAATGAGAACATTCTATTTATTTTCAAAACTCTTCAAATTTATTTCTTAGAAACGAGTGTACGATTCAGTGCTGACTTTCTTGCGCCATCAAAGTCAAAAATTTTAGTCAGGTAAGGCTCGTCAATTTTTCAAAAAGGAGCTTTTTCGCGGGAAAATACGGACAGTCCGCATGAGGTACGTTTCGGAAGCCCTTATTCTCACCGATCCCTTTCTATCGGCTTCCGCGGACTCCCGGAATTTGCGTTTTCTTACCGATATCCTATCGTTATCGGTTTCGCTCAGTCCCCGTCTACTCCTCGTCGGCTCTCCGCGGACCTTCCTTTTTTTGCTTTCTTCCGGTTTCTTATCTAAAATCACCTGCGGAAAAATCCCCGGTGTCGGAGGTCTGAGTGTTTTGAAAAAAATCTTCTGCTTTTTCTTAAGAAATTTTCTCGAGTGCAAAATTAACACATCTATTCATAGAACGCGTGCAATGAGAAAACAATGACTCAAAAATTTGGCTTAAAAATCACGTTTTTTTAAAGTTTTTTTATTTTTTTATAATAAAAATTTTTAATCTATATTTTGATGTATATATTTGTGCTCGACGTTATTGACTACAGTTTGACAACAAGCGCGATTCCGTGTTCAGAGCAATTTAGAAATTGGCGTTCTATTCGTTAAAAAATTTTTCGCAAAGAAAGCAAAACTATAATTTCGAGAGTTTAGAAAAGTTGAGCCCTAAAAAAATGACGACTTTTACGCGCGATACAAAAATTTTTTTGTTAATATATAAATGTCTACTTCAAAATTGGGAGTTACTGCGCGCATACGTTCCACGGCGCCGACGAAGCGAAAAAAATCGTGTAATTTTTCCGCCGCTGAGGTTTATAATGCAGACAAAATGTGGCACTTTCTGTAGATTTACGAAAAGATATATCAGACATAGAAATTTCGCTATTATTTTTGCCTTTATTAAATTATTACTTATTCCTTATTAGAGCCGTTCGAATGACAATTAAAATAAGTTAAAATTTACTGTCCAGTTAATTTAGGAAAATTTCAACAAGGTAGGAGATGTTCATTATTTTTTTTTTTCATAGTTTCTCTTTCCATTTTCGCCCTTCATTTGATAACAATCGTAAAAAAGCTTTTACTAACTCCCCTTATCTGTATATAATCAAATTGTAATGGAATATTTCAGCCTTATTCCTCAGTTTTGTTCGCGCTCCGAAGGAGCTTCACAAGCCGTCAAAACGTGCAATGGCATATCGCGGTACGAGTATGCGAGGTTCTTTTAGAAACGTCTTCTTTTTTTCTCCTTGAAATTTAACAGCTGACTGATATGCTTTTCTAAAACATTTTTTCAATGCTTTTCAAACCTTTTTGTCAATTATCGCATAGGGTTTCTTTGTAAATTAACATCTTGTGAGGTGAAACTTCTCACAATTTACTTACAGGAGTTCCAACATCAGATTCGAGTTACCTTGAGCGTCACAATGATGATCTTGTCGATGGGTTGTCGTCAAAAGTTGCAGCTTTGAAAAGGGTGAGCTTATTTGAAATACAATATTTCACAAACAAAAATCTCCAGGTCACAATTGCCATAGGAGAAGACGTCCGTGAGCAAAATCGGCTCCTCAGCGACATGGATGGCGATTTCGACTCTTCGAAGAGCTTATTGCAGACGACGATGCGGCGTCTCGGCATCGTGAGCAAAGCAGGAGGTCCTCTTTTCTCTGAAATCTTAATTTTTTGTATAAAATGATGCAAAACTTATTTAGATTCTTCGTTTATTTTTTGGATTTTGCGGAATCACTTTGCATAAGACTAAAACCGGTCCAACTTTATGGAATTTAATTAAATTTTGACAAAACGGTTATAATCCATTCCGCGCCAGTTTGCCACGTTTTCCTTTCCGCCAGAAAGACCGTATACCAAATTAGATCAAATTTGAGCAAAATCGCTTCAAGAACCCTTTTTTGATGTCTTTCTTGCAGTTTTATAGTGTCTATTTTTACAGTATACTTTCTTTTTTCTGTTCTTTCAAAACGTTACCTTTTTGTGCGGAACGCAGTAAATCGTTTTTTTTTTTCGAATCCCTTTATCCTCTTAGGTGAAACTATATATAAAATTATTAACTTAAAACTGAAAATATCCTTTTTTAAGCTTTCTTTGAAAAAAACGATCGTTATGAGAAAAAAAAAAGTGTAATAGTGATATTCTTTTCTGCAACTTTTTTTAAGGGAGCGCGTTCTGTGATAACTTTGAGAAACATTTTTTTCTTTTCAAATTTTTTTGAATGACCTTTATTTTTAAATTCAGAAAAAAACTGCGCAGTATTAGAACCATTCTAAATTCAATTTCGAACATTCAATTAGATTGTGGAAAAATTGACGTGAAGGGAGAAATTAAATTTTTTAGTTGTTTGCAAACGCGAATAATATTGAAAATTATTTGGTTCAAAAATACTGACAGTAATAATAGCAGAAGTGATTTAGTTCAAAACTGCTTTTTTTTTCTTGTAACTCCGATACTTTTATTTTTGTATTGAAATAACTTTCCATCAAAAGCTCAAAAAAAGCCTCGTCAAAATTTTTTTATTTCGAAAATTTCTGAAGAACGTTTGATCCCTAAATTCTCGAAAAAAAATAATGAACTAAAATGAATGAAACTTGCAGGTAAGAACATGCTTTGCTACCTGATCCTGTTTGCACTTTTCGTCTTTTTCGTCGTTTATTGTTTATCACGATGATCCGGAAGCACTGTAACTTTCAACTCGTAATAATCTTACTTGTGGCTCAGAAATTTCGTTTTTTTTTTGTTCATCCTGTGATTCGAAAACGTTCTCGGTTACGTCTTTTCCTTCTTCTACCTGTCCTTAGTCCATTTTAACTTATTCATTTATTTTGTTGTAAATAAACGGTTAAGTCATTGGAACATTCGTTATGAAGCAAAAAAGAGAAGAAAGATTGCTTTTGCGTTGGTTTAGGAAGCAGGTGGAAACCGTAGAAGGGCAGGTGAATAAGAAAATTCGAAAGGTTTTCTTCGCCATTTACCTACATTTTGTGTTTCTCACTACATTTCTCCGATGAAATTTGCTCGTAAAAAAATTTCTTTTTTTTCAGATGTAGTTGACCTTTGAAATTGAATTTTTCTCATATATCGCTTCACATTTTTTTTTCTGTTTCGTTTCCATGAAATTGAAAGGGCAGACAATGAATTGAATTAACATCCAACGGAACTTACTTTTCGTTTCTCAAAGTGACACGTTAAGGGTAAAAAGTATTTTATAAATTAAAAAATGTTATAACCCATTCACCATAACAGTTCCGGCGAAGCTGTCAATGGATGGGCTATACTTAGGAATTCCAGACTCGTTTAAAAAAATTCCTGACTCCTTAGCCTCTAGAGATCAAGTGGACCCTAGAAGGGTCTTGAAAAAAAAACGCTTATTTATTCAGTTTTCCCCCTGGAAATGTTTCTTCGCTTAGAGTTCATAACACTTTCGCAAGCCCTAGTGGTCCCTATAGGGCAAGCCCTAGTGGTCCCTATAGGGCTTGGTAAAGTGGTCCCTAGAGAAAACCCACCGAGGGTTCCTATAGGAACCCCTCTGAAAATTATATTAATAAGAATATGCGTTAAAGCACTTTCTTTGTGTTGTGCTTTCCTAAGTTGTGCCCGTTTTCGCTTATTTGCATCTGTGACGCTCGCCTAATATGCAATTTGAGTTTTCACTGACAAAAGACAGGATTTCGAGTAGAAGAAGTTCTCTTTGCTCGAAGAACTTCTTCAAAAGATTTAGTGCTCCTGGATGGCGTCGAAAACTACCACTTTTCTAAGGGTTTTTCAAATGTATTCGAGAAAACTATGGAAAACGATGTTCTGAACAAAATTCCAGCCTGTCGGGTGAGACATTCTGAAGATGTCTAGATGAAAACGTTCCATTTCACACTTTAATTTGATTAAAACACCGAAAAATCGATTTCTCGTGAGCCATATGAGTTCTTGATGGTGCCAGATGGTTCTACATGAAATAAGATCTTCTGAACAGGATTTAAAAAAACTTTACTTTGCCCGATTCTGAGCATTTTGATGCAAAATTCAAAATTTTGGGGTTTTGAGTTGCGCTGAACGAGAGCTTTCAAAGTTCAAAACTCCAATTTAACAGTTGACGCCGAAAAACGGAAGCAGAAGCATTTTTTGTTTGAATATTGTGAAAGTTCAGGTGCTCTTCAACTCAATCTTTAATGGGAAAGAAGGCAAATCTCGACTGGGCCTGCAAGTTTCATTATAGGAAGTAATTTAGCCCTCGTGCGTAAATAATTTCTCAAGTTAGCTGCGCCGAGAAATAAAAGGATAATGTCGCTAAACTAATTTGTATAATAAATCCACGCATTTTTGTTTTCTATCTACAAACGACCTTCAAAAAATTTTTCCAATTTGTTTAACAACAGGATAGAGGAAAGGAAATTTGTACGCCATAGTTCTCCCCCCTCCCCCCTTTATTATAACCTGATTCCAGAACAAGAAAAAAAAAGTCTCTCGGTCTAGCTCTCGAATTGGCATAGTTCGCGTATTTTGCAATCTTTGAAGCGTAATAAATCAAAAAGCAGGTCTGTTGCAAACAAACCTTCCCTATTAAGAAACGTAAGTTCTTCATCCTCACCGACCCCTTTGAATTTTCTTGTCTCATTTTACTGTACTTTTTGATCAATTGGTACGTTCAAAAGTTTTGAACTCTCGAAATATAAGTGAAGAAGGTTGGAAAGATGATTCAAGTCACTTACAAGAAGGGCTTGAGGAAAAATTGCAATTTCTTCTGTGCTCTCAAAAAAGAAGTTAAGCCATCGAAAACTTTTTCATTCCATGAAGTTTTATACGGAAGTTCAGCAGTTGCATTCAAAGAATTATGAGAGCTCCGCCCCTTAATATCGCCGGCTCACAAGCTCCTCCCCCCGGCGCCGCCAAACAAGTCTGATTTTTTTCTATTCACTTATTCAACTCGTTTTTTGCAGTTTTCTTGATTGACTAACTACTTTTTTTTATTTCTCTCAAAACATGGTATACTGATTATCGTACCCTAAGTCATTAATTTATTCAAGAATCTGTTATTTTCGGGATAATCAGAAGTTTACTTTTTTCTGTCTTTTTTTAGAAGATGTAAAGCCAGCGTGTGTGTAAAAGTTCAGTTCTACCTTCTTCTAGATTATCCGCAAGGCGCAAACTTATCAGACTTCTTGAGTTATTGCGGCGATTATGAAATCTCCGCCAAGAATTACTTTTATTGCGTGCAGTACACTAGTATTAAAGTTCGTTCCCAATTTCGTCGTGTTGGGAAAAATGACGAACAAGCTACTTTTATATTTTCTCCGATTTCCACTTTTAACTGTTGTTTTATTTAGATTCATGGTTTTTTTTAAAATTGAAAATGGGAAGCTTGGTCAAGAATGTACTACAGCTCTGATTACGCACTTTTCGCGTCTTTGTCCACTCAAGGAAAGTTACGGAATTGAAGGGAAAATGGGCTGTCCCATGCCAGTCGAGCTACGACCAGAAGAGCTGCGATTGGCTGCTCGCCAAGTGTTGCTCGGCTCGGCGAGCAACTGCACCCCGCACGACTTTGTCCACGAGCTCGAGGATCGCCACGGCGTTTACTTGTTTTTCGAAGCGTTCCCCTTCGAACACGCCATTCTTGCACAGGTTTTCTTCCTCCCATCCAGCCGTAGCTGTTCGGCTCGAGCTTTCCTGAAAGAGAGAAAACTTTTATGGGTAACCGCCGAGAAAAGAAGAAAATCGCGATAGCTGGCGGTACATTGACGCCAGTTATTAGTGTTTTCTCAATTTCAATAAAAATGTTCCCAAAAAGGTCGGCCTATTTTCTTTTCGTTTTTGATGGTTTTCCCTTTTAATTTTGAGGTATTTTTTTTCGAAAATATTAAAATAAACGACTTCTAGGATCTATATCTGGGAGTATTCTAACAAGCTTTTCACGGAAAACCCAATCGCATAGAAAAAAATGACCTTCCTTGTGAGTTGCCAATGCTTCAATTATGAAGGAAAAAAACTTATAAAACTCTAAAATATTGAAAGCAATTCGCTTTTTTGTTGCTATTTTTCAACTATGAAAAGCTTTAGATAGGAGATTAGGATGAATTAAGAGCTTCCGTTTATCCTCGCTTTCATTTCTTGTTTTTTTTGGATAGAAAAGCTTATGAATCTGTTCAACGAATATGAGTTTTTGAAGTTTTCGCAGTACCCCCTACTTTCAAATTCAAAAAAAAAGTAGGAAGTTCATAGCTAGTTTCCGATAAAATAAATTTATACTATCGACCGAATCGAAGCGTGAGAACAGGTGAAAACGGCATAGACAAGAAAAATTTGGTTATCTTTATAAATTAATAAATTAATTCTTCAGGTTTTCTACTGTACACTGTTCTCCCTGACGATTTTGTTCGCGTTACTAGGGAACTTCACCGTTATGTGGTAGGTTTATTCTCACTAACACTTTTCTGGATCGGAATTTCGGGAAAGTTTGAGATCGCTGTAGGAAAACGGTTGTACTTAAAGAATCAAACCGAAAAATTTGGGAGAATTTGGAACCTTTCTCTCCAGTTTCACATATTATTTATTATTATTAGTTGGTTCTACCTGTTTTCGTGATTACCCCATTGCTGGTTTCTCTTCAATTTTCGCCGAGAATCGGGGTATCCTAAACGTATTATGGCGCGTCTGTGAGACGAGATTTCGCCGGAGGCTACATGCGTTGAAAGGATCGAAACAAGCCGCAATGAGCTGCGGGCAATTCTGTCGCATAATGAAATGAAAAATATGAAGAAGGATATTTTTTCTGGTTTTTTTCTTCAGAACAGTGATACTTTCTAAGAGGAAACAACGAAAAATTCAAATTTTTGAATAAAATTTGTGTCAAAAAAAAAGATCTGATGTTAGGCAAAGCAGTGAGTGAGGTTTGGAACCGGCGTGTCTTTTTGTACAGTTACTATTCTCGAAAAGTTTTTTTTTCAAAAACTTAAATCTGAGAAAAAAACAACGCTAACATAACGCGAAAATAATAATTTTTTCGCTGATCGTCGAAAAAAAAAAAACAATCTTACGGCTCCCATTTAAGTTTCGGAAGTAAACAGAAATAATGCAATCGACATAAATTTTCTTGTCGTTACGATTGCGTTGATTGGTCTGCGAGCTTTTTTTCACCGAGAAATTCTCAATGATTCACTGAAAAACCCTAATAGCTGAAAGAAAAAAACTTATTGTAGGATTATTCTGCGACATAGGCAGATGCGCAGTGTTACCAATTACTATTTGCTGAACTTGGCCATTGCGGACGCTTCAATTTCTGTCTTCAATACTGGCTTTTCTTGGTCTTACAACTTCTACTATGTGTGGATGTAAGTTTTTTTTTTCCAATTTGAAAAAACTAAGTTATCAAAATCGACACACAAGTTTCAATAGCTTTCTACAGAGGGGAGGAAGAAATTTTTGCTGGGAAAATTTTCCGTGGCCACATTTTGAGGTCCTGGAGGCCACTATAGTAGTCGGTTTAGTGGCCACTTGAGTGGCTAAAATTTAATGGCCTCTGAGTTGCACAACTGGATCACAAACTACTATAATGGCGACTAAGGCGCAATATAGTGGCTTCTACAGATGTGATCTTAGTGGCCACTTTAGTGTTCTCTCCGAGTAGTCCTTCAGAAACCACTAAAGTAATCACTAGAGTTTTACGCAGTTTTTGAAAAAAAAAAGGGAGAAAGTTCAAGCAGCAGAGAAGAATACTGGAAACTACTGTCGTACAAATTTCCTTTTGATTAGATTCGGGAACTTCTACTGTCGAGTGAATAATTTGATGGGTATTACGCCGATCTGCGCCAGCGTCTTCACTATGATTGTCATGAGCATCGACAGGTACGTCAACCTTTTAAAGAACGTTCCTGCTACCATAAATCCCATCTCAAAAACAAAGAGCATGATATCAGGCTAGGGTCCACGAAGAATAGCCAGGAGGGGAACAAAATATTCAGAATTTTTCTCATTCCTTCTCTTCAAAACTGTCAAAAAAAAGTATCCATCGTATGAAAACAAATTGCTCATCACTCTTTCTTCTGATTCCTTCTACTTCTGATAAGAGAAGAGATTGTTCGAGATTTATTTTCACTTCATTTCTATTTTCCTACGAAAAAAAAATCCAAAATTTGGTGGGTAATTAAGAGTGCAAGTAAAGGGTGTTGGGTGAGAAGGAGAAATGTGGTCGTCATCCGGAATTTCCATCAAATCCAAGTATCTTATAAATATGCAGCTGAGAAAAGAGTCGTCCTTTTTTTAAGCCTTCGTTTCCGCCTTTTATCTCTAACCGCTCTCAAAAAAAAGCTTGTAATTTTGCTAAAAACCAAAATTATGTCTGACTCCCCAAAATTTAGTTATCTTTTCAATATGTGACAACCGTTTTGAATTTCCCGGAATCACTTTGAACACGGTAGGCGAAAACTTCTCAAAGTTTGTTAGTTTTTTCTTTCTCGAAGTTCTGTATTCACAGTGAATTTAAGAACGAGCAGACATTCATAATAATATGAAAATTTAACGAACTCGAAGCCTAAGCCAGTAGTTGATCAAGTTGAAAGCATGGTCTTATGGTTCTTCACCTTGTTCTTGTGCGCCTAATTCATCCAGTTGCGCTTTGAAAAGTTCATATTGTAGAGAATGTTATTTCGGACCCGAATATCGTTCTCTAGGTGAAACCAAAAAACGGAGAGCAACCAAGGCCAGAGAAGACTTTCCACGAGAAAGTGATTTTTTTTTTTCAGATATTGGGCGATTGTTCACCCTTTGCGCCGTAGACCAGGGAAACGAGCCACCGTCTCGATCATTGGCGGGATCTGGGCTCTCGCCATTCTTTGCGGTGTTCCGGCATTCTTCAGTTCTAAAGTGTGTTTGATAGTTTTTATCGTAACCAAACTTCTTAGAATAAATAACGTTTGCCTCGGCGCAGGAGTTGCAAGTTAGGAGGTAAAACCTTCGTCCCGATCTCAAATAGGCTCACTAACCAGAATTTTTCTTGAAACTTATTTCAAATTGACTCTGAAAGAATTAAAATTTTGGGTGGACGTCTTCTATTTCTACGACGGCGAAACGCTTAACGAGAACCCTCTCTGTCTGGCTCAAAATTTTCCCGACGGCAAGGGCGACGAGTCACTCTTCGGACACATGTGAGTGTAATTGTTACTAGGGTTCAGTACGAAAGAGAACACGGTCTCGTTAAAAATAAATAAGAATTTTAAAGGATTTCTGTTTTGGGTCATGCAAAATGAATTAGTGAAAGTTTTGAACGATTCGTTTTGGCAGATACAACAACGGTCTGATAGCTGTGCAATACTTGCTGCCGCTGTGCGTTCTTTCGGCGGCCTACTACCGCGTCGGCGTCGAACTACGAAAGGACAAGTGTGTCGGAGATGTACGCCACGCTAAGTCTATCGCGGCCAAACGCAAGGTACAGATTCTGTACTACAGAAAATGGCATTCATGAAAATTTTGACTCTAAAGTTACGTTTCTCAGGCACAAGAACTGAAAAATAGTTTTTTCTAGCTTCCGTGTCTACCACCTTCAATTTAATTTCATGTACATTTTACAAATTTACCAAACAAAAAAAATAGAGAAGTGAGGAGCCTCAAAAATTGGCTGTATATCTTTAAAAATATCCATCCAGTTCTCTTTTTATCATCTTCTAGGCCTCTTTCATGCTCGCCGTGGTTGTCTTCATCTTCATTGTCGTCTGGCTTCCTTACAACGCCTGGTACCTCACGTTGCACTTTCTGCCAGCTGAGAAAAAAATTGTAAGCAAAATTTTCTCAGTAAGCTTTTCATTCGGTTTTCAGTTGTTTCTGTACATTTACATCAACATTTATTGGCTGGGGATGTCGTCGACAGTTATCAACCCAATTATATACTACTTCATGAACCGAAAGCGAGTTTCTTTTTTCTACATTTTCTTATTATTGCGAAAAATTCAACGGAAAATTAGACAAAAAAAGGCTTGTGCCAGAATTTTTCTGAAGGCCTTTGACATAGTCCTTCGTCGGTACTGGGAACGTTTTTGACGCAAAAGAAAACATTGCTGATCAGCCTAACGTACAAATAGGATGGTTTCGGGAAGATACCTTTACTTGGGTTCTTCAAGGTTAAAAAAGGCAGCGATGTGGCTTTTGACTTTCTATTACATGGGAATCGACTAGTCAGGGTTGAGTTTTCCAGATTTCGCGTTGGATTCCACTACGCGTTTCGTTGGCTTCCGTTTGTCAACTCGAGTCGCGCCGAATACGTCGCGATTCTGTCGCAAACGCGACCGTCCCTTCTGCCGCCAACAACTGCTCACACAACCGACTTTTGATCATTTTTCTTTCTTACATTTTGGAAAAACTTCCTCTTCAAAGGTTTTGGGAACAGAAAAAAGAAGAGATGAATCACTAAATTAGTTTTCTTTTTCAGCGTTCCTAAAGGCTAAAAGGCGTTCGTCATAAACTAAATGAAAAAAAAAATGTTTCTGAATTTGTGTTGATTGCTTAAGGGCCGCTTTTCTATGTCTTTATTCAAAATTTGAATGTCAGGTCAAGTGAGCTGTTTGTTAACTCTAAATCTCAATAGAAATATTAGCACAAGTAATTTTTCGCTTTGAGAGCCGATATAGACCGATTGGCAATTCCTACATACGCGATGCGACTTTCAAGAAATATTTCGAAGTGGAAAAAATTGTAGAAAGAGAAAAAAAAATTTTTTTCAACTGAAATTTAGAAACCATAAAAATTGAAATATAGAAAAGGTCGGTCGCTTTTGAACTCCAGTTGAACTCGACTTATTCAAAAAAAAAATCAGGCTCGAAAGTCTGAGAGTGATTTTCTGACTTTTGTGATTGGTATTTTATATCCATTTTTTTGACCTTCAACTCAAAATTCCCTATCATAATCAAGATCAATCCGTTCTTTTACTGAGGACAACTTTTGAGCCAAAAACTTTTTATAACTGAATCTACCGACTCGAGAAAAAAATTAGCCTTAAGCGTGATTAAGCTAAACCGAAAAAGTTCCTAGTACCCTTTTTACAGGTTTCTTGACAGGTTACACATCGATTCGCATTCCATACGATTTACAAAAAAAAATTTGTTTACCAAATCATTTGTCCTATGTTCGTGTTGGTGATAAATATTGACGATTCGATCATGTTTCGCTGTTTTTGTGTTTATTCATTTTTTATTCTATGAAAACTTGAAAATATATCTCTAGAAAACCTAGTCTGAACGCGGACACTATTTCCGGGTCAGCTCGAAAATCGCAATATTGGTGTCTGTTTTTAATGGGGCGAAAAAATTCGGTATCGGCGCGATTTTTTGATGTTTTCCGTTTGTATGCGCACAATTTTAAACCGATTAGGGGCGAGCATGCGCTCATTTTGATCCCTTCATTTTTTTTAGATCACATTCTATTGTTTTTGCCTGCTTCCTGTTCCGAATTTGCATTCTTGAAAGTTTATAGTTCGTAGAAGCAAACGATATGTGAAGGTCATGGCGATCTACCTCAGAGCATTTTTAGTCTTCGTTAAAGTAGTTTCTTCTAATTCAATATCAATAAAAACTCACTTTCAGATCCTACTTGTAAAAAATATAAGATCAAGCCCACGTATGACTGGATAAATAATACTGTTCCGAGTAATAAATAATCAAAAAGTCATAAAAAAATTTCAATCGAAAACTTCAGAAACTGAACTGCAAAGATCTTTCATAAATCATACGTGTTCTCCTGAAAAGCTACCAGGCTGTACTTAGATGAAAGTTGAGAAGCTTCTGCTTTCGGTCCCTCGGGAGGCGCTTCGAAGCTTTCCAGCAAGTGGTCAAAAGTGTTCCACATACCTTCCCAACACCTCTACTTACCTTCCAGAAGTCTTTTGGAAGGCTTTTGGCAGGCATTCTCAATTTTTCACCTTCCAGCTACCTTCTGAACACCTTTCCCAGTCCTTCTCAAGACCTTCTATCTAGCTTTCATTCATCTTTCAACCTCATTTTGGTTACCTTCGCAACACCTTCCCAGGATTCGGAGTTCACGTCAACGAGATAATCAAGAAGCGCGCTAAAATATCCGAACAGAAAATGGTCATATATGAGAGAAAAAGAACACAAAACGTCATTTTCCTATTGTTTTGGGTGCGAATCAAAAGATGAGAGAAGAGTGTCCCTGGCATTCTTCGCTAGACATTTCGGCGACCTGATCAGTTCAGTTGACTAGAATCAGTAGCCGTTTTTTTTAAAGTTGGAATTTGAACCTAAATTTACCAAAAATAGAGGCTTCTAAGATGAATTAGGAAAATATACTGTTTCGTGTTTCTATCGATTTTTGAATATTTGTAAAAGCGAAACGCAGAGTAAATCAAGATTCTTGAAAAAACACCTTCCTAAGTGATTTTAGAACCTCTCTTTGGTCTTTGTACTTTTTTTCTTCCTAGTTTTTTTTTTTTTTTGCTTATCCTTTATTTAAATGAAGAGAAATGATTTTTTTTAACGCGTTTGAAATTGTTAAGAAGAGATGAACGTGTATGAAAATGATATGAAAAAAAAAGAATTTTTTGAATTCTATGCAGATAGTTCACGGTAAATAATTATTGCTGAGCTCAAGTAGAATTTAGTTCGTCATTTTCTTCTTTTTCACGGAAAAAAGTAGGTTCACAGTTGATTTGACGTGAGGGTGTGGTTTGGTTCTCGCGCCTCCCGATCAGCCATTGGGAACATGTTCGAGTTGTGTAATTGGCCGGCCGTTTTAAGACCGCAGCTGAACCGGCGCCAATTTTTCGTTATGTCATTGTATGATTTTTTTTTCCCCCCTACATGATTCTGCATTTCTTCTCGGAATGAAGCAGTTCAATATTTTCTTTACTCTTATCCAATGAGTTGCAGTCATCATTTTGATCAATCTAACTTTCGCTTTTTTGCATAGATTCCTGATGGCAGAAAAAAAAATTCAGAATCATTTTCCTTCAAGTTTCCGGTGAGAAAGCTGATTTCAACGTAAAAGTATTTTGTTTGTTTTTACTGAGATTTTAAATCATTTCAACTGTTTTCTACGTTTTTTATCGCTGTGTTAGCTTGATAAAAATGTCTCAAAGTGTGAAACAAAAAAAAAGCAAACAAACATTTTCACAGAAAGGGGAATCGAACCTAGCTTAGCGGTAGTGCTATTCAAGATCACTGCCAAATCACCATGCTCCCATTTTCTCCCAAGGCTCCCAAAGGGGGAGATTAGAAGTTAAGAAGGTAGAAAGGATCTTTTCCATAGCCATCAAAAAGGGAATACCTCCTTCTCTTGCTTGTGACTATATCCCCGGGCTCGCTGATTATGGACTTGCGAGACTAAAAAGATTTATGCTGCCATATTTGAGTGTCGGATGCATCCTCTTCACCTTGGCGTCAATGATGTCCCGTCGACGCCGGCAGCTCTATGTTATGGCCTACAGCAGGCCATGTTGTGCATCTCAAGTCTTCTGGTGTACCCCTTGATCGTTTCCGACGTGGTTTGCGCCGGAGCCGCCGCTGTTCAGCTCCGAGTACAGTTGATCGCCGCGACGTTTGTCACATGCGGTTTGGCCACTATTCTTCAGACCACTTTCGGACTTCGGTACGTTGAGAAGATGAGCTTGAAAAAAGAAAAAATATATAAAAGCCTCACCAGGCACTAAGATACACAGTGAGTCTTCTTAATGGAACTGGGTTCCATAGACGTAGTTTTTTGTGCTGATACTAAAGCTGTGCTCAAAAACTGATGAGAAGTTTTGTGAAAGAAGTTTCAAGCGCTCATCTTTTGAGAAACCAAACCAACAAAGATCGACAGGTTATATTCTTCACGGAATTCAGTTTCTGACTAATGATGATTCGGAATCAGCGTCTAGGGATCCTAAATCTATTCGGAAAGTCGGATTAGCGTTCCAACTATTTCTCTACTCAACTAAGGGATACTTTTCCAGACTGAGCACGCTACAAGGTCCCGCGATGGCGTTTCTGCCTCCCCTTCTTGCATATCAGTCCCAGCACAGCTGTCCGTACGGTCCGCTGGATGAAGTTCCCCCAGAACTGTGGCACTCTCGATTCCAAGAGGTTCACCTTTTCAAGAGATTACTATCAGCAACAAAATATGCGATTAGATTCAAGGAAGCCTGTTGTTGGCGTGCGTGACTTTCGTCGTCGCCGGGAGCACCGGACTCGCCGGCCTTCTTTCTAAGCTTGTCGGCCCCTGTACGATCGTGCCGCTCATGCTTCTCCTCACCACCAGCATCGTTCCTACCGTCGAGGCAAAGCTCTCATTGCACTGGATATCTCTTGTGTGCGTTCTTTGCTCTATTGAGCTGCGAAGTTGGATTAGACTTTCTGAAGCAATAGAGCTTCAAAATGTTTTGAGGTATAAGCCTCTGATTTCAGAATGCTGGCGTGTATCATTTTGATGGCCTTCTACCTTGAAAACACTCGGGTCTCCATTCCCTACTTCTCGTTCTCCAAAAGAAGTTCGATGACGATAACCGTCCGCCTTTTCGGCCAATTCCCGGTGAGCTCGAAATTTCAAACTCGAAATTTTTCTACGCTGTGATCTACCTTAGCAACAAGGCTCACGAGCTTTCCAAAAAATTTAATTTTCATGGAGCATCGTTTTGCAGGTTTTTTTTTAAATTTTGCTCAAAATGATTATTTTTAAATTTTTATATTGCTTGGAATTGGCTGGAAAGGATCAATGTAGTATATACGCTTTATATTTGATTTTAAAGCATGTGGAATTTCGAAAATTCAAACATTTTACAAGAAAGGACATCGATAGAAGGATTGATAGCGACGCCTCCAAATCTAATTTTAATGAATAAAGTCAGTCCAAAAGCTTGCAGTACCTCCTGAGCATCGCAACCGTGTGGTTCATCTGCTGGCTGCTCACTATTTCCGACGTGGAGCCGGTGGGAGGCGAAGCTCGCACCGACAAGAACATGACGGTGAAGATGATTCGCGAGTCACCGTGGGTACAACTACCGCTTCCTGGGGCGTTCGGTCGCTTCCGTTTACTGCCGGGCCTTTGCGCAGCCTACGTCGCCTCCTGTTTCGCTTCCGTCATTGAGAACATTGGATCGTATGAGCTTCTGGCGAGAACGTCGTGCCAGAAGCCGCCACCCAAGAATTCCGTTAACCGCGCCATCATCTTCGAAGGCTTGGGAAGCATGCTGGCAGCGCTGCTGGGCGTCTGCACCGGCGTCACCACCTATGCCGAGAATATCGCTCTCATGCACATTACCAAGGTTCACAAATCGGAAAAATCCAGAACTTAGATTTAGCCAAAAATAGAAGATGTTTGTATATAGGAAAAATGAAGTGAAAAAAACTTTCTAGGATCCTTGAAAGTTCCTCGAACCAGTCCAAAAACGCAAAATGTTGAAAAATTAGTCTTTGGAAAGTTACGAGTGCGTTTCGGTAATAGAAAAATAGAGTTGGTAGCATGAAAATTAGATCAAAACTCAGTTTGCAATTCCATTATATGATTATGAAATTTTTTGGTCCAAATTCTACACAAAACTAGAAAGCGTGTAGTTTGAATTTCCTGAATCTCGTTTTCATGAAAATTCTAGAAGTCCAAACTAAATGATAGTATTACTTTGGGAGCTTACTAAAAGCTAGTTTCACTGGAATAAAGCCACTTTGCTAAGTTCTGCACTCAAACCCGTGCCCCGAAAAAAACCTTCAAAATTATTACTGACCAGGTTGCGAGTAGACGAACGATGCAATTCGCCGGCGTTATCCTAGTCTTCCTAGGCCTCTTCACCAAGATAGCAGCCATCCTGGCGGCGATCCCGGACGCGCTCGTCGGTGGCGTCCTCTGCGTGGGAGTCTCGATGATCGGCGGCGTCGCTCTCAGCAACCTCCAGGTGACTTTCAACGAGCTACCTCTCGTAAATCGTGGTAATCACAGCTCGTCGACCTGAAAGTCACTCGCAACTTGTCAGTTATGGGCCTTGCTTTCGTTTTGGGACTCGTTGTTCCGCTACATTTTGAGAAGAACCCTCTGAAGACAGGTTTTTTGAGAAAAAAAAAATTGCAAGATTTATCATCGTCAAATTTTCCTGACTTAAAATACGAGATTAGCAAGGGTGACGCGTTGCGTACGCGACGCGGATTCTGTCGGGAAACTCGAGGTCCAACGCAAACCATCATTTTTTTTTTCTTCAAAAGCTTCACATTTTCCATTATTTTGAAAATATTTAGTTGAACAAATAGTAAAAAAAAAATAAATAATTTAAATTCTCAACACTTTTCCAATGATTGTTCGAGTTTCATAGGTAAAACTGAAAAGTGCCTTTGACGATCCTTAATGCCGTGTTCAAAGTGATTCCGCGAAATTCAAAATAGCCGTCAGAGAAAGAGAAAGAAAACTAAATTTTGGAGGGTCAGAGACCATTTTGCATTTCGCGGAAATTACTTTGAACACGGCATAAAGGATCTTGAGAGGAAGCTCAAAAATTTCCTCTAAAAGCTCCTAAAATGATGTGAAAAAGTTCTGAGCTCCATTTGCATAGCCACAGCGGAACCTTTTTAGTTGCTTTCCAACATCTTTTTTTTTGTAAAAGGATGTCAAAAGACGTCGCGTACGCAATGCTTCAAATTTCAATCTACACTGTCGCCTTTCAAGTCGAAAAGGATTGTTCATAAGAAATCTTGAAAAATATAAGAAAAGGGGGGAGAATTCGCCTGAAAATTCCTCCGAAACTTCTCCTTGTTTTTTTTTTTTCACATGTTGGGTTTGAGGAAAGTTTCAGCGAAACACAAGGCCTATTTTCCTTCACTTTTTCACCTTCAGCTCCGAATAATTGCAGTTTCAATTCAGGAAGTAAAGACCTGGACGATGTGTTGAGCATGTTGCTCAGTATCAAGATGTTGGTAGGCGGAGTCATCGGGGTGATTCTCGACAACACTGTGCCAGGTCGCCCTTTGGACTAAATAGAGACGTTTTTGTTCGAACTTCAGGTGCAACCAGAGATCAGCGGGGATTCCAGGCTACGAAATTCAATGAAGTTGATTCTGATTTCGACGACGACTGCGGATACAGGTTGCCGGGATCTGTGAACAGGTTACAGTACTTTTGCGCGAGACTGTCACGTTTTCACGTTCCACTGTGAGCACAAAATTTTCCTCTACAAAACTGCTGAAAAGAGAGCAAAAAACAAAAGTCTCGAAGCGAAAATGCTCAAGTTTGATCTAATTTGGTAAACGGTATTTTTGGCGGACAGAAAAACGTGACAAGATGGCGCAGAATGTCGGTTTTTTTTTTAATTACAAGGGAAACATTCTTCCTCCCCAAAAATCCATTAGGGAGGCGTCGCTTAACTGATTCCTGTTTTTCTTTTTCGAAACCTTAGTAAAGAAATTAAATTTCGAAAAAAGGTTTCTAAAACTCAGAACTTATCAACCTACTACAGACTGCTAAGCGCGATTCCCGCGTTGCGATATCTTCCGTTCCTACCGTCTAACATCGAGCCAAAGGAGAAAATGGAAAAACTCTCAATCGCTTGACTGTCGATTTCTTCTATTGAAAAAAAACCAAAAGATCTCAATTTATAGAACAAACTTTCTTCCAAGATTTTGTTGCGATTAATAAATATATTCATAATTAATTGAACAGAAATAAAAATAAAACTACCACATTGCAATTAACAGTGAAAAAAATAACGAGAATCAATGACACATACACAATGAACACCGTCGCGTTGCGAAACCAGGCTTTTCAGATACGTAAATTCACAAAATGAGAATGAATTTTGAAAAATAAAGTGAGAAAATTGATTGAAATTTGAGATGAGACATACATAAATCAGAGCCCGTCAAGACTTATTCGGCAGTGTGGGAAGAAAGACAGTGAAATGAAAAGTGAGACGATCATGGCAAATTAATAAAGTCTAAAATTGAACTCAGCCCAATGAAGGAGAGTTTGGCTGGAGTTGTGAAATTTGGTCGTCTGGCAAATTCGATGAAGTTTCGGCTTCACCTTGCAGCTTCAAATATTCTTCACGAAGGGACTCGTAATCTTTTCTGAAAAAGAAGATAAAAATCTCGAAAGCCACCATTTTCTATATCTCTTCTCAAAAAAAGTTTTTTTGTTTATTTTTTTCTTTTTTTACGAGCAATTCAAAAAAACTTACAAGGAGAGGACTTGGGTACGCTCAAAATAATGATGAACTCGTCCGCCACGGATATGAAAAATGGAACGACGACTCATTTTCTTGCGTGGATTCCGACTTTTCTTTGCCTTTTTCTTGCCACCGCGAGAACGACGTCGATGTCGCTTTTCCGTAAACTCTTGCGCATCTCTAAAGGCGAAAAATGACATTTTTCGAAGATTTTTTTTTTCTGAAAACTCATGACACTGACTTTTCTAATTTCTGAAAAAAAGTCTTTTTGATTTATATTGTGCAATTTTCAGAAAGTCTAGCTACCATATAATATCAACATGCAAAAATTCCGCTGTGAAAAAAAATCTTCAAAGTAAAAATATTCGTCAAAATTTGTCTGAACAGATTTTGATCCCATATTCATGATATTTTCATTAAATTGTACAAAACAATAAAAAAAATTAATCATAACTTTCATTAGAACGAATAATCTCAAATGAGAGAGTTGCTTTTCACGATTATTTTCTAACTTTACACCATTAAAGCCGTCAATTAATCAATAAAAAAATAATTAAAATTAAATGAAGACTTTTTCAAAAGCTCGCTTACACGGTGCTTATCGATGAGGTGAGCGTTATTTGAGCAGATTCAGTGGAAACGGTCGTTAAAGAAATCTCAGAAGTAGACACTGAAGAGCAGGCGACCGTGTTCACCTCGAACTGCACAGATGACGACGCTGCCTTTCTCTTTGGAAGCCCCATCGACTGGGTTCTATTGCGGATTCTTTTTGGTGTATCTGAAAGAAAACCGTGAGATATACGAAAACGGTTTGCAGTTTACTGACAAGTGCCATTAGCAATCGCGTCCTGTTTGCGACAATGGGCCTCTTTTCGGATGAATACTTGCAATTTGTTGCGAATTCGCGAAAGGCGAACAAACTGCAGCGTACTGCGGCGACGCCTGCGCAGCCGGAGTCTGGAAGTTGATAAAAATAATATTTCAGGCCATGTTCTTTTCTTCTGCTCTAACAAAAAATGAGAGTGTAACCGGAAGTGAAGTCTAAAAAAAGTGATTTTTTCGTTGGTTTTTTCGGTACGCCCCGCGTTCGACTTGGATGGATTGCATCCCTGGGAAACAGGTCAAAAAGACTTCTTTGAGCTACCGTAAAAACTTAGGATGAAAATGTAGGAAATGGTTGTATTGCAATATGAAAAGTTTTGAAATCGTGTACGGAATAAGTACCTTAATAAGCATTTGAAACTAAACGAGGTGCGCCCCAACGAAACTACTCATTTTGACTTCAAACTTTTAGCAGACTCTTTCGTTACCATTACCGAAATAACGACCTGGACGCTCCAGTATATGGCAAAAAAGTAACGCGAAATTTGTTATTAACCCAACTTTGACGAAAATAAATGACTAGGCCACAAAATGTGAAAATTCCAGACTAAAAAGTGATTCTCTACTAAAATTATTTTTTTCAAATTATGAAACGAAAAAAGGTGTTCCAATCGGATAGTGCTTTTGGCAGCATGTCAAAGTATCTCGAAAATGCTTAAAATTTTTTCGATTCTCAAATCCTTTTAGAGGTTTTCTCTTTTGAAAATTTGAATAATTCGTGAAAAAAAAGCTCACAGCCGGATCGACCGAAGATACTTGAAGAGAATCATTTCGGAGAAAGGATGCCGTCGCTGGAGCACACTTTCCGAATCTTGTTCCACCTCCACCACATTTCTCCGCGGGTCATTCAGCTTGAACCTCTGAACAAAGACTTGTCTTTTCGTAGGCAAAGTCGGGATGGTGGATAATGCCGCTAAAGGGAGAGGCTAAAAAAAGGCCACAGAAAGGGAGCAAAAAGAGTCTTTTTTATCGAGTTTTCCATTTTTTTTTTTTTTGGGATTCCAAGGCTCAAGAAATGGTGGAAAAAAGGGAGAGGCAGCAAAAAGGGTGCATAAGAGTCGATTAAATAGCGCAAAAGGGCAGCAAAAAGGAGCCCTTTTCACCATAAAAGGAACATTTCTATGGAGCCTTTTTCCATTCATAAATTCTCAATAAAATTGCCTCAATCATTCTGTGAGCTGCGTCAACGTCGGTGAACTGGACGAAGCCGAACGAACGAGGCTGAGAGCCGACGTTGATGAGGTCGCCGCGTCGCTGTGCGTGGAACACCTTCTGCTCATTCTCCGCTTGTTGAGCTATTGGCTCCTCACTTTTTTTCTTATTCATCTTCCCGTACTTGTTGGCTGAGATCCATCTTGGAGGCTGAAGGCCCAGCCGCACCTGGAATTCTAAATAATCAATTTTAACTCGACGTGGGTAAATTTTCAAGACGGGCTTTTTGTGTACGCAGGCCGGAAACTCGAGGCGACGCATTTTTTTGTCTTTTTTTTTGATAGTTTTCCGTTATGATGAACTTCTTGTTGAATAAAAAAGCAAAAGATCTTTTTATCTATATTTTTGTTTGATCTAAATAGGTTTTTCGGTAAAAAATAAGAGCGTGTCTACTTTCTTTGGCGTGAACTATTTTTAATGCGAAAACGAAAGAAAAATGACTATACTCGGCAATTAAGAAAAAAAAGGTTTTGTGAAGACTGTTATTCGATGTACCTGAACGACATTCCCATAAATGTTGGCTAATCGTTGCAGCTTCCCCATAGTACATCCAGCCGGTAGATTGTCCTGATTGACATGGTTTTTTTTTAAATGAACATGGGAAAACTCACAACGTAGACAGTGCGTAAATTGTAGTCGTCCGAACTCGGCCACCTTTTGAGGAAGAGCTCTCCGCCCGGCTCGTCTTCTTCGATGCGAAACTCGCTAGTTATGTTGGAAATCGACTTCAATTGGAATCTGCTCAATCGATGTAGCTGAAAATTGCAAGTTAGTCCAAAATATTCCATTTTTAAAACATACGTTTGCCAACTTTTGCGTTTTCTGAATAAAATCAAGCACATCTGAAAGCAGGGCACCTGGAAAAAAAAATTCACTATTATAAATAAATTCGCGATTATACGTGGAGTTCCGCATTCGTCGAAAGACGTGAAAAGAGACAATACAGGAGAGGAATGATCCGCAAGAGCTCTTTCAATCTGAAAAAATGTGTTCTCTACACGTTTTTTATTATTTGAAAACACTAACCAATTCGCAAATTCGCTTGCGAATCCCAGAAGTTTTGCGGCGAATCCGACCACGTCTTTGTGCTCTAGAAAGTTGTCCAACCTCCCTAGAAGTGTCGTTGGAGGTCGACGGAGCTTCGGAATCAGCGCCATTGAGTCGTCGTCGTTTCTCGTCTCTGACCTTGTCTATCGAGCCGTTTGGATTTGAAGATTTTCTTTTTTTCGGCATATGAAAATTTTAATTTGTAGTCAAATACATTTTTTTTTTTTTGCTTAAAAATTGTAGAAAAGGGCGCAGTAACGACAACGAAGTGAGTGGATTTCCATAGAATTTCACTAACTAGGACAAGTCTGCCACATTTATGCCGTGTTCAAAGTGTTTAGAAAAATCCAAAAGAGCCGTCAGGGAGTGAAAAATATAAGTGAACTTGGAGAATCGGAGATAATTATGCATTTACCGAAAAACACTTTGAACTCGGAATCAGATTTCGGCTGATTTGAAAAAAAAATAATATTTCCAAAGATTCTACTTATAGTGAGAATATTTTCGGAGAGCAAAACACGTTAAATTGATCTAAAAAATGGAACTTTTGACGGAACAAAATTCGAATAGAATTGGCGCGTGAATGGGTCTCTTCTCAGACAATGACGGCGCGTGTTTGTTGCCAAAAGCGCGCGGGGTTTCTCTCCTAGGAGGGGATATTAATATAACTTAAATTATATTTCGTTGGCCCAGTGCTCTACAATTTTACCAAACTAATATTAAAAAAATACCTAATTTTCCCTTGGGGCTTTTTTTCTTAAATCCATTCAAATATTCTCGTAACAGCTTCAAAAAGTAAGCAGGAAACTACCTAGCATTAGACAAACTGCGCACATGTTTTTTTCAAAAAAAATTATTTCAATGAATAAAACAAAAAAACAATATCTCCGCGTAGAAGGCGGCGCTTGCTGGCCTCCAGTGTCGGAGTTTGAAATGTTACTGGCAAAATGACCCAATTCGTTCTGTGTTTGATCTAATCCATGAATGGCGGTTTGAGAATAAAACTTTGAGTAATACTCTGAAAATGTTCATACAAGTAGAGATGTTCAGGCTACCAACACTTAAGTTCGAAAATTTTCGAGAATTTAGGAAAAAAACAGTAACTTTATTTTCCGTCAAAAAATAATGGTCTCGGAGACGAAAAAAAATAAATATCAAGAGAACGTAGATAGAAAAATTTCATAGAAGCCTAGTTATTTTTCAAACGGCACGTTCGTTAATTCACCAAGCGTAGTCTTCAAACGCACTCCTAGAAAATTTAAATAAATTTTTTGGGGTGTGGTCCACAAGAATTGGGGTAATTTCCAAGTTAAAATATCCGATTTGTTGGCGTAAATTCCATTCATTGCTAACTTAAGACAATATTCAATGAGCCGGATAGCAAAAAAAAAAACCGTGTGCGGAATGAAGATTTTCAGACGACTCCAAAGTTACTCGTTTCAGGCCAGTGATAAATAAGGCATAAATTTCTAGTTGAAAGTGTGTTGCTGTACTGCGGCGACTGCGGACGGTGTGAGGACTAAGGCCTTCAGATGAGAGATTTCCCGTTCGAGGCATTCTATCGTCGCCTTCAAGTCGCCGTTGCGCTTCTTCAGCAGGACAACTTCTTCGTGGGCCACCTTCCGGGCTTCCTTCTGCCGTTGCCGATATCTTGCCGCAGCCAAGTTGTTCTTCAAACGCCTATTCTCGGCAAAACACACAAATATCGGCAAAAACCTGATTTCTTTTCTTCCTTAACACTTCCTCTGGATTCTCTTCTTTCTCTTCTCCCGTCCGCATCGCCGAAACCACCAATTTCACAATTTCCTCAATCGATATCGCCTGGGACTGCTGAAAAACTTTTTCAGCCGCCAAATAAGAAATTTTCAAACCGTCGCATATTTATCGAGAACTTCTTGTTTGACTGCACCGTTGAGAGCCATGTTTGGATCTAGCAAAACGTAAGGAGGAGCCCCATCAAACGAGACCGCCGGCATATAGTACGGAGGTGGCATTCCGGAGCCGCATTCTCAAACAATTCTGGTCAGATCTGTTTTCCGGACAAGTAAGCTCCTTTTACATCGTGATTGGAAGTTTTCTAAAAATCGGCCAGCATAACCTTTGATGTACCAAACGAAGATCCTAAAAATCTCAGAGGCTATTTTTGAACTTTGAGCCCTTGGCTCTGGAAAACTAAAAAGTTGTGCAGGTTGAAACTTACAGAATCTTCTTCTGGTACCTCGAAGGATATTGTAGGCTATTTACAGGATACTTTCAATCGCAAAAAGAAAAGACCTTCCTAGTGAGCGTCATAGTATACTATCCTATTTGGTTCAAAATATAAAAATTTTGGTCATCGCTTCTGATCCAAAAATGTTCCATCAGCACATCAAGTTGTATAAGCCTAGACTATGAAGCAGCTTCGAAAAAACGGCTCCTAGTGATTTTAATCTCATAATCTCCAGTAGCTTGATCTGCGGAAACCATTTTTTCATCATAGCTCCTCATTTTTCGCTCTTTGTTATGAGGCAAAAATTTAAAGCGGACCTTGAAGGCTTGAATAAAAATGAGAAATTTAGACAGATCAGATCAGTAATTACTCACGAGAGCCCATCATGTAATCAAGGAGTTTTGGATCTGGATGCGCGTTTTGGTGCGACAGGGGCGACATTGGAAATCCATACGAGCTTGAGCTCTCCAAGCCAAACTGCGGTGGAGGCGCGGAATTCAATCCCGGCGTCAGTGGCGCCGGCGGCGGTGGCGACGACATAGTTGTCGCGGCCAACAGTTCTACATAGGGCTGTGTGGTTGGTGACGTTGGACACGAGGCAAACTCCGAGATTGGCGTCGCCTGAACAAGTAACCAATCGTGATCCGTTTATGGCCAATTGAACAACGTGCCCTAAAAGGCACATTTGGGAAACCTAAAAGAGTTGAGGAGATATTGTATAGTTCCATCAGAAAAGATACGAAATAACGGCTATTTGGTAACCCTTTTTCAATTTTTCTGAAGTTCGTTCTTTATAAAACCACGGATAGACTTCAGTTCGAAGAAAAAAGTGTACCTCAGAAAGTTTCCATACAAAAAAGCTTGGAGCAAGAAAATTTCGTATCTTTACTGATGTACTCGATCTAGTGGAGTCTGACGAGAAAAGTGTTTTTTGGCGGCTGGAAAATTTTTGGAAATTACTCAAAAAGAAGGTCTTTTATTTCGCGGTTTCAAATTCAAATTATTTGGAAATCTGTCAAAATTACTTTGATGAGCTAGAAGGAGATTCGGAAAATTGGAAAAAATTGCAAAACTTCCCAAGTTTCGAAAAAATCCGCTTCAGATAATGGCTAATTTGAACTGTTTTTTCTTTCTTTACATATTTTTCTTCATCAAGTAACATTCTGGTCAGTTTCCGAGGAATACCCAGAAGCGAAGAAAAATGACCGCCGTTTTTTTTTCTCTCATTCATACGGTTTTTGAATGAAAACTTTTTCCGCCGCGGCTGATTTTATGGGTTGGATATCTGCATTGGGTCAAACTTTCACACCGTGTTGCTGCGCTCGAGTTGTTCGGCCTCGGTGACGATTTCTCGGTAAATGTCGTACTTGCTGCGGATCGGCGTCGGCAACGGCGGCGACGGTTCGGTCACAATCGCGGGAACGACGAATTTCGGCTCAGAGCACCGGAGCGGCGGTGCGACGCGCGCAGCACGAACGCTGTTCTGTGGCTGAGACGATGCCGCCTGTTGATGGGTTACTGTTTCTGTAAATGGGTTCGATTTCTTTGATTCTGCACATCTAGTTGGAAATAACAACTCGTGGTATAGCAAATCTGGGAAAATGCAATTCTGGGAAAAATAAGGAAGCTGCAAATTTCACAAAATGATTCAACTCGTTTATAGATTACTTTTCTTTTTGATTCTCTTCGATTTCGACCTAAAATATTTTTAGATTAAAGTGGAACTTTATCGAAGTGGAGGCAAATATAACTTTCATGGTTCTCTTCCTCCACGCCACAGATCTGTCTGTGAGCGAAATAAACATTCATGTAGCGCGGAGATGTGAGATGAGACGAGAAAAAAAAATTTACGAATTTTTCGTAGATGCTCACGTTGTTTAAACCAAAATTGAAAACTTTTCTCGCAGTATCTTATTTTAAATCAGTTTTTTTAAAGCACTAGATTCACATTTTATCTAAATAAGTAAAACATTGAATGAATCATCAAAATTGAAAACTTCTCGTGCGCCAGCAGAGAAAATAATGAGAAAAAAAAAGAGAGAAGACGAAATTTATGTTCAGGAGACGAACAAAAAAGGCCAAGCCAGCGTAATGATGCAACATTTGTTGACGTAATGCATAATATCAAAACGGTTCCCTCAAACGTAGTTTCTCTTTGGAGATTAGCAGATAATCAGCGCAGCTCTCACTTTTAATATTTTTAATAGCTCATACTGAACGGCGATTACGAATTATTAGAAAAAAATAATCAAAATCTGGTTCGGAGTAGGAATAACCAGTGCGCGAACGTGCAGGCCAAACTTTTTGAAGAAAATTATTTTCTTGATTACTTAAGTCTACGTTTACTGTACTCGTTGGGATGCTGAAAAAATCGGGTTTTAATTTATTTCACGCATTTCAGTTTTTTTTTCTAATTTATTTCTTATTCTTCGAATTGTCAGTAGCTATTTTTCTTTGTTAATGAATTATTATCAACCTGATTTGGCAGATGAACGCCGGAACCCCATGAGTGAGCCGAAAAGGCCACGGCGCATGAAGTCGTCGGCGTCGAACGGCGACTGCATTCTGATCTTTTCGCACGACTTCGGAGCTTCTTGAATTTTTCAAATTCATTGAGCAAAACGGAGCTTGTAAAAAAAGAGACTAAACACCGGATGTTTTGTACTTTTTTTCTCAATAACTAGTCTTGCCAAACTTGAAAGATAATTTTGTGATTTCTCAACCTTTTTTTTCTCAATTGGGATGACGGAGTTTGATGTGAAAAAAAAAATTTAAAATAGTAAGAATAAACAGCCCATTGAAATTAAGTCGAGACCGTCTCGCGGCAGAAAATACAAATTGATAAGGCTTCGATCGTCCTCTCGGTGCGCCCCTATTCCATCTGCACTAGAATTTTTCCAAAACCACATTCCTGATTTTTTTCATTTTTATCACCATCACAAGTCTCCATTTTTCAATTAAAAAAAATATCGCAAAAACTTACACAAAAAAGGTGCGCTGCAGTTGTTCGTCGTAAATTCGAAGTGGGCTCATCACATTCCTTATCAAGCCAAGAGCCGTCAATTTGATTTATCAGCTTGCTTTTCCACGAAATAGTGACGCTTTCGAACTAATTTTTTGTTACTGAAATTAGGGAAAGAGAAAATAATTCAAAACATTTCCAAATCACTATGGTCGATGTGACTTTTTCTTTTTCCATCCCTTCTCCCCGACTCGATAGGATCTTTAGAAAAAAAAAAACTTTTGTTTTCTTCATTATCGAGAATTTTGAGGCGGGAAAACTCCTGTAAATTATCTGAAACAGCAAAGTTAAAAAAATTTGCAAGACTAGAAAACCTTTGAAACAGATTTTTCGTAAAACCATTCCCTTCTTCTTCCCAAAGCAACAATGATTGTCTCCAAAATTTTTTGGGGTGTCTTGCGATGCTTTTTCTTCCTGAATCATAATCACATTTTAAAAGGAGATGAATCTCAGAGAAAAATTCAAGTCTAAATGATTTATTAATACAGAAATGGAACAACAAAAAATACAAGCGTATAATTGGTCTACGAGAGGAACAACGAAAAATGCAGCAAAGGTTAAAATTGGGCAGTAGAAAGAAAACCCTAAATCGTCCACCGAGAACAAAGAATGGAAAAAAGAACTATCCGTGGGGAATAGATTGATGAAAATAGTGTAGAATTAGCAAAAAAGAAAAACTAAAGGGCATTCCGAGCCAACTAGAGGACCCGAAGACTGGGGATCGGAAACTGTATGCAAGAAAATTCACGGTCTTTCTATGGCTTTTTTTATATTTGTTTTTTTCTCAAATGAAATTTAACCGTTTCATCAACATGAAAAAGTACAATGAAAAAAATTTCCCAAGTTATGGGCTTCAAATCCAATTGCAGACCGAAATTCTCATGCCTAAAGTCCCGGGAAAACTTGGTGGGAAAATGTTTCATGACACAAAATCTTTCGAAACCAGCCTCGAAACGATATGATCAACGACCGATTCCTCCGGAAAATTTGGATTTCCAATCTGATAAATCTGAAAGATTATATTTTTTTATAAATTTCAAAGCGTAAAGTTATGAAAAAAAAACCTGTTTGATTATGGGGAAATTGGCAATGTTCGGTAAATTGTCGAGGGACTCAATATTGCCCTCGATCTTCTTGGCCAACTTTTTCATTTTCGAACCATCCTGAATTGAAAATGAATCTTTTGAAATTAAATTCTCAGACCTTATCGTCAAAAATGGCCGCGATTATAGCTTTGCTTTGTTCAGCGATGCCGAAGGTGACAAGGGAATCGGAGATCTTCAAAGCGACATTAACAACTTGTTTTTTGAATTTTTTAAATTTTTTTTTTTGGTTTTGGAAGCAGAAAACTATGACCATAGTCAAAGAAAAATTGTTTTGAATGCACATTCTAATCAGAGCTTTAAGATTGAAATCAAAACAATTTTTTTTTAAGCTGTTTCCATTTCAACGAAACTAACGAAATCTAATAGCTCGAAGCGCCGCAATTTTAAGGCATTCAACTTTGTAACCAGGTGTATAAACTTTTCTTTTTTTTTAATGATATGAATATTCATATCACTCGTAAGAAGGTACCAAAAACACGAACATTTCGACTAGGCGACAAAGAATAAACGAGTTCGGCGACAAGGTTCCTACAGGTCATGCGATTGTGCGCGGCTTGATGAACGGCTCGGTTTGCCGCTGCCAGCAGAATAAAAGGCTCCAGAACCTAAATTTTAAAATTGAAAAACGTTAAAAACCAATACGAGAAAAATACTATGAGATTCAATTCAAGAAAATAGAAAATACTGTAGAGAATCTATCAAAGGAAAGATTTGTGAAAATTTCAAGATCTGTCTTTCTCAAAAAAAAAGCAATTGATAAAATTTGTAAAAAAAAATTCACAAGCTCAGCGCGAATCAGCGCGGCGTCAATATCTCCTTTGGCCAACGCTTCTCGCAGTTGCTCCTAAAAATTATATACATTAAGCTCAAATTTAAAAAAAAAATCACCGCATTTTTCACATTATTGAAAAGGCAGAGGCGAACTGAACGCCTCTGTGAATAATCGTATGGATCCGGCTGAAGCTCATAAAGTCGTGAGGCGCCTGGCGACATCCTTTTATTGCGCCTGAAAGCTGAAAATTAAAAAAACCAAAAAAGGTGTTTTATCAAAACTTCCTATTTGATTCAAGAAAAAGTTATTTAATTATTTGAAATGAATAAAATAAACGCTCTATGCCGACTTCATGCTGTTTTGAAAAAATCTGCAAGATTCTGCGAATCAATTAAAAAGATTTTTTTCAAATGAAAATGACGCACATCCTGTTCCATTCAGGAAATGCGAAATCAAAAAAAGTTCAGTTTTCATATTGCTGAGAAGGAAAAACTGTTATCATAAACTATTAATATTTTTTTCGATTAGTTTTTTTCACTTCAAGAGCTATTGTTGAATAAACATATTGGCACAAACTTTGAAAAAAATAAACAAATTAAATTTGTTAAGCTGCTGCATTTTTTTGCTAGAGTTATGAATTTCTACAAATCTAAAAAAAACGAATTCGATAAAAAAACTAAATCGATGAGATTAACTTCTTTTAAAGGGAAATGAAACGGGAGCTCGAAGATGAAAAGCGTGGGAAAGAGTGAGTGAAAGAGAGAAACAGATGCTTCTCCTTTTAAATGCAACGTTGATGAGCGTTAGTTCCTCTGCCTGACTTCTTGAAACTTTTTTTGCCTTCCCGGAAATATATCCTTCACCCCGAGAGAAAAACCGGAAAAAAACAATTAGTAGCGTTATGTATGTCGTTTTCCAGTAGAGGAAAAAAAAAAAATCGAAAGTGGATATTTGCGGAAACCACACAAAGGACGCTTTTGGCGGTCGGCCACTCATCGTTGGCATCAAAACGTCCATATTTGTAAGCAATTTGTCACCTAGGCAATCTCAATTCACAGCAAAAACCTTGAGGTTCTTTTTCGATTGTTTTTGATTTAATCTGGGCTACAGTCGTTATTGCAGAATCATGCTAAGAAAAACCATGAAAAAGATAAGTAATAAAAGTTCAAAAGTAATAAAAGCAACTATTTAATATACATAATAACTTTTTTAGTTAATGTTGATGTCTTCATAGCAAAATTGGCAAAGTTTGCTCCATTACCCAAAAAAAACCCTACTAGCAAAAAATCTAATAAATCCTTTTTCACCTTTTAATCACCTACTAATCACGTGAAAACTGTAAAATAACCGTTATCATCCATAACCATGAAAAAATCGTTAACGAAAAATGAAAAAATTTGATTGAAGATTGTTGGCAACTCGCCAATCTTGAGTTGATGGTTCATATTTGCGTCGTGGTGTTTTGCGGCAAAAACAGCTGACCGCACAGAGCGGTGGCACGAACTTTTATTCTCGGTAACGCCGTGACCTCGTCAAAGTTTCGCTTCTTTATCGCTCTTTTTTATAAAAGGTGTCTTACAAAAGTTTTTAAAAGAAGATAGCGATAAATTGCAAGACGTTTGCGAGTTTTCAGCGAGAGATGAGCGATTCGTTAGAAGAAACGCATGCGTACGCCCGTTAACGCCGATTTTTGACGCCTTTTTCTCGCCTGTACTCACCTGTATTGTAACACTATTTAAAGGCCTTTTAATTTCTTCTTATTTCAATAAAAAGAAACAATGACTATCTAAGTTTTTTTAGAGAGATTATATAACTGCAACTTCAATCAAAAATGAAAAATATGATGGAAAAAAATCAACCCGAGTTTTTGGTGAGGTAAAGACAGAACAATTCGAGTGGAGAGAGACGACAGAGAGACAGAGCGCAAAATGTCGGTCGTAAATTGCTTTCGAAGCGCGTTAAAAACCTCGGAACAAAAAGGTTAGAAAAGTTTCTGCCATCATGTATTCATAGAAAAGCACTTATTTGCCTTGAACAACTTCGTATAACTTCTAACATGAACATTTATTTTTAAAAAATGCTTTTAAAAAAAACTTTTTTCTAAAAAAAAAAACGTAGGAAAAAATTTATATTTTTAAAAGAAACTTACACACAACTGCACGGAGCACAAGCAGGTCTCTTTTTCAGCAACCAGCATAGCAACTTATATCTGAGAAAAATCTTTCTATTGGCAATGAATGATAAAATTTGAAAAAAATCTCGCGAAAAAAAAAATGTGGAAAGAATTCAGTACTTTGGAAAAAAGTTGGAAAAAAAATAATATGAAATTTTTTTTCTACACCAAACTGAAGGTTGAGTCTGAGCCGTCGTTTTGTCGGTTTGGAATTTCGTAAAAAGTATAAAAAGGGTATGTTCAAAGTGATTTCGTGAAAATTAAAATAGCCGTCAGAAAGTTAAAATGATAACTAATGCAGTGTTCAATTTGATTCCGCGAAATGCGAAATACCCGTTAGAGAAAGGAAAAGATCACTAAATTTTGGAGAGTCAGAGATCTTTTTGCATTTCGCGAAATTAAATTGAACACGGCATAAATTTTGGAGAGCCAGAGATGATTTTTAATTTCGCGAAAACCATTGAACCCGGTACTTCTTCTAATAGATATTTACAAAAAGAGAGATTTCATGCAATCTTTTTTTAGTTAATGAATAATGAAAAAAGACTTTGATAAATGGGAGATTTGGAAAACAAAATTTTTTTGGAGCTAATGTGCTAGCGAATCAGAATGAAAAGAGCCGCTTCTGGCGGATATTACACTGAAAAAAACTACACATACACGCCACACACATGTTGAACCCATTGAAAAGCTGCCAGCTTCAAACCACACCTGCTCTTCTTTTTTTCATTTTTGATTGCGGCTTCGGAAACCAGCTAGCTCTCTTAAGAGTTTAAAAATTCGTCGATATTCGAAGCTTCCTACGTTTCTAAGCAGATTCAAAAAAATAATTCAGTCTGAATTAGTTTGAAAGGAAAACGCTCTTGAGCGGTGAAAAAAGGTTTACAGGGTTTGACAAGGTAATGCGTAATCTGAAAGTGGAGAAAAAAGTGATAAGGTAAAAACGATAAATGACTGCAATCGCATTCGCTTATGTTTCTTCATGCATACATCCCAGCTTTGAAATACCTAGGGAAGGTTTTCTGTGAAAGAATCCCAAAATATATTAACGACTTTATCTGACAAAAATATTCAAACCCTATTGGAAGAAAATGAAATTGAAACTTTTTGGAGAAAAAATATCTCGAGAGAAAATCCTGAAGAGAAGCAACACAAGTCGAAGACGGAAACAAATTAGCAAGTTGACTTGAAAGCGTCAACAAAATCCTTTCAAATGGAATGATTTTAGTTTAAAAAAATAGTATTTGAGAAGAAAAAATCTTAAATATTTTTTAAATAAAAGTAGCATCCAATGAGACAAAAGCTGTAAATTTCTTTCATTTTCTAGTTATTGATCCGCGTTTCGTTGCTGAAACTTTTCGAATCAAAGTTTTTCACGATTCGCATATCTAAAAACCGAAAAAATTAGAAGCAAACTTATTATCATATATACTACACTAGAAACAAAATATAGCAAAATGATAAATTATGTTTGAAATATAACCCCTCTCCCGAAATAAAGCTCGCTTAACGAATGTTAAAAATCGGTATTTGCGTCGAACGAGCTTCACCGATAGAGTTTTTTTTACAATGATTTGTATTGAGAAGGATTTTTGCAAATTGAAAAATGTGAAATCCCTCATACTTCTCCAATTTCCGAACTAATAGACTATTTGAAATGAATTTTCATTTGAAAAAATGTTTAAAACAGAAAAAAAAATCGCGTAGATACTCTTTCTCGAATGCTCTAAAAAAAAACACAGGTTGAAATCAGAATTTTCAGCTAGATTTTCTCAAAAGAGTTTTCATACAGATTTACAATTTAGTCTATTAAACTATTTCGATGTTTAAAAAAAAAAGTTTTTTTCACTCACATTCAGTTCAAAATGATGCCGGAGAAACCGATAAAGCTTTTGAGAATGGTGTTGACAATTGAGACGTTCTGAGCAGACGGGTTAACGCGAATTGTTAAACGCATTAGCCATCGGTCACCAACGTTCGCAATTATGCCCTAATTAGGGTCCGCTATCGTTTAAAGTAGAGTAGCCGCTCTAAAATTGCTTCGAGGCGGTCAATGTAATGTTTTTCATTCAATCAGAGAAATAGAAGGTTGAAATAGGAACTTTCGGCTAGATTTTCCAGAAGCTTGATTAAACATTGATGCTGCTTCTATCAACTATAAAAATATATATTTATGAATTCCTTTCGCAGCTCCGTTCAAAATTACATCTTCATTGCTTTTAGATAAAGCCCTCTGACACTGAAGCTTTAAAATTTCATTCTGGTTTTGTTTGTTTGGGATTGTATCTTTGAGGCCCGCATTATATAATTCATTCAAGAGGGACGTCCCATATGGTCCCAGCAGCAGAGCTATTGTGTAACTAATAAGGGGTCGATTGAAGAGAAAACGCTTCCTTTCATTTTGAGAATAAAGAAAAGGACAAATTGAATTTTGATAATTTTTAGGAATAGAGCAAAAAGTTGGAAATCCCGACCATTTCAACTGAGATACCTTTTGTAAAGCATGTCGTTATGTCTTCCTTCAATTTCAGATCATCGAAGAACCAGCCACATCTTTGCTTCTGAAATTAATAAATCATCAACCTTTTACTTTTTTTTGATAACGTTTGAAAGCTGAAACCTTTTTTGAAGGTTTTTTTTTCATTTCAAAAATTTTCATTAATTAAAAAAAATGTGTTCATTCTGAAAACGAAAACACAACACTCAAAGTTCAAGCTTATAGAAAAAAAAATCCTACTGGAAAGCTCAGAAACAATGGAAAAAAAATGGAAATCATGTACGGTCGAAACTTTACATTGTTCACATGAAGAATAACTCAACATATCAGGGCTGCGGAAGTGAGTCAGGCCAAAAAATGACCCGAAGAAATTTCTTTGAAAAGCCAATTTTATTTGGATAGTTCACGCAACCAGAATGAAAAACAATAAAACAAATCATCGTACGTGGGCTGCTAAGAATTCGTATAAAAGACGGTCAGAGTTCATTCCCAATAGTTTTTAACCCTACTCGTTTACTGACTTCTCGATAGCAATGGCCCAAGTGGAATCCGATCGCTCGACGACGCCGACGATGACCGGTCCCGCGGCGGATCCTGCTTTGCTGGCCACCGGCATCGGGGCTGCCGAATCAGACATCAGCAACGCCGGCATTCTCCTTCCGGTTGAGGTCCAAGGATATACAGAATCCCATAGAAACTTTCTGTCTACAGACGCTATCCCAGTACCGAGGTGAGCTTGAGACGTTGGCCGCTGGCTTGCGCGATCGCGGCCGATCTTTCGCCGAGATTGTACCGCAGATGTTCGTGGAGACGACGGAGGACCTGCAGCCGAAGGCTCGGTCCATCATCGATTCACTCCAAGATTTGGTAAGAAAATTCTTCGAGTTTCTTCTCGAGCTCTTCAATTCAGACGCCTCTTGACTTGCCTCTGCGACCAGCTACTGAGGCCTTTGTGAACGGCGCTGTCCTTCTAGCCATCGCAACCCTGAGCAGCGTCCTCGGCAGCTTCGTCGTCGGTCCGCTGATGCACATCCTCGTTTTGCGCTTCACTGCCGGCTGCCTCGCCGTCGCTCTCCCTGTTTATGGATTCCGGCAGCTTCAAAAGGTTGGTACAGCACAAAACATATCAGTTTCCATAAGTTCGAAAAGTTTCCAACGCGGTCAAAAATGTCTATATGATACTGACTACCATTTGTGCGTTTCATCAAAGAAAGACGTCGTTTTCTTGCAGTTGCAAGCTGAAGGTGTTCCCAACGAGAGCATTCGCGTACACCTGACGTACTTGGCAGCGGCTCAAGGCCTTCTGTCGGGCTACGCCATCAGCCATTCGTACTTGCAGTCGCAGCCGCTGATGTTCATTGCCCCCTTGGTGATGTCGCTAGCACTTCCTCTGCTGGTCAACCAAGGTCGGCCAGTCGTTTTGGCCGCAGCGCTGTCGTTGGCGACGATTGTCAACCTGTTTGTCGGCGAGCTCTTCCAAACCGGTACAGTCTCCTACTTCTTCTTGTCGCTGCTTTACACGGCCATCGCTGGCGCCACTCTCCAGCTTGTATACCGGGTTCGTTATCAGAATTTTTCAAAGAGCATTCTCTTTTTCTACAGGAGGAGCCTCAAGGCCGCGCTCACGTCTACGCTCTGCTTCTCAGCGGTGCGACATTAGCCGTCAAGACCGTTGTATTCGGCGTCTTCGGTAGTTCCACTCAATAAAAAAGTTCCTGACTATTTGAAAATTACTCTGTGAAGCTGGGATTACCATTAAGCTCTCTCAGTAAGTTAGAACTTTTCAAGGGCTGGAAATTGACTTTTACGAGTGCTAGGGAAGGCGAATGAAAGTTCTGAAACAAATTCAAAATATAAATCAAAAAACTGAGCAGATGAAATTTTAAAAAAAGCAAAAGGGTAATAAAGAAAGCCGTGCTAAAGGAAAACAACAAAAGAGGGCGGAAAGGAAATAGACATTCGCGGAATGCTCATCAGGGCGTGAAGCCCTACACGTTTATATGAAATCAAAGCTTAAAAAGAAAATGGGACATGTTGAATTGAAGGGGCTGAAGCTACGTGGTCAAGGTGAAAGTTCGAAAACAAGGTGAAACTCGAGAAGGTCCATTTCCAAGTTTTGTCTGGCAAATGTATTGAATTACATTTTAAGCCTAAACAAAAGTTTTTCAAATCGGAACTACTATAAAGTAACATCAAGAAAAAAAAAAAGCCAAAAATCTCGATTTACCCTCAGGGCGCTAAGCGGGAGCGAAAAGGGAGGCCAAAATAGTCCAGTTAAATTTTTAGAGAGATAAAGTTCATGATACACTCATAGTACTTTGAATTTAAAAAAGTCCAATGGAACACCACAAACCATCGCCTTTTCTGTGCTCTTACTTAAAAATTTGATGAAATCGAGGAATTCCTCAACACAAAATCTAAAAAAAAAATCGCAGCAGTTATTTTCAGCATTACGCCAGAAACAGTAACTGGACGAGTGAAAAAAGCCAAGAATTATGCCAGGCGGCTTGGGGCAAAAGAGCAAAGGCAAAATTGAATCAAGCGAGTAGCTGGAGACGAGAAAGACCAACTCACGCCATGATTATCCTCGTTATTCAGGGCCGGCCACTTACAGCTTCCACGACATTTTCATGAATTCGTGAGAGCTCTCCCGCCGCCATTTTATTTTTCCGGGGTTGTTTCTAATTCACTTCAAAGGTAAACAGTAGAAAATCATGTAAAGCTATTTTATAAAAAAATATCCAGCACCTTTTCATAGCTTTTCCTGAACAGCTTTTTTCCGGCAAAAATTCCAAGGGACCTTCAAGAAATTTTCAAAAAGAACAAAAGCTCTTTTTTTGAAGTTTTTATTCCATTTCTTACCTTTTCAAGAAAATGAGCTTTTTTTTGAATATTCATTCCCCTTTTTCTGGAACTAAATTTAATCTTCTTAACAGCTTTTAATATTTTTAGCGGGATCGTGTCAATGAAAATTCAAGAGAAGGTGCTAAGAAGGCCTTATGAATCAATTTTCAAAGCACCTTTCAAGGTACTTTTGAACTTTGCTTTCTTTTCAGGAAATGAAAGACTAACAAAAGGTGACAAAGAAAATATTGAAATTAGAGAGCTTTTCGGACTTTCGAAACTTTCGTAATGTACGTTTTTTTGGATTTAGTCTGTGGAACTAATGCGTTAAAAGTCTTGAAACAAACTAGGAAAGGGCAAAACTGGGAGCATGACGCGATTAACGTATGGCGGGAGCATCCAAAGACCTTGTACCTAAAGCCATCTCGTAGGATTGTTCGCTATTTCGTCTCGTCACCGCTTTTATGCAAATCCTCGGGGTTTTACGCCGTCGCTTCCTGTGCCGTCGCCGAGAGCGACAAAACGTTTGGCCTGCAAAATCACATCTTTTATCATTTCATAACGATTCCTGATGGCAGAGAAAAATTAGAGTTTGCCTGTAAAATAAAGTAAAAAATATTCTTCCAGCGAGACTCGGCTCCTTTTTTCATTCTATTTTTTTTCTTTCGAAACCAGTTCTCAATATTTTTAAATGAAAAAACTTAAACTTACTAGGGAACGTTAGTTCAGCCCCACTTTTGATGGAACCTTACTGAAATGTATTTTAGGACTTGCTGATACCAAACGAAGAAAAAAAAATGTCTTGCAATAGATCTTTTTTTTCGATACACAAAGCTTCAAAGTTTGCGAAATACTCAAATTACGACAAAAAAGCGTTATTTCAAGCTTTCAAAGCCTCTTAAATTGGAAACCAGATCTATTGCGAGAATTTTTTTTCTTGTTCCGGAATAAGGGGGTCCTAAAGTACAGAGTTTCAACAAAAAATTTTTTTCTAGGTTCTTGGAGGTGCTGGTCAAACCATCCAATAATTATGACTTTTTTCCAGGATTTTCCTGGGCCAAACTTTTAATACTCCGTAAAAAAATTTGAAATCATTTGTTAGATGTTCCTAATCATCACTCTGACAGCAAAATTTTGAATTTTTTTTTTCAGATTCTGGATTATTCCGTATTTCGGTTAACGCAATTAATTATACCACAAGAGGACTCGTCATTATTATCGAAGTGTATAAAATGAAAAGTTTAACGTTCAGACGTCAATAAAGTATATTTGTCGCAAAATGTTGGTGGAATGGATTATGGAATGGATTTTCTTCAATATATTGACCATTTAGACCGCCGTTTTTTTTTTTGCCTTTTGGTTCTGAGACTGATGAAAGTTTCAACTAAAATCGAACTCAAAACAAACAAATTGCAAAAATTACCTCATCGAAGTTCGAACGGGATCGTTGCAATGACCATCGCAGCCAAAACAAAATCATATACCAGCGAAGATCAAAACGCCCACCCACGTCTGCTCAATTAGAATTTTTCGACACTTCAATTAGAAAAAAAAGTACAGCCTATTCTCGGCGGGCTTGGGGCAGCGAACTGGTGATTAAAATTGCGCGGCAAGGGTAGATCACGGCGAATACCCATACGCCTTCTATAAGAGTCCTATTTAACAGCTTCTTTCTTTTTCTTTTGTAATTCTTCGATCCACAGAAAATCTGAAAATCAATGTAATGAATGTGAATAAGAACTAAACTTAATGTAACCGATTCGCGTTTTTTTGAATCGTGGATATAGACCATTTTTTCACTGGCTCAAGCCAGCCGTGAATGGACTATACCAAAAGCAAGAAACGTGCAGGTTTTCTGGGACGAAACTGCAAAAAAAATGCGATCATCTCATCGTACAATCAATGAAAAAATTTACTCCCTTCATTTTTCGTTTTGAATGTCGTACACGTAAACTTGTCCGAGTCTAAAAAAAAGAAGAGAAAAACAACTATCGAATTTTCTCAAAGAAAGTTTCGGATGCATAAAAGCTAGAAGGTACTAATAAAGCTGAATATTAAGACGCGAATTACACAGGGGACTTATCATTTAGAGAAAGTATCATACATATTGTGAGAAAACAGAAAACAAGCGTAAAGACAGAAACATGCAAATTTCTTTAAAATAAGGCAAATGAAAAATATTCTTGATATTGATACAAGCGGAAAGGCAACAATCTGGAAATGCATAGAGCTTGGATAAGTGAAACTAGCAAGCATGACCGTACGTCAGAGCCGAGGTTCGAGGACTAAGCTGAAATAGATGATCCATCATTCAAAACAGCGCTAGAATTACAAGAAAGGCTTCGGTGGGTGACTACAAAATGCTAACAGGAATGGAGCACGAAGACTAGTTGAGGCTATAATTATTACAGACATTTACTTTTTTTTATTCACAATTTTTTTTCGAAATCACCGAAGAAAATTCAACGGAGGCTCACAAAAACGCATTACACGGCGAGAAAAAAAAAATGAGATAACAACCAATGAAATATATCACACCAAGAGAAAAAAAAAAGAAGTTTCAATTTTCAAAACGATAATGAAGCGACTATATGATAAAATAGCCAGAAAAACGGCCTGCTAGGAAAATTTGTGAAAAATGAAACAAAAGAACGTTTTCGGTTTCCAAATAAATGGCTTCCTCATTGTTAACATCCAAATGTACTTTCAGAACAAATTCTTGAGTTGGACACCCAGTAACAATAAAAACCTTTCCCAAAATTCCATTGAAACCCGTTCGTGTTTTTTTAAACAATCCCTGGCGTAAAAAATAAAAATTTTTAAACGCCGACTGGACATTGTTCATTCAGACGAGTCATCGCCATTTCGGAAATTCCGTAGTAGTGAACGAATGCAGCAATAACCACGCACGTGTGGAAAAGCTGATGAGATTGGAACTGAAACAGCGAATCATTAGGTTTGTCAAAGAGTTTAAACTTTCGTTCTGACTGTGAGTATAATAAGAGGGTATGCAAAAAAAAGCGAGCGAACTTTCGAACGGCGACTTTTCCGATTTTTTTCAAATTGCGAGGAAACTTTCCAATTTTTTCCCCTTATATTTTTCGGTTTATAAAATATCTATTTACTTTTCATTTTCCTATTTCTTTGTGTTATAATCATGAATCAATTGACTACTTTATATAGGAAGATTCAAAACGAAGAGTTCATTGAGAAAAAAGTCGGAAAAGGTGACCGTCGGAAAGTTCCCTAGCGATATGAAAAAATCGGAAAAGTCGCCGTTCAAATTTTGGCTGGTCTTTTTTCCATACCACTCGGAAAAATAAAAAATGGAACTTAGCCCAATAAAATCGAATTTTTATGGTGAAACTTCCAAATATAGAACTCCGCGAACAAGGACGCGAAATTGGAATTGGGAATTTTTTGAGGAAAGTTTCAAAATCTCATTTATTGATAACTAAAAACAATAAATGGAACTTCTTCCTTGACTGTAAGCGCGTGCTTTTTCATTGAATTTCAATGTTTTCCATTTTTTTTTAAAGGCTATAGCTTTTTACTGACGTTCGATTATAAACTAAAAAATCGCACTCTCCTGTTTTTTTCGCGGACCCTAAAGCATGCGAGAAAAAAAGCCTTATTTGAGAAAAGTTGATGTTAAAAAAAGCCAAAAAAAGTTTTATTTTAAAAAAATAAAATAACAAAAAAATTAAACAAAAAAAGAAGTTAAAATTTCCAACACTCGCCTTTTTTGACTGATTTTTTTTTCTAAAAACTCCTAGATAAAAAAAAATACAAGAGCTGGATTTTCTTTTTTCGAGAAGACTCACCCAAATGTCGCATTTTCCAGGGAAGAAACGCTCAGGTGTTCTCGTGGCATAAAGCATGGCCCCAAGCAGGTAGAGGAAAGCCATGAGAAGAAGCCAATGAAACGAGTTATCTTCGAAGAGTGACCGCACCCCGTCGGTGATAATGTAGTGGATAGTTGGCACGATTCCTGAAATTTTGTCCTCTAATATTGCTCAAATGAACGGTTCCCTCTTTCAAAAACGCAATAGGTCATTGTGAAATTTGATTGAGAAACGCAAAAAAATGATCATTCTCAGATTTCTTTTTTTGCGAAATTATTTCTGAATAATTTTTTTCAAACTGCATTATTATTAAAAAGAGCGAATCAGTAGGGCTCTTGTCTAAACAAAACATTTGACGCTTCTAAAAGGACTTTGAATTAAGATAGAATGTTCAAAACTATAAAGGGGTGTTCAAATCTGCTCAAACTCAACTCAAAATAGCGGTCAGAAAGTGAAAAGAAATAACTAAATTTTTGAGATCCAGAGAAAACTCTGAATTTCGCGGTAATTTCTTCGAAAACGGCATAACTTCGTAAAAAAAGAATTATTTTTTTAAGTCGAACCAAAGACTTTTCGAAGAGAAAAAAACTTTTTTTAAATATACTAAGGATAAATTTTTTTGGTAAAAACTTTAACGATAAATGTTTACCTTGAGCCCCAAAATTCTCATTCATTTTAATACTTTTTTTCGAAATTTTTAAAAATAGAACCGCAAAATTTACCACTAGCGCCCATTCCAACGAAAACTCCAGCGCGGAAGGGCCGATAACGCGGCTCACTGAACTTGTCCCACAGTGAGACAACAATTGCACCTGGAAGGAAACAGCTCCGTTCGATATAAACTGCAAAAAGCGACATACCAACACCCAAAACGGAGACCATTGCAATATATGTGATTTTGGGCTCCCGTCGGCAGTAGAATCCATAATAAATCCAAGGAATGAAAGAGCCAATGATAAGCAGAGAAATACCCATATAATCCAGTCTGTGATATTACGATAATTGAAATGGAGAAGAAAATTTTGAACTTACTTGCAGAAAATTTTGACAACATTCACCGAATGACATGACAAAGTATGGAAAGCGAACGAAAGTCCCAAGCATAGGACTGCGCCGGCGAAAAAGAACGAGAATACGATCTGAAAAATAATTCCAAGCTATTTTTGTACTTGGTTTCACATTTTTATCGAGAATAGTTAAAATAAAAAGTAGACTATAAATAGGCTCCGCGGTGGTATGAAAAAAACACCAGCGAAAATTCAAACGGCGACTTTTCCGATTTTTTCATTTCGCTAGGGAACTTTCCGACGAAACTTTTTCCGACTTTTTTCCCTTATGCTTTTCGGTTTATAAAACATCTATGAACATTTTTTCCCTATTTATTTGTGTTTTAATTATGAACAAACTACCTACTTTATATAGGCAGATGTAAAACGAAGAGTTTATCGAGAAAAAAAGTCGGAAAAAGTTTCGTCGGGAAGGTTGCCGTCGGAAAGTTCCCTAGCGATATGAAAAAATCGGAAAAGTCGCCGTTTGGATTTTCGCCGGTGTTTTTTTCATACCACCGGCCCCGCGTAAGAGGACACTTCAAGAGGTATTCCAATCTTCTCTGGCATCTCTTCAAATTGATTGAGGGAAAAAAATATTTCTCTGATTTCAGCAGAAAAAAAATGTAAAAAAAGTCATATGAACTTTTCGTTCTAAAATCAAGTTACCTTCTCTTGAAATTGAATGTGATTGTCAGGCCGCGACAAAAACCAACAGGCCAGAAAAAAAGAACGCAATGCAGCCTGAAAAATTAAGCGTTTTTTTCATTTAGAGAAAAATTTTTTTCAAATCACAAACAAAAAAATTTTTTTATTGTCCAATCCTTGGAGTTGGTAGGAATAAAAGTAATTTAAATTATCCTCAAATCACCAAAAAAACGCACATAACTTTTATAAACGAATTTTTCCTCTTGAAAAAAACTTGCTCAATTCTTCAAACGATTTGTCATTTAACTTGCGATCGTTATTATAAGGCTAAAAACCTCTTCAAACAGCTCGAACCGTCAAGCAAAAATATTTATGAGCGAAATTAAAAAAATTTTGATTGATGTGCTGCTTATTTTTTTCTACGAATGTTAAAAAAAGCTTTTTGACCATTTTTTTATTGAGTACAAAATCGCCATTGCAAAAAGTAAATTGATTTTAACGAGTTCATCACCTTCGCCCCTTTAAAAAAATGTTAGATTTGGTTTTCAAAAGTTGACAGGGCTGTTCAATTCTCGCATTAGAGGAACTTCCTGTTGGGTGTTTTTTTTCAAATCGAAAGGCGTCGACGGGCAACCCCCAGCTTGTTGGAAAACAATTGAGACGGCGGCACGTGTCGCCGTCACGCGGCCGTGGTGACTGATCGGCTAGGCGCGTTCCCACGGACAACAACAACAATAATTGCGCCTCTTTTCGTTTTTATTTGTTTCTTTGGTCAAACACATTCACTTCCTAAAAGATCAAATGGGTGGGAATTCACATAAAAATATATTTCTTTCAAAATAGAGCTTTTGGGAAGCTTCTTAGAAGGAAGGTTATCTTACTTTGCGGTCTCAACCTGCATTACTTCCTAGTTTTTGAGAAATGTGGCTCATAGCCCCAAAACAGCCTTATTTAACAAATTTTAAGGATTCGAATTGCTCTAAAAAACTAAAAACTAGAGTGCAGATTGAAAGTTTGAGAACCTCTATATGGTACATAAATGAGTATTTCAGGTCTATTTTCAGAAAAATTTCAACCGCTAAGTAAAATGAAATCTCTTGTAAGATCTCTGCAGTCTTCTCTCTTCATAGAAAAGTTCATCAATTCTTTCCATTTTTATAATATTAAAAATCTTGAGAGTTGAATAACTGCAAAGAATGCAACTTTCCTCCTATACGAGAAGCACTTCAGACACATTTATCAAAAAGAGACACTTGACCCGTCCAAATTACATAGATAAGCACATCACGCCACATACACACGCACACATTTTTCTCCCTGTACGAAAAAAAAAAACCGACCTAGAAGGTGGGTCCAAATGTTGCCGGTTTCTGTATGAAGCGACCAAATACTTTTGAAACACTCGGCGAATGATGGGAGCGGAGGTCGATGGCCATGTCTGATAACAGAAATTATATTTGATGAATTACATCATCATGAGAAAACCTCAAGAATTCATTGTCCTGCAACCATTCAGGTAAATTCTCATACTTTAAAACTTTCCACCGGGCTTCGTACGTCTGTAAAATGTCTTCACATGATATCAGAACAAAAAAAAGTTGAAATGTTTTTTTAATATTTTTAAATTATTAATAAAAAAACTTCCCTACTTTAGTTACGATACCAGTCGTTTCAGAGAGTTCTTCTTTGACATCAACCTGTAAGATAGCGTTTAACGGTGTAAAAAAAAAAGAAGAAAAAACCTCCAGCTCATCTTCATCGTCATGACGCTTTTCTCCTGATTCGGCGTGTTTGATTTGGCGCCACTGCCCTCCCTTCTTTCGGCGATATCTTTAAAAAAAAATATATATACTTCACATATATATAATCCGATTGTCTAATAAAAAAACTTTGGTTCACCCTCTAAAAAAATCAAATATTCAGAAATTGATTCTAGAAAAATTTTTATTTCATCGATTTTTTTATAAGCTTCCGTAGCCTCCGGAACTTAAAAATTACCGCAGAGTTGTATGCCGAGGGTGAAGCTCATCATCGCTTCCCGCGGCAGCATGTCGGAAAGAAGTCGATCGCGAACGGTTTGCATTCAACAACTCCGTATCCGATTGAGAAACTGAAATGGATGCATAATAAGACAAAAAAAAGTCAATTACCCTACAAATGTCCTCGTCATCGGAGTTGGGCGGCGAAACCACCGTCGTCTTGCGTGTGTAGAAAACTTCCATTTGCTCTCCCGTTTTGCGCGCCGCCGGATTTTTGACCTTAACCAGTTGTTAATATGAAAAAAGTTTCGACTTTTTAACCTGTACGGTGGTACTATCTTCCACGACATGTTCTCCTGGTGAATCACCATCACTCAAAAATTGCTCCAAAGCGTTACTCACGTCTTTATCCATTCTGAAAAAAAAAATGTATGCTCAACTAAATGGCAATTTAAAACAGATGAAAACTAACGGGGCAAAAAATAACAATAAAAAAATCATGAGCCTTTCATTAGACTGATTTTCAAATACGAAACCAAAGAATTCCGATAAAAAACACAGAAAACATTGCCAATCAGATTTCAAAGTACAACTCAGAAAAGATTCATTGGGCACGAGGATGAATGACGTAAAAACCAGTGACAAAAACAACCACCCAGCCGACTAGTTGTTCAGGTCAAAAAATATCGAAATACGCAAACTATTCGACGTTGAAAATGGGAGAGACAGATCTAAAGTGTAACACACGTGACAAATGAAAAGATGGTCTTATCACATGGCTTACCCCTTTGCCATGCTCTCACATTTATATGATGATCTCTACCGATTCAACCTATAGTCTGAAAAACGATTCTTGATTATGCAGTCTAAAGGAGTGTTTTTTTTTTTTTCTGAAAAAAATCTGAAAAAAATTGAAAGATAAATCATTTGAAAACCACGATAAATAGTATATATAGAAATTGATAATTTGAATTGAAATAGATCAGAGCTTAACAAAGCACGCATTGCAGAAACCAAGCACAGGAAAAAGTCCTGATGGATCTTCGATAGATGAATGAAACTTCTTAAAGAAAAAAAGAAATCCCAGAGCTTTTAGGATATGCTCTACGATACGTTTATAAAATGTGACCGCCCTTTTTGTGCTCCATCCATTTATTTATTTCATTTTTATTTTTATTCATTATGACATCAGAAAAATGGAAAAGGCTATGCTGAATCGTGACAATAACCGACGAGCTCGTGGTTGTTCAACGGACCGTTTCTTCTGCCTGGGACGCCCTTTTACGATCTTATTGGCCCATGTTTTTTTCCCGTGAAGCATCGCAATTAAAAAAACCGCGCGTACCTTTTTCTCATTTTTTTCAATATTACTGGTACTTTCCATATTTGTATTTTTTTTTTCTACCTTTATACCATCTTACTCATTGAAAAAAATCGATTTGAAAAAGTACTAACATGTGAGTCGACCTCAAAAAAATATTTTATAATTATCGAAAGCTCCCATTTATCAATAAATGATCTTCTAGAATCTTTTTTTTCGTGAAAATCGTGAGTATGAGAATTCTCACTTAAAGTTTTTTTCAAAGTCTATGGATCTGTATAGAACGTAAAACAAAGACAAAATTTAATTTACGAAATAAATAAAATATTGGAAAACGACTTGAAAATCTTCGAGTGTAAACATTATATCGCAAAATGACGAGATTGTCAATAATACAAAAAAGGCACCACTATACTAGATAATAAACAATCAAAAAAAATTTCGAAATTCAGAATAATAATGAAACTTTCGAAAGTTCAGAAAATGTTAATTTTTTAAAACTAACTTGCGATAAAGCACAAAAAAGAGAATAATTTTATAGGCGGTCACACCGGAAGCATTTTCTATTCGGTCGTACTTCAAAGTACAATCAGCATGTGCATGCTCTTCATGCCGAAAATGCCTGAGAGAAAACAATTGAAAAAAGTTCTTATTAAAGGGGCACCCACTGCCGCGAACACAACTAATCTCCGGATACAGTACCCCTCTTCCATCTCTCTCTCTGCATTTTTCCTTTTTTCTTTGTGTCTTTTGAACTGTTTTTTGTTGAGATGCTGTGTTCAGAGTGATTTCGCGAATTTTTAAAATAGCCCTCAGAGGGTGAAAAAAAGATACCTAAATATAATTATTTTTTTCACTCGAGAGTCAATTAATTTTCTCGAAATTCAAAATTATCTCTAACTCCAAAATTTAGTTGTTTTTTTTTACTTGGTTATTTGATTCCTTTGAACTTGCATTTAAACTCGCGAATTCTTTTGTATCTTTTTTTTTAAAGACTGCATCTTACTCTTTTTGCTTTCAGGGTATAATGGCTATCAAGAAGATTGCTCCTAAGGTCGCCAAGAAGGGTCTCCGCAAGAAGAAGGTGCACCTCAAGTTCAACGTCGAATGCAAAAACCCCGTCGAAGATGGCATTCTGAAAATCGAAGACTTTGTACGATTTATTAAATCAAAAAAAGTCGATAGGGCTTCCGTCCCTATCGCACCAGCTGGCATAGGGTAAAATGGTCCCTAATAAGTCCCGCTGATTTCAGGAAACTTTCCTCAATGAGAAGATCAAGATCAATGGCAAAACTGGTCATTTGGCAGCCAGCAACGTCAAAGTGGAGGTCAACAAGTCAAAAATTTCCGTCATCGCCGAGATTCCCTTTTCCAAGAGGTTTTTGTTAACATTATTTTTTTAAAAGAATTTTTTTAAAGTTTCAAATTATAGTTATCATGTTATATTTTATTTATGCTGCGTTTATAGCTAATTTGACGCGCGTAGCAATACAGTTTTTCTGGTTCAAAAGCACGAGACGAATTTCAAAAATGAATTTATATTGGAAATTTGCCAAATAGGCGGAGCCAGCCAATCACGTCGTGGGAACCTGCTGCGTTTCGGCTCTTGCTTTTAAACCAGAAAAACTGTTTTGCTGCGCGCGTCAAATTAGCTATGAACGCGGCATTAAAGTAGTTTATTATGCTTAATGCCAGGTTTTCTTTGACTCCAAAATTCACTATCTGACGGCAATTGGAGCAGTTTTCATTCGTGGTTTTTTTTTTATCAGAAGATGAAAAACATGCAATATTTAAAGCATCTCCGCGAAATTAATGCCGCGTTCAGAGCTGGTAATTCACGCGCAGTGAAAGTTTTCTAGTCCATAGGCTCGAGCCAAAATGCAACTGATTTTCACAGCTATATTGGATGGTTCCGCCTTTTGCTTCCAATATAATTTTTTTTTTTTTCATAAACTGATAACTAAATTCCGCTTACTTTGAAATTACTCCGAAAAATGTATAACAGAAAATTAGCGCGAGTTCCAGAAATTTTTTGGTTCTCCATCTTTCCGATAGATTGAATGAATTTAAGGCATCATAGGATTGAATTTTCTCAAGTTTGATCGAACATTCCGTTATTTGATAAATTTTTTTCAGATACCTCAAGTATCTTACTAAGAAGTACTTGAAAAGAAACTCTCTCCGTGATTGGCTTCGCGTCGTCGCCATCAACAGAAACACCTATGAGCTCCGATACTTCCACATCAATGACGAGGAAGATGCTGGTAGCGACAATGAATAATTTTTTTGTTAAACTTTGTTGAAGATAAATTGTTTTAAAAATCAGTTCAGTTATTGTTTTCAAAAGAGTTGGGAAGTTGTCAGATTCAAAACTCGGAAATTATAAGCCAAATATGAGCCGACCTTGACTCCAATGCCTGATATTCGAGACAGTTGATAGGTGATAAGATATCATTGCGGTGTGATGGTCCCCACATTCACTTTTACTATTCGCCTGTTTTTATTCGTCCTTCAATTAAGTAATGCGTTGAATATTTGCGAAAATTCTGAAGTTCCTGCGAATAGGGTAAATTTTCGGGTAATTGGTGGAGCTGTTGTTTCCAAAAGGTTTCCTTTTTACGATACAACAATCATAGAACTTGGTTAAGCGAGTTTCCGTGGCAAGCGGTATTCGTTTCGTTCAATGAATCCGGCCATGGAATTCTTTGCGGAGCGACTGTCATCGATGAATTTTGGCTGATGACGGCGGCGCATTGCGTCTCGTATGCACTACCTCCTTTAATAAAAAAAATGTACAAAGCTTCAGCGAAATGTCGACCAAGTCTTACGTGCTCACCGGCATTCAGAAACTGTCGCAGCCAGCTCACACTCTGAAAGTGAAACGAGCAGTGATTCACCCGGGTTACAGCGTCTTCAGCGCTCACAGCGACATTGCACTTGTACAGGTTTCTGTTGCGAGTTGTGGTGAATGAACCATCTGAATTTTAAAAGCGTTAAACTTCCGATAAGATTACATTTGACGGCAAAATCGACCGAAGAAACAGATAAAATGTTAAGACCTATCGGAATTTGCTTCGAGGAGGAGTTGCCCCCGTGTGCCTTTTAAGAGACGATACAGAACTTCTGAACAAAAATCCTAATGGATTGGTCATCGGCTTCGGAACCCAGTTAGGTTTGTCAACTCGTCAAAAAACCGTTTATTCATCCAGACATCTGTTAGCCATAGTATGTTGTATCTTTAATTGTGACATTTTGATATTTCCTTCCTTTAAAAAACAAGTTTCCTTTGCAGAAAATCTTTTCCCGCCTAATCAACAGATGGCACCGAGCGAAATTCTCCTGAAAACGGAAGTTCCAATTATACCAATCGGAGATTGCTTGTTCGTTTTCCATTTTCATCGTTTAAAAAAAAAGACAAAGATCTAAAAGAAAGCATCTGACTTTTCTTCAAAGCGGAGGCAGATCAGAAAAAAAAAACAAAAACGTAATACAACAAAAAAAAAATTCTGAAGTGATAATAAGGAAAACAATAATATTAGGTCGTAATACAAAGTGAAAGGTGCACCGTTTCCAGAATCGAGTGGCGGCGCCTGTCTCTCGGCTCGATTCGCATTGAGACGGACCAAATCTGCGCCGGAGCTTTGCTGCATGGAACGACGCCGGTTTTTCAGAATTCAAGAGGTTTAACGAGCGAATTTATATAGGGCGACAGTGGGGGACCTCTTCTGGTGCGCGACGACGTCGGCCGCTGGGTCCAGGTCGGCATTACTTCTTTCGGAGCCGACGGCCTGGAGGCACTCTTTGACCAAAAGACCTACCCAGGTTTTTTTTTCAACTAGATTATGTAGCTTAAAACATTAACTTTGAGACGTGTTATTCCTTCTTATTACTAGGCGAAATATTTGAGTGAAAAATTTTTTTACATACTATAACAATTGCGAAAGTTTTTATGATAAATTTCTACGAATGAAATACTGAAATTTTTTCGTTATTTTATCGTCGGAATTTTTTAAAATCAACTCGCTTAAGACAACGAAAAATATCGTATTTAAAAATTTACAAAGTTCTATTGCCCTTCTCAAAATTTGTTTTCTGTATCGATTGCGAAATTAACTATCGTGAATAATGCGAGATTCTGACTTCAATAAACCACTCAAGTCTGAGAATCTGAAAAAAAAATTGAAAGAAATTTTCTAGGTGTCTACACGCGAGTTTCACCCTATATTCCATGGATAGAAAAAATGATCTCTGGAACGTCACGGTCCTGTTTCGTGAACATTTTATTTGTCATGCTTTTCTTTTTCAACTGGCCATCGGACTAGTGAGTGAATTTGGACTGAAAAGTCTCAGAATTTGCAATGAAACACACGTTGAACATAGTTGCGAATTGTTTTGCTCGGTGGAAAAGTAGAAAATAAATAACCCGCGTGAAGTCACCAAGCAATAAACCTGAAAAAGCTTGAATATTTGCTATCAGACGTAAGATCCAACTTGTTCTTTTTGCGATTTTTGTATTCTTCCGGCTCGAGTCCCTTCATCTCCAAGTAGGTGTGCAGTTTTGGTGGATGCTTATGCGAGGTTCTGAAATGCTTTCCATTTATTCATCTTTGGAGTCTGAAAGACCTGCTCAAATCAATTCGACCCCATTTTAGGGAAGAAATTCGCTCCATCTCGATTTTGCAGTTGCCGTTACGGACCTGTTTTATTTGTTCGTGATGGTGTCGCCAGAAAAAGTCCTCTTCAAATGAAGCTAAAAATCAAAAAAAAAATTTCAGCCTTTGAGAGTGACGAAAAATTAGGAACAAAATCCATTTTTCTCGGCTCGAAACGCACGCATGTTTGAGACAGTAACAACATGCTTAATATTGTGCTTTCTGTTTCGATGCCAGTAAATTTTTCCATTTTTTTAAACCTATCTTTCGAGGGGACAATATTAGGCAGTCTCGATAAGTGAACAATTTTTTTAGCTATTAAAAACTTTTCAAAACTACCGTACGATTCAGCAGCTTTGAAGAATCGTGCGGCGACATTTTCAGTTGCAATGTAATTTAGCGCCAATTCAAAAAATCATCGCATCAGCCTTCATTTATCCAATAAAAAAACGCCAAAAAATTCATTTTAAATATTTTTTGTTCAACAGGAAACTTGAGAAAAAATCTAAAAATGCGGAAATTCTCAAGTTTGCGCCAAAAACGGCTCGCAAACGGTTTGTACATGAATTGCGAATGCCGCAGCCGGCCTGTTCCAGCCGAGAAACATAAATAATGAAATGATGAACTTCCCAATTTAATTTTTTTTTTCTGCCAGAAGCCACTTGCTTTAATTCTACAAGAACACTTCATGTTTTTTTCAAACGCCTTTTTTTGTCCCAGCAGCAAAATTATTTTATTTTGAAATTTCCATTTGGACTCTCAATTAAAATTAAGGAAAAAAAAACTAACGGGGTTCCTCGCTCTGCAACGAGTCGACAATGGTGAATGATGTGATGAGGTTACGATCAAAGATATAAGAAAGCTCGAAATCGTCGTCATCCAATCCGAAAGGACGCATGAGGTCCTGCCCGACCTTAAATCTCATCTTTAGCTCTTCAACTTTTTGTCCCTAGTTCCTTGAACCATCCGACGAAGAAAAGGAACTGGACGACGGTGAACAGCGGAAAAGGAAGGTCGAGATTTTCGTCGCCTTCGTGGTGTTGACGGCCGAATAGGCAGAAGAAGAAGTGAGCATACGTTGCGAGGGCGGCAACCTAAAACAACCGGAAATAAAGACACGGAGCCGTTCCGGGTTCTAGGTTTCAGGTGGGGAATTCGATAAAACTTGGCCGATTCTTCGTCGAACCATTCTTTTTCCGAATTTTTTCTTCAACGAGTCATACCTATTCTTCACCGAACCATCAAAATTTTTTTAGTCGACCTTTTAAAAAAAAATTGAATCAAAAAATTTGGCGATATAACAGAAAAAAATTAGAGAAAAAAAAAACTGATATTTGAAATTGGGTAAAAAGACTTTTTATCAAAAATTATAGAGTAAACTTGAAAGATTTCAAAAAAAAATTCTTTTCAAAGTTTTTTTATTTTTCCTTGTTCGAATCATAACAGCGGCCAAGATCAGTCACTATCTCCTTTTTTATTTTTCTTACTCGAAAAAAAAAAGGAAAAAGGGAAACCTGCGTATAAACAAGAGGAACGCAGACCCAGTCGTGGCAGTAGAGTTTCCGGAAAGAGACCCGATAAGATCGGAACTCGTTGGACAACGTCGACATGTATTGAAGTTGACCCCGACCTGCCGACACCTGTTTGTCCGATTCAAATCCGGGAGAGATGACATTTTGAACAAATCGCTTAAACCTCTTGGGTGATGAGCTGCTGAGCCCAGTGAAGAGGTGTCAACCAGCGGATACCGGGGGACGGCTCCTGGAGTATGATTTTTTCAGAAAACTACTTTCAAAATTTCTGATTACATTGATCGCTTTCAACTTTTTGTATTCGAAATCGGTGAGCATTCCGGCGTCGACCAAATTTCTAACGTGCGGAAAACGTAGTCGGATTTTTGTTGATATATCTCGCCTTGAAATGAATATTTGAAAATATATTCGAAATGGAACAAATCAAACGCAAATTATTGTAGAAAAAATCTGAAAAAAATAGAAGTGGTGAAAATCACCATGCCAAAGCAGAAGTGAGGTTGAGGTAACGAGCGATCTGATGTCGAACTGGACGAGACTCTTCCAGTGGGAGCACCATGCAAAGAACGGAGAGTACGTCTTCGGGCCAGGAGAGGCACTCGAATTGGCACCACCACCTGTAGCGTGTAGACAATTTTCTTGACTTGAAAGGCGGGACACGTACAGCTCCCTAGTGAGATCAGCATCCAAAAACTTTTTACAAAACTTTTGGCAGTCTTAATTAGGCGCATAAAAAACCACGTCTTTAAAATTAGCCGGAAGCTCGATGACAAAGTCAATCCTCAAAATTTCTCCAGATGAGAGTCGATAGCGAATTATCAAGACGTGAAAACTTGCTGGTAACAATACCCGGAAATAATTATCTCATAAGTTCTGAATAGTTAAGGTGCCCTCACCTCGAAACAACATTGGAGACGTAGAAGCCGAGCAAAAAGGTGAGCGGAATCAGCTTGGTGTACTCGTTGAACTCGTTGCACAGCAGCTTATACTTTTTCCTAATTGTCCGCTTTAGTTCTTTTTTTTCTCACACTGACAAACCTAAAGCCTCTCGCGCCGTCGGCGTCAAACTGTGTGATAAATTCGGGCATGGTGAATCGGATAACGTAGAAGAGAACGAGGAAAACGAGAAGTTCGCGCCAGACTGACCTCCAGATGGAGCCTTTCCATCGGAGGAGAAGACGAAAGAAGTTGCCCGAGTAGGATATTGTCATTTATATTTTTTGTCTAAATCACTTAACTTTTGAAATTAGTTCGAACTCTACGCGGCGATTTCTTAGAACTAAAAAATTCAAAAACCGGGTTTTTTTTCTCAAAAAAGTCGAGCTGGAAACTTTTCAGAAAGTCATTAACCTTTTTTGATTATGAATGAAACAATCCCTCGAAATTACGGGAAAAAGATTTCAAGATTTTTTTAATTTTAAAAAAATAAATTTTTCAAAGAACTTTTTTTGCGAGGGAAGCAAAATGAACTAAATGAGTCTCAAGCCTAAAATCAAACAAAAGGTCTAAAAAAAGCTCTTACGAACTCCCAACTCCTATTCACACATTACAAATGTTTAAAGTTTCGACCCCCGAAATTTCAAAAGGAGATGGTGAAAAACTTCAAAAAAAGATAGAATGCTTCGAAAAATTTTTGACTTTTTCAGGATCGGAAAAAAGAGAAAACTTCAAAGCGATTTCCCGACAAATTAGGTTCCAAGTTGTGTAAATCAAACTTTGAAAGCTGGAAAATGGGAAATGAAAGTTGTACGGTAGAAAAATGGGTGGACTACGTCGTGATGAAGTGATATACGCAAACAGAGGGTGGCAGCAGATCGAAGGGATGTTTGCCGATGTACCTGTGTATCGCAAGAATGAACAAGAACCCACTCCAGATGGCTCCCGATAAGTCGATGCGCAGTGAAATGTGACGCAAACGGTTCAAAAGTACTGTTTATGGTGTGTTCATTGGAGAAGCGGAGCACGTTTCAAAACGCAAAAGCGTGTTCCTTGTCGCACCGAAGTTGCTCTAAAGCAGTACTATAGTCTGTTCAGATTTCAAATGTCAAGTCCTTGCTGAAGCTCCGCCCCTTAATGGCGCGATAAACCAATCAGAGTGCGAGCCATTCACAGAGCGCTTTCAAAAGACCTCATTCTACTTGACATTCAAAATCTGAACAGACTATATAGTCAGATTTTGAAACTCCGCCCTCTAATAACGTTCTGTGGATGGCGCGCTTTCTGATTGGTTTGATCTACGCGTAGGGGGTGGAGTTTGAGCTATAACGTGACATTCAAAATCTGAACAGACTATAATTTTGCGTTTCGGAACAATTCTCGTTTTTTTCCGATGAACACACTCAAATCTCAATTGAAAATCATTATTTTTCATGTCTTTTTCCTCGAAATTTCGAGATTGCCAGTACCCGCGAAATTGAGGTATCTACTTGTGGAAGAACGAGGCGAGGGACCGTAAGGCCATGCTTTCAATTCAATCGACTACACGTTTTGACTTCTCTCTCGCCAAAGGCGGTGTTAGTGCCGCTCAAAAGAGCAATTTTTTCACCGCCTAGTCGATTCCATCTGACTAAAACAACCAATAAATATTGAATTGAATTAGGCTTTTTTTCTTCATTGAACTTATTCAATATTTATCCTTTAAAAACTGTTTCTCTAAAGCATACCTCTTGTATATTGTCCGAATTATCTACAATCGACGTCCTTATTAGAAAAATGTTCTGGATCAATCTGCAACTTCGATTAAAACGAAAAAATTTTCTTCTCTTCGTCATTTACCGATTTTTATTCGATACACTTTTTACTCGTGTAATAAAAATTTTATATAATGCTCCTCGGAGCACCAGCAGAAATAACAACAAAATATCAAGAAAGTATCAAAGGCACAAGAATATACGCGCGGCATTCACGAATTAGTACAGTCTACTTTTCCCGACTTGGAAGGCGATCTCGATTTTCCGGTCAAAAAGGCTTCAAAGTCGGGAAAGATTAACCACAAGAAGCAATTTGCATCGAGATAACAAGTTAGAAATGAGCAATCAGAACAAAAAGAAATTAATTAACAGGAAAAAAAAGTACTCGTAAAATCATGCAGAATAATAACAATATCATAACGTAAATCAATCTTTCCGGGAAAATATCTAACATAATCACATATAATAGCACTGAGAGTTAAATTTCGAGGATTCGGCAAAAACAAGAGCATAAAATGAGTAAAAGGTCCCAAAAGGAAAAGTCATTGATGGCTGCAGACAAGTAGAGGAGCAAGGGCGGAAGCGTCAACGTCAGGATCACTAGTTGGACGTCGGCAAAGAGCGGCTCGCGGAGGCCACGACGCAGCTGCTCCAGCTCAAGCTCCAGGAGAAGGGCGCCGAAGACGTCGTCAGGCCGCGGAGACGACGCGCCGACGTCATCCGCACCCGATGAGGACGACGTCGGCGCGTCGGGCTTTAGCTGTTCTCTCTCCGCGGTCCTCCACGACCGCCCCCCTGAGGCTGCGTCGTCTGTTGCGTCGGGTACCGGACCGTCTTAGGCGGCTGGTAGACCTGCCAACGTCAATCAATAATTGAGGTAAAAATCGAGTTTATCAAATTATAACTTTTGCTCGGACCTAGGTAAAGCCGGACGTGCTCGGGAAGTTTCCGAGCACTTCTAGGGATCTCTTAAGAGTGCTGACGCTACTAAAGTAGTCACCGACACGTAAAAACCCTCACGAAAAACGAACTATACTTTGGGAACTACTGAAAAAAACGATAATAGGAACTCAAAATGCAGTTATTACGCTGATTCTGGCTCTGTGTCGAAATTCCGGCGATTGAGAAAATAAAAACGCTTAAAATGGTGGAAAATTGAAGCCATATCAAACTTTCAAGCGATACCAGCCAACGACCAGTCTGTACTTCTTCGAACGGTCACAAAATATTTTTGGAAGGTTTTTCAAACAACTTTCAAGTCCAAATATTGAGATAGAAACACTAGGAGAGCCAATAAATTCATAAAAAAAAATCTATTGATTATTTTCTACCCAAAACCCATCTGAATGAGAGACACCGAATTATATAATTTTTTTTCCTGAGATAGTCGAAACTTGCTGATTTTTATAAAACTGCAAATTTTTTAGGCTTTCCTAAAATTAATATTTCCATTCTTCAATCAATGCTCACCTCTCGTGGCGCCTTCCCACTGGCACGCTTGAAGGCCTGACGATCCCGGTCGACCTCGACGTCTTCGAGCCGCTGAGTGAGATTGAGCTTCTGCTGGATGGCAAGCCGCAGGAGCTGGTTCAGCGTCTTCTTTTCTTCCTCGTTGGCGCGCAGTTCTCCTTGGAGCTCGTCGACCTGGGCTCGGAGCTCTTCGCATCTCGCCGTGAACATCGCGCGGTGTGAGGCGAACGTCGCCGCGTCCTCTTTGAGCTGCTTGAGCTCTCGGCGCATTCGGTCTCCGATATCCTGTCAAATGAGAAGATCAGCTTTTCAGAAATATGAAAAAATCAACCTGTTGTGCCCGTTTTTCAGACTCGTACTTCTCGCGCAGTGAGGCCAAGGCTGATTCGGCCGTCAACTTTGTTCGATTTCAGCACAGTCCGAAGAGTCGATATTTGATCCCTCAAAAGGAGAAAGTTAACAATAGTTCAAAAATGCAACAGAATCGGCTCTCTTTGAGCCCTTGTGAAAATATTTTGCAAAAAACAGTTGTAAAATATTGTAAATGATGTCCTACCTAATAATAAATAGTCGGTAGGGGCGGAAATAAGGATAGAAATTCAATTTAGACTGTGAAATATTACAGTTTTATTCAAATTTAATTGGAAATAACCAAAATTATCCGATTTATTTCGGAAAAACTTCCAAATAAATTCCGGAAAAGTGTTAATATTTTTAAAAAAATCAAGGCAATATCAGTCAAAAAAACTTCATCTGAAAAAACACCCATTCAACCGATTTGATTTTGAATAAAGGCTGATAAACTTGGACAATTCATAGCTCATTCGATAGAAAATGTTTAAAAACTTTTTTTGTTCGAAAAATGTACCTCTTTGTGCTGAGTAAACTGCGAAGCTTCATGTTCTGAAGGAGGATCTCGTCGTTTTCGGCGCCGCTGGCCGAGACGGCCTGATTAAAGGCCTGTTCCGACGTCCGTTTCACCGCCGAGAGCAACTTTTTCATGCTTTCCGTTGTCTGAGAGATGGCGTTGCCTTCTGAATCAACGTTTCTATTAAATATACTCTCTCGATGAGAAACCTGTCAGTATCCGCTGCCTCATATCAGTTTCACTGAGGACGTCAGTGAACTTGAAGCTGCCGAGCTTGGGCTCAAAGTCGCGGATGAATGAAGGGGCGATGACGAGCCGGTCCGAGTTGAGGGGGATGGGTCTGGAGGCGTTGGCGTCGGTCTCCGTGCCGCTCTCCACGCCCTCGTCGGCCAGCGAAACCCGCGGAACGTCTTCTGCGTTTTCGCGCGCCAGCTGTCGCAGTTTCTTCACGATCTGAAATATTCAAACATTTGTTTTTGAATAGCTTCGATATGGTCTAGGTGACATGTATTAAAATTTCACGGAACGACATTCCGCCTGCGGAAATGTAGATTCGCAAAAAGAAAGAACGCTTCGCGACCGCACGCAGCAGAACAGCGGGAATGTCGTTCGGTGAAATTATCATGGCAAACAGAATATAAAAATTTATTCAGGGCGCTCTGAAATCAAAATGCGACTACTGCAAAAGATCCCCAGATGCAAATTTTCCCTTTGATTCTGAATCTGGAGTCAAAGTAAGGTTCTCGAAAGAAAAAGAAAGTCCACTCTTTCAAATTGAGCTCTCAATTCAAGCGAAAAATTACAAAAACCTATTGCTGAGATTAAAAAAAAAATCTCTTTTTAGAATTCTGGAAATGTTTTTGGTTTGTTTTTCGGTGAGTATCGAATAAGGGATCATTAAAAAAGGTGGAAATTTCCGGAATTCTAACAAAAATTTGGATTCAACCCGCAATGAATCCCGAAATAAGTGAACTTCTCGTTGATATTTTGGTGCACCCCGTTTCGGAACTGGATGGCGTGCACCCCTAGGGGAAGCGGCCGAAAAAAATTATTTTTGAGCTTCCATTTCCTTGTTTTCCATACCGTACAGAGTCAGAAAATTTTCTTTTTTCCTTGTTACCGTCCTAAAAGTTGATCTTACAATTCGTTTGAAAAAAAATACCGATTACGAAAATAAGCCGTTTGTTTCTTCATGCTGTCTCGAGCATCAAAAAATGTTTCAAAAGTTATTTTCTCCTATTTGATAATGATTTAACTTTTTTTTTCTTCCTAACCTCGATAACAGACTTCTCCGCTGGGACGCCTTGACTCTGAGCCATTTGGTGGTAGAACTGATAAAGTTGGTCGGAGATTTGTATCATCGCGTCCTGAGCCGCAGCAAGCTGGGCGCTTTTCTCGCCGGCAAACAGCAAAAGAGTTCGGAAATCGGCTTTCGTGGCCCCGGCCCGTCTTTCGTCGCCTTCCTTCCCTTGTCGGCCTTCCTCCTAAAATGAAAGAAAAAATTTATTTATTCAAGTTATGGAAAAGAACCTGCACCAACTGGAATATCTTCTCCAAAGACGACATCTTTTCTGCTGTCGAGCATGTAAAAAGTCCAGTGATTCTGGAAAAAAATCCGTTAAAATCAGTTAGACATTTGAAGACTTTTTGATTTCGAAAAACATTGAATACAGTTTTTGGACTTTGACATGACTTTTTTTCATAAAACACTGTCCGTTATTTAAAATTATGCGATTCAGACCAAAAAGATATACAAACAGTAAAAAAATGGATAATGAGGTTTAAAGAAGGAGAAAAGCAACGATTAGATCTTGAAAAATTTTTGCAGTAAAACATAAAACCTCGCGTCTTCGAAAAGAGAAAAATTATAAGTCAGATTTATAAAAAAGTCTTTCAAATTTCAACAAGTTCTCATTAAATTAAAAAGGCAGTAATTGTTTTGTTTTAAAAGTGTATGAGAAATGGTTCAATACATTTCAAATTCAAAAATTTGATTATACGGTTCATAACTTTTAACTCCCATCCAGAAACTCTATAAGCAAAGAGGGATCGTTATAGGGATTTAGGAGACGAAAAAGTGGTCCCTATAGGGTTTAGGGTCTGGCCCTTGAGCTCTTAAAGTTCAAAATGCCTCTATAGGGGTTAATGAGAAAAGCAGCTCTGATAGGGGCCACTAACTGAAACCCATATAGGGGCCCCTTTTGAAAGCATTAGTGGTCCCTAGAGAAGACCCTTCAAGGGCCTCTTAGGTTGCTCCTATAGAGACTACTCTGGAATTTCTAAGAACGGAAGAAATATTTCTTCAAGAAACGCCGAAACTAACCAGTCTGTTCCTTTCAGTCCCCAACGTGCTCATCAGGCCTTTGACGAAACTCGATGAGAACTCTTTCTCGTGATTTGAGTTCCTCCTCGAGACCTTCTTTGGCTGCTTCCAGTTCTCGGACCTGGAAGAAAAACAGGTAAAACTTGGGGCTGTTTTCAAAGTCCACCTTGACGTCGCTGCTCCCCTGGAGTTCACTGAAAAGGTCGTTGCTTCCGGGAGCCGGTTGAGGTGGCATTTGACCTTCCTAAAGTCAGATACAGTTTGATTCCGACTTTCTTTCGATTCAAACTTCGAGCCGTTCCAAGCCCATAAGCATGTCGTTGAGGCTGTTGATGTGCTCAGCGTTTCGAGCAAGTTCGAGCTCTTTTTTCATCGCGAACCTCTGCTCACGCTCCTGTTGCGCCGTCAGCAGCGCTTCTTCCACCTGAAACGACTTTTTGAAAAATGAAATAAATTAATTTTACGCTCCATTCATTTCAATCAAAAGTACAACGTATGCGCCTACATCTATTATTTTGCTGAGTGGTATTTTTTTAACCTGCGAAACGAAATGTAGAAAAAAATAAAATTCTAAAAAAAGCTCCTTGCACCTATTTAGTCTGTTCAGATTTCGAATTTATAGTCGTTGCTCAAGCTCCGCCCCTTATGGCACGACAAACCAATCAGAGATCTAACAACCCATGGAGTGTTTCCGAATGACGTCATTATACAGGGTGGCCAATAAATATTGAAACGCTTTTGAAACGTTATAACTTTCTCAAAAGTCAACCAAACACCACCAAACTTGGAACAAATTTTATTCATACAATATAGAAACAAAATTCAAGAATAGTTTTCAAAACGTCCTCCTTTAGCTTTGATAACGGCCTTCAGTCTCTTCGGATACGCATCGTTCACGGCACGAGGGTAGTCGTCGTCGATTTCGTCCCATTTCTTGATGAGCGCGGTCTTCAGAGCTTTGATACTTGGGTAGTTCTTAGAAGAGACCTTCTCGGTCAGATATATCCACACGGTATAGTCCATCGGGTTGAGGTCGGGCGAGGAAGCAGGCCAATCAGCAGCCGAGATGAACGCGGAAAATTGGCGCGATACCACTCTTGAGTCACTTTGGCACGATGAGCGGGGGCGCCGTCTTGCTGGAAGGTCCATGGTCGATTTCCGTAGTGAAAATTGGCCCAGGGCAACACCCTCAACTTTAAAATCTTCTCCCTGTAGTATACTTGGTTCACTTTGACTCCAGGATCCACAAAAATCAGCGGAGTTTTGCCGTCAGCGGTAATTCCGGCAAAAACCATCACGGAAGCCGGATGCGAAGTTTTATTCAGAATTTTTCCTTTTTCACAGGCACTCTGATAGTCAGTAGCGATGATCCGATGATTTTGGCCGTACTTGTTCGGCTCCACAGTGAAGATTTTCTCGTCGGTAAATAGCGTCGTCAGATGCGAGCCATCTTGCGTGCCAGCGAGCAGTTTCCGAGCCTTTTTCATGCGCAATGTCTTGTTTTTTTGATTGAGGAAGGCTCCTTTCTGCATACGGTAGGGAATCATCTTCAGCTTGTCCTTGACAATAGTTCTCATCAATCCTTGACTCATTTCGTATTTTTTTGCCATCTTTCTCACGCTTCTTTCCGGAGTGCGTCTGATTTTCTCTCGAACGGCTTTGACTGCTTCTGGAGTCGTGACGGTGGCTGGACGTCCCCTTTTTTGCATGTCATCTGAAGTACCGAGATGCCGATAGCGTTGTGCAGTTCGAAAAATGAGAACACGAGACACTTTCAGCTTTTTAACAATCTCTGAATTTGTCATTCCGCTTTTGACACAATCAATGATTGCGGTACGGTACGGAGATGGGGCCACCATTACCTGAATACTGAAAAGTATGAGCTGTAACTTCAACACATGATAACTGAGCATGAATGAACGAAATAAACAAAAAAATTCAATAGCCAACCCTTTGTGCAAAAAGCAGCGATCAAACAAAAAACGGTTTCAATATTTATTGGCCACCCTGTACTTGGAATTCGAAGTCTGAACAGAAAACGAATACAAAAAAGACTGCCAAATTTATAGGGATAATTTTGATGATAATATAAAGCTTCAAAAAAATTAAAAATTTTTCGCTTGAAGGTTCTATTCATCATAAGAAGACATAATCTAGACGAGCAAAATCGGTTGAGACTTTCAAAATCAAAACAGATACTAGAAATGAAATTTCGGCGAGTTCAATCGTTCAAAAAAAAAAAAAAAGACGGCGCCGACACAATGTCGCGGTTGAGCGGAGCTGTCAGAAATCACTGGTGGTCATTTCGGCGGCCGCTCATTTCACGCGAAGAACCTATTCCATACACACGCGCGGACACGTCCGTCATGATGCCATTAACCGCGATTTACATTGATTTTCACAGGATAATAAGGGGAAAACCCATACGAAAACAGTCAGAGAAAAAAATCAAAAAGTCGAAAAAAAGTTGGAATAGCTTTTTCTAAATATAAAGATAAAGAGTTTCGTACGCCTTCTATTTTTTTGAAGGTGATATTCGACAAGCTTTGGAACGCAAAATCCTTCCTTTTTCCTAAAGTTTCCGGTGGAAAAAGTCCCTATTCTCCGAAAGTGTGTTAGAAGAAGTAGTTTCCAAGTTGACGAAGTATTCCGGAAGATGCGCATATGATTAAATTTGAACACTATAGTTTTCGGTGCTCAAAATAAATATCAGAGCTTTTCCGAGATATTTTTTTTCGAAAAAGGGCATATTTCGAATTTCAATGCAAGACAATATGATTTTTCAGTTTAATAGCGTAACCTCCAAATAAAAACCTTCTTTCGGAAACTTCTAGAAGCTTGTATCAAGCTCTCTGAACTAAAAAAAATAGAAAAATACAAGAGAAAGCTCAAGTTTCAATCTTCGTTCTGAACCGGATCGTAAAAAGGTTTCATTTGGACTTATAAGCTATAAAGTTTTGATGGAGATCATATTTGACCTCCCTTGTCAGGTATGCCATCAGGCGAAAACAAAAAAAATGACCTGTTTCTCAGCGATGGCGCGGAGGGCCTCAGATTCCACGACGGCGGCGTTGAGCATGTAAATCTCTTCTTCGTAGCGAGAACAGTCGATTTTGAGCGACTCGAACTCGACCTGGGCGCCACGGAGGTTCGCCACCTGCAAAGCCGGTCATCCACAGCTGCTTCTCCCGAATGCGGCGATAAACGGACCGTTTTTTGCAGCGCGATATTCTCCTCTTCAAGCTCGCTGTATTCGGCCAGCAGCCGTTGTTCTCTTTCCTAAGTAAGGACATTTATTGCTTCTAAAAAAAAATTTGAATTAAGTCCCCCACAGACATTTGAATGCGAAGAGAAGCGTGAAGCGACAAACTTCTCTTCAAATAGTTCATGATTCTTCATGCAAAACTGAATAAAATTTTCAATGGCCAATAAAACTCGCTTTCAAAAGTTTCGCCGACTTGTGAAAATGAAAAAAAGGATTGCTCTAAGCCCTTCTAACAACAACAAAATTTCTAAAAATTCCTTCATAAACATTTTAAAAAAATAATATTTACCATAATCGTTACAAATAACTAAAATGACAAGAAACACGAAATAAATTTTAAATGTTGTCCCTTGTAGAAAAAACGTGGTTTTAAAAAAACTAACAAGAAAGTTTCTTTTTCGAAATCATCTTTCCGCCCAATCACTTGAGAACAGATATAGCTTCAATTTTTGAATCCAGAATCATTCTAAATAATATTCACCTTGGTCTCTTTGAGCTCTGACTTGAGTTTCCGGCGCTCGTCTTCGAGCATCGCTCCAGAATCGGCGGCTCTCGAGTGCTCATTGTGTATTCGTTGAAGTTCTGCTCGGCTATCGATCAATTCCTGGAAAACACCTATTAAAAAACGAAAATGGAAGTTTTATCAAACCAATAAATTCCTGAAAAGGACAATATGAAAAAAAAAAAAGTTTGCAATCAGAATCAGTATCTTGTTTTTTTTAAGCATATGGATTTTTAGTTCCTCATATTACTCTTGTCGTGAAAAAAAGAGTCTTCAGAATGGTAAAAAAAATATTTTTTTCTTTTTCAGGGCTAGAGTTAAAAAAATTTTGAAAGTTGATATCGATAAATTCATCTTTCTTTCGCTCAATAATTTTTAAAAAAACGGATAAAGCTTCAATGATGTTTGCTTTGTTGCAGTAGGGAAATTCAAGTGTTCTGAATTGGAAAACATTTGAAAATCTAAAATTAAAATTTTAAAAATGAAGAAGAGATGTAAATCAAGAAAAAGCGAAAATGTGAAATTATTTTTCCCTTCCCAATAAAATCTTAACTTCAAGTTTGACAAAAATAATCGGTTTCAACAAAAATTAGATTTAAAATGACCTTATTTGGTTTGAACCATTATTCAATTTAATGTGATTTCCAAGTTTTCGTTGTTTTAAACATTTCAGCCAGAATTTTTGGACAAATGTATCGTATTCAAACAGGAAAAAAGAATTATTTCAATTGAAATTCGGAGAATTCAATGAAAGACCTGTTCGCGTTGCTTGAGCTCGGCTTCAAGGGAGGTGATCCTTTCCAGGAGTTGCCGCTCCTTCGCCGAGCTCTCTTCGAGAAGCGATTCTTCATTCTCGAGCTCACTTCTCGTCGCTTTCTGATGGTGTGACCGGAATTCCAGAAGCGACTGAAAGAAGTTCGTTTATTGAAAAACATATAGAAGATTTCTGAAGTTTTTTGGATAAACACGCAATTTCTTTAAATTTTGAGACGCATACTGAAATCAGATTTCAAAATTTTATAGTTTGATATACCGAAAGTATGTTTCACTCAAAATATTGTATAATATTGGAATACCTTGAAAAAAAAAGCTATAATTACTTTAAAAACTAACAAAAATTTGTTAGTTGAAAATTTGAAATTGAAATTTCGCGGACTTTTTTTCCCATAGAGCACATCTACTCGCAGTTTAATTTTAAAGACCCAATATTGTAGACTGTCGCGACTTGCGCTATATCGCTATCATCCTTCAAAATAATTTTTTTGTTCGATTCTCCTCATTTAATCCCAAAGGTTAGAAAAAGCAAAAAAGTTGTTTTTTCATCGAAAATTCATGAGAAAGAGCCAGATCGCAGCAAGAAGTGTTGGCTACATCGCCAGCGACCCGCTGCGATATAATCAGTTATTTTGGGTGAACCAGCAAAATATTTTATCACGGAAAAAATTTTCAAGTCTCACCTGGTTCGCCTTATCGACCTCGGCTTTTGTAACGTCAAGCTCAGCCTGGAGCCGCGTGAGCTTCTTCTCAAGCTCGTCTTTTTGCTCCAATAGAAGCATTCCATATTCTGCGGCCTGAAATATCGAGTTTAACTTTTTTTGTTTTTTTGAAATTTTCTTTCATCAATGATATTTATACAAAACTGAAAAATCAAAAAAACCTTGATTTTATCGGCGGTAGCTTCTTCAAGAAGCTGAGAGAGGCGCGCGGCTTCGGCCCGCACGCGCTCCAGCTCTTCCGCCATACTGAAAATTGGATTTCCTATTTAAAAATTATTTTTCACAAGAGCCGACCGAAAGAAATCAAAAAAATTGATGATCCATTCAAAAAAAATTTTTTTGGAGTATTAAGAACAGATTTTACGTCCAAGGTTTCAACAGAAATTTAGAAAAAAAGTCTATACAAGATTTGAAACGTTTTCCCCAATTTTCGAAAACCACTCTAATTTTTTAAGCGAAAAGCTTAAAAACGCTTTCTTAAAGAATTTCGTTCGATTATTTTTTTCAAGAACAACTCGTTTTTGTTATTATTAAATAAGTTCAAACACAACCCAAATCCAAAATGTATCTCAAAAATTCGAACAAGTCTTCGAAGCCGCCTCGCGCAATATTTAAAACATAACAAGGAAATTTTAACAACGCAAAATGAGAAAGGCAAACAGTGCTGGGGACGTTGAAAATGAGTGGGGACAAAAAAAGGCCCAACGGTGTGGAATGAGTGAGTCAGAAACCTTAAAAAACGACAGCTAGAGATGAGAAAAATTAATAGAGACGCAGGTAACACGCAGGAGGCCATTGCCGTATCAGGTAGAGTGCTCAAAAAGGCGACACTCGCTTCGGGCGGAAACTACGAAATTAGGAACTACTTTTAGTTGTGAAAATATTTTAAGAAATTGCATAAAAAACAAAAATTTTCAAACTTGGAAACGCGTATTTTCGGAGGAGAGAATGAGAGAGACGTGAGAGACACAGAGAATGCAGACAGCCGGTTTAAATATAGGAAAGAAGAAGGCCGAGATGTAAGGGATCCCCCGCAGAGATCCGATTTCCAGAACTCTCGTTCTTCTGGCTGTACGAAACTCATGGCATAATTCATAATAAAAAAATGAAGAAAACCATAGCACAGTGGGTAAGACTCCTAACTAACAATCAGATCGTCGCTAGATCTAACTCCTAATAATAATAATAATCCAGCCACTGGAAGATCAAAACAAAAGTTTATTCCTGGCCGTAGATCAAAGGCGCTCTAGCCAGGAATTGAAACGTATTGTCCGGATATAAAATCGCGGCGATGTCGGTTCATGGTAACTTCTTTCTATTAGCTCCGCTTTGAGCCGTTCGCCATTTCATTTGGAATATTTCGAGTCGTTCTGTGGCAAGTTTGAGTGGTCCCTCGGCTATCTTCTAAGCCTGACTCAACCTTCATAACAGGGGCAGCCTTGAAATTCTAAAATTCATAACCAATTTCCGTGGAGCAAACTTGCATGTAATAAAAAATGCCACTCTGGAACTTTGATAATAAAAATCGTAACCTAGAAAAAATTGGAACAGAACTAACAGCAAAAGAGCGCATTTCACAACAATGAAAGCGAAACTGGCGATTTGTCCTAGGCGTTGCACATTTGGTGCCAAAAAAAAGCGACGGCCGTATATGAATATCGAATTAAACCGCGGAACGACGTCGAAAATGGCAGTTTTCGGAACATTTTGCGACAGGCGCCTTTTGCATATTTTGATGAAAGGGATACAAAAACTGGGTACTGAAATTTTAAAGAACGGAAAAAGTGGGTTATGAAAAAGACCCAATTTGTAATCTCAACCAAGTAACCAAAGAAAGTTTAACTTAAAAAAATTTGATTTCGGGTTAAACTTTGATTACATCACGAAAAATCTTGATTCCCGATTTTTGATAATACTTATTTTTGAGAGCTGGGATGAAAGTTTAAAAAAACTTCTTCTCATTATTGAAATTAATCAAAAATGTAATGAAACCCTCTCCTTTTTGTAAATATTTCATTTTTGATTAGTTTTTTTGTGTTTTGGAACTGTGATTCTGTCTTTTTTTAAGGATTCTCATACTCTCAGAGAAATTTTCGAAATGAGACAAACTATCAAACGGTTTTCATCAGAATAAAAAAGCAAAACGGACTAAAAAATAAAGTACGAAAAGAAGCAGAAAGCATTAAAAGTGGGAACGAATGGGCCATATTTGGTGGTGGGCAGGCGGCAGTGCATTTGAGATTTTCGCGTCCATTTCTCATGCGAGAGTTTTAAGAGATGACCTTCGAAAGCCTTGAAGAATGGCAAGGCACACGCCCATGGCTGATGAATGAAGTGGGGCCAAATTTATAGAAGATCCCCCACCCCAAATGCTTCAGTTATACTCAATTCGTTGCAAGCTTAAACCAAAATTGAAGTAGTAGTGACGTTTTAGGAAAAATAGCAAGAAGAGTACAGGATGAAACTTTTTTTAAATTCCGAGTGATGTGATCTTTCTTCTTCTTTACATTTAGCTGAAAAAACGGTATGTTTGAAAAATAAGATTTTAATTGAATAAAGTGTTCTTGCTCAAATCCCCATTATCCTTCTTCTTTTTCTTTATTTTTTTCATACACTATTTGTATCCATATTCCTTTCAAGGCTTTTAAAAATAGAAATTCTTCTCTTACAAAAGTCCTAAAAACAGTCTCTTCTGGTCAAAAAGCTAATATAATTAGACTCGCTTCTATGAAGAAAAAAAGAACAAAGGATTTTTTTCAAACATACTACGAAAAAAATATTAAAATTTCAAAAGACAGACTTTTTTTTCAAACCCTGGAAACCTATCCCATTTTCAAAAGTCAACTTTCCAAGTCCGATTAATTTTTCTTCAAAAAGTGATATCAAAAAACGAAAAAGAAAAATTCAGCGAAATTGAAACTTCACGGAGAGTTTTTCACAGAGACAAAAAGCTCAAAGATTTCTTAAAACCATCAAAACTCATAAATGTCCTATCAGTTTCGAAAAAAAGTCAAAAATGAAAAAAAAAATTCCTTGGGGGGATGAGATCACAGAAGGAGCCGACAGATCGATCGATTGCGGTGGAAGTCGCGGCGGAGAGTGGCCTTGTCTCTGCAGCCTCCGCTTTCCGAACAATCTCTCGCTTCTCACCAACATATGGTCAGCCGCTGTCCCTTGGTCTCCCGTAGACCGCCTCCGGTCAAACTATAGGCTTTCTCCGTAAACTTCAATTTTTTTTTGTTTTCCGCCAGTCAAGAAACTTTTTCTGTCAGGTATCGAGTCTAGAGAATATTTGACAGGTCTGAAAACGCTTTAGGTGCTGGCTCGATGGAAATTAAAAAAAAAAAAGAAAAAAAATCTCCTTCAAAATGTGAGCGCCGAGACTAAAAATCTGGAAATTTAAGAAAAAGTTCGGAAAAATTTGGGAAAAAGACGTTAAGAGACTACAGTAAAATATGAAAAATTTGAGAAAAAAATTGGAAAGTTAGAAAAAAACGATCTACAAAAAAAGCAAGACATGTAAACTTCACGGCATACGTTTGGGAATGAAGTTTTTCCAATATTAAATTTTACAGTTAGATAAAAGTTTCTTCGTTGGAAATTTAAGCCGCGTAATCGCGTGAAAATGCGCTCCATAGACAGAATCGAAAGAGCTCAAAAATTTCAATGATAATGGTGAGAAATTCCAAAGAGAATAGGTTCAATCGACCGCTTGGCTCATTTTCAGTGGCTTGGAAACCTGGTAAAAACCAAAGTTCTTTGTGAACGTCAAGAGAGAAGAAAGAGAAAAAGATAAGAACATGGGGGGAGGGAAAAGAACAGTTTCGGTTGGGTCTGAACCGCCGTGGGGCGACTGTTTGCCCGGGGCTAATACCCTCTCTTGGGCTGGTCGAAACGGCGCCGAAATCGGCCACAACAACAAGTGCTGCGATCCGCTTAAGTGTGCTGGCGCAGGATCACCATCACCTTTCCCGTTCCTTTGTACTACCGGATATTAAAGCTCAAAAATAGATCTCAGGAAGCATTTAGAAGGCTTCAAAAGTTCAGCGTAATGGCTAGGTTAATCAAGACATCACGTTTTCAAACAGCAGGTCTTTAGCTCTCGAGGGATTGATAATAATATAGATTTTTTTAGGCAAAAAAATTTTTAAGCAACTGAAAAAAAAATTTTTTTCAAAGAAAAATGAGAGAAAATTATTTTTTTCTACTAAGAAGGTAAAAAAAACTTTCTTGAATGTCTCTCAAGCTTTCAAAATGGTTTTCAGTCAATCACAGAAGGCAAAAAAAAATTTTCACCAAATCTTTTTTTTTTCACAGACTCAACTTCATGCTGATTTCTCCTGCATAGGTATCTGATTAAAAAAATTTCAAAAAAATAGAGATTAACAGGATTTTAATTTGCAAGAGTATCTCGGTCAAAATTTGAAAAAGAAAAATTTTGACTCACATGGAGGCTTCCAAAGTCCGCAGTCCTCGAAAGGTATTCTACATTCGCTGCCCTGAAAGTGAACATTTTTTTTGAAAAACTTATTCTGCATATTGATCCTGATTTGCTGGCCAAGGCCGTTTAAAACTAGCCAATCACGTACATCATTCGATGAAGCGTTCTTCCCAAATTTTATCTTCAATTTCTAAAAATAATCATAACTGAGAAAAATAAAATTTGATTGACAGAAACACCAAAAAATTATTTAATAAATAAAATTTATACTCAATGAGCCAAGGAATCCAAGAAGTTCTTCAAATCTTCGAAAAAAAAAGAATCAGACTCAATGAAGTGAGGTGAACAGAAAAAAATATCACATAAGAAAAGGAATCAATAGAATACATCAAACTCTTATGAATCATACAAGACTTTCAAAAATTCAAGTTCTGAACCTTTGAAAGCACAACTGGGTTTTTTCGGGGGCAAAAGACTTGCATGTCCTAGAAAGTCTATTTTTATGCTCCTTTAAATACCCCGAAAAAGATACGGTCAATTTTTCCGAACTTGAAAAGCGGGGTGGGAAGATTCGCAAAGATGAAGTCAAACAAAAACATGGAGAAATATAAAAAAAAATTTTTTTTTAAATATTCGTTGTTAACCTTTATACACTAAACTAAATGTTGATGTCCTGCGTTTGAACTCGAGTTTCCCCCCAAAAAGCCGTTCATTCTTGCCAATCTACCCACCCTCTTGCTTTTCGAGTCAGCAAAGTTTGACTATAAAAACTATTACAAAATATGTTAAATATCAAAATACTCAGAAAGTAATGCTCTAAAGGGCCAAATTTGTACAAACCGCTGGAAATGATAACAAGCAAAACAACTACAACGACCTGTATGATTCCACAAATAGCTCCTTTCAGGCAGTTCTTCAAAACCTAAAAGGTTCGCCCAGGTCCAATAGGGCAAACTTCCAAAGCTAGACAACCTCTTGTGAATGAAATACATATAACGAAAAAAGGTCAGACGGAAAATCGACTACTAAATCACGTCAGTTGGGGGCTGAGGCAAGACAATGTTGTAGAAGTGCTCCGTGCTCCAGAACGACGACGGCTTCCAGTTGCACCAGCCTTTCGAGATCACCGTCTTCAGGTCTTCCGATCCCGTGTAGTGAGGGTCCAACACCAAGAATCTGAAAATTCAGCTTTGGAGATGTGTTTCGGAGCAGAGAAAATCGAGAGAGATTCAAAGCGGTCCCTATAGGGATTAGGGGAGGGGAAAACAGCCCCTAAAGGGGGGAAAAAAAAAAATCAATAACAAAAAATCAAGAACAGCTGAGAAAAATTACTTCGTTTCTCCGGTTCCATCGTTGAAGTCGACGCCTAGGATCGTATGAGCAAGCATATTTCCACCTGAAAAAAGGATAATGAGGAAACATATAATCTTTCTCGACTCTAACCAATCATAACCGGGCTTCCGACCGTGTCGAAGTGTCGGGCTAATTCTCGAGCTCTTTCAACGACTTCAGCGCCCGAGTTGGTAGCGATAAATCGTGACTCGATATCTAGAAAAAGTAACAAAAAATTCGATTAGAAGCTCTGAATTCTATCCTATATGAAGTAGGTCTTTTATTCGAACTCAACACAATAATTAGTCTTGCTTTCCGTTTCCGTTTCCGTTCCCGTTTTCATTCTCAATTTTCTTTTCATTTTGCTAGAAAAGACGCTTTTTCAGTCAATCAGAGACTTTTTTTTAAAGGCACAAAATGCGACTAAAAAATTGTCAAAAACTCTTCATCATTTGTTTGGATTTTTGTCATTTTTTTGAAAGCAAATCCTAATCTAATTTTTTTTTTCTGTTGCAAAATGAATTTAGAAGGAAAAGTTCAAATGAAAATTTCGTTAAAACATTTTTCAATTTCAAACACTTACAAAAATTAGAGCTGTTCTACTAAATCAGACCTTTCAGAAAAGAAAATTTTTTTAGGTGAAACCGAAAGAAAGACGTCGAAAATGGTAGCTTCTATATTTAAAGCCTGTCCGAAAAACTCTTGATATCTCTCCCAAACACAAACAGAGATGAGCGAATTTTCAAATTGTGAAATACGGATTTACTGAAGACTTTCGCAGGACAAAGGTAAGCAGGTTATTTATTTTTTCTCTTTCGATGGTATTTTTTGAACGTGAGCTCAAAATGCAAAAAAAAAAATTCAAAAATAATCAAAGTAGAAGTCATATCGAAAAACGCGTAATCCCGCCCAGCTCTGCTTCCAACATTCAAGTACCAGAAAACTTACTCAAGAGCGTCTGAAGGACAAAACTGATCTCCGTGCTGCCGATCCATTGCCGGCTGCCCAAAAACTTCTGCTCCTTGTCGCCAATGTCCACCAGGCACTAAAAAATAATTGAAAAAGTAGATGAGCTCAAAAAAAATGCCTGTTGAATTTCCCTATGCGAAGGTACGGGTTTATCCGTGTAGCCATTGAGGACGAACCAACTCCAAATCGACTGCAGGCTTCGGTACGCACAGCCCCATCCTGGAATTTGTCTCTATTTTTCTATATTTCAAATTGAATTTACCATCATTTTACTGAAAACAAAAGAGATTGGAAACTTTAATTTTTAAATATCAACTTTTCAAACTTTCATATGGTTTCCTAGAACAGAATCAGATTAGAGAGACGGAATTCAATGATGAGCCGAGGAATAAGAGACATTTGTTGATTTCAAGAGACCCTCGGAAAATCGGTTTCCCCTGTCTCGATTTTAATTTTTTTTTTTTTCTGGTCTACAGAACCCTGAGAAGCTTTTCTTCGATGCGCGCGACTGCTGCCGTGTATGTGTCTTTAATATAACGCAATTTTTAAGCCAAAAAAAAACGCATGCGAAGGGTTAGGTAGCTCGGAGGAAAATAAAAATCGTGAAAAGCTGACTCGGAATAGGTTATAGTTATTTTGAGAGCCGAGAAAACAATTCAGGCAGTAGTGAAATAGTCGAGTTATCTATACAAAATGACTTTTATTTTTTTTTCGCGCGCATTGTTCATTAGCCGATTTTTATAAACGCAATTAAAATCTCTTAATTCTTACCCGAATCGTCCATTCCATCTTGCATATAATGATGGTAGTTGTAGGCTCCTCTGACTAGAGAAACGACTCCGATTTGCTTGTCTGAATAAATAAAAAAATTGTTTTTTTACATTATCCTATAATAGTTTTTTTATCAATTTTAATCAAACCAAGATTCATATCGATTCCCGTCAATAGTAATAAAAAACAATATTAAGGACATTTAGATACGCTCAAACCTCTTTTTGCAAAAGTTTTTAATTATTTAAAATTATCGAGGGATATTCCAATATTCTTAGAAACTAAAGAGTGATCTACATCCTCGGGAGCTTGAAAAAGTGGTCCCTATAGGGATTTTAGTCAGTCGAAAAAAAAAATAATAAATAGAGAAGCTTGCTTCCCCTCTATTTTTCCCATACATTTTTCAATATTGATTAAAAAAATGAAAGGACTCTACCCAAAGCTGGTTTACGAGAAAATATCAAGTCGTAAATGGAGTATAGAACAACTTACAATTGGTGATGCTGGTGTGAGGGGAGCGCAAAAGTTTGGAGCCGGACTTGGCATTGGAGAAAGAGAGAGATTGAGCGAGCCGTAGACAAGGCTGTGTCGAAGGAAGATTGAAGAGCTGGTGCAGTCGTTGACGGTAGGCTTCTGAACTCTTTCGTGTTCTGAATCGATGCTTGAGAAGCCTCACTTTGTTCAGTTTCCAGCCACGATGTTGGCAATTGAAGGTGCAGGAATGACGGCCAGTTCGGCGGCAAAAACGTCGCGGAAGTCGTTGTCACTATTCCTCGCTGAAAATTCACTTCAAAAGAAATTGTACGAAATGAGAATCTATTGAAATTGAAAGGAAAAAAAAATGAATAGGGCCAGGTCGTTAAACTAGACAAGAAGTTCAATGGGAGCCACAATTTCTGAACTTGTTCTGCCGATTCCCAATAGGTAAAAAGTGATATTGGTTTTGTCAATTATTCCTTGAAGCGATCGAAAAAATTTTTCAAGCGTTGTATAATGCGTTCCGCGCGAGACACTTTCGCTCTACAAAAGTGCGAGAAAGAGGGAAAAAAACAACGGTCTCGAAGCGAAGTGCGGGCGAGTTTTGCTTTAAGTTGGTATACGGTATTTTTGAAGGGCTAAATCTTCACTTCGCGACCTTTCTATGCTTCTTTGAAAAATCCGGCAAGAAATGGCAATCAATCACGTATCAACGATGTTTTACAAAATCTAGCGTGGGATAACTTTTTATTCAATAGAAAATTTGAAAAAAAATGCTCTAATTTTTTTCAGAATAATTCAAAAACATCGAGACATTAAAAAAACCACGTTTTTCTTTTTTTATTATTTTTTGGGACATTCCAAACCGGTTTTGAAAATTTCGGAATTTTTTTGTGATCTGCAAAATTTCATCGAATTTTCAGCCAAAAGCATTCTTTTGGTGAACAAAAAACTTATCTGGCTTTACAAACGTTTTTTTTTCCAAAAATCGCCTGAAAAAAAAAAATGCTTTTCTCAGGTTATCGTTGGAGCAAAAGAAGCTAAATTTTCGTTTTTCTTTGTAAGCACCTGTTTCTTGATGCTGTTCACGCACAACGACATGACATTGTTGACCCTTCGTCGGAAAGCCTCGCTCATCCTCTGATAAATTGTCAACGAATCGTTGCCGAAAAACGCCGGGCCGACGACATCAACGACGAAAGTCGCCTTGGTGAAGTGTTTCCCATCTGGAATCACTTTCGATGTTTCAGTTGGCGCTCTTGACGAAGAAGTCCCACCTTTCGTTATCCGAACAGTCGGCACCAACTTCTGGTCTTCTGAATCGTTGCTGGTATCTCTGGTGAGACTCTGCAGAGCGACGAAATCGATGTGGTCCTGAAAAGGCCGAAAATATACCTGTATGCATAAGTGAAACGGAAAAGTTTCTTTGAAAAGGCTTTTGAGTTACTTTTTCATAGCCTGAGCGGATTTTTTTTTTGAATCTACTCAAATATTTTAGGTTGCCTTCCAGCATCTTCTTGTTGAAGGGTGTAAAAAAGATCTGCTGGGGACTCTTAAGAGGTATTTTTTGAGAAAAGCCACTGTATGAAAATCAAGAACTTGTCATTTTTCTTTAAAATATTGATCTTCCGGTTGAATAAAAGTTATACTATTGTAGAGCTACAGAACCCTTCCCTTGGATGTGCGTGACCTGCCTGTTGACATGCGCCTTTAATATAAAGGAATTTTCAGACCGAACGAAAGGCACATGCAAAGAGGCAGGTCGTGAGCACCAAAACGACGCTTCCTAGAAGGGTTCTGTAGCTCAGAGGAAAATGAAAATAATGAGAAGCTGGCGCAAATTAGAATTTAATGTATTTTATATGTGCTGAAGATTGCAGAATGAAAAATTGACATTTTGAAAAAAATAAATGACACTTTTAAACGACTATCTTTTCTTTAAAGGTACAACTGGGAAGAAAAAAGACAATTTGATAATCCGACGACTGAAATCACCTTGTAAGGAACGGCCCCCTTGGAGAACTCATCAAGTTGCTTCAGAGCCTTCTCCTTCTCCTTGTGATCCCGGATGATGAGGTCCTTCTCGGCATTGATGAAGACGAATCGGAACAAGGCGAGGCCGATTCTTTCGGCCCCGTACCGCACATCGTCCATCTCACGGCCTTCCCTCAGTGAAAACTCAAAGCCGACCTGAGAAATGACGTTTTTTCGTTGAGAGGAGCAAGGCGCAACCTTGGAGCACAAGGAAAGGCCTTCAGGGAAGACAGGCTCATTGTTGAACATGCCGTTGATGTCGAGGAAGTCGGTGACGTTGCGCGACTCGAGCAACTGCGTCGTGCAGTTGATCGTGAAGCCGTCTCCGATCAGAGGCGCCGTCCGACCTTCTACCGCAACGTTTCCGACCAGTTCGATGTCTGGATTGTGGACATGACAAAAAAGTTTCTATATATTTTTTTTCTGCATTGAAGCTTAAAAAAATTTTTATTTTTTTCTGAACAAAAAGGGTTCCGTAGAAAAACGAGAAAGACATATTTGTTAAAAAGGAATAATTTTTAATCAAAAAAACGTAGATAACTGTGAAACTACGCCTATGTGAAAGAATAAAAAAAAATTATTTTCCATCTTGCTAGTTCAGATAAGTCTATAGAAAAAGTTCCTTCAACTTTTTTTTTGGACTTTATGTTTTAAAAAAAAAAGTTATCACCTGAAGAAAGTGAGCTTTCGATGAAACGATAATTCGCATCGGTCAAGTCTTCACTGTAGGCGAAAAAAATACGAATACTACCTTAAAATTTGAAGATTTAATGCATAAATAATTTTTTTGAAAATGTTAGATTTTTCCTAGTGCCAAAGCGTGCAGTTAAATTGAGTTAAAAAAATTTCAAAAACGTTATTATAGTGAGTTCCGAGCGAGAAGGTCACGTTTCAAAAGAAAAAAAAAGCTACCTTAAATACAACATTTTGCTCTACAAAACTAATAAGACGACAGCAAAAAACAAAGGTCTTGAAGCGAAAATGCTTAATTCCGATCTAATTAAGTGTACGGTCTTTTTGGCGGTCAGAAAAAAACGGACAAACTGGCGCGGAATAAAGTATGAAAAATGACTGAAAGTAAAGCTTTTAAAAAAAAATAATAAAGCCTAGAAAAATGATTTTTGTAATTAAAAATATTCTGAAATTCACCTGTTTTCTCGCTTTCCTTCCAAAAACGAACCCACCAATCGGCGCATTGGTATCACGGTCCCGTGGAAAAGAAATCATATTTGCATAGTTCTGGAAGTCTCGTTAAAAATCTCAAAGAAGAAGATGATCAAACTTGGAACATGGCGGCGCAGTCGATGGTCCATAGCTCTGTTAGGTTCGCCATTTCTGGCACCTGGCAATGAAAATTACAGAAAAAGAAAACCTTGCACTGAAAAAGAGATAGGGTTAAAGCCCGTCATGACAAAAAAAAATCATTGACAAAGTTAAAATTTATCGAAATTATAGAAAAATACATGTCAAATCAATTACTCGCGTTTCTAATTTCTAATCCCGAAAAGCAGTGGCGTAACCGGATGGATCGCACAAATAGTGATGATAAAAAAAAAGAAGAAAAAGAATCAAATTTTGAATGAACAGAGTGAGAAGGCGTAGAAACCGAAAAAACCTCCCAAATAAATATTTTCAGACCATCGCTGGCGTAAAAACATCAAAGGGCTTTGAGAAAAACCCTCATTTTGGCACGAATTGTTGCTTAAAAATATCTTTTCCTAGTCACTCCATTTTCCAAATTAAAAACAGTCGGAAAGAGATTAAACATGAACATAAAACAATCGGAAATTGGTCGCTTTAAACATGATACAAAAGGAAAGGAACGCAAAAAAGTGAAGAGGAATCAAAATTAGGCGAATCGGCGAGCGACACGACTGGCGCCACGGTAAATCAAGTAGGCGGCAGCACCCCAGAACGCCACGCGGAACGTTGTTTTCACAATCTAAACTTCTCTTTTGACTTATATTCAGATGAAAGGTGAATGCTACCTTGGAAGTAAGCGTCGGTGGAGGAATAACCAACAAAGGCGCGAAATCGACAGGATCTTCCCAACGAGACAAGATTCCCGGCGTGTGGCCGATTCCGACCACAGCGACGACCTTCAAGTGAGAAAATTAGCGAAAACTTTCTTTATCACTCAAAATAATGGCTTGACTCGAGAATAAACGTGTAACTTTCGCATTTAGAAGATTTTTATGCCAGAAACTTTTTTTCTGTCAATTCTTTCCAAGCAGCGTTCTCTATAGCCTTCTAAGGTTATTACAAGACATTCGAAAAATGAATTTAATTCTTTGGGAACTTTGAAAAGTTCAATCAAAAGTTTTTTTGCGAGTTTGAATCAGTACGATGAAGTTTCAAAACCTTAAAAAATAGAAAGTACTGCTTTTCTGGTTTTTTTTTTTCAAATAATTTCTCGTCTTATCCATAATGATCTGACAAGTGCCTTCACAAGCGTCTATTTTACCTATTTTCAAAATTTCTGTTCCTCGCTAAACAAAGAAACCACTGTCCCATAATAAAATCAAAGCTTTGAAACCCTACCGACAGTGGCTGCCAAGGAACGTTCTGACTATTGCGATTGAGCCAGGAAATTCTTTTCTCAGCCGTGTTCTTCATCAACAACGAATGCAGAACATGTACCATGTAGGCGTCACGCTCTTCGACGAAAATCTGAAATAAAATCGCTCCTAAACATGAACAAATCTGGAAGAGCACCTGGCTCAACTGCGGGAAATCACCGGCCATTTCAGCGAGAAGTTCTTCGAGCATATCCCGTTGTTTGCATCGTTCCACCTAAGGAAGAAAGTTTAAACTCTCCGAAAGAAATAGAATGGGTATAAAAAAAACTAAAGAAAAATGTAGTTTTTTTTTAAATTACAAGTTCAACGCTTTTCATTCACTTCCTTTTGACCGAAAATATTTGAAACTCAAGATTTTTAAATACATCTTTCCGGGGGGCTCTGTTCTTCCCAAAATGATAGAAATAAGGAAAGAAAATATTCAAAAAAATAACTAATAGTGGTTCCATGATTTTTTTAATTGAATTTTTTACATGATTGAATGAATGCACTGGAAAATCGCTCAAGGTCTCTGAATCGATTTTTAATTGGAAACAACAAAATTTCAATCATTTTTTCAATTTTTGAAAATTTTCAGATGTGGAAAAATATCTGCATTTTTTTTTTGGTAACTTATACCATTTTTTTGTGGCCGTAAAACAAGAAAAAAAATACAGCAACCATAAAAACAAAACGGATTGAGCACCTCTTCAGGAGTAATCGACTCTCGCTGGCAGAAAACGACGTGGGCAAAGAATCGGATTTTCTGCCAGGGTGAGAAGGAGGCGAGGGCCCGTTGCAGGGTCACCTGGATCGGCCGATCACCGAGGATTACGCGGCACAGCTTCAAAATGTTCCATCACAACAAATTCCTGAAAATGGAGCAAACTTGTGTTTGCATGGCGGCACGGTGAGCGGCGCGGAATTCACCGCCAGGGGCCATCGAAAGTTCCCGAGTGACGTGTGCCGAGATGGAGAGCAGCAGCACGTGCAGCATTCCTTGCACCATGCCATTCTTTAAGAAAACAGATAGAAAGAATAATAAAATGTAATCATTGCTCAAAAAACTTTCTAAACTTGGACAAAAATATCGTAGACTCTTTTTTTCTTCAATTTTGAATTTTCCTCTGAATTTTTATTTGTCATATGACCAGCCTTTTTTCTTTAGAACGGACTTCTGAGAATATCTCTATCTACTATGCATTCTCTACCTGTTTAATGGTGTTGATCATTTTTTTGGTAGACAGCTCCTTGGCCTCGTTGAGCAGCGCCGCTTCGTCCATCGAAAGTATGGAGATTCTTGCCGGACACAGTTCTACCATCACATAGTCCGGCTGGGTCGCTTTGATGGTTTCCGTCACGTCTTGCTGAGATTCTTTGCTGAAAAATGAGAATTTCACATTTTCTTTTTTGTTTCCTATCCACTCTAACTGGTAAGATGAACGAAAAGAGCTGATTTCATTGCCATTTTTGTTTTTTTTTTTTTCAATATTTCGAACCTGAAATGGGCGGTTCCAATGAGGTAGAGCGTAGCCTCCTCGAAAGCCTTGTACCATCCGGGGTCATCGATTCCTTCGGGACACGGAGGAATGTCCACACGTCTGGGGTATTTCAGGGTCGTAACTGCAGTTTCACAATAAATTATCGTAAAGTTATGATTTACAAACTGGTATTTTGATTAAGCTTAAAATCTTCGAGACGATTCCGACCGAAGAGCCAGCCATTGAAGATGCGGTTCTGAACTTGTTGGATTGAGAAAAAAAAAATTATTATTTTCAAATAAACTTCAAAATAGGCAACTCTTCGAAGCTTCAAACAAACCTGAGGATCGAGCTGTTTCCCTGGGTCGCTATCCGTATCAGGCACTTCAACCTCGTCGAATTCCTCACCGACGTGCTCATCGAAGTTGGAAGCCGAGTCGGCAAGCGAAATAATAGACTGGTCGGCAGTCTCGCTTGTCCCAGCTGCAAAGAAGGCGGATCGATAGGCCCTTGGCGCCAGGTGATAACTCCAATTAGTGGCAAAAGGTAAGTGGTCGTCATGGTAATGAGCAGAACTATTCATTTGATCCCCAACAAAAGGCTCATGTCTTGAACATAAAGTAGTCATCGTACTTGGATGAATCGATTCGTGAAAATTGTACCTTTGAAAAAAGCAACTTCAGTTCGAAAACATTTTCTTTTTTTTGTACTATGAATTTATCGAATTGATAAAAGAGCTCATCAAAAGCTTCACAAACCTCCTCCAGCTCGTAGGGAGTTTCGCGTCAAACTTTTCATCTTGAAAATGTCCTGAAACATGGATTGAAAATATTCCTAGCGTTTAGTCTCAAACTTCTTCAGTGAGCTGGTTCTCAGCTGAAGCGCTGGGAGGCGGAAGATTTGGGTTCGGGTCCGGATAATCGACGTCACTTTCTGTGATGTTTACAGAATCCCCTTGCTCTTCCATGTTTTTTTTTTTCTGAAAATGTGTTCCACAATTTGAACGAAAAAAAGGAACAAAACATTAAATCGAACGGAAACATTGGACGTCAGAGAACATCGTTTCAAAACAAACAAAAAAAAAATTCACACTTCGAATACTAATAAAAACTTCGAGTGTCTTGTTCTTTCCATGTTAAAGTTCTTGAAGTGACACGAATAATTGTTAATCTTGCCTTAATCTATTAAAAAGGTAGGCAGGAGGATACTTAATTTTGGAGCATTTTTTCACCTGAAAAACAATTTTTAAACAAATGAACTGATACAAATTTTGAAGGTCACAGTTAGGACTTGGAAAGAGACACAAATAAAAAAGCGGTAATATGTACACATTCAAAGTTTTTGAGACACAAAAATGTCGCGTAATGTTTCAAAAGAAACTCTTCGAGGAGTCTTCAAAAAAAAAAAACTCCTAAAGCTCAATAAAATTGGTCAAGGATAGTCAACTTGTTTTCACACAAATTAAAATGATACTTTTCATTGTTTAATGTTGTGTTCAGATTCAAATTAGCTGCCAAAAAAAGTATAAGGAAAAATAAATAAATTTTGGAAAGTCAGAAATACCTTTGCAAGGGGCGGAATTACTTTTAATTTACATAGAAGGTCTCGTGATGCTTCAGAAAGTAACAACAGATTTCATGTAATCCAAACTCGATAAAAATTACTGTGAAAATTGATATTCAAGGGAAATCACGAAGTGGACAACGAAAACGTTAAAATGAACACCAAATGCAAATTTGGTGCGCGCAACTTGCAGTTTCAGCTTTTTTTAGGTGCTCAACCTTTCCTCTGATTTTTTAACGGCCTGAGAAGCGGCAACTTTTTTGTCATTCTGGATCTACTGAAACACCTTCATATCTTCAAAGCTTTGTCACGAGAAGATAATGGCCTATCGCTCTTTGTGCCATTTTTTATTATTTTTATGCTCGCCATATTTTATTTAATTTTTTCAGCCCCTCAATTTATATATAAATTTTTATTTTCTATTGTTTAATTTAAAGACGACATGACGGCAGCACAAAACTGGCCAGTCGCCATCTATGGGTTCCTTCCGCCGCAGAGAAATCCGGTCGAAGCGGCTGGAATTGTCTACGAGGCGCGGATAATCCGTGATAAACTGACGCTGGGCCGTTGCACCTTGCCAATTTACAAGAATTCGCCGGTCGCCAGTGACAACGATGCCGCAGACAGCGACGTCCCCGAGGTAGACTTTACTGAATATCAGGTGAAGTTGAATTTTTTAATTTCAGCCTGGAGAGATCCGCAAACATTTGTTCGACGCCGACAATGAAAAATACGAAAAATATCTGATGAAGCTCGACCCAAACGATACGAGAAATCAAGATCATTACAAAGTTTTGGGATTATCCAAGCTCAGGTGGAAAGCGACGACAGAAGAAATTCGGCATTGCTGTAAGTTATTTTCAATATTGTCAATGTTAAAAAACTGATTTCAGATAGGCAAAAAGTTCTGAAACATCACCCGGATAAAAAGAAACATCGAGGGGTAGCTGTAGAAAAGGAAGAATACTACACATGCATTACCAAGGTGACTACTCAAAGTTTTTTTTTTAAAATTTTAATGAAAAGTTTTGAAGGCTTACGAGCAAATCGGAATGTCGGAGGCTAAACGTCAAGCTTTCGACTCGGTCGATCACAAGTTCAACGAAACTCTGCCGAATGAAAAGAGCATCAACGCGGAGAACTTCTACAACGAGTTGGCCCCAGTTTTCGAGCTCAATTCGAGGTTGAAATGATAGATATTTGGGTTGACTGTGAACTTTTCCAGATGGTCGAATATCCAGCCAGTGCCTCAACTCGGCAAAAAAGACGCGACGCGAGATGAAGTCGAAGCCTTCTACAACTTTTGGTTCGATTTCTCGTCTTGGCGCGAGTTCTCTTATTTGGACGAAGAAGATAAAGAACGGGGAGAAGACCGTTATGAGCGCCGAGAGATGGAGAAACAGAATAAGGTTACTTAAAAACGAAAGAATTTTTTTAATTGAGCTTTGTTATTATTTATTTCTAAACTATTTTGCAAACACAAACGTTTTGTTTTTTTAAATATAAAAAAATTAATAGGCGGAACGAGAAAGAAGAAGAAAAGAAGAGGCGAAACGAATCAGACGCCTTGTAGAGATGTCCTACGCGAAAGATCCGCGGATAGTCAAATTTAAAAAAGATGAGCAAATGGTTAGTTAATAGTTTTTTATTTGATCAAGTTAATTTTTTTTAGAAGAAAGAAAAGGCCAAGGAAGATCGTAAGAGGATAGCGCGAGAGAAACAAGAAGCACAGGACCGGGAAATTCGCGAAAAGGAAGAGGCCGAGAAGAAAATCAAAGAGGAGGAGGAGCGGAAAGCCAAAGAAGAGAGGGTTTTTAAATGATTACTAATAAAAAATAAACTTCTCTATCAAAGGACCGCGAGAAGAAAGAAAGGGACATCGCGAAGAAGGCGGCAAATGTGCAGAAGAAGCGGTTGAAGCGTATGGCTGAGGAGGCCGGCCATTGGACGGAAGACCCCCGCAGAAAGCTTGACGAAATGGAGAGAATCGAGAGGGTTTCCAGGCTTTTTACATTTTTCATTTATTCGAAAAATGTTCAGATTTGCTTGGGTCTTGCAACGGACGAAATGAAAGAGCTTTGCAATCGATTGGAAAACCTGACACTTCCGGAAGACATCAGGGAGGCTTTGACTGACGCCGAAGTAAGCAGAAGAAAACCATCGCGAAGTGAAAATTCGGTGTTAAGGAGGCCAAAAAAGCCAACGCCAACTTGCTGAAAAATACCGAGGACAAGGGGAAAGAGAACGAGAAGCAGCCGGCCGCCGTCACTTGGAGCAATGACGAGATTCAGCTTCTCGTCAAGGTTTTTCATTAGTTCGTTTCAGAAATGAAAGATCGTTATTCAGGCATCAAACACTTACCCGCCAGGGACCGTGGAGCGTTGGATCCAGATAGCGGACTACATAAACGAACATCGAAAGGACAAAACGACTCCCCTCAAGACGGAGAAACAAGTCATCAAGCAGGTTCGATTCATTTCAAGTTGCAAACATTTAATAAGATTCAAGCTTTTATTTTTTTTTCTTCAAGTAGTTCCACGGAATTCAGAAAGCTTCTACAAAATTTGCGTTCTCCAAGAGTCATTTATATTTCGCAAAGTTACGCCGTGTTTAAAATGATTTTGCGAAATTCAAGTTAGATGCCAGAGATTGAAAAATATAACTAAATTTTGGAAAGTCAGTGATAATTCTGAACTTGCATCGTTAAAATCACGTGATTTTTTTTTTTGAAAGTTGCACATGCTAATCAACATAGGCAAAGTCGCAAAAGGTGGAAAAATGCTCCATAGGAATTTTGGGTGACAAAGGCTCCTTTTTTGTACCTTCTCGCGCCATTTCATCGGCTCTTGGGCGCCATTTTTCGCGACCATCATTCACCATTCCGACTTTACTCGAGAATCAGAAATTTAGGCAATATTTTCTGACAGGAACAATTTGATTTCAGTGCAAAGCCGTGCAGACAATGAACGTGAAGCTGCCGGCGACGACCCAGAATCAACTAGGAACCGCGCTGCCAGACGAAGACGTCTGGTCAGCCGCCGAGCAGAAGCTCCTCGAAGAGGCTCTCAAAAAGCATCCGGCCAGCGACGCTGAAAGATGGGAGAAGGTGGCTTTTTTAAAAAAATTAATTCGATAAGCTGTTCAGTAAAATTTTCGTATTTGTCTCGAAATTTCAGAAAGCTGGTGCTCACGCCCCTTAAAATATTATTTTTCTAATGTCTTAGGAATTCCACCATAATGGTTAAAGGGAAAACAAGCCCTATAGGGGCCGAAAAAGCGGTCCCTGTAGGGGTAAAATCAAGACGGTCCCTATAGGGGTTTTTGTGTCTCACCCCTGAGCCCCTAAAGCTATAGTAGCCCCTATAGGGACTGGTAAAGTAGAAACATGCTAGTCAGTAATTTGTATTTTCTTTATGTGAAGAATCATTTCCATTGAATAAACAAGCGTTTTAAATGAAATGAGACCCTATAGGGACCATTTTCTCTGAATCCTACAGGGGCTGTGTTCCCCCTCACCCCTATAGGGACCTCCCTGGAATTCCTAAGTTTGGAACATATTTTTAAAATTTTTGAACAAACGATGGGAGCTGATGAAAAGTTATTGATGTGTCTGATTAGTTAAAAGAAACTTTTTTTTTTCTAGATTTCGACGGACATCGGTACGAAGTCCAAGAAAGCCTGCGTGCGACGCTTCAAGTACCTTGTCCAAATGGTGAAAAACAAAAAATGAATTCAAATATTCTAACCTTTTCATTTCGTCTATTCAACGATTGATGATTTTTCTAGAGGTGCAAGATTTTCACGCCTCTTATAATAATTAGACTATGGATTGCGTTCTGAATACGAGGTTTCTTTCGTATCACACACTTCTTTCCTTTACTGTTTCAAATACCCGCATTTCGTGTTATATTTACCCCGACTGAGGGCATATCTCTCGATATTATCTATGAATGCTAGGATTTTTCAGTTTCTTCAATACCACCAAAAACAATTTTTCGCTCTTTTTTCTAGCTTTATCTTCAACCGTTGATGCTAATCTCTCGATTCGTTTCTTCATTTCAGGAAAATGCATAAGATTGTTGTTTATTTAGGTCTTTGCTCATTTTCAATTGAATGTTGTTTCTTTTTCTCTCCTTGTTGTTGAGGAACGCAACGCGCCGTTTCAGTTGTTACTCGGAAAGTATCGTCGTTTATTTTCGTTGACAATGAAAGTTGAATTAATTGATCTCTCCAGCTAAAAAAGGAGATTCCAAAAAAAATTTGTCCGTGGAGCACATTTTCATCGAAATAACGGCCTTATTTTTCTGAACTATTGCTCAATTTACGGGCCTAAAACGTTTCGCGCACCCAAAACTTTAGATTTTCGGAACGATAAGGTGTCAAAATATCGAAATGATTAAATAAGCGAGAGAACCGGTTGAGTCGGCAACGACGAATTGATCGTACTCACCACGTCATCCCGCCACTGATTCTCATCTCTTCGTCTCCATTCGCCTGTTTTTTCGGAATTCGCCCGGCATTCTTTCTTCAAAGTGACCTTTCTACTTTCCAAATTGTTACGAATGTCTAAAAACTTTTTCGCGTTGAAATTTCAATTGGTAATTCCGCCAGAAGTACGAAAATTATTTTTCTTCCTTTTTTAAAAAAAGACTCGACTCTTACATAAGTCCTCATCTGAACTTTATCATCAAAGAGGATCCAAAAAAAGAGATGAAAGAATTACGAAGACTTTTGGAGGTCTTTCTTTTTCCGAACCCTTTTTAGACTTATAGCCTAAAGCCAGCTTCTCCTGTTTTTTTATCGTCCGAATACCTTAAACCTCTATTCCAGAACGAGCTGTAAGAACGTTTCTTTAAATATACTCTCAACCATTCCGAACCAGGTAAATGGCGGCGCGAGTGCGATTCTCGCAAGAGCGACCCGGGGTCACTTACGTTCAGTCGACGTCGGTCGGCGGGACGACACCGTCGCTGTCGACGAAACCCGTCAGCCAACTGCTCGCCGACCTTCTGGCAAAGCCGATGCCGACGCTCGTTTCGGAGCGCGAGTACCAGGTGATGGACGCCTGCACAGCGGCCAGCATTGGCGAGGAGAACGTCTTGAGGGTGAGTCGACTGTTCCAGCTTTGCATTAAAATCTCACAAGAAAAAAAAAATTTGCCCTCTTTTTTTGATGGTTTTGTGATTAATTTTGGTGACAACCGTAGAATTAGGGTTCGATTTTTTAGTGACCACTCCAGTAATCAAATTAGCGGCCACTCAAGTGTCTGATTTCAAAAGTCTGAGTGGTGCTTTTAGACCATCAAAAATTCAAAGGCTTCAATAGAGGTTGTTTCAAAGGCCACCTCACTGTCCCCTTCAAGTAGTACTTGAAAAACCTCTTAAGGGATTGCTAAGTTTTTTTTTTTACGAATTTGGAAAAATTTTTAGTGACCACTGTAGAGGCTCGCCAAGGGCTACTTGGAGAGGACACTATTTTCCGTTTTAGTGGCCACTTCAGTGGTTTTTCATCCAGTATTCCTCCCAGCAACTCTAATAAATTTAAAACAAACAGATTGGACCAGCTATGTTGATCCATTGACCCCTAAAATGGCCACTAAAATTTTCAGTGATCTAGTACGTTCTTTAGTGTCGTGCCGTAAATCTCACGTCCGTAAATCTTCAGAGATCATGGCTCCAAAGATTATAGACTTGAACTTGTTCAGGAACTGATCAAGATCAAACCGTACTCATTGAGTGCGAAAAATCGAGCTGGTTGGACTCCTCTGCTCTACGGAGCCTATCTCGGTCATCAAGGCATTTGCGCTTTTCTCATTTCCATCGGCGTCATGGTTCGTTTAGATTCTGAAATTCATCGTGGTGATTCGGAAGAAACAGAAAAAATCCTACATTAAGAGCCGATTTGATAAAGAAACCGCAAAAAATTATCAGCGAGCGACTTGAAAAATTAAAAATTGTAGTATAAATAACTACTTTTTCTCAAAAAAATTGACAGACAAATGGACTCAATCAACTCCGTAATAGGAATTTATGAGCAAAAAAATTATTTCCGTATCTATTCCAACTTGTCTCTTCATACCGACCTTTTCTTCCAGATCGACGATTGCAATTCCCGAGGTCAAACGGCTCTGATGATGGCCGCTGCCTGTGGCAATACCAATGTGATTTTGAAAAATTATTTTTCTGAAAATCGACGGATTCAGGTGGTGCGGCTTCTTCTCGAAAAAGGAGCAAGTACTGACCGCTGCGATAAGGACGAACGCCAGGCGCTTCACTACGCCGCCAGTTGCAGTCAGAACGTCGTAAGTTTCAAAAAATTGAGTGATTAAAATAGAACGAAATGAAAATGGTTCGTTGATTATACTGGTCATGAAAAAGCTTCAAGAGTTATTTCCTTTGACTAAAAACTTTCCTTACAACTTTGGAGGGCCCTTCAAAGCCACCGTAATACTCGGGCAAAGTCGGAAAGGTGGATAATGACCTCTAAAAGAGAGGCTAAAAGAAGGCCGCAGAAAAAGAGCAAAAAGATCCCTTTATCGAGCCTTTCTCCCCTTTTTGACTTTGCCTATGCAGATTAACTGCCCGAAAGGGATAAAAGTGGTCGTAGCCTGAATATGCTTGATTACCAGGTCGTTGACGTGCTTCTCGGGGCTGGTGCTGATCCGAACGCGGCCGATGTCAACGGCATGTCCCCGCTTCAAGAGGCAGCCATCAGTGGTCATGAGCTGACGGTGATCAGCATTCTCGAGAAGGTAGTTGCTGGATTTTCGCACTTCTCTGAAAACAGCTTTTCACATGGGTTTCGAGTCCAACCAGACAAGAAACATCGAATTTCAGGGTGGCTCTGCCCATCAGAAGAACAAACGAGGGGAGGACGCAATGGCGCTGGCGAGCGACAATCCAAAAGTCCTTCAACTGATCGCAGATCATGAGAAGACCGCTAGTGCCGCTGAAGCAGTTGGTAGGTCAAGATCAAGATCAAGTACCTCTTGAAGTTCAGTTTAAACAGCTGTTCCACTAGCTCGAACTTTGTTTCTGTGCTCAAGCGTTTCAATTCAAAACTGTACAAGGATTTCAGCTTTTTTTGACCGTGGTTCTAAGAAAAAAAATCACCCTAAAAATCTTCCATTTTTTTGCACTTAAAAAAAAAGAATCATTCAAAGGCCTTCCTCTTTGGTCCTTGTAATCCCGAAAAACCGTTTTTAAAATTTTCCAATATGGTATGCATTCGTAGCTAATACCTTTTAGAGAGGTAACTTTAACGGGAAATAACTTTTGTGAGCAGAGTGACCAAAAAACCAACATCGCAAACACAAAAAACACCGTATCTCAAAAATTTCTACAGTAACATGAGATGGTATGTACAGGAAAAACTTCTAGGATTACATTACCTATCGATTGATATACAACATGCCTAGAAAAAACTTGTCAATTCTTTGATACGCACGTGGCAATTCGTTTACCGTAACTCGGCTACGGTTAGAGGAAATGGTTCAAAAAGATGTGTCCACAATCCTGGCATTATGGGATATAATGCTTGTTGAAATTACATCAGAAATAAAAGGAAATTTCTGTACCTACTGTTTTTGAGAAAATTATTAACATTACAAAGACAGCGTTAACATCCAATTAGGTGCCTTGAATTTATTGCCATAACCTTTTATTTTCTTGTTCCAACGGCGATTCAGAACAACCACGCGGACCGTACCGAGCGCCGCAATGCCTCGCCGACCTTCTCGAAGAAATGAACCTCGAGCGGTTCGTCGACAAGTTCCGCCAGCAGAACGTCGACCTGCACCTCTTCTTCGACCTCAACGAGAAAGACTTCGAAGAGATGCGCATACCGTACGGGCCCAAGAAGCGGATGTTGAAGGTGATCGAGCGGTATCGCGCCACCGGAGTCATCAACGCCGACACCTTCGACAGCATTCCGCCGATCGCCTCTTCAAGCGTCGCTCCGTCACAGGTTTATTGTTGAAAAATGCATCTGAATTGAATGGAAACCAGTGCCTAGATGAACATCGACTTAATATGGGTTCAAAACTTCCAGTCCGAATTTTCGGAGTGTGCTCCACATAAAAATATTAAAACCTCAAGAAATAGTTATTTTAGTAAAATGAAAACTCGGGCCTTGATAATGCGAATCGGAAGTGTCGGGACAATTCTAGTAACCAATTTAGCGGATTCGGTATTCTTGAGTAATCCCTAGAGTTGCTCAGAAATGTCCGGTCTTCTTTACCAAGGTCATAGAACGAATCTCAAACGAACATTTTTTCTTTAAACCTTTTTACGAGACAGAAAATGAGTTCACTTATATGTGATATACATTATTTTTTTTTCGGAGAGCATTCAAACTGAAAAGATTCAGCAAAAAAATAACATGAAAACTTTCAAAGTTTTCAATTTGGCGGGTTTTCTCACTGATGTACGCCTACTCAAACGTACTGGAAAAGCTGAAACTCCTAATTTTTTTTTCCGTAGAAACATTTCTTTTTCTAGACTAAAACTTTCTTCTTCCCAAAAATATGAAAAATTGTAGCTACAACAATCAACGCGAGCACTGGAGCGCGACGAGTCTTCGTCTTCGTCGGAATTGCTACGTTCGCTGCGATTCATTCGCGACACCAACGAGGCGACGAAGAAGCTCGCGATTGAGGCTCTTCAGTCGCTGCACGTCGACCACAACGACAAGTTTGTCGCCGCAGGAAACACCGTATTCAGTTTTCGTTTTCAGGCTCCGCCCACTTCTCACCGGCATCATGCATGGAGTCGAGCAAATAGCTGCGAGAGCTGCTCGGCACGAGCTCTGATGATGGAATCCTTCTTCATTTCCTTTTCGATGCAACTTTCCTTCACGGAGACATTTTTATTCCGACGTATGACGTCACATGAAATGCTTGAAAATGTACAAATAAAGCAAAGGGTCGTGCTCTCAAGAAGAAGAAGCAGAGTTGGTTTTGAAAACCGGTGCGAAAATAATTTTCAAAAATGTCAAAGGCACAGAGAAGAGCCTTGAAATTGTAGCGAGATTTTTAAAAACTTCTATGTTCCGCTCTGCGCCTTGGAGAAATCTTCGAAGAAAAAAAGGATTTTTATTTACCCAGATATCGTGCAAGTAACCGTAAAGCATCAAGATCAGGCAATAATTCGAAAAATAGCAAAAATATTATAGGAAGTTTGAAGGTACCTAAAGATGGAGATATTTTTTTGGAAAATGAAATCGGTAAGAATAAACCAAATGCGAATTTCGATGAGATCAAGGCTCATAATAAATTCTAACTAGTAATCCTCAAAAAAATTTTTGAATTAATGAAATTCGAGGTTTTCGCCTTTCATTCAGAAACCAAGTTCTTTTTTTCGAATCTTTTGTAAAGTAAACCAGAAAAAAAAATTATGAATTGCAATCGCATCAAAATCCGCATTTCGTGCCATTGAAGGTTCCATCAAAAACCAAAATGTATCGCAATTTTTGATCCAAAGACTCAGTAGTGAGTTCCGCCATTTTTACAATTTCTCTTCCTGGGATGCCCAAGAACAGGCTACCCAATATCGATGAGAGAAAACTCATTTGCTTCGAAATCGTTGGAATTTGCGGATAGCAACGGCTCGAGAGAGTCCTCCAAGCCACTGTCGTCCTTGGGAATCGACACTTTGACGGATTCTTCGCCGACGTCGATGAGGTCGGTGGGCGAGGAGTCGAGGTCGACCAGCGCTTCTTCAGCCCAGTCGACCACGGCCGATCCGGATGGTATCTCTTCCGATTGGTTTTGCAGGCTCAGCTGCAAGAATTTTCAATTCAGGAAGGAAGAACCATTTGATCTCTTAAAATCAAAAGCTTTTCTGAATTGGCGAAATGAACTACTTCATAGGATATAGCTCGTTCACGGCTGGCTTGAGCCATCAGAAAGGGTCCTGAGACGATGAGAAAAGAGACAGTGCTAGGTTGATGGTGAGCGCAGACAAGTTGCGCTTTTTTGAGCCCCAAGCTAGCCGTGTCCCAAGCTTTTCGAATCCCAAGCTAGCCGTGTCCCAAGTTTTTCGAGTCGTAAGCTTATCGCCTACACAAAGTTGTTCAAGTGAGGTGTGAAGTCTTTTCAAATTCTCAGAGGAGAAATTTTCATTGCTTATTTTGGCGCACATTTCATTTTTTTTCCAAGAAAGTAGTTGATTGAAAAGCGCGTTTCGAAAATTAAAAATTCATCAAGCTGTACCAGTGTTCCCCACCTGAGCCAGATCGATCTCAATCGGCACATCGATCGGATCTTTGAGAACCTCGGCGCAGTCACTTTGGCATTTTGCCATCGATTTGGCGAACGTCGTTAGATGCTGGGTGATGTCGCGGACTGGAAATCTACCCTTTTAGAGTTTCGAGTATGGAAATACCGTGTTTCTGGTCGAGCAACTCGATTTTGACCATGACGTCACTTCTCATCTGCAGGAAACGTTGTCGGCATTCGTGACGACACCGGAGCATCAATCTGTGAAAGACGAACGGTTTTTGGGATTCATAATACATTTGCTTATATTTTTCCTCATGAAAAAATTTACAGACTTACAATTTTTTTCTGAAAATTATATGAATTCGTTTTTATACTGAGGAATTTCTGAGGGGTCCCTATAAGAGTTTGTTGTTTTAGGGTCATAGGGTCATAAAAACCCTATAGGGACCCCTCAAAAGTTTTTCAGTAATCGCCTTAATATTATAATCTTATGGAAAGAGCAGTGAAGGAAGAGAAAAAAAAACGTTCAACTGAAATTCAGAAATTACTATGAGCATTTTTAGTGGCCTCTTTAGGGTTTTGAAATTTCAATTGAAGGCTAAGTGGTACTAGACCACTAAAACTACTAAAGTGGCCACTAAGACTCAAAATAATGGCTTCTATAGGGGTTGTTTTAGTGGACACTTTTTTCCAAGAAGTCCCTGAAAAACCTCTTAAGTGGCCACTAGTTTTCCCAGTGAGTCGGAAAAATAATTTCGAACTGAAATATAGTTAAACCTATACTCGTAGTTGCCAGTCTCGATGCGGTATAAGTTCTCCTGAATCGCCAGAAATTCGGCCTCCTCGTCGTCCATTTCCTTGAGTTTGAGGCAGTAGGACAGGTACTCGTACTTCACATCAAGGTATCTCAAAATGAACGAAATTTCTCAGTACGATTGAGGGTTGTTAAAATGAAATAGAATAATACTATGGAAAATAAGGATATAAAAATCATTGAATCGTGAAAATTTCCGTCTTTTTTAATACGTCAAAAATAGGAAGGGGTCCATTATATACCATTCCGACTTTTTTCGATAAAGAAGCGATAGATTTGTCATGGTAAAAAATTAATAAATGGACTTTTAAACCCTTAAAATTTTGGTTGGCTTAGAAATGGAGCTGAAAAAACTAAGAAGGTTTTCAGTGTAATAGGTCCATTTCAATCCTAGGCAATGATTTTCCAACAAATTTTGTCAAAAAGTTATCCCCCACCTATTTTTTCTTATTCTTTCTGTATACGCTCCTATATCCGTCATAGTTAAAGTGCAAAATGAACTAATAACGCTTCCCGAGGACCGAATAAACTTTTTAATAGTGAGCTGCGTGTCCGGGACGACGTGATCGACGTAAACTTGCAGATCCGCGACGATTGGCCGCAGTCGTTTCAAAGCATCCGACTACAAAAACATTGAAACCTTTCCAAAGGCCCTGAATATCAACTTGTTTTCGTTCCAGAAGCCTGTGCCTCTCGCCGAAAGCGGTGAAAGCCTCGTTGGCCGTCGCTTGTTTCTCATGGGCCGCCAAATCACAGAAAATGTCGCCAAACTCTGAAAAAGTATAATCAGGTTGATCACTCGAGAAAAAGACCTTTCTGATGGGCGGCGATTTTGTCCAAGTAATGAAATGAATCGCCAAAGTAGGAAACCAGGTTACAGTAAAACTCTGCGTTCGATTCGAGGATCTGAAAAAATCTTCTGTACGTCAAGTTTGATGCTTTCGACACACGTGGCGAAACAAATTTTCACCATTCAAAAACACGAACTGAAACGTAGGGGCACGATTGGTTGGCTCCGCCCACAAAAAGGCTCTTTTACCCTCCACCCTAGAGGGACCACTCTGGAGTTCCAAAGTAGCTTTGAACACTGCATGAATAATTCGAATAAACTTTGATGTGATACTTCAAAACGGTTATTCACCCTAGAAAAAAAATTTAAAAAAGCCATTCTTATTGATTTTTCGAAAAACCGTTGAAGTTTATTGGAGCTTTGCCTACTTATCTGGGAAAATTTTCAATGGCCACTATAGGGTTTTGACGCTTTAATGGCCACTATAGAGGTCTAGGAGCTACCTAAAATTTTTAGTGTTCACTTTAGGGGGTCAATGGATCAACATAATTGGTCCAATCTGTTTGTTTTATAATTGTCAGTTACTGGAAGAAATACTGGATGAAGAACTACTGAAGTGGCCACGAAATAGAGAACCTCTATAGCGGCCACTAAAACGGAAATACATACATATAATCAAGTTAATCTACATTTATGGTCCGCGTGAGTGAACTTACTACAAAAAAAGGCAGTTTCAATGTTTTCCCACACTTTTTCGAGGAAAAAAAATATATCTTCTGGAATTTTCGAGTTTGTTACCGCAAGTCTTCAGGTCTACATTTCTAAACTCATATGAAATGAAAAATTGCCTTCATCTTCGCCGCCAGCGGATCGTTGCATAAAATGGCTCGAGACAGCCCCAAAGCGTCCGCTGAGTCTTGGTCCATGAACTCGACAATCTGAAAAGGAAGGTAGTTCGAAAAAATATTCAAAAAAAACCTTGTGCTTTGACTTTTTTCAGAACGATATCCAACGTCTTCCCTTTACTCGCATCGCTCTCTAACTTATTGATTGTGATCTGAATTTATCGTGATGAAAAAGGGCAGAGACGGATTCAAACTTTGACAGGGTTCAGGCTGACTTGGATGAGCTGGGCGACAGCCGATTTCCGTTCGCCTTTTACAGATATTCCGTTGACAGCGACGACCTCGTCGCCGGCGCGAATCCTATCAAAAGGAAAGAAGCTATACGGACCGTAAAATGAACCGTGCGATGATTTACTCCCCGTAAAAAAGTCAGTAATTCGGTTTTTTAGCGAGTTTATTCATGGTAAACCCGAAAAAATCTTGAAAAAGGCATTCTGGGCAACCTGAATAATCCTTGATATAACGAAAATAAAAGCGATTTGCCTTTCGAATTCATGTGAGAGAAAGACGACTAGAATCCTTATTTTTACTTTGTTTTTTTAAAAAGCGATATTTTTTTGAAAAAAATTGTTTTTTTACAATTTTACTTTTCTATTTTTTTCTTCTACTCATTTTTCTGAATGTTCCAAAAAAATTTTTTTTCTGTTTTTCTTGGAAACAACCAAAAAAGTATTTCTAAATGCCTAGATCTTTGTTTTTTGTGTCAAAAAGTACGAAAGAACTTTCAAGTCATGAAAATTAGAAAAATGCGTTAGAAGTTCACGTTTTCAGCTGTTCTCTCCATCTTGAGAAAAAGAACCATTTTTCTTTTGAAAAAACAAGGGGAACAAAATATTCAAATCTCACACAAACCTTCCATCTTTCGACGCCGGTGAGCCATCGAAAATTTGGACGACGTAAACACAAGGACAGTACGGAGAACCACCGCCTGAAACAGTAGAAAAAAATATAAAACCAATGGAAAATAACCGATAGAAATTCCGACGAGTCCCTTTTCATCTTTGACGATTTCGAGCGTTTCCGCCTGTACCCGCAGTCCCATCCGATCTTCTTCCATCTAATTTTCAGCTTTTTATTTTAAAGAAAAAAAGAGAAAAATCAACTATGGAACAACAATAGTTTTTAGCATACATCAAAGGTAAGCTCGAAATACGGTTAAGAAGACGTGAAATCAATGTTTTTGGGTGCTTTCTCAATGAATGTAACGAGAGCATGGATCAATTTTTTGAATTAAAATGGACCAACGAGCAAAAAAACATCGTTTTAAAAGTTCACTATGAATCGCAAATTTCATTCGGAACAAAAATAAAAAACTCAAAATTCCGAAATATACTATGACAAACGTAACTTAACATCAAAAAATCCATAATAATGAAAACTAAAAATCCGTGAAAAGTTTTAAATGACGACCAATTAGACTTGAAGGCTCTGAAACTCGGCGACAGTTTGAAATTCACCAAGAAACTTCAGTTAAAAATAAAACAATGAAATAAGGCGATAACACACTTGAATAACCACCAAAAAACGGAAAAAAATATTTTCATGAACTAAATCAATTAGGTATCAAAAGCACTGAAAATGGATCAGAAATAGACCTTATTGATCCAAGAAATTTAGATTATAGGACACCATTTCAAGGAAAAAAGAGCAATACTCAGGAAGAAAAGCACACAACAGCTCGGGAATCGATTCGTTTCCTGCCCGCGAGGCTTTTCCCTTATGGCAAAAGACGCGGATGCGATAAGAGAGGCCTCGAAACACGAGGCAGACGACGTGCCGCTTCAAAGGCCACTCCAGTGATACGTTTTTTCGTTTTGTTTGAATGAGAATTCAAGAAATGAAAGTTCGCTGATAACCAACACGAATGACAAATTTTCCCGTTTGAAAAAGGGTTAAGGTTAGAATTGTTATTTTTTTCGGACTCATTTCTGAAATCGAAAAAAACTTCTGGCCTTTTCTTTCACATCAAAGCTTCGAAGCTTCGAAGCTTTGATGTGCTTCGAAGCCGAAAAACGATTATTTAGTGTTCTTCGACGAATTTTTTTGAAAAGATTACTTTTTTTGAAAAATAATATCCTAAACTCTGCAGCCGCAAAAAGGCTTCCAGAGAACTTGATAATTCGGAAAAAGTATAAAAAATCACATTTTTTTTGAAATCAAATTCTTTTTCAGAAAGACTTCGTTCGTTCAAAAATACTTGCAAGTTCTGAAAAACGGGCTTCAACAATCTACGTCTCTGATTGGATGGTCACCCTGTCAGAACTTACTGGGAAAAACTCTAGTGGAAACTTTAGAAGTTTCTCAAAGACCACTTGAAGAGGACACTAGAGTGGCCACTAAAACCATTCCTAAACAAGCCAGTTTGCGTCTTAGTGACCACTAAAGCCGTTTTTAATTTACCACTACAGTCGTTTTTAATTTACAAGACTCTTAAAGTGGCTAATAAATTTCAGTCACTTAAGTGGGCACTAACGCGACGGCTGTAGTGGCCAGTAAACGTCAAACCTCTGAAAGGGCCACTTGAAACTTTCCCCTTCGAAAACTTCAAAGTCTCCCGTAGAAATTAATGACTTCACGTACTCCATATAGACGACACTGGCGTTTATTGTCAAAATGACTTTCAAAAAAGTTGCTCGCTCGAAAAGGCTCAAGAATAATGCCTGCCCCAAACAGGCCGCATGGAATCGTATTTTTCTGGATCGGTAGGATCCGGAGTCAGGCCAATCCCATCCAGGATACGTTTCGCGTGTCGATCAAGCCGTGAATTGCGGTCCAGTCTGGTCTCCAAAACTTCTGAAGTCGTCGTTTCCATGCTGAGTACTTCGCTGAAAAAATTAGCATGTTCATTGCCGTTTTACAGATGGTTTGAAAAAAAAAAAGTTCAGCTTTCAAATAAACGGATATCTGCAGAAAAAGGGATTTTAAAAGAGATTTTTACGTTCTCTCAGGTCCGTCACAAAACTTTTTTTTCGAATTCAAAAACTTGCTCACGTTTGTGAGATTTGCGACGTAATTGGTGAAGAAATACATATATACAACAGCTCAGGCAGAGTAGGAATTTGGAATAAGTACCGCTTAAAGGTAGAGGTTCAAAAAGGCAGCAAAAAGGATCCCTTCATCGAGCCTCCCAATTTTCTAAACTTTAAAGGTTCAAGAAATGGTGGAAAAAGGGAGGGGCAGCAAAAATGGTGCATAAAAGCCCACGAAATGGCACAAAAAGGCGCCAAAAGGAACGTCTTTTTGGACCCATTCCGACTTGCTTTGGGTAAGCTTGACCGATATTCGAAATTTCAAACTCACCGGCAATAGTTGATGTTTCGGACAACATTGAGGAGTCCAAACTGCTTCTCTAGCAACGTGTCTTCTCCAACGAACGGGCCGAGAGACCGTCTTTAAGTTCGAATTTTCAGAACGAAATAAATTAAACTGAAAGAGACCTCTGGACGCGCGTACAAGTCGCTACAGTGTCTAGTTCAAGTCCCACTTTCTTGGACGAGGTCCCTGAATGAAAATTTCAAAAAAAGTGGGAGGACAAGACGCGCACCTCAGAAAGTTACAATCTTCTCCAGCCGCCTGAACAGTCAAAGTGAAAAAGGGCGCCTTGAAGTAGGGCAGCTCTATGGAATAGACCATTTGCGCTCCAGGCAACTGTAACCGTGGCAGGCCTTTTCGCGCAATTTCGAACGCTTCTTCACTCTAAAAAAAGTAGTAATAAATTTTTTTTTTCCCGATATGCCGGCCTGCATATCAACGTTGGCCAATTTGAAAAGAGGCCGACCGAAAATCGGCCTCCAACCTCGCTATCACTTTTCTCAGCTTGTGCTTTGTCACATGGTCTGGAAAATTTATGTTCACTCTGTATTTTTAAAATAGAATAAAATGCAGTTTTTTCGAATGAATTATAGTCTGTTCAGATTTTTAATGTCAAGTGCAATGACGTCATTCAAAAACACTCTGTGGGTGGCTCGCTCTCTTATTGGTTTATTGCACCATTAGGGGCGGAGCTTGAGCGTCGATTTGAAATTCGAAATCTGAACAGACTATACTTCCCATGACTTTGATGGAATATTTAAAGGCGCATGGCCGAGAAAAAAGAAGTTTTTGATTAGATTTTTATGAAATAGATTTGTTCAGCGATTCATTTTGAGTTCCTGCGTCTTTGAAAATATTTTTTGGAAAAATTGGGACTCAAAAATTATTATTTTTTTCAAGTTTTTTTGTGTGGAAACTGTTCACTATGACTCTCAAATAAGGTACAAAAAGCCTCCTTCAAAACTTTTCATTTCGTTAAACAAAAAAATCCTACCATAGGGCATATTTTTCGCCGTTTTTCCTTCGTTTTCTTGACTCTTCCCAGCTTTTCCGAGAATGCCATCGAGTCGGTATACGTTAACCCAGGATTTCGCCTGCAGCTCTGGGAGTTTCTCGCAAGACTCGTTCATCCCTATCACTAAATTTCTCAATATTATTTCTGACTCTTAAAAGTTCGTAGAAAATAGAGGTTTTTCCACTTTTTAAAAAAGAAATTTTGGACACGTGGACCTAGTTGTCTGTAAAATGATCTGACTCTGTTGATTTTGGGGATTTTCGGCTGAAAATTTCATTTTCGATACGTATATAAGTTAAAAAGATACACTGATCCAGAAAGTGCTTTGAAAGCTGAAAAAAACTTCAAAAGTTGAATTATTTTTGAAACGGAGAAGACCAGACCAGTTTTAGACGAGTAAAAGAAACGAAAAATTTCTCAAATTTTGTTATTTTTTTCTACTTCTGTTGTAGCGTGATATTTCCGTATTCACAATGGTTTTCTGAGACAGCAAACATTCCTAAAAATCAGGAAAAATTTGAATTCGTCAACAAAAAAAGTTTTCTAACCACGAAGAATCTCTGTGCAACTTCTAAACGAAACTTCTCGCTCAGATCCCGACTCTGGTCTCAAAAGTTGATGCGGGCGTCTGTGAGGAAAGATGTGGCAATCTTACTGTCCGCCAAAATTTCTGTTATTTCACGATCAAAAACGCCCAATAGAAGCTTATTGAGAGATAAAGTACAGCAATTTTGATTGTATTTTAAAACTCGAGTGAATTTCAATTTTATATCCCTTTGGGTTCAAATTAGTACCGGTTCGGATGAATGTCTGACTCGAAATAAGACATCTCTATTTTGTAAAGTTTTTTTTGTAAAAGCGCGTATGCAAAAAATTATGAAGGTGAAAAAGGTTAACGTGAATATTTTTAGTTTTGTTCCGCACAGATACGACTTATATAGTGACGTCACAGTAGGAATTTTTAGTTCAGCGCCAAATAAATTTCCCTAATTCAATCGAGAAAAAAAATCTCACAGCAAACACCAGAAGCGGAAGTTTCCAATGGGTTGAGGTCTTCCAACTGAATATCTTCTGCTCGAAGGAAACTTCCAGAGGCATGCGGGTGATATCTAAACATCTAAAAACATTTTCGCCAAAAATTAGATTTAGAAAACGCGATCCTCTTGATTCTACGTAAATTCAAATCTTCAAGTTTTTTTCCAATTAGAATACAATGAAACTGGATTCGGTTCCTCGATCGGAGGCTTATGAAAAATTCCATGGAAAGGGGAAAAAAAACTGAAAACAATTTTTTGTCATTAGAGCAAGTTTACTCCAAGATGAACTTTCAGCGGGAATCCAACTTCTCCCACTGTGAATGAAATTTTCTCAGAAATTAAAAAAGTTCTGTAATAAGCTATGTGATCGTTTCTACGTATTAGGATATAATGAATATTTTACTTGAAAAACTACGAGCATAAATTTCTACACGTAATAAAAAAAAAACGCTTTCAACTCAAAATCGAAAAAGGAAACCGAACCGAAGTAACAACCCACAATGAAGTGACATTATCTCTATACCTAGTGAATTCTAAAAGACCCGAACTAAACCTGTAATCCGGCATGAGCTTCTCGCCGACCGTAACGAGGGCACCCGTTCGTGGATGGGGTTCAACGACCGGAAGTCGGACTTGGGGCAGTCGCGGGACTCCCTGGGCTCTAGTCGCCTCAGCCACCAGCCGCTTTATTAGGAGCCTCTTCAGCGAAGACGTCGAGGTCTCCGCGTGCTTGTAGACGCAAACGAAGCCCGACAGCGCCTGCCACAGCTCCCGTGACGTCATCGACAACTGGGGAACCTGGAAGCAAAAAAAAAACATATCGTATCTCTTTAGCTCAAACTCCGACTACTTCAGGAAGCTTTTTTTGAAATTCTTCATTTTTAGTTTTTATTGGCAATAACTGATTCTAGTCCTAGCGGTCGAAAGACTGAGGAGAGGGGAGATTTTGAGCCTTTCGAATCAGCTTTTCCAGGTAAAAATGAAAGGAAACGACGGGCGAATTAGGTACTTTTAGAAATCATCGAAAAGAAAAAACTCCCCGAGTCAAAATTTTGGTTGAAAAGATCTCCACATCGCGATCAAAAGTCGCCATCTCGGATATAGTCTGTTCAGATTTTGAATGTCAAGTAGCCGCTCAAGCTCCGCCCCTGATGGTGCAATCAACCAGTCAGACCATCTACAGAGCCTTTTCGAACGACGTCGTTAAACTTGATATTCAAAATCTGAACCCAACTTTTCCAACGGCTCCCGAAATGTGGATTTAGTGTATTGCGCAAATTTATTTCAAGCGAATAAGAGTGGATTTTGAAATCGTCGAGGATTTTTTCCCTTCTTTTAATGAAAAAATAATGAAAAGAAAAATCTTGCAAATCTCTATAAAAGTACACCGAATGAAACGTGTAGAGCGAAAAAAAAAAGAAATAACCAAAATGACATCAAATGCTTTATCAAGGTCAACAAACATAACAGACATATCATACATGAAAATTCTCACTTTGTGACATAATCAAAATATAAAAAAATAGTATATATATATTCGAAATAGACTGAAGTAGATAGAAAGGTGACGTCGAAACAGGAGCCTTAAAAACATAAATTAGGTTTTTATTTTTCCCTTCTTTTTCGTGTCAAGGGATAATTAGGAGCTAAAAATTTTCAGTGGGAAAGTTCCCATGTGAAAGCGGCTACAAGCCTATTTTCATCATGATTTTTACCAGTTTTCTTTTCGGAAAGCCTTTTTCTGATAGGAAAATATCAATCAAGACCCGGAGAACCGCTTTTTGGTCTTCATCCTTTTTCCAATTTCCGTGCCACCTCACTGAGCCGAAATAAACACTTTACAAACGTAAATCGGGTTGAAAAATTTTTTCTCTCAATTCTATTCTATTAATACATTTCAATATCGAAATTAATCAATTTTTCCAAACACGATCTATGTTCAAACGTTCCAGTGTACATAACAAGGGCCCCATAAATTAAGTTGTGTTATTTGGAGGCGAAAAAACGCCGTTCCATGCTTTAATATAATTCCTTCAGGCCTAGAATCAACATTGCGGAAACAATATTGAAACTTATTATCGTTGTATAGTATTCCTCGAACACTTTGAACTTTTTTGATTTTTTTAAAAATTTAAAATTGAAATTTGGAATTTTTCAGAACATAGCTACCTTTTCTTTTAATGATTCCCCTTCTCGCCTTCATTCACCAAAGTTTTATTTTGATTTGTTAATGTTAGCTTTAATGAGTTGCGTCATTCATTAGCTGAATATCACTTTTTTAAAAGTTTTTGAGACGTGACGAGCTGAAAAGGAGATAATTTCAAAGACCATCAGCACCTCCTCTTCCTCAATTAAAACCAGAGTCTTTTTTTAAAAGTACTCTTTTTCATAATTTTGGTAAGTTAGCCCCTCCTCCTGGACTAATCGAGTTTTGAGGATGTGCTCAATTCTTCTTATAAGCTTATCACTCAAGGATTTTTCAAAACTTCCCACTTCTCAAAAAAAAAAGTTCAAAGAGATTAATTCACTTCAACCAATCTTCTCACGGAAAGACCAACCGGATCAGCTTGACCTTAACGAAGATTTTTTAACCTAAAATTTTTCATCCTTCACTTCTTTTCAAAGTATGACTTCTAAAAAAGGACATCAGCCCAACCGAATTTAATTCGAAAGGTGTGGGTTGTGGTGGGCGTGGCAGCTGGACAACCAAGAGCCATAGAGAAAACATTAATCAAATTTCTATTCGCCGATACTTTTCCTTGAAAATGAACGAGAATAATAAACGGCGGTTCAACTTATATTAAGGTTTTTAGCTGATCGTTGATCAGTTCAATCATTTGTTCCGCCTTTTTTTCTCCGATTTTCAGTTCTAATATTTTTTTAACGACATAGTTTTATTACCACTGGATTAAGGAAACATTTTGTATGCCCTTTGAGAAACTGCTAAACTCTACTTTTTTTGTTTTTCATTTACTTATGCATAATCAATTTGCCGTCCCACCAAAATCCTATATTCAAAAATCACCTGGTCTTTGCGACAAGCGGTCAACTGAGTGATTTTCGACTTAATCTAGAAATTATAAATTTATTATCCTTGATTCAGAGGTTCAAATTTTTAATTAATAAAACTTTTTCTCAAAGCAGAAACTTCTGCAAGGTTCAAAAAAAGGGCACGAGAAAAATTTTTTTCAACAAGATACGCCTTTGAAATTCCCATTTAAAGATCAAAAATTGTTTCTTGTGTTTGAATGTATCATAATCGCTAGTTGGGAAAATCCCAGAGCTTTTTTCACACGAATGTTCCCGGGGATGTTGAGATAGATGATGAAGTTAGTATTTCGAAGAGTTATGAGCTAAGAAAAAGACAGAGAAAACTGCAAAAAACTCAATAACCGCGGGAAGGTAACTTTTGCTTGTTTGACCGAAAGGTATTTCTAGAAGTTTGTAAAACTGAAAAGGAATTTCTGAGAACCACATTCATATATTCAGATTATTGAGAAGAATAAATTCAAGTCCCAAGCCCTAAAAAACTTCTGAATAACTGCAAAAACCACCTTTTTTTTGAGTTTTTCAGCTATCCAGCAATCAACGAACCACATTTAAGCCCCAATTTTGCATCGTCGAACCAAGAAATTGAATAAACGTTATATTCATTGATCAAAACTCTTGTTTTTCCGACCTCACCTAGTAGCTCAAGGATTGACCATGGGATCACCTCTCACCCAAATTAAGGGCCTTTCAAAAACATGTCCGAAAATCGTCATTTCAATTTCAACTTTCTTGTGTCGTTCTGTCACCTCTTGACAATGCCCGCGTGAGTTTCATGTGCTCTTTTGCTCCCACGGTCATAACGTGACTTTGGGAAAGTGCGTCAAATCCTGAGATAAAAGTCAAGTTGGAAGATGTTAATGAAATCCCTTTTTTTTCAGACCGATGTCGTTTGCTGCCAACATGTACCTCTACCTCTTTGAAGGTAACTCTATTTCCAGTCTACCGATTTCCATCATCCCATGCGCCGCTGACTTCATGAGCTCATTTTGATAGCACATGTTCAACCTATTTTGGGCATATCCGAAAAACGCCATTCGCTTGTTTTCAGACTTTAACGATATCAAAAATCTTTTTTTGAGTAATCATGTTGACAAGCACATGTCGAGTTTTTGAAAATTCGCAAATATATTAAATTTTGGGATTGTTGGAACATAAAAAAATTACATAGTATCTTTGCAGTTAATCTACAGTAAGGTTCTAAAATTCAGAAATGTCATTTTTTCCCTTTTCACTTTATAATCGAAATGGATTGTATTAGAACGGAATTTTTGAAGCTAGATAATTATTTGTAAACTTTCTCTCAGGCCCAAAAAAACCATGATAAAGGAGAACTTTTCGAGCTTAAAATTTTTACTTTTACGGCTCCAGTGGTCCAGCGTCTAGGCTATGAAGCTTTAAAACTTGGAGAATAATAATTTGTTTGAAAAAAAAAGGCCCAAACTTATGAAAAAATAAAACGGCCGTTATTATCCTGATTTCATCAAAAATCTGTTCGTATGTTTACAGGAACAGTCATCTCCATAACGAATACCACGTTGCTATGGTGCATCCTAAGCGATCCGAGAAACCGACGACGTCGCGAATTCGCCCTCGTCGCCGCACAAGCCATCGCAGACATGTGCTACGCCGCCGCGTTCATGCTTATCGCAAACCGGCGCCTCGTTTTGTACTTCGAAGACTCATGTTAGTGGTTATGGAATTGCCAATTTCACGCACAGAAAAACGAAAATTTCCAAAACCCCACACAAAATCTCTTTTTGAAAACAAAACGAGTTAATTTAGTTAGTGAGCCCGTAAAACCACAAGTGTAAAGATTCTAAGAAAAACGCTATTTTGCAGTAAACGGGACCGTCCCAGCCACCGAATGTTCTTACATCCCAGCCCTGTGGCTCCACAATATCGCAACGCCTCTCCTAGGACTGTTACCACTGACAACGTCTTTCAACTTTCTACTCTGTTCAGTGACTCCCGTCTGGTATCTCTCAGCTGGCGTCACCTACACGGTCGTTTTGTTGATAGGTGTGTGAAGTATCTCGAATAACTGCTTGTTTGATTTTTCAAAGCGAAGCAGTGCCCCATGATCTCAAATAACTGACAACTTATTCCCTGAAATTACAGTCCCGTACGCGACAGCGATTCTCTTGCTGACGGCCAACGCTCTTCTGCAAATCAACGTGACGACGCCGACGTCGGTCCTTTGCATCGCAGCCAACGGCGCGGCCAATCCGACAGCATACCATATCATGCTTTTCTTCCGAATCGTAGCCAATCTCGCTTCAGCAATAACATACGCTTTCATTTTGATCTACTTACGCAAGGTTGACGAAGGAAAAGCGGTTTTTTAAAAATACTCAAGTTCAGAGCCAAGGCGGATCACTGCGGACACTGTCGACTCAACAGCAAAAAATGCACCGAAACGCCAAGATCACTCTAGGTGCTTAATCGAATTTCACTCATAAAGTTTAAAATTCTTATGCAATTTCCTAGCAATAAATAAAAAGAAGAACTATGAAAAAATTTCTCGAATTGAACCATTCCGATTCTTAGAAAAACTAAAAATAATTCTACATTTACAGGGATGGTCACACTGAACTCAATGGTCCTCCTGTTCATTCCCGATGTCTTGCTAGTGTTCAACCCGTGGAACATAACAGCCAAATACTCGACGCCACTTTACAGCATGACCTTGAGCAAGGTAAAGAAAAAAGTTGATTTTCCAACGTATGACGGTTTCAGACGATGATCAACTTCGGAGTGTACATGTCCAGATACCGAGAGCTACGGAACATTATTCTCGAGCGATGTTTGTCGTGCATGCCTGCCTGGGCTCGTCAGCACTGCAACAGCTTGCTGAGCAGTGTCGCCGGCTACAATCCCGAGGGAACCTCGCGACTGAACGATTCGCGGAAGAAGTCGCGTTCTTCAGTGTGTCCAGGAATCCGAAAAGTCAACACAAGGTTCCATTTAGATACGATGTTGATGACAATGTTTGAAATGCTTGAGGAACTATGAGAAGGCCGTCAACGACGCAAGGCTCGCGTCTGGTCGATCAGATGGCCGCAGCGGCAGCTGCGAATCGCAAAGCGAGCGTGGCAGCCACGACGGCGACGGCAAACGTCGTCGATCCAGCCATTCCGATCTCTTTGGGTCCCGAACCTCCTATGCCTTCAACACCGCGACGGTTACCGCCCATTCGCCTACCAGCACTATGACTTCAATCCGATTCATTCCAATAAATTTAAGAAGTTTTTGCGGGTCTCAAACGAAAAGACTCGCTTCGGAATTGGGATACATGACTCTCTTCATATTGAAATAATTCGCTTCGAATCTTTTTATATGTTTTGACGACTATTATTCAATAAATATGAATAAATCAAGTTTTTTTCGGACTCACCTCAAACTAATGAATTTTTACGTTGTCAAGTCAATAAGCTTCTTCCGCCTGTCTAGAATTTCGCGTACAGTATTTTTCGCAGTTATTCTGAAAAAGTTCGAAAATTTTCTTAAAAAATGTTGAAAACATAGATCCGTATCCGTCGCAAAAAAGTTCCTCCATTTCTTCGACATGATAAAACGCTTCCTCAAAATTTCCCCAAGCGAAACTATTGTTGTAGGCGTGAATCGACTGGGAGAAGCGGTCATCAACCTAAAACAAAACACAAAAAATTCAAACTTTGATAGTTGGTCGATAAACGATTTCAGTGAAGAATGGCCGTGTGAGGAAGTTGCCCTGGCGGGCGTTCTTGATCAAGACTGTCTGGAGCTTCCGAAGAAATTGCTTATCAGTATCAATCGTTACTTTCTGAGCAAAAGTTATCTCGCCTATAATCCATTGATCAATCAACTTACTTCAAGAAGTTCAGCAGTGATTCTCAGAGCATCGTTATGGTGTTTTTGAGATTCGTCGATACTGTAAACCAGACTTACTAGGGAACTACTCGGACTCGGGTACGCGTTTCGAGTTGGATCTTTGGTGGCTTATAGGCCCGGGTAAGAGTACTCGGAAACAAAAGAGATTATCTGCTAAACCCCATAGGCTTCTGAGAAAAAGCTTTTTGAAAATGTACATTTAGGGTTTGAAAATTGTCTAATTTTTTCACAGTTCTCTATCGGGATTTGCAGATATTCTCTCTTTTTTTCAAGTATTCTGACTTGGGTCTATAAACCACTCCAGTTTGGCCTCGATCGAGCAATTACGAGTTCGCGTAGTTCCCTAGTTAGAAGGGAGTTCATTTTATATTGCGGCTTGGAAACTTATTTTTTGCAGCAAGACATTTGTAAATCGGTTTTCCACTTATCAAAAATCATATCATGTCAAAACAGACGAAGAGTAGACTCCAAGAAGACGGGGAAAAAGAGATATTTACCATTTCCCATATTTCGGAACTCTTCATTCTGCAGAAAGTTTCAAAACAGAGCTTCATCGCAGAATTTAATTTGCATGTGCAGCTTCCCAGAGTGTCTACATATATATTTGACAAAGAGAATAAAATTAACATATTCCAAGTATTTATAGAACCTGAACTCCTAGAAAAGCTTGGAATCTCAAGAAAAACTTTTCAGATCTACCATGATTCATTCATCGATTTTTCTGATGTCTGAACAAATGGAATAAAATTATAACTGATTCACGGCCAGCTTGGAACGATAAAGGGGCGTGTCCTGTCTGCGCTCTCCACGAGTCGGCGCTTTCTCGTGCATTATCGTATCAGGACCCTTTTTTCGATGGCTCAAGCCAGCCGTGAATCAGCTATATACTCTTTGGAGATCTACATGAAGATCCCTTATAAGTTTCGCAAAATTGAAAATTTATCCTCAAAATCTAAAAGTTTGCCCAGTTATACAGGGTGACAAATAAATATTGAAACCGTTTTTTGTTTGATCGCTGCTTTTTGCACGAAGGACTGGCCTTCGAATTTTTTTGTTTATTTCGTTCATTCATGCTCACTTATCATGTGTTTGAAGTTACAGCTCATACTTTTCAGTTTTCAGGTAATGGTAGCCCCATCTCCGTACCGTACCGCAATCATTGATTGTGTCAAAAGCGGAATGACGAATTCAGAGATCGTTAAAAAGCTGAAAGTGTCTCGTGTTCTCGTTTTTCGAACTGCACAACGCTATCGGCGTCTCGGTACTTCAGATGACATGCAAAGAAGGGGACGTCCAGTCACCGTCACGACTCCAGAAGCAGTCAAAGCCGTTTGAGAGAAAATCAGACGCACTCCGGAAAGAAGCATGAGAAAGATGGCAAAAGAATACGAAATGAGTCGAGGATCGATGAGAACTATTGTCAAGGACAAGCTGAAGATGATTCCCTACCGTATGCAGAAAGGAGCCTTCCTCAATCAAAAAAACAAGACATTGCGGATGGAAAAGGCTCGAAAGCTGCTCGCTGGCACGCAAGATGGCTCGCATCTGACGACGCTATTTACCGACGAGAAAATCTTCACTGTGGAGACGAACAAGAACGGCCAAAAGCATCGGATCATCGCTACTGACTATCAGAGTGCCTGTGAAAAAGGAAAAATTCTGAATAAAACTTCGCATCCGGCTTCCGTGATGGTTTTTGCCGGAATTACCGCTGACGGCAAAACTCCGCTGATTTTTGTGGATCCTGGAGTCAAAGTGAACCAAGTATACTACAGGGAGTAGATTTTAAAGTTGAGGGTGTTGCCCTGGGCCAATTCTCACTACGGAAACCGACCATGGACCTTCCAGCAAGACGGCGCCCCCGCTCATCGTGCCAAAGGGACTCAAGAGTGGTATCGCGCCAATTTTCCAAGTTCATCTCGGCTGCTGATTGGCCTGCTTCCTCGCCCGACCTCAACCCGATGGACTATGCCGTGTGGATATATCTGACCGAGAAGATCTCTTCTAAGAACTACACATGTATCAAAGCCCTGAAGACCGCGCTCATCAAGAAATGGGACGAAATCGACGACGACTACCTTCGTGCCGTGATCGATGCGTATCCGAAGAGACTGAAGGCCGTTATCAAAGCTAAAGGAGGACGTTTTGAAAACTATTCTTGAATTTTGTTTCTATATTGTATGAATAAAATTTGTTCCAAGTTTGGTGGTGTTTGGTTGATTTTTGAGAAAGTTATAACGTTTCAAACGCGTTTCAATATTTATTTGTCACCCTCTACAAGCCACTATAAGGGAGCTCCATCTTGACATTCGAAGAGTATTTTTATAGATATGTAGCCAACTCCAAAACACAAAGTAAAAGAGCTCCCTTATTTGTGAAATATATGATGCAGCCGTCGTCATCATAAAGATTCAGTTCAGAAGTTTGAAAAGAAAAGGGAGAGTAAATCTTTTTCTTCCAACTTCAAATCATTACCTTGTTTTTGTCACCTTGAAAGGAAAAGAATAAATGCTGCAATTCTTCAGCATTTCCTCCACAGCTTCTTGGGTTTCTTTGGGGATCTCGATGAGCTGTAGAAATTTTTTATTAGTTCAAAAAGAAACAGCGGTGGGATTTTTCAAAGCTTCAAATTTATTTTTGTTCTCTGGCTCTTCTGGGAGTCTTTTCGACTGTTTCGATGAGTTTATTTGCAAACCTGTGTTTCGCTCCACCGAGAAAAAGCCTCCAAGCCTTTCAAGGAGGCGGACGGCAATATGTTCTTTTCCTCGGGATTTCCTTGGCGTAAGCAATCGTGATAAATGTGTACGGACGCATTCAACACTGCGATCGCCAATCGGTCGCTTATATTCCTCCTCTAAAGATATAATTTTTTAGGAAATATTATGGGCGGATATGGCTGATTCGCGGCTGACTTGAGCCATCGCAAAATGGGTCCTGACACGATAAGAAGAGAGACAGTGACTAATTGGTGGAGAGCGCAGACAGGTTCTAAGCTAGTCATTAATCGACTATAACAACTCCCGTACTTTTTTTCAATTTTAAATTTTTGCTCTTCATCGCAAATTTTTCCGATTAGGACAACGTTCTGAATTATTTTTCCACAAATTGTCTCTTGGTGAAATAAATCTGACTTTCGGTATTACAAGTACATAAAAAAAGCATGATTCATTATCTCAAAATTATTGTTTTACCGACTAATATTCCTTCCCTTTCCTCAAACTTCACAGGAGAAAAAAAGTCTTAGTTATCTCAAGAATCTAGTAAAAACTTAAGGGAGGAAAATAAAAAATGAAAAAAAAAACTATATAAGGTATCAATAAAAACCTCTCAAAGATGAATTATGGGAAAATGACGAAATTTTGGAATGTGCAAGCTTTTTTTTGGAAAATATATTTTTTAAAAAGTCTAATTCTAGTTTCAGAACGGTTTGAGATATGATTCTCATAATATGAGCAATGAAAAGAGTTGGAAAACGAAGCTTCCAAGAATGTTTGATGAATAAGTCACATTATAGCATGGAAAAAACAATTCATACACTTCTCAAGTTCGTCAGGATATCAAGAACCAGATATCGAGCATTCGAACTGCGACCAGAGCCGTTTCCATCAGGAGTTTCGGTTTCAAGTACTTCAAAAGTCGACTCTGGCCATTCAAGATTATCCTAAAATCAATTTTATATAGAAAAAAGAAAAACTCTAGATTTCGAGCCTGATGGGCATCTTCAATGAAAGATATGGCTTCTTCGACGAAACTCATCCTCAATTTCTCCGTAAAAACCAACTTCGATTCATCTTCAGGCGCAGCATAAGTTTCCTCAAACCGCTTTATAAAGTTCTTCCATGAAATCTTGGCGACATTCTCACTTGTGCTTTTTCGCTGGTCACGAAATCAGTTTCAAACGATGTTGGAGCGTCATGGACAGCAACACATCTCTGAAAAGTCTACTTCCATAAAAGTCTATGATCCTTTGAACAGCTGGCGAAAAATCTTTTTCTAAAAAAAAGCTTTTCCAAAAAAAAAGCCCCTAGAGCACTCGTTGAGGTACTAGATGGAGTTCTAAGAGCTTTTATTGAACCCCCTGTTTAAATTAGCTATTTTTGGGCTTTGAGCACTCATTTCTGGAAAACTAAGAGTTTGTGCATGTTTCAGGAACTTAATTTGAAACATCAAGGAATTATCTGGCTAATTATCAGAAAAATCCCAGCCCTTAAGGTTGAATGACCTTCCTTGTTGAGAGGAGGATGAGAGATTGCCCCAAAAACGAACAAAGAAAGTTGCTAGTGGAACTACAAGGCCAATTACAAACCTGTGAAGTGAAAGATATGTTTCCAGGCCACTGAGGGAACGATATCCTTCCAGTTCTTGGGAAGGCCGGAGCGCAGATACATTGTGTTACGTGACATTATTCTGGAGATGGTCATCGGAAGGGAGGCCGCCATCACCGCCGCCGCCAAGCCATCGCATCTGATTCCAACTTGACGAGACCACGACGACTGCATTTTGCGACATAGCAAAACTGACAAAAATCGTATTTTCGAAGAATCAACGTGTGCCCCAACTGATAGGCTGCCTCATGCCCGCCCAGGCTTTGCGAAAAATCGGATTTTTACAAATCGCACAGGAACAACCGCTCGAAGCATTCACACCAAAGAAGCATGGATAGGCCTGAAAATGGAAAGACTTAAAATGATTTTCTCAGCTCAAACTCACATCGAATGGAACCATTTGGAGCAAAATGTTCGTCGGACTGATCCATATGAGCTCTTCCATCAGGACAAACTGAAAAAGTATTAAAGATGACCCATTTTTTAAACCTAAAGAGGTAATATTCGTCATTTCAACTTTCGACTCGGAATTTTCTATAAATTCGCTTGAGTAATCTCTAAAGGTTTACATATATCCATCTAAGTTGCAACTCGCGAAAACTTCTAGTTTTTAAGATAATTAATTTTGAAGCTCGAAAAGTCAGGCCTAAAACCCATTTTTCGCAACTTTGAAAAATCATATCTCAAAAACTAGAAGTTCGCGCAGGTAGCGACTATGATGGATTTTCATCTAGACGTTCAGAGAAAGAGAGAGTTTGAGCAAACTTGTAGAAAATTCCAAACCGCCAAGTAAAATGACCTCCCTTTTCAGGGCATGCCAGCGCGCATATATCGAAAAAAGAAAACGGAAGGCTATTGCGCTTGCATCAGTTTAGAGAGCACGGTAAACTTAGAGAGACCAGACTCGTACTCTCCTCGCTCTGTCCAGGACCTGATTTTCTTTTTTTCCGCTAAAAACCTTTTTGTCCAAAGTGTTGATGTAGTCAGTGATCTCCATCACGAACTTATATAAGGCAAAGGATCTTTGACAATCCCAATATTCAGAGCTTCTCAGAGCTGCGCAAACGACTTTCTCGCAAACTTGCCATCTCAAAACAATTTATAAGATGTTCGAAAAGAAGAAATTGGAATAAGCCATTTGAGGGATACCTCGGTTTCGAGAAATGGCCAGTGGAAAAACGTTGTTTTCTTTTGAAATTAGCTTTGTTCCAAAAATTTTGTATTATTGTTTATAATTTTTTTTTAGAGTGCCCCCATGGTTGAAATTTTGGAGCGAAATCAAATAGAAATCCCTAAAGCGACCGCTTTTGATTTCTCAAGGCTTACCGTATAAAAGAGTCGACATGAGTAGTTTTTTGGCAAATTTTCCAAATCGCTTTGCAAGATCTAAATAAGCTGGAGGCCCCATGTCTGAACACCTTGATTTTGGTAGAACATTAATATTCCATACCTAATTATATATCTCGAAGTAATGAAGCAGAAGTTGTTCACAAAACTGTTAATGAACGAATTTCCGACGGCTTCGCTTTTCAACACATCCAAAACTGAGAAAAAGATCTTGAACAGTTCGTTGAATTCTAGGCTGGGGATCGTAGAGAATCGAAAAACAGTAGAAACGAGGTCCTTAAATTGCAAATTCAGATAGGTCTTTGTATGAAATCAAACAGAAAGAGGAATACAAAAATGAAGCTTTTGAAAATTTACTTTCCGGTTCCTCTGTAAACTTTTAGAAAGAAAGATATCACTCGCTCCACAAAATCACTTTGAAGGGATAGGGGCTACAACCTTGAAAATGTGTGTTTTCATGAAAATCATTTTTAATTAATGAAAAAAAGCAATTTGGAAATGTTTCCAGTGCGAATCGAATGGTGTACTCAAAAAAATTACAGACGTGACTACTTTTGAAGAAAAACGCGATTTTACTTTCGCGCCTTTATGGCGTGTTCATCGGACAAAACGAAAATTGCTTCGAAACGCAAGAAAATTGCTCCAAAACAAAAATTAGTACTGTTTTGGAGCGCCGATGAACACGATTTTTCGTTTTGAAGCATGTTCCGTTTCTCCGATGAACACGCCATTAATTTTGAAAAATGATTTGGATCGGTGTACTGTTAACAGTAGCCGTGCACGCGATGTTGCGGACGTCTCATTAGACTCGCCTTTTGTGAGAAATAACCGGATATCTGCTTCAAATCAAAAAAAAAGTTTCAGCTATCAAATAAACGGATATCCGCAGAAAAAGGGAATTTAAAGGCTCGTGACGAAAAGAACTTTGGTGACAGCAGAAAAATTGAAATTTGAAAGAAACGAAGAAAAAAGCGAAAATCCTCGGACCTTGGTAACGCGAACGGGACGCGAATCGGACGTGTCGGGGCATTTCTAGTGACCACTTTAGTAGCCTTAACGCTCTTAAGTGATCTCTTGAATCGCCCAGAAACGTCCGGAGCACGTCCGTTTCGCGTTACCAATGTCCGAGTCCGAAAAATGGCGAAGCCTTTTGTCCATAGAGCAACTTTGCTGCAAAGCGCCCTTTTCGCGGGAACTCAAGCTTTCCTCTCTCCGACTTTGAATTATTTTTTCTCTAAAACTAGTAACTCTGTATGTTTTCAAGTTCACCGTTCGATTCGCAATGAAAGACTCTACAAGTACTGCTTTGGACTGAAACGCCGCTTTTTACTGCCCTTTGGAGGTATGAAAAAGAAGACGGAAAAAAGGCGGAAAAAAGGAGATTCCGAGAAACTTTTGACACCATTTTTGGAATCAAAAATGAGCTTTAGGCCCTTCTTTCTAAGGATTTGGTGAGCTGTTTGAAACCTTTTTTTTCATTTTCGAAATTCAAACAACAAACTTATTTGGAATTTGAAAAATGTTCTGCTCGAAGTTGCCTATGTAAAATTGAAAATGGAAAACGAACGAAAAAATCTCTGGCGAAGCCGTTCAACGTGTTAGTCTCGATCGCACGAATCAATTCTCGTTCTGGCATCTGCTCTAGGCGACGAGACAGAAAAGTGCGGATTGCCTTTTTTTTAATCACATCAGTGAATCGATGTCTTCTAATGAATCCAAGAAAACGACTCTGTATTGAAAATAGTTCGAAGACTTTTTCCTGAACCAAACGTACTGCGCATTCCTTCCTTTCCCAGAGTTGAGAGATCGAAATTTCAAACAACCTTATTTTCGACTGACTCTGAAAAAAAAATTATATATTTAAAACTTTGGATAAAAAAGTTCAGCATGCAAAAAAAATAAAACAAGAGGAGGCAATAAACCCAGAAGTTCATTTCTACAGCAATAGATAGCCATCGCAGTATACAAAATTCATCAAATCCACTTAGAATTTCGTAAAAACTGATAATAAATTCGCTCGCTTGTTTGTCAACTTCTGAAGCTTGTCTGAAAATCGTCACGTACAGTGAGTATACTATTATTCAAATTTTCACCTGGACGGTATATCACAGTCGAGTTCCATCAAATTTTCTATCAGCACAAAAGGGCGGAGTTTTTTTCGAAATGATGAGGACGCTTTCGTCGCATGTACTGAAACTCTTTCTTTAAAAAAAAAAAAAGATTTGAAGCCTCCGCTTCAATCATTGCATCGAAACAGTTCGAAACGGCTGGTAAATGCAAATAATGAACGAATGCTTCTTTGAGAAAAGATAAGCCATCGATTCTACTCAAAAAGAGCTCATTAGAGAACAAATCCACGACGTCCTGTAAAAATATGCCATTATAAATTGTTAAGGAATCACTGAGGCTTCATATGGTCGCGATTTAGAGATGGCTTCATACGATGGTAGGAAGGAATCTTGGGTCCCCAAATATTCGTGAGCGTTAATTGTGCATACACCAATCTTCGAGGCTCGAATCTTTGCAAACGGTTCTTGGGAGCATCCCCCTCTTTTTTAAATTTCCATCTTTTTTTTCCTACATTTTTTTCCTTTGTCGTTTCATTGTGAAGATGATGTGTTTCGACCACAAATAAACACTGTATGATTGTTTTCAACTAAATTTTTATTAAATAATTCGTCTTTCTCGCATACACGTAGTTAAAGATTCGAAGCAGAACGCCTACCACGCTTTCATTTTCTCTGTATACAATTTTCATCAACTTCTGTTTACGAGAATATTGGAAAAATTATACCAAAAAAAAAAGAAAATCAGAAAAGAGGTGAATATTTCCAAAAATCGCTTTCCAAGATTCAAATTTGCAAAGATTTAAGCCCCCCAAGATTGGTGTATGCACAATTAACGCTCACGAATATTCGTGGACCCAAAATTCCTTCCTACCATCCTTCATACTAAAAAATCTCTCGGTCTACTTTCTTCTGATTCCAAAAAACAGTTTCCAAATAGTTTTAAAAAGAAAGATGGAACATCCTTATTTCAAAATTAAACAGAAAAAGGGGACAATTTAGGGTACAAGAAAGACGTCAATTGTGATAACGTGAACGAGCGGCGCTCCCTACCTCACAGGAGCTAAGTCCAAAAGGTAAAAATGAAAAAGCCTCAAGGAAGAATTTTTTCTAGACGTTTTTCTGAATAGGACCTGTTAAAAAGTGTTGGAGAATCACGCTTATATTAGGCTTGTTCTGAATATTCTATCATTTTTTAGACTTTTTCTCGCATGATGATGAGTAGCACACACGGGTGCTACCGCCGATCATCCGTTTATCCCCAGCCGAGCACCCAAAATGCAATTTTTAGCCGCGAATAGGCCCTCTTCAAGCCCAGCGGATATACGCCAAAGCAAAATTCATGCGCCGAGCCCCCGTTCAGGCCCAGGCGATCACCCAGAATATTAAAAAAAAAACACCGGGTGATCGGCAGTAGCACCTGTAGAGTTTCGCAAAATTATGATGTATTAGCTCAACGGGTGATACTGGCCAACATTAGAGTTACGGTTGTATTACGTCATAGGGATCAATTGTATTACTTCCCTTCTAGAAAATTCCATAACTTTCTAGAAGGTTCCAAATCGTTCCAGAATGTTCTTTAACCTTCGAGAAAGATCTCCAAGCCTATGGAATGCTCCCTCATACTCCTTTCCTTATGTACCCTCTAAACTTCACCTTTTTTCTGAAACATTCCACAGTCTTCCAGATCTCTCCCCTGAGTCTATTCAAACCCCGTTGTTTGTTCTTGTTAGTTCACCAATAAAGTCCAACTACAACTTCGCGTTCTCTACCTGAGGGCACAACAAGGAGGTTTAAAAAAAAAAGAAGAGGGAAAAAAGGAGATTCCGAGAAACTTTTGACAACATTTCAGGACCTTAAAAAGGAGATCTAGGCTCTTTTTTTCAAGGCCTTTTTGAGGTCGTTTGGGCTTTGCCTGTGTCACTAGAGAACTACGCGGACTCGCTTAGCCATTTATCATGCAACCATACAAAACCAGTAAATATTAACTGAGTACTCACTCGATTTTTAACATCGGGCTTGCGGAACACTTCGCAGAACACGTTTTTCAGAATTTTTCGCGGGTATGCAATAGAAGAGAAAGATTCCTGGAAGAAATTGTCAATAGTTTCTATTTCTCAGACTTACAGCGAGTAAAACCAGAAGATTGAACACTTGGGTAGTACTTTTCACCCTCAAATATTCATTGACAACCCAAGGAAGCAGTTCTTTCAAATGATTCATCATCGTGGAGTCGTTAAGAGAAAGTAGAGAAAACAGCAACCGCTACACAAAAAAAAACAAAGAAAATGACAAATGTATGTTGAACCTTTTCCATCTTACTTCGTTCACAATCGTTTGTCCAAAAACGGTCATCTGGAGGTAATCTCGTAAAACATGGAGACTTGTCAATTGAAGGGTATCTGAGATGTAGAAAATAAGCCGGGTGAGTGAACAGTACAAAAAACGCAGAGTTAATATTTCAATGATTTTTTTTTTCAAAGCACGCTAGCAAATTCGTCGCGTGTTCAACTTACCAGGGAACTACTCTGGCTCGGGGATGCGGATCGAGTTGAAACTTTGGTGGCTTGCCGACCTGGGTAAGATCTCTTAGATTCAAGTGAGGTTATCTACCAAATCACATAGGCTTCTGAGAAAAAAGCTTCTCCAAGAAACCGAGGAAGAGTCCTGTACACACTAGAACCTCCTCTCACCGAGGCGGCTCAAATATTTATTTCCCTCACTAGGAAACTACGCGAACTCGTAATCGCGGATCGGGTTGAATTTTTAGTGGTTTATAGACCCAAGTCAGAATACTTGAAAACAAGAGAGAATATCTGCTAAACCCGATAGAGAACTGAGAAAAAATTTTAGTAGAAAATGTGAAAATTAGGCTTGAAATTTTTCAGAATACAGATTTTTGCCATATTTTATATTTTAATACAATCTTCTTGGATGATCCGGCTATTATACATTCTAAAAAACTTTTTTCCAGCCAAAAGAAGGAGGAAAGCAAAAGTTTGATAATTTTCAAGCCTGAACAGTACATTTTCAAAAAGCTTTTTTCTCAAAGGCTATGGGGTTTTGGAGATAATCTCTCTTGTTTCCAAGTACTCTTACCCGGGTCTATAAGCCACCAAAGATCCAACTCGAAACGCGTACCCGAGTCCGAGTAGTTCCCTAGTCAGACACTTTGACGAAAATTATAAACGACTGAAACGAGCACTATTTTTGATGAGCCCTTACGAAAGAATGGCGCAGTGTCTTGAGGGCCAGTCTCATCATTGACTTTTTGAGAAGGTTCAATTCTTGCCGAACACACGTTTTTTTTAGTGCAAGAAAATGCTAAACCAAAAACACGGTAAGCGGAGTCAAAGCCTACGCCGTTCCCGCGTGACGTCATTAGAACAGCAGAGATTTCAGCTCGAAGAGCGCAAATAATAGGGCGTATTAAAGGCGCAGGCAGCCCCATTTTCAGAGGTCTTCGAGTCGAATCGAATTTCTATTACATAAACGTAACTTTTTTGCGGGAAAGCGGCGCAGTGCATGCATACGACACACGACACTTTACGGAGAAAAAAAATAGACGAAGCGTCGTCGTAAAAGGCCGTGTTGCAAAATTCGGAAAAATTTAGAAGTTTCTTATTTTCAAAGGCAACCAGTAAAAATTTCCACGAGATCTAGAAAAAAAAGGTGGCTGACATCGTAGTTGTTTTGAAAATGACGGTTTTTCTCTGCTCAATAATTTTTAAGAAGCAGTTGAATCAAGAAAAATGTGTCTCTTCATCAATTTCTGACTTAAGAAGGGTTTTGAGAGCCGAGCCACTGCACCAGGCCCCCTCGATAGGACAGGAAGGCGCAGGCGCGTACAGGACTCTTTCTTCGAGGATCTTCTCTTCAGAAGCCTATAGGGTTAGGTAGATAGTCTCTGTTGTATCTAAGCGCTCATACCCAGGCTTATAACCAAAGTTTCAACTTGATAAGGGTCCTCGAGCCCGAGCAGTTCTCTAGTGAGCAAAAGAACATGTCTCAAAACGCCAAAAAGTTTTTACCACCGCCCCATAGTTGCCCTCCGTTTTTCCATACTCTTTAAGCATACGTTGGCTGGATCCCACCCCGGGGTGCGGCCCTACCTCAGTCCATATTTGCAAAAGGCTGGGGTGGGATCCAGCCGATGTACGTCTTCAAGTCTCAATGAAGATATGGAAAAACATATTTTTCGAGCAAAAAAAAAACGAACCGATTCGAAAACACCGCGATGCGATCACCCAGTCCGCGTTATGGTCAACTTTTTTCTCAAGAGCACACGGCTTCAAATGGTGTTGATGAAACATTGCAGCCAACAATCGCTCACTTCATCCGGCCAGCAGTTGAACAGAATTTGCAAAAATTCAGATCTCGCTACGGCTATCGCCTCCTTCTCGTCAAACGCCACTCTACTGACTATCCATCAACTAACTAAGCTCGATTAGAAAAATGCTTAGTCACCAATGAAAACTCCGCAGATGATCGAATAGGTAGCGGCTTCAAAAAACGCCTTTTTGACTTCCAAACGCTGTGACACGTCAACAGCGTCTAGCAAAAGCTTCAACTCCACCAGACTGCAACATTGGAAGAACGACTGAAAAGGGAAGTTCGAACATAGGATAAAGGAGCTGAAATGTTCCGACTACCTTTAGAACGGTCGGGTCGTCGATGAACGGTTCCAGAGCGGCCGTGTTTCTCTGAAAAAAAAAACTCGAGATGACCATGGAGCGTAGCGGGAAATACTGCCAACAAAAGGTCGAGGCTTGAGAATTTGATGGAAATTTGCTGAGAGGTATTCCGTGTAAAGTCTTCACTCCAAGTAGCTGTTTTATTTCGAGGCTTCCACCTGAATCACGGCCTCCGGCTGCAGCTACATCCTCCGCTACATTCTGAGCTCGTCAAGGAGCAATCAAATGGACATGCGCACAAAAACAAGTTGAAAGACCGTAAGACCATGTTTTCGACTTGATCAACTACACGATTGGACTTTAGCTCGACAAAGGCGGTTATTTTTCGGACGTTCTCGTTACCGAAAACCGAAACTGCGCTTTCGAGGATCGGCGTTTCAAAATTCCTTATTCACGAGGCAAGACGTGCGTTAGGTAGTAAGCTTTCCGGCGTCGTGTTTTCGTGAAAATAAATTTGAAACGGGGAGTTCAATGTTGATAGACCTGAGATCACTTCGCAGCAAATTGTCATCAAAATACTCCACCCTTCTTTGGCAGCATCCTTGTTAAAAAGAACAAGTGGTAACATTTTTTGGTACAAATCATTCAGTGTCATGTCAGTTCTCACAGGGAAGGTCATTTTGCTTTGCGGTTGTAAATTTCTAGAAAATTGGCCAAAACACTTCTTGATGTACCAGAATAAGATTCTGAAAGTCTCAACCCGCACAACTTCGTTAGTTTTTGAGAAATAAGGCTCAAAAAAGCCTATTTCATGAATTTTTAGGATTTTCTTCAACTTCTTTTCTCTTCCAGAAGCCTTCGAGCAGGCTTCTGGAAGAGGAGCTATGTCGAAGGCGTTTGACCACTTGCTGGAAACCTTCTAAACGTCTTCCGACGGACCGAAAGCTTCTCAATTTTCGCCTGAGTGCCAATTTTTGAAGAGTCCCTCGGAGGAATCAACAAATCGGCTTATCAAAAGCGCCCTAACTTCTCCCCGAACATTTCAGATTCCCTCCGTGTTGCTTATCATTTGATTATCCTTGTTACTTTACCGATTGAGATAATATAAAGCAACGGACTTGGTTCAGAGAAGCCGAGCGCAGAATTCCTTTGACCCAGGATCTTCTCTCGAAAAGTTCTCCCGATTTGAAGCGCGTTTTGATGAGCTCGCTGTACAAACTTATCATTTCGTGGACGATTTCGAGAACTGTTTCCTCCACAGACTCGCTTCGCACGGTTTCGCTGGAGAGACTTGATTTGAAAAACGATGAAGGTTATTTCAACTCACTCGGAAGCCCAACAAATCACTGACACACACATATTAAACACAATATTGAAACGAGCATGGCGCAGAAATTTGCTGTTTCTTTTCAAGATTGTTCTAAACCGACATTACTTTCCAAAAAAAGAAAGAAAAGAAGACTTACAGCATTATTAATAGATAGAACTGGCAATCATTTGAATTGTATGCAATGCACTTTTTCGCGGAAACCAGATTCTCTCGGATGACCTATAAACGGAAAATGTAATTTAAAAAAAAGAGAAAGATTATGTCAATTTTGAAAAGTTGCCTTAAGCAGCAATAAAAAAACGAAAAATATGTTTTTTAAGAAGTGTTTGAGGAAATACTTGTAACTTTTAATAGTCCTCGTTTTTTAAGCTCCCACCGTATCTCTAAACACATTTTTTTTTTGTGATCAGGTTTTCCATTGCTTTCGAAAATCATAGCTTTTTGGTCGGCATGATAATGACTATTTTTCAAAAATATGGAACAGAATTTCGGAATTTTCCAGACACTTCTGGAGCCAATATTGAAATTTGGACGAGCTTTTCACTTTAAAAAATAGAACTAGTAAGTTTACTGATTTTCATAGTTAGAAAAACTTCCGAATTATCGTTTTTAGCAATCTGAACATCCCTCCTCCTAACTAGGGGACGTTTTTTAACCTCTCGTTGAAATTTTGATGAAACTTCGCTGTACTTTAGGACCTCCTGATTGCAGAACAAGAAAAAAATGCTCTTGTTTTTGAGTTAAGATGATTTCGAGTCAGAAGCTTGAAATATCCGGCGATTTTGTTAGTGGAAGAAAATGCGAAACCTAAAACACAGTGGGCGGAGCCGAAATATCCGCCGTTCCCACGTGACGTCATGGGAACGTCAAAGTTCGGCTCTAAGAACGAAAATAACAGGGAATATTAAAGGCGCAGGCCGCCGTACTGCCAGAGGTCTTCAAGACGAATCAAAATTTGTCTACATAAACGCGATTTTCTGCGAGAAAGCGGCGCAGTGCATGCACACGACACACGACATTTTACGGAGAAAAGGTGGGCGTGGCGTCGTCGAAAGAACGCCGTAAGTAGCGTTTTTTTTTTGTCATCGTTTGCTTATTTCGCCGACTTTGAAGCTTCATAACCCGGAAACAGGATCTATTGCAAAAATTTTTTTTTCTGCAATCTGGAGGGCCTCAAATACACTTCAGCGAAGTTTCATCGAAGGTTCAACTGGGGGTAAAAAAACGTTCCCTATTTAAACTGTTCCTCAAGTTGTTCACTGGCACACTCATTTGAAAATCTTTAAAGTTAGACATTCCCAACAGACCCTCAAGTTCGAACAGAAAAGGGTTTCAGTAATCGAATGGCTGATCGTTCCAAAAACTTTCAGAAAGTAATTCACTTTCTCAGGCGCTCCGTTCATCGCTCGACGAATCGTGGAAACTGTAGCAGATTGATTAATGCAAACAAAAAAAATTTCAAAGCTAACAAATCATATGACAGTAGTCTTCGTTGTCCATGATTCGAACTAAACCTTTGCCCAGATATTCTTCTAGTCGACACTGTTCCTCGAAACAGAGAGAAATGATTCGTCTCACCGATTCTTTGTATTTATCTTAATCGCTTTTTTTTAGATAACAAGTGGAAACAAAAAAATTGATAAGTAACAAAGAGACATTTGATGTAAGCTTCCTGTGTTGAAATACTTCCAAGGATGTTATGGTCGCAAATATTCTTGAGCGTGAATTGTGCACACACCAGTCTTGGGGGCTCGAATCTTTGAACATTTGAATCTTGCAAAACTCCTTTTAGAAAAAAATTTACCATTTTTTTGTAAACAGAATTTGATAAAACATGCAAACAGAAGGGAGTTTTTTTACTGAAATAGAGAAACGAAAAAAACCTCGATAAATGACCAAAAAAACGACAAAATGCGCTGAAGAACGTCTATCTGGTTTTATTACTTCTGTTTGCATTCTTCATCAACTTCTATTCACGAAAAAATTAAAAAATTTTAGAAAATGAAAAAATGAGGTGAATACTTCCAAAATTCGTTTAACAAGATTCGAACCCCCAAGATTGGTGTATGCACAATTCACGCTCACGAATATTCGCGGACCCAAAATTCTTTCCTAACATCCTTGCAAGGGTCTACACTTACAACCTGTGATTCCTTGAAAGTTTTCTTTTGTTAAAAGGTGGGAATTTCGATCAAGTTAATATAGCTTACAAAAAAGTTTTCAATCAAAAAAATTTCATGAAAGTATCACTTTTTGAAAAAAAAAACCAAGTTTTCCATTACACATAATTATACATCCGTCTAGGTTTCCAAACTTTCGTCATCATTTTCTCGATTTCGGCGCCGATTGTTTTTACTCTAGCCTTTTTAATCGATAATGATGTGGGTATTCCATTCTCGTAATTAAAAACCATCATCGCGCCCATTTCCTGATCAAATGCGGGCTTTTTCAACGTTTTCAAAGTCTTTATCGCTTTTTATTTCCACTATTTTTTTCAATGAAAAATGATGATGGAAAAAAATTAATAATTTGAAAGAAAAAAAGAAAAAAACTTGGTATTTCGAAAAAAATTTAAAATTAACAAGAATTTGTCTTTTCCTGTGAGAGTTTTGTTGAAGGCTATTTTCCCTTGGTCAAAGTTCCCATCTTCTACCAACAGAAGAGTTCTCAGGATTTTTCAAAATATCACAGGTGGATATATGAATATTTGAAGTAATGTCGTTCTAAACCGAGGTCTCGTTTTGACACTATTCTGCTCAGGAGCTGCGAATAAAAACTGAAGCAACGCGTTATAGTACAATGACGCGTTGCGAAATTTCTGAAAAATATTGTTGAATCGGCGTTGAAAAAGAAACAAACGTATCGCAAAGATGCTTCATTAGAGCGTCGATTAGATCGATTTTGAATGGAGAGTATTGAGGATGCAGAAGAATCTGAACCAACCTCAATACAAAAATGAACTTGCCACATGTTCTTCGAGCTCATAAGATATCATGAAAATACTGAAAAAGGTATAGGGTTCTGGCGTTTTAGTGATAACTATAGTAGTCGAATCGCTGGCCACCTAAGTGCTTAAAATTTAGGGGCTCTTCAGAAGTCTAACTAGTAAGTGGGACCGCCAAAACTACTAAAGTGGCCCCCTAGACCCAAAACAGTGGTTTTTATAGAAGTGGTTTTTTTGACAACTTTAATGTCCTCTCCAACTATTCCTACAGGAGATTCTTAAAAGGCCACGAGAGTTTTTATGAGCTTGAAATAGTTTCCAGCAAATTTCCACGGTGCTCTTAGCATAATGAAAAAGATAAGTCATCAAAAAGAACTGTTGTTTCGATCTGTATAATGGAATGGAAATCAAATCGCAATCCTAACAAGAAAAATTCTTGAAAAGAGCTCAAAAACCTAGTGTTGTAAAATTTTTGATGTAAACCACATCATGTAGCCTTTTTCGTTGAAAAAACTGTCTCGAACGGAATCAGAATAAAGTCGGGCAAAGTCGGAATGGTGGATAATGGCCACTAAAAGGGAGAGGGTGCGAAAAGGCAGCAAAGAGAGTCCATTTATTGAGCCTTCATTTTTTCTGGGATTTTAAAGACTCAAGAAATGGTGGGAAAAGGGAGAGGCAGAAAAAGTGGCGCAGAGAAAATGGCGCAAAAGGGCAGCAAAAAAGGAGCCTTTGTCACCCTAAAGGGGCATTTTTAAGGATCCTTTTTCACCTTTTCCGACTTTGCCTATGAAAAATCGCACCTCCACAGGAAGATGAACGGAGCAGTTCGCAACAAAAACGGCACACCGATCGTTTCTCCAAGCGTGGCGGGGCTGAAGGAGGTCTTGTACCGCCGCCTGCCCGAATTTGTTTTAATTTCCATGTTTTCCGCGTTTTTCAAACCCAAAGAACGCGATCATCAGCGACGACGTCTCCTCGTTCTATGATACGTTCTCTATGGAAGGAGATGGCTTTCGAGAAAAGCTCCGCAGCAACTAATCTGGAAAACTGATTTTTTTCTTTTTCACACCACTTTGTTCAATTTGGAAAGTTGGCATAGATTTTTTCAGTCGTTTTTTTTTTAGATTCAAAATCAAAAGCGCATTAGAGCGTATAGCTGATTCACGGCTGGCTTGAGCCATCAAAAAAGGGTCCTGACGCGATAATGCACGAGATAGCGCCTGTCTCGTGAAGAGCACAGACAGGACACGCCCCCTTAGCGTCCCAAACTGGCCGTGAATCAGTTATATTCTAGACTTGATAGATTTTCAAACTACCAGACTCGTGCGTCGGGCTGAGCGGCCTGGGCACGCCCGGAATTTGGGCCACATTTTTTTTTTACAAAATTTCTGCGCAGGCTTTGATCATAGAAAATCTTTCTTAACTCAATATTTTCACCGAAAAACCTTTCTCCTCGTGAAATCTAAGTTACTATAGAATTTTGAGAAACCAGAAATTCTCATTTTTGTCATGGAAAAGTTTGATATTCAACTTGTAGAACATTTACAAAACTTCGGCCGGTTTTGTTTAAGGCCACGCACAACACTAAAACAGCAAGGAAAAAAGTGCGAACCCGCATTCCACATCTTTTGGACCGCCTCCAAATCCCTCCGAATGCCACGAATATGGTAAAAATGGCTTCAATAAGTTTGAGTAGTCCTGAAAATGAATTTTCAAAAAAATTATAAGACGCACATGGAGCAATTTTCAAATTTTCGATATTCGACCGAAAATTTATTACAATGCAGAGCTTGGTAACGCGAACCGGCCTCTTCGGAGCCTTTCTAGTGACCCCTTTAGTAGCGTCAGAACTCTTAAGTGATCCTTAGAACTGCTCAAAAACGTTCGGTTTTCGTTACCGAGGTCCGAGAAGATGCAGGGTGCTCAGTGAATTGATTTTATTCAGATTTTGAAGTCCGGCTTGAAATGACTGCCTCTAGGACTAGGTCATCTATTGACTTGCTTTGGGCGGGATGTTCATAAGATTCCTTGCTGATTTCTTTTTCTTTTAATCTATCGATTCTGCACCCCGCACAATATATATTTCGAGTTTCATTTTTTCAGCCGTGAGAAAGAGGAAAAGAAGCGTGCTTTGTTTCAACTAAAAAGAAAAACAGGTTGGAAGGTTGGAAAACTTTCTATTCTGTATCTGTATTTTTGTGTTCGAGTGAGATAAATAAATAAATAGAGGATTCGAAATCCTCTGATCTCTGAAAGATTTCATGGACTTCGCTCATGATACTTTTCATTGTTTAAAAAAAACCGTGAGATCAGTTGCTGATCCAAGGGGTTTCTGAGAGATAATCAACTCGTACGAGTACAACAAAACTCTGAGACAGCATAGAGCGATCTGAAATCTGGGATATTGAACGAAATCGAGAAACTTCCCACATCAACGTCGACGATTTTATCAGGCAGCCTCCCGACTCTGCTGAGCAAATCTTTGAAAAGATCGAAAATGCGGTTAACTGTTTCCGCTGGAATAATTGTATGATTAAAAGCATCAAGGAAAAGGAAAAGTGCAAGAAAAAATATAGCCGATTCACGGCGAGCGGCTCGAGAAATAGTGGAAAAAAATCGAGTCAAGCCTTTAAAATACCAGAAAAATAAATGGAAGGCGTGATAAAAATGACTCTTTTTGCGGCCTTTTTTGCGACTTTGCCTGAGATCTTGTCATGAAGATCATTTCACAGTGAAACACAAAAAAGCAGCTTTAAGCTTTTCCTACACATTTTGGACCAGCTCTTCTTTGAGCCTCTAGGCGAATTACTAAGTTGTTTTGTACTATATTCTAAGACTCCCTATCAAAAATGTTTGGCGCGATTCCCATTACAGACAGTTTCCTGGTTAGAGTTTCACATTTTTTGCGATTTTCAAAATTTCAGGACCTTTGGAAGTTCTTTCCATCAAAATTTGGCCCGTACTCAGCACGCAGCCCATTGCAAATGTTGAATAGTCTGTCGAATTCCTCGGGGCGTCTTTCGGGAAAACGTGTATGAAGTCGTTCAGCCTATAGGCAGGTTTTTTTTTTTTGAAAAACCAATAACTATTTAATATTGCCTTTCAATGAGGCTGGCGGCACAAGCGTCTGTCTGTTGGCTGAGAAAGCATTGGGCTTTTTCTGAGTAAATTCGAAACGTTCTAATATAATGGATGAACCGCACATAGATTTCAAAAAGAAAACCTGCAAGGGAGGATTATTAGTTTTAGTTTCATTAACTAAAATTTATAATTATCGTGAGATGTATTTATCTAAGTTTTGAGTTCATGAGTCGTTCAAAACGTTCCAGACGTAGTTTTTGAAGCGGTTCAAATGATACACGTCAAACTTCCCATGATAAATTGAAATATCAAGTCAAAAAATCGGTGAAAATTATTCACTGGCAAGGAAGATCATATGGGCGTGAAAATTTTTGGAGCTTTCTGTGAACTCTTCCAAAACTTCGTGACAAAAAAGCGGAGAAACTCCTTTCATTCTATTTTTGGATGTAAATGGCTGTTTTGCAGCTTTTCCAGCTTTTTCTGCAAATAGACTTCTTCTCGTTTCCCTATGACATTCAATGCCAATTTTTTTTTGAGCTCTGCTCAACCCTAAAACTGATCAGACCTGTATTACTTTAACAACTTTTTTTGGGTTTCACGAACACGTCTTTTCTCTGTTGCCTTCCAAAACTTTGGGTCTGAGCCAACTGACGAAAAAAATGGCGGTATTCTCTGTGCAGCAGCTTTTCGCAGCGGCATAGGCGAAATGGCGAAGTTCCTTGAAAAACCAGAGAAATTACACAAGTTCTATTCAGAAAGCCAAACTTTTTCCCATTTCCCACCGTGTAGCCGGTCAATCCATGTAAATCTTCTGACTTCGGAAAAAAAACGGTTGGCCCTGGGCAGTCCAACATAATCGACGAGTGGCAATAGCGACAAAACGGTTCGGAGAAGCGAAATGTCGTCAAACTTCTCAAAATCGAAAAATTAGAACGTAAACTTGGCGGAATTTCGAGAAAAGAACATTTTAAGCTGTTTTTCATAGGAAAAATTCAGAAGACCGTTGCAAAAAGCTTTCTGATGACTTCGATTCCTTTCAATTTGCTTGGTTAGAAGGGAAAATGCTCTTAAAAAACGTTTTCGACTTGTAAGGTAGTTTGAAAATGTTTTAGGTTCTTTGGACTTTCCCATCATTTTGCCTACCTTGTAATAGGAATTAGCAACGTCGAAAAGTGACTTATGATCGCAACTTGCGCCCCAAATCACATTCCAGACGTCTTTAAAGTCACCCTGAAAGAATTTTTTCAATATTAACTTTGCAAGTTTAATTTTGAGCAATGAGAATGTGAAGGAAGCTATGAAGCTCAAGAGTCAGTATCTATTAAAAGTTTGTCAAACGATTGAAAATTGAATGGTATTTTTTTATAGAGATGATGAATAGAAAAAAAACTACTGAAATCACTTTTTTTATTTTTAAAAACAAATTCTTCGGATTAACGTTGCACCTTCGATGAAAGAAAAAAATATTCGAAAATTCAAGAAGCTTTCAAACTTCTCATGAAATTCATGCAATCAAATCAGAATAAAAACGAATCTAAATGAAATATTCGAAAAGAATTATTTTTATAATCGCTCTTCTATTTGCTGGAAGTTCGGTATTGCAAAAATTGGAAGAAAATTCAAACCCTGTCTTTGAGACCAGCAAAAACTTCGACGGTACAAATCCTGGTGGCGCTCAAATCGAAATTTTCTTTTCTCAATGTATTCAAAGCCAATTTTAAAGGGTCTTGTCTGCGATGCGATGTATCGCTCGCGATACTCATTGTGAAGGGAAGAAATCTTCAAATGGAAATCTTTTTCGAAATCTGAAAAGATTGATCATGTACAAAACGTGGCCTCACAACAACGACGACACCATTCAATTCAAAAAATCGCTGAATTTCCTTTACTAAACAATGCGCAATCGGAAAAGAAATTAATATAGAGCAGGCGGATCATAAAATTTCACAGAGCTGCTTGATTTTTCAATAATTATAGGTACAAGAACATAAAAAAACTAATTCAAATAAATAATATGATTATAATTTTTAAGTCGAGATCAAAAAAAGAACCGGTGAGTTTGAAAGGTACAGAACAATTAAAAATCCTATCAATAGAAGATTAAACTATATACTTTCAAAGTATGCCATAAAAGTTAGGGGGTTATCATTCACAGAAAAAAATAAATTAATGGGAAATCCTATAGAAAGGAAAATTTTGAGATTAACGAATAAAACAGCCTAAAAAGGAATTTGAAAACTGAGGTAGGGCAAAACTGTGTGATTTCGCGCCTAATTTTTTTCAATCTGAACAATCGGCATTTCATCCGAAAAATACTTTTTTACTATTCTGAAAAGATGAAATCTTGCATCATATGTCTAAGGAGCGAATAAAATCAAAATTTCTGCCTTAAGCTTCTCACTTTTTTCCGAATTTTTGCAATTTTTGCTACCGTTTTCAATCAAACATACATGTTTGATAGAAGAAAAACAGGATTAATCAAGAGGAATTTCGGATATCACTTCGAATCTCCATTTCGAGCCGTATGAAGGCCTTCTGAATGCACACGGCGGCGTTAGGCGAATTGAGGTGCAGTTCCAGCGGAAAAACTTTGACGACGTCGAAAATCGACAGGTTCATCAGCTCACCCAGCGTATTCACCTTTTTCGCTCTCAAATTCGCCAGAAACTCTTCCTTACGTCTCAAATTCAATCATTATTCTGCGTAGAAAAAATTCGAAACAACTTTTTTGAGCCGAGAGTTCGCATATGAATTTGAGACGCTGCCAGAGGACATTCAATCAAAGGGCTGTCCACATCGAAATACCACCGAAAAGGTGTGATCTTCTGAAATCGAAAAATAAGTGACCGAAAGCTCAAAAATTGTTCTGAACAATGGTCTGAACTAACAATGTTTAATCTACTAATTACGGTAGGAAGGAATTTTGGGTCCGTGAATATTCGTGAGTGTTAATTGTGCATACACCAATCTTGGGGGCTCGAATCTTTGCAAATTTTTATCTTGGAAAGCGATTTTTGGAAATATTCACCTCTTTTTTTGAGAATCCAAAATTTCTTCCTACCATTCTCCTAGTTGATTATCTACTTCAATTTTTGATCTTTTTGGAGTTTGAGAGTATGTTTTCGCTCACCAGTCATCTTATGGGTAGACTCTACCTCTTTATAGAAAAAAAATATCAGACCGAGACGTTGATTTTTTTAAACTTCAAATGGACCTAACTTTTCATGAACACCCTTGAAAGTCAGGAATCGAGTCAAATTACCAAAATTTGAACCTTTGAAATCAAATTAAAAGCGACTTTCACTACACAGCACACTTTTAGTTGACTAAATTTAAACTTCATTTTCCGGGCTGAATTCAATTGGAACTCGTTGCCTCAAAAAATTTATGAAACTTACATCCAATGGGTCTGGAACATCAGGCGGTGTGTGCTTCGAATAAGACGACAAATCCGAAATTCCCTGTCTTCTACTATCGGTTTTGCTTCTTCTCTTCGCTTTTTCTGGGGATACCTAAAAAAAATATCAAATTGTAACAAATTATTTTTAGTTCAAAACAGATGTAAACTTTTTCGAAAAATGCAGAAAGAAATTCCGTGTATAATTTCCTCATTCCAGCTCAGAAAAAGCCAAAAAATTTGCTTTGCCAAGGAAACAAAAAATTCAAACATTTGTGCTGTCGGATTCAGTCATAACAGTACTCAAAAGTACACCTTTTGGGAATTTTCTGAACTTTATCTGAGACAGTCTGATTGTAACAGTAGTCGAGAAAATTTCACACTCTGTGCCTCTTATTCGACTTATGCCAAAATTTTTCCTTTTTATGAATTTTGAATTGAATTATGAGATTTGAAAAATGAAACAAAAAAATGCAGCTTTCGAAAAAAATTATACTTATTAAGAATGAAGCTTCCGAAGTGCAAAAATTTTTTTGGTTAAACCTTAAGCTGATTTCGAACATTTCAGGAACTATTATCTTAAAATTGCAGATTAAAAAATTGGAACGAAAATTTGGAGTATGCGACAGTGCGTCTCGGTGTTTACACCATAAGAACCATAATTTACGCAATGCCTTGACTTGCGTATTAAAAATGCGCTGTGTCAAGTTTAACAAAATTCGCTTTCAAAAATTGCAATTTCTATGAAGATAGGCATGTAGTTAATCATTCCCGAATTGATAAAAAAAATCGCCTTTCCAGTCAGGAAATAATTCCTTTAAAGGCATAAGGGGCAGTAAAAAACGGTGTTTCAGTTCAAAGCAGTATTTTGTAGAGCTTTTCATTGCGAATCGAACGGTGAACTTGGAAACGTACAGAAATTCCTAGTTTTGGAGAAAAAATAATTCAAAGTCGGAGAAAAGAAAGCTTGAGTTCCCGCGAAAAGGGCGCCTTGCAGTAAAGTTGCTCTATGGACAACAGGGTTCGCCATCTTCCGGATTTTTCGCTTTTTTTCTTCGTTTCTTTTTAATTTTCAATTTTTTTCTGTTGTCACCAGAGTTTTTTTCGTCACCAAAGCCTTCGATTCATGTATAATTTGCAAACTTTGATCGCAAAAAGCTTTTTCTGGTGAAAAAAATGATGATTTTTACACAGGTTTCGATTGGGATAACATTATTTGTGTTTTCTTTATTATCACTGTGTGTTTTCGGTTTTCTTAATCAATTTTTCAGAGAAGAAACCCTTAATTTGAAGCAGATAGCCGGTTATTTCATACAAAATGTGAGTCTAATAAGACATCCGCAACATCTCGTGCACGGCTACTGTAAACAGTTGTCTGCATACCGATCCAAAGCATTTTTCAAAATTAAAGGCGGGAAAGTGAAATCGCGTTTTTCTTCTAAAGTTGTCACATCTGTAATTTTTTTGAGTACACCATTCGATTCGCAATAAAAAACTATATAAGATGCTGCTTTCACCTGAAACCCCATTTTTTACTGCCCCTATGCCTTTAAAAGCGTAAAAAAATTTTTTTCGGATAGAAGATCCACAGACTTTACAAAACTTCTAAATAATTTTTTTATTTTTGAACTTTCCTTCTGGATAAATTTTTTTGTCAGAAACATACATGGGCTAACCAACTACTTTTTTGTGACGTCATCACGTACCCCCTTTGAATAAGTACGTACTCCCCTCGAAAAAAAGTACGTACCCCCCCCGCGGAAAACTATCAATGTGAAATGATTATTAAAGTTAATATAAAAAAATGGAATGAGACTATTATCTTGTTTCGCGGGCTTTTTGGAAGTATATTCAGCTAGATGTCAATACTCCAAAACAGAAATATTTCAACTTTTAGCGTAGACCCCCAAAATCCGAAAATCGATCTGTTACCAATGTTATCCTACATTATGAAGTGAGTTTTATGATCTGGCCAAGTTTCGAGCCGTTTGGATGAGTTTTAAGAAAAATTATTTTTTGGGTCACCGGAAATTGATATTTTGAAATTTTGAACTTTTTGGCTCAAAAACATTATTAACCTTGAGTCTACCCTAATATGGGTATATGCTTCAAGTTTCCAGGCTTCCGGACGTTTTTTGACCAAGTTAGAGTGTTTCAAAGCGTTATCACTTGACGGTTTGCGTACCCCCCCGTACTCCCCCAAAATCCGAAAATCGATCTGTTTTCAATGTTATCCTACATTATGAAGTGAGTTTTATGATCTGGCCAAGTTTCGAGCCGTTTGGATGAGTTTTAAGAAAAATAATTTTTTGGGTCACCGGAAATTGATATTTTGAAATTTTGAATTTTTTCCTTGTTTCGTTTTGAGAAATGACCTAGTAGATGTAAGAATGCATGCTGATCTCGATTTCGCTAGTTTCAATCCAAAAAAACACGAGATAAAAAAGTTATTCGGTAATCTTACCTAAAATTACATGTTTTTTAAAGTTTTCGGGTCGTAGATGGAAAACTCGCCTAATTCATGTTTTGCTCAGTAGATAGCGTATTTTTTTTTGTGGTTTCGAAAGCAACAAGACAAAACGCCGGACCGCAACGTCATGTACTGGTTTTTGATTTTTTTGAGAAAAAAATTCTCTAATATGAGCAATAATAAGCAATAATGAAGTGATAAATTTTTTTAAAAAAATTGAATAAAATTATATTGCACCTTATTACAAACTTTGGTTGAGTTTCGTCGAATTTTTGTCAAGATATAGATTTTCGAAGGGGTCTACCGTACTTCTTTGAGCCACCGTATCTCGAAAACGGCTCGAGTGATGATGTTCAGTTTTTTTTTCAAAAAATCCCAAAAATCGTGTTCTACAACATATTTGATTTGGAGAAAATTTCACCCTAACGCTTTTTCAACTCATCCTCACGGCGTTAACATACAGTGAAAGCGGAGCGTAAATTTTGCCACCATGCGTCGCGGTCGGGAACCACTGTAACTTGGTCAAAAAACGTCCGGAAGCAAATTTGGAGCATATACCCATATTAGGGTAGACTCAAGGTTAATAATGTTTTTGAGCCAAAAAGTTCAAAATTTCAAAATATCAATTTCCGGTGACCCAAAAAATTATTTTTCTTAAAACTCATCCAAACGGCTCGAAACTTGGCCAGATCATGAAACTCACTTCATAATGTAGGATAACATTGAAAACAGATCGATTTTCGGATTTTGGGGGAGTACGGGGGGGTACGCAAACCGTCAAGTGATAACGCTTTGAAACACTCTAACTTGGTCAAAAAACGTCCGGAAGCCTGGAAACTTGTAGCATATACCTTATTTAGGGTTAACTCAAAGTTGATAACGATTTTGAGCCAAAAAATTGTAGATCTCCAGAAATCATTTTCTTATGGGGTCAGAAGTTGATTATTTTTTTTAATTTTCCAAACGGCTTAAAATTTGGTGAGCATGTATGTATCATCCATTGGTACCATTTAAACTAGAATTCAGGTCGATTTATCAGCTCTGGAATTTTTTATAAGGCTATTTCTACGATTCCCCGCGATTTTATCTGCCGTTCGGAGCTCGGCAAAAAGATAGGCAACGAATTTCCTACTAAATGTACTTTGAAAAGCTCGATAAATAATATGGATGCATTTTCCGCGGCTTAGAAAGCCATCTGAATGAATAGGGGGGCCCGAAAGTGAAAAACAGCCTGTTAGCCCACGTATGGTCAGAAAACGATTTCTCGTGGGCAAAGCCGTGAAATCGAACAAAATCGACGGAAAAAGAGATCCATTCCAATAATATCCGAAAGAAAGGATCACCTGCACTCACATTTGAACGCCTAGGAACTTCGGCAAGCTTCGCGCTGTTTCTTTTTAGCCCGCCGTCAAGCTCTTGCGACGTATCCAAACTTGTCTAAAAACTAAAATTGATGTTCGTGATTAATTTCTTTCTTTCTGATGTTGTTGGACTTTCGAACTGCGGATGCAAAAAAAAACTCACATTTTCGTGAGAAGACCCACCCGAATGCTTCGTCTGACCGATTTCGACTGTGTTAGCTACTTTGGAAGACTTGGAGGCGTTTCCATTCATATCGTTTTCATTTTCGACGCTAGTGAGGGATAAATTGTCTCCGGCTGCCTGGAAATAGACTAGTTCAAAAATAGAGATCAGATGAGTTAAAAATTCCACAAATGAATGTTTGGCTAAAATCTTTCTTTTTTCTGATGGTTTTTTTCGGAGAAATATGTGAAGCGTCAACTAAAATACCCTTAAAAAGGGGTTCGAGATTCTAGAATCTAGAATTAAACTAAAAAACAACACATTTCAAAAATTAGATTTTTCTGCAAGCTAAAATAGCCATTCGATTGAAAATTTTCTAACTAGTGCCTAAATTTTATTCATTTTTTTTTTTCATTTAATTGGTTAAGATTTGATTTATTCGCAAAAAAATGTTAAAACTTTAAAAAAAACTCCCGTCTAAAAAAATATTGGTTGCAAGGGAACTGAAATACTTTTTTTCTTGAACCGACAAAAAACGAGATCAAAAAAACTTTTTACTCTTTTTAAGGGCCTCTAAAAAAAACTCTTACTTTCCCCTTTGGTAAAATTTTTCCCCATTAGTGAATAAATTGTTTTCTTGAATAAACGAATCAGGTGATTAAGAACTATTTTCATTGAATTTTTTCAAACAATGAACCGTTTTTCAACTAAAAATCCAAAAAACTTTGAGAAGGCTGACATTTTTGTTAGGCGAAACAGAAGCGACAAAATTCTGCGGAGCATTCAGCGGCGATGAAATCATGCGCTCTCTTCTAACTCTTTCAAACAATTCGACCGGGAATGTGACGGATAGTCGCCCACGACGTTTTTCTGGAGAGATTTTGGCTCGTTTTGCATGTGGCGGTTGGAGCTCGTCCACCTGTAGCGTGAAAAATTAGCAAACTAGCTTTCAAAAAACAAACCTTCACTTCTAATGGTTTCAGTGGAGCAGGTGGCGTAAATGGCGCCAGAGAAGTTTGGGAAGAGGAGCTGAAAATTATCGTTTTGAACACCCCATCGAGAAAAAAAAACGAGAGTAGCAAAGAAAAATATTCAACGAACATAAAAGGGACCTTTTCTTGGTTTCCATACTGACAAAATTCGCTAATACGAAGTAACCGATTGTTTAATTTGTGGACTCTGAGACGATCAATTTTTTTCAGCCTCATTTTCTGAGTTTCTGTGGCGCCAAACTTGTTGGTTGAGTGTAAAAGGGACATTTGTTATTATTATTATTATCATTTTTTCGCATTCGAATCCCAAATTTAAGCTTGTTCCGAAACTTGCAAAACTACTAACGGCTTCGCGATTTCACGGTTGAAGTACAACTTCCACATGGACATCGTTTTAACGTTCAGATGGTTGATCTTCTCGCGAGCCAATAGTTTGAACAGCACCAGCCATTCCTGGGATAACAGTCCGTCGGCGGCGACGTCATTCGGAACTTCATTCTCGTGCGCCTCGGTAAGAATTTCCACTAGCTGCAAAAGGTGGGAATGATCAAGAAAAAAGGACAAAGATCCGAAAGATCAACAACACATTCATTTCTAATAAAAAAAACACAAAACAATCGAAAAAAGTTTTGGATCTATGAAATCAGCACCGTAAATGGGTAAATTTCTTCAATAAAAGTATAGAAAACATTTTCTTATGACAATTTTAGTTCATGAAACATGGTAGAAGCCCGATGAGCGTTGCTAAAAAGAGAATTCTTCATTTCAAAATTAGATAACACATCGAGTGAATTTTCATGACTTTTTTTTTGCTTAACCTAAAAGTTCGTGTCTAAAAATGAAGTTTTATCCACAGAGCTGCTTCGAAAAAGTCAGAAAACCTATGCCTGGTTTCGAAAATGTTCTCATTGGAAAGTTCAGCTTTTTTACTTATATTTAAGGCCTAATTTTAAAAAAAGTCGAGTTTCAGTACTCCAATAAACGAAAAATGTTTGAGCTCAACTAAAAAAAATTTTTTTCTTCAACTTCTTGAAAAAGAGTCCTCAAATATTTATATAAATCTTATTGCGTGCACAGAGGTTCATAAAAAAACGTATTTCGAAAGAAACTCGATTGAAAAATCCCTTAAACTTACACGCTCGAAAAAAGAAAACATCCGTCCGGAACGTGCAATATTTTCCTCTTTGCTGATGAGCAAAAACATGCATTTGAGGGATTTCGCCAAAGCGCTCACCGCATTTCTCAACTGAAAATATAGAATCTTTGGCAAAATATCAACTTTTGAGACAAACCGACTGCGGGCGATGTGTGGCCACAGCATCGAAAACCCTGATGAGAATATCTCCGAGTTTATCGAAAACAGTAGGAATGACTTCAGCCGGGAAATTGTTCTCAAAACTTTCAGTAAAAAAAAACTATTTTGGAAAAAACCTCTTTAGCCGTTAAATGAAGCATTATTTGATAGACAATGATCATGAAAACGTGCATACAACCAAAATTTTCCACTTCGATGATTCGATCAGCTTTCGTGGTGAAACCTTGATCATCAGAAAAGTGACAACTTATCCTGATTTCCCAACCTTTCAACTGAGGCAAAATTGGGAAAAAATCAAGGCTTCCGAGGATTTTCATCGTTTCATCCGTTGCAATGATTGGCAGCACGAAGCAGCACAGATCCACAATGTGGGGCTGTAAATTGGATCGTCTTGAAATGAATATTTTTTTTGTTTTCCACTAACCTTACACCTTTGCTTGGCGGCTGAGAGGAGCTGTACCAAGTCATGCAGAAGATGAATTTGAACCGAACCATTTTTTTGCAGTTCCCTGGCTTTTATAATAGTCGCCTCGTAAAGTTTCTTCCAGGCGTTTTTCACGTAATCTTCGAGATAAATCTGTGAAAATGAGTATTTGAAGTGGGGAACGAAGGATGAATATTTGTTTTGAAAGTTCAATACGGGGACATGAAAAGAAGTTCAAGAATTCAGGAGTAGAATGACCAAAAAAGAAACTTTTCCTTGTGTTGAAATAGAAAAATAAAGAGCTTTCTGAGCTTACTATCACGAACTTTGTTCTCTAAAAACAGTTTTCAAACTAAAAAAAAAAACCTTCTTATATTCAGCCAATTCGAACGGGATACCCAAAACGATGACCAAATCATTGAAGTTTTCTGCGGAAGTTGACTGAAATAAGACATGAGCAATCTGTGCGTCAATTTCCCTATAAAACCGGTGAACTGGGAACAAAATTGTTAATATTCTTAACGATCCTCACGGCCAATCTCGACCATTGATATTTGCAAATTCGGCTCTTTGACATCCTTCTGCATTGCGGATTGTGGTCGTTTACTGTAGGTCTCCAATTTTTCAATCTATTACCAGTTGAGGGCGCGTGGTAATAGCTCAACCAGTGGCCGAAATAGTCCCTGAAGTGGACACTTTTGTTCGATCATATAGTTTATTATAACAGTACACTGATTGGGGTGACCTATCGATAGTAGAAGCTCCATGATCTGTCATTTAATAGAGCCCTGAAACACATATCGCAATAAATCAAAAGAGAAAAAAAATAATAAAACGTGTACTGAAGTAGCGTTCATTAAAGAAACCGGAGGATAAACGCGAAAAATTGTCTAAAGCTGCTCCGCAACAGTACACCTTTTGTTTTGGAGTATTTTTGTTGCTTTTGGAACGATTTCTGTTTTTTTTTTCGATGAAAAAGTCATAATTGAGGACAAAACGCAAAATCCTTCAAGCCAAAGCCTCGAAATGAACAAAAAAAAAATGGATAATTATTGAAAAAACAGAAACATCAATATGGTCTTCTGATTAAATTAAATCAAAATTAGCGCGCTTTCCGTGAAAATTTCTACCGCCGTTCGGATCAGCAACAGAGCGCACATGCAGAAACGTAGTGGGCTGTTGAAATTGCCAAAGTTCGAGAAAATTTGGCCAAATTGATACATGGCAAAAAATATTTAAACTGGCGAATTCTTATTTTTCGTTTTTTTTTCTCAAATAACGCGATAAACGGCCAAGGAGCGAGATAATAAATGCAATTTATATGAAGTCAAAGCTGAAGAACAATATGAACACAAATGTAACAATAAGAAATAAACATGTACATTAGAGTTCTCAAAAGTAAATGTTTGAACGAACGTTCAACCAAACATTTTCCGAACGTTTGATGAATTCGACCAATTGGTTAAATTTCACATGAACTGTTTGTTAAAAACCTCAATTTGGTTAAATTTCATAACTGAGCATTTAAAAAAATGAACAATTACTTATTTTTTTCGAAAAAAATTTTTGTTCAAAAAAATGAACATTCAAATTTCATTTTTGAAAATTTTTGGTCAAAAAAATGAACATTCAAATTTCATTTTGAAAAATTTTTGGTCAAAAAGTAAACATTTAAAAATTCATTTTTAAAAAAATTTTTGGTCAAAAAAAGTAAACATTTAAAATTCATTTTAAAAAAATTTTTGGTCAAAATAGTGACCATTCAAATTTCATTTTGAAAATTTTTTTTGTGATGGTAAACATTTATTCATTAATTTATTCATTACAATTACGGCACTTGGCAGTATCTGTGCCGGAGTCAATTCTGTCTCAGTCTACTCCAAATGAAATCATGAATCGATTACTTCGAAATTCAAACTAATTTCTGGTTAAAATTAATAAATCTGTTGGAAAACAGTGATTTGGATGGTCAAGGGGAAAGCTAAAAGCCGGTTAAGGACGGGAAAAATTATATGGAACCGGTCAAAAATGAGCAGAACGGAAGAAAGGTGCTATCTGGAGAATTAATTGAATGAGGAAAAAAAGGAAAAAGTATTGATTTGGATTTTTGGTTCGGAAAAATCCAGGTTCGGAAAAACTATCGGCCAAAAAAATGAACTTTTAATTTTTCACAGTTGAAAAAAAAATTTTTTTGTACGAAAAAAAGTAAACATTTAAAATTCTTGTTGAAAATTTTTGGTCAAAAAAATGAACATTTAAATTTCACTCGTGAAAATTTTTGGTCAAAAAAAGTAAACATTCAAAAATTCATTTTGAAAAATTTTTGTTCAAAAAAATGAACATTTAAAGGTCATTTTAAAAAAATTTTTGGTCAAAAAAATGAACATTTAAATTTCACTTCTGAAAAATTTTTGGTCAAAAAGAGTAAACATTTAAAATTCGTTTCGAAAAATTTTTGGTCAAAAAAAGTGACCATTTACTTTTTCACTTTGAAAAAAATTTGGTCATAAAGACGAACATTTATTTACTAGTCAGAATATGATTGTTTAGAAAATGACCATTTAATTTTTTTCAGTCATTATTTGAAAAAGTCACAAAATGAAAAAGAATGAAAGTGATCAATTTTTGGTTGATCTTTCAAAAAAACGACATTCGTTTGAAATGTCAAAAAGAAAATTTTTTTCGTTTTTTTGAAAAAAATGTCATTTTTTTCAATTGGTCATTTTGAGAACTCTAATGTACATGTAAAAAAAGTAGTAGGGCTTTGAATCTCTACAAAATAAACCACGCCCAGTTTTCTGCAATTGTGGCGCGGTGTGTCTCATTTCTCTCCACTGCGAGGTTCCCTTTTGGAACGCCGTGTTGGAAAAATTAATTTATTTTCGATTAATTTAGATAGTCGATGAAAATTCGGATTCAAGCTTTGAAAATACGATCAAAAATACATGCCTGTTCAATATAACAGTTGTTAGGTTCTTTAAAAAAAAAAATTCAAAATCAAAATGGTAATTTCGCTACCGTCGTTACCTACAGAAAATTGAAATAAACAAAAAAAAATTTTTTACTGATTCAGAAAAAGACCGCGCAACATTGCTCTGGCCGGCTTGACAGTCTTGAACAGGCGTGTCTTGAATAAATCTTTCCTCGCTGCTCGGAAAATAATTAATGAGGGGCCGCTGCACTTTTTGCGAAACAATGTGCGAAAAGAAGAGACGCAGGTCGCTGTAATGCTTTCTTTCTCGAGCTGGTGGTAAAGTGCACGGTGGGTACGAATGCAGTTCAACGGGACACGAGAAAAAATCATCTTCAAAATGGGTTGGTAAGAGTTTCAATGGTCATCGAGGGAACGTGTGCGACTAGCGAACGGATCGTCAAACACTTTTTTTCGTTAGTTTCGCAGAAAAAAAAAATTCAAACAAACGCCTCTTTTTCTCTAGGGGTCAAACTCACATGCGCAGCTTTGAAAAACATTTGCAAAAATTAGAAAAAGGTCTAGTTCGGTGTGTTTTAAAAAAATTTCTTACTTCATCAGTTCGTTCTGATTGAAAATTTTGTTTTTTTTAAAGCTTCGAATGTTGACGTCTCTCAAATTCTTTTCAAAATATCTGCTTTTTTCAGCTAAATTATTTTTTCACATGCATTGACACAAAATTGTCTCTCAGCAAAATTTAATAACTTATTTTCTCGTTCACTCTTTAGTTATAGCAATTAAGTCATGGATGACTGGAGCGAATCGAAATACGCGTTTTTTTAACCGACCCAAACTATCCAAATGCGGAGAACAAAAAAATGAGTGCTTTCAGGCTGATTCCGCACAGCTGGAAGATATATATATATATGACTCCACTTTTGCGCGGTGCTCAAGTTATAATAATAGCAATCTTTCAGAAAAAAAAATAATAAGAAATCTAAACGCCGGATTAAGCTTAAACTTTAAGATGGTCAAAAGCTTTTGAGATTCGCATCTAAAAATTTTGCACATTATAATCTAAAACTTTCTAATGCTGATGAAATAAAACTACACGTAAGAAACTGATGATACGACTGAATATCCGATCCCTCAATCTTCAAATGCTAATTGATATTTAAAAAAATTTTTTTTGCAGATTTTGTGATGTCACGCTCACCACTAAGTGTACTAAAAAAAGCGATTGAATTTCCTCAAATCATTTAAACCTCTCAATATCTAATTAAAGAGTTTCCCTTCGACAGTTTCTAGTTGTCCTAAAACCTCGAAAAGTCTATCAAACTCACCAAAAATATAATTTTTCCCGACTTGAAACTCCAGATGGGTATAGTCTGTTCAGATTTTCAATGTCAAGTCGTCGCTCAAGCTCCGCCCATAATGGTGCGATAAACCAATCAGAGAGCGAGCCACCCACAGAGCATTTTTGAATGACGTCATTCTATTTGACATTCAAAATCTGAACAGACTATAGACTGGCAAGCGTGCGTACGCGACGCGGCTTTTGGCGGGGAACTTGAGGTCAAATGCACTCTGAAATGAAGCGCCAAAAGGGCGCCACAACTCTGTCTCCGACATACACTATTTCGCCGGTTTCTCGCAGCTAGATAACGACGAAAGAGTGTGTGTCAGAGAAAGAGTTGTGTCGCCCTTTTGGCGCTTAATTTCAGAGTGCATTTGACCTCAAGTTCCCCACCGAAAGCCGGGTCGCGCACGCAAAGCTTCATCCTGTCAGAGCAATCATGTAAAAATGTAGAGAAAACGTTTTATGGTTTTCGTGCTTTTATCCATTCATCTAAATGTTTTCTAAGCCTTAAAAAATTTAAATTCATTGAAAAGCTGTCAAAAAAGAGAAAAAAAATGGTGGTTCTCGTTTGGGCTCGCCGCCAAAAGCCGCGACGCACACGCAACGCTCCATCCTTGCTAATATACCCTCGCCTTCCAAGTCGAGAAGGATTTACTATATATTGCTAGCGGAACACTTCCAAAATGCTTGAAAAAGTCTCTCAACAACGGATTAAACGTGCATTATTTGGCTCATGAGATGCTCAGAGCGGACAAAAGTTTTGACGGCTCTGCCGTCTGCGCCCCCGTCCGTGATGAATCAAAAAGGCACGCCCATCGGTGGCCGCGATTAGGCCTGGAAAGGTGTCGACTCCGTGGAAGCCATACTTCCTTACGCCTTTAGCTCCACACTCGATCAAACAGACGTTTGACTCTCGAGCAACAAAAGCCTTCCCATTCTTAACCCCGTTCGCTAGTCAACGTCTTCAGCGTCCTCTCCGAAACTGACTCCCTCACACAAAATCCGATCATTTGTACTGTCGCCATCGGCCATGTGGGACCCAAAGTCCGAATCCGAAGATTATTCAGAAGTGGTTTTCCCGCCCGGCTACAGACCGTTCTTCTCCCTCGAAACAGTAGTCTCTGTTACGATTCCTATCTTCGCTTTCTTCTCCATTTTCGCGATAGGTTTGTTGGGGAAGTATTTTTGAAAGTGAGGATAAAAAGTTCGAAAATTCAAGAATTTGAATCTCAAACTTCATAGTCACTACTGTCGTATATATTCTCAAGAATTTCTAAAAACTATCGTTTGAAATCACATCTCGTTCTCAAACATCAGAACCTTCTAAAGCTTCAGTTAGGAAACTTACCGAAATTAATAATGTGAGGGTTTTTCTGTTGAATTTGGATTGAAAATTGTTCTTCTACTAGGCAGATATTAGGTGTATTCAAAAAAACTTTTTATATTAATTAATTTAAAAAAATCAGATAAATGGGATGTAGGAAAAGGCGCTTCTGGAATGACAAGCTTGGTCCTTTTTTTCACTTCCAAACACTTTAATTATAATATATAATTTCCACAAAAAGTAAGCTTACAGGAACTTTTTCAAATTTTTTTGATGTTTTTTTATGATTAAGCTTTACTTGGAACCTTTCGAAATGCGAATTTCCTGTTGTTCAGCAGATGTGTACCCAATGACTTGTGAATAATCCGGAGACACCTTCGCCTCTAAATTAACTACTCAAACGGAAATTTTCACGTTTTTTTTTGGAAAACAATGTCTATCCTATGACTCTTCGCACTTCCTCATCTTCAGTTTCAAACTTTGAATGTTGAAAATAATTGGAAAATGTTTCCATAGCGCATTGAAATCAGGAACAAAAGCTATTCAATTCAACACTTCAAAACGCAGTAGAAAAAATTTCTCCGGCGTATTACACCTTCAAGGAAACGCATACGCAATCGAATCATCAGACGAAGCATAAAAAACTCGAAATTTAATAAAAAGTGTCAAGTGGATTTGGTTGGATTACCGCAAGAATCAATGAGCAAATATTTAGGCCTGTTAGGAAAATTCAGAATCGGAAGTATTATGTCAGAGATAAAGGTTCACTTAAAGAGATTCAAAGCAGAACGACTCAACAAAAATAAAATAAATAAAAAAATGAATTTCATTCCGACTTTTTGCAAAGTTAAAAGCGTTGCTATCTCCGATGCTGGTTTTTTTATATGAAATTTCTTCGAAAAAGCTTTTTTTCTAACAGCAAAGCTATTTTTTTATAACCAATTTTTTTGTGGCCGGCTTTCTTTTCGCACCATTACACTTTAAGTCGCTTTTCACAAGAAAACGAAACATTTCACCAATAAAATGAGTCAAATCCGAAATTTCAGTGATGTTCATGATGTACATTTACCGACGGTACTGCCGACAAAGGCCAACGTTTGAATATATCGAGGAAGACGAACAGCTTTACATACCGCGGCCCATCACTCCGGGGTTAGTTTATAATTAATTTTTTAATGACGGTGGAAAATATTCCTTGGTAGAAAAAAAATTTTTTTTTCACGTTAATTATGCCGTGTTCAATTTGATTCCGCGAAATGCAAAATTATCTCTGACTCTCCAAAATTTAGTGATCTTTCCCTTTCTCTAACGGGTATTTTGCATTTCGCGGAATCAAATTGAACACAGCAATAGAAACTGAAGTTGTTTTAAACGGCGGAAAATAAAATGATTTGTACGCAGTGCACGCGATGCATGGAAAGCGACGCGCAAAAACAGAGATTGAATGTTTCGGCAGCTGCCGGAATATTTTTCATTTCCCTATTGTTTAGAAATTTTCAAACTACTCACTAGTAATCTCCCTACTCAAGACAAAACTACTAAAAAAAAATGATTAAACTGAATAAACTTCCTGGTACCAAAAACTGATAAAAACTAAAGACCAATTTACAATCAACATCTCTTTTTTTTCAAGATCAATCTCTAAACGTTGTTCAGCTAAATATAACATGCACAAGGATTCGGATTACCGACGGAAAACGTGCTGAAATAAATCCGATTGCCTTTTCCTGGGATTTCCTGTCATTTCCACATAAGTCTTTCCCCTTTTTTTTTTTGGAAACTACAGTAGTTTGCAAGTCCATCTGCAGAAAAAAAAAGTGTTCCAAACTATTTCTCATCTGCGATACTTAATAAATAGTCAAGAACAAATTTTGAAGGTGAAGCCACACAAATTTCAATTAGTTGACTTTCATGACGTCCACTCCGTAAACTTCCCGCTCAAAGCTTTATTTCTCGTTTCATTTGCAATCGAGAAATGTGAAAAAACTTGAATGAGACACATAGAATGACTTTTTTCGAGGAAACAAATAGTTAGAAGCTTTTTTTTAAGGTAAACCTGACATGAATTTTCTCAAAAAGCTTTCAACTATGATAGAATATATAAATTTCACTTCCTCCAACAATAATCTATCAAAATATCAATCCGAAAGCCTCCATTTCCGCAATGATTGCTCAAAAACAAACTATCATTATCCGAATTTAAATCCAAAATATACATCAGCTGCTCAAAATTGATGAAAACCACGGCAGAGACAGTCTGAAACACTGGCACCCCGAAAATTCCTACATAAGCTTCCTGTTTTTTGATTTGACGGGAAAGGTGTGGGCAGTGGCTGAATTTCGATCATAAAGATTAAAGTTCAAAAATCTTCAAGTATGATGGAAGAAAAGAACTGAAACGTGAAACTTGGTTTTTAGAATTCAGAAAAAAAGTTTTATCTGAAGCATTAAAAGTGGAATTCCGGTCGCAGAGAGAAAGTTCTAGTAGGCGAAAAAGTTTTCCAAGTCAAGTAGTTCAATTTCTACTTTTTAATAAACGATCAAATTAATCATGGATTAGCTTCTATTGCAGACTTAAATAAGCAAAAGAATTTTTAAAAAAAGAGGGAAAAGATGAATCTCAGAATGAAATCCTCATTTATTTGTTTCTCCAATTGAAAATTATTTCAAACGCTTCAAAGTTCATTTTTTTTTTTTCAAAATTGTGTGAACACGGCGACCAGAGCAACATTCGCCCGTCAGATAAGATGTTTCTTGTGCATGCACCCCTGACGAAAAAGCACACTTAAACATTTTTTGAACTTTTTTGATAAACAAAAATGAATTTCAGAAGCTAATAAGTGGAACAGTTGTTGATTGCTCATTTCTCTTCAATATCAAAACGGGAAATGCTCGAAAAAACAACTTTTTATTTGAATAAACAGTATATTAATGCTGAAAAACCCGCCGAAATTGACATTATTATTTTTAAAAACCCATTCCTCATTGTAAAAAACACCGTGAGCCGCAACTTCTCAATTAACTTTACCGATCTTCTGAAAATGAAAACTTGAGACGAAAATGGAGAAAATGAAATAAATTACAGGCCAGAATCTTTCCGACGCAATTCGGCCCAAGCACAATACCGACTACTGATCCAAAGCAAGTTCGAGAAAGAGTTTGGCGCTTCGAGGGCAGAAAGCGGGCTTTTGATGCCTGTTCGTCTTATAGCACCTTACGACAAAGGCGTCGTCTGAACTCTACAACTCAAAACGGGAAAACTTCAGTTAGATCTTCCTATATCTTAGTTTCTTCCCTCGCTTCTTGTTCAAATTGTTGTTTTATTGCTATATTTCTTCATTTTTGACTACAAACGGCTAACTTTTCGGGTTTTTGAGCAAAATTACCGTGTTGATAAAAATGTTCTTTACTTTTTTTTTTCTGGAACTTATCAGATTTTTTTTCTCTCGTTCCATTGTTATCGTTCGAAGTTTTAAAATAAAATGTTTGCAATTTTGCAATTGGAAGATTGAAAGCCAGAAGGGATTAGCTGTAGGCGAAAGATCTCGAGTATTTGCGCACATCAGATTAACTTCGGATTCGCCAAATTGCATCAAAAGCTAACTATGGTTTCAAAAAAGTATTACTGCGTAAATGAAGAGCGCATCGAAGGCCATGAGCTTCTAGTAAAATGACAACATGGAAGAAACTCACAATTTGTTTTACATTAAGAAAAAACTGACATGAGCAGGCTTTGTCATCATAAATTGTAATTAGGGACCGAAAGTCATTTCTAAAATCTGCGAACTTACAATGAACCTCCTACGATCCGATGGAGCGCATCGTCAAGTAGTCAAATAACTTTATTTTATTGAAAAAAAAAAATCAAGTTTGAGCCAAGCTACTACGATTTTAGTGGCGCTCTATCTAAGAAAATACTCGCGGTCGGTTTCGCGTATCAAGTTGAAACTACGGTGGCTTATAGACTTGAGTACTCTTAATCGAGTAAGAGTCCTTGGAAACAAAATAGATTTTCTTCTAAACCACATAAACTTTTCAGAACAAGCTTCTCAAAGAAATCCAGGAAGAGTCCTGTACGCGCCTAGACTTTCCTCTCTCACCGGGCAGGCTGGTGCAGTGGTTAGAGGGCCAGTCTCATGATTGGGGATCGCCAACGGTTTTTCGAAAATGAAAGCAAAATTTAAAAAAAAAAATGAGTTGAACCTATAAAGTGAGACAGTGAGAGTCAATAAATAACAAAAAGTTCGGAAAATTCAAACGAAAAATATGAAAAAAAAAACAAAAAATAAAAAAGAGCATTTTTGGGCTTGAAAACTGGTAAGGCAGGGTTGCATGGGTGGAGCGAAAAATGCAACTCGCGTGCGCGCCTCCATCCCCTTGTTCTTTTGTGAGAAAAATAATTTTTTTAAACTTATTTTTTTACTTTTTCCATCACGAAAAACAAAAATGATTGAAACAAATGGAGTTTTCGAAGTGTATAAATAACAAAAAAAACTTTAAAAATTTTTTTGAAATAATTTCGAAAAAGCCCTGCGACGCGCAAAAAAATGTTCTTTCCGCATGCACTCCCTCGAAGAAACGCACACACATTTCATTTTATTTTCAAGAGTTTTTCTATTTTTATGCAAACTCAGCCAAGTCTCATTTTTCGAGTTTTGACTTCCAAAGTATAGAGAAGTTGCTCATCTATATGTTCCACTTTGTCCAATCGTTGTCAGTTACTGTTTGAAAAGACTAAATTTCAAAAAAAGCCTTTTGGGTGTTATTTTATTGTTTTTTTACTCTGACGTTCACAAGTTACTTTAACGTTCACAATTATCAATTGTTTCAAGTTTTCGCACCGTTGTACTCGATTTGTTAAGGTTTTTTTTAATCAAACTTCAGATGATCAATAATTTTATTCCTATCAAAAAGGGAAGTATAAATAAAACGGGTATGAACTGTATGGAATTCTTGTAGGATCTATCAGTTTGGGTTTCATTGATTGCGCATGTGTCGTTTATTACCTATATTTTACTTGAAAACTCAAAAAGTTTCGTTTTTTTTTTTCGAACTTTTTGTTTAAAACGGATACATTTTCAGATTGCAAAGAAATTTCGATGGAGCCCTTCAGATCCAGACACATGAGTTATAAAAAAAGAGGTACTGATTTATCGATTATATTCTTCAGATGTTTGATTGATTACTCAAGAAAATTTTTCGAAAAATATAAGAATAGCAAAATTTGGAGTGGTCTCACTGTATTCGGAGTCATTTTGTGCCTGATATCCTAAATCCATTTTTCTTGTCTCAACTTGTTCTTAGACTTGTTTTCCACAGTTGAGAATGATTGAACCTATTTTTTTGAGTTCAACTAGCCAGAAAATATCAGCTGTCGACCACTTTTTTGCTTCACCCTGTTGTGCGAACTTTTTCCCGAGCGTTGAACGACCTTCTTTTTTTTTCTTTTAATGACGATCTAGTTGAAAAAGTTTCTCCGATCCCCAAATGGAACTATGTTTTTCGGCTTTTTAAAGGCAAAACTGTATTTTTCTTCAATTTCGATAGAGACTTTGGTTTCCAAGGAAAAATGTTGAAATTGAGTTTTTCTTTGTTTGAAATATGCGCTTCGAAAAATATTTATGAAATTTCTTGCATTGTTTTGAAAACCAAAGTAGATCGCCTAGCTTTTTTTCAACTGTTCAAAAAGTACGTCCTTTAAAGAATTTTACATGGTTTCTTCAACAGTGTAGACAGAGTAAGAATATTTGAAATAGAGCCTTTTTCGATTCTTTTTCTCGTTTTGTCCTTTTTGGAACCCCCCAAAACTTCCAAAAAGCCTTCCAGAAAGTTATTGACGTAGGCTTCTGGGTTGTCACCATCGCGTGTCAAAAAACAAGTGATCAACCTGGTCACTTACGCGTTTTCCGCCTCAATTGCTGCCCTTTTTATACATCTCCGGATTTACTCACAATTACTTCTCTATTTTCGTCCTGCGAAAAAAAATTCCAGGGGTACTACATTCTTTTCTTCGATGTTTTGAATAAAGAAAAGCGCACGTGAAAGGAATATCCTCACAGTTCACGCACCATTAGCTTTGAATGCGTTTTTTTTTGAGAATAAACGTTCGCGTGTCCTTTTTTTCTAGTACCGGAATTATTTTTATACTTTTTTTATCGTTTTTTTGCCAATTCTTGAGGTTTTTCGCTTGGCCGTTTTTTTCTGAAAAGATAACTCACGACAAATGGGATAAACGCTGTGCTTAGGAGCTCCAGAGTGGTCTCTATATGGGCCCTTAGAGGGACCACTTTACCAACCCCTATAGAGGCCACTAAAACTTGCACAAGTGGTCCCTACTCTATAGATGTTTCAGTTAGTAGCCCCTATGGGGTCAACTTGAGCTTTAGGGGCTTAGGGGTCAGACCGTGAACCCCTTCAGGGACCACCTTGATTTCACCCTTATAGGAACCACTTCTCCGGCTCCTACAAAGGCCACTCTGGAACTCCTAACTAGTAAGTAAAGATGTTGTTGATTGATTGGGGCGTTTAGAAAAGTTCCCCTCTTAAAAAGTCTCCTATACATAGGTAAAACGGAAAAGTTCCTTTGAGGATCCTTAAAGGATCCTGAGAGGGAGATAAAAAGCTTCCTATAAAAGCTCCCAAAATGATGTAAAAAAGCTTTTGAGCTCCTTTTTCATAGCCTCACAGGAACCACTTTTGAATCATCTCGAATCTTTTCAGTTGCTTTCCAGCATCTTTTTTGTTAGAGGATGTGAAAAAGATGCAAAAAAGAAGTGAAACGATATAAAAAAAGATCTGCTGGGGACCCTTTCAAGGTCTTTTTTTGAGGAAGGCTTTTGGGGGGCTTTTCAGTTTTGCCCGAGTAGGATTCTTTGGACTTTTTGCTGGTTGTTTATTGTATGCTATGCAATCCCCAAATTGAAAAAAGCAGGTAAATTATATAGATCCGCATAATTTTAAGGTTCCTTGACAAATCACCATATTGCTTTCGCAGCCTAATCAGTGGTTTTTGGGATGTTTTTCTCACTGAAAAATTTTCAAGTCTAAAAAATATTATTTTCCCGTGTCTATTTACGAAATTCCTTTTTTTGACGATTTTTCAAAATCTCAAAATCGTGTGATGTTGAAAAGGTAATTTGGCTGAACAAACGGCGTTCGGAGATGGATATGAGATATGAGTGTCATGAAACGACTGCCATTTTAATCTTTTGCCTCACATTCCGCTCGCTGTTGAATTTTGAGCTTTTTTTTTCGGAAATTGGTTTTTCCTGTTAGGTTTTACAAGGTGAATGACTAGAAAGTATAATAAAATCGATTTTTTTTTAAGAAAAAAAGCTTGTTTTTTTGATCAACTTTTTGGCTAGGGAGACTTTCTTTTTTACAGGAAAAAAAATAGGGTTTTATTATTTTTTTAAGTACTCACTTAGTTCTTTTATATACCAAGAAACTTAGCATTTTTTTATGCTAGGAAATATTGTAGATATACAAATTTTCAGTACAGAGCTGAAATTTTTGGCCAACTATTGAGCCTTCAAGCGGAGAGTTTATCTGGTGTTTTTGAAATTCGAGAATAAAGATTTTTAGACTCGATAAGATTTATCAGCGAAGGTTCTAGGTTGGTTGATTTTTCGAAGATCGAGAGAAAAAATATTCTTTGGCTAATTCTTTTTAGCAGACTGAAGGTTCAGAAAATCATTTCTTTTTATATCGAGAGATGATAGGAAATGCGCGAATCCCGATTCAATTATGTGAAAACAATTACGTGGCAATTACTCGGCGGTTCGGCCATCGAGCTCACATGTGCATTAGCTCTCGGCCATTTATCTTTATTTAGTCGAAGTTTGAGCTTCTGGGGATTTTCCCATGGCGGAAACCTGAGACTGTATTCTTCGTTTTAACTTTTTTTTTAGTTTTTTCAAACTTTTGAGACTGATAGTAGAGTTTCAAGTCAGTTCCATATACCAATATGCATAAATTTAGGTTTTTGTTTCGTTTATGAAATTTTGGTTTTTTTTTTTGAGGAAGACTGAAAAAACATTTTTTGAATTCTCGAAAAAATTATTGTCTTTTCCAAGTTCTTTATAACTAAACTGTATTTTACATTTTTGCAACATTTTCACCAAATGAAAAAAAACTGCCAGTTCCAATTTCGAGACATTTCAAGCTGTTCAAATAATTTGCGAAATGGAATCACCTTTTTATTTTTTTTTTCTTCCTGTGCCTGAAATTGCATTCA